TACTCTGCAGTATAAATATATGTAAATATATAAACATGTATCTTCTTACCTTCTTTATCAAAGTCGTGGTGTGAGGAAAAGCTGAGACAGAATGAAAAAGATTTTGTAAATAGTTAATAAAGCACAACTATTGAGGGCCTGTGTGTCCAACCAAACTGTTAATAAAGGAGAAAATACAAGCAGTGCCAAGAAGCAGGGTTTGGAAAACAATCTGCAAAATAACAGGGGAGACAAAGACATAATACCCTGGGGATTACCAGACGGGCAAGAGTATTCAGACACAGGTGAGAACAAGAAGAGCACAGAAAAGGAGCTTAGTTTTGTCTACAAAGACAAAACTGAACAGAAAACTGTTCAACAAAGTCAATGAAATAAAGACATTGACAAGAGTGATCCGTGAAATATGTTAAATATTGTCTGATAGTTGAAAGTGGGCTCTAAACACTTTGACATATGTCCCTTTTAATTTTAATATCCCAGCTTAAAAAAAAGTTATTTGACGACAAACCAGAAGGAGCGAGCATAGACTGTTATTTACAAAGAGCCAACATCAAGACAAGACAAGATTCAATCCCATCATATTATAAGATCCATTTCTGTCCCACAGTTGTCCAGGAGCAGAGCATTTTCCTGTAAACTACAGTGACATTAAAACCTCTAACAGACAGAAACCTAAAGCAGAACACTGCACTTCATCATGCAGCCCTCGAAATTTAAGAAATAAGAAATAAGATACCAACTTGCTAAAAATGTTACACTCATGGTGAATTAGTAAAGAGTTTGGCCTGGCCCAGCTCTGCAGCTGTTTCGTGTTGCTGGTCGCTCGAGAAGTGGTATGATGATGATGATGGTTTGTTGGATTTCCTAAGATTACACAACTGAAAGCCAAGAACTCCTCAGTGAGCCTCTCCTTGCATGCAGCCCCACCTCTCACAGGCAGAAACCTCAAGCAGAACACAACGCTTTATCATGTAGCCTCCAAACCACCAATCAGAATTAAGAAACAAGATACCAACTTAAAATAGTTGAGAACAAATGACCAAATTGACCAAAATATTAGACATTTTCCCTCGAATTACTTCTGAAAGACGTGTGATTTATTTGGGGTTTACTTTTGGCACAAATGAGATGTATGCTAGCTCATTTATGCTTAAAGTAAAGTGTATCAAACAAAGATTAGTCCGTTATCATTAACACCCTGTTAAAAAAGTACACATACTTGCCCCATTATTTCATGTCAGCATATACCATAGTTGGTGTTGTTATGTTTTGTCTCTATCCCCTCTATAATCCCACCAGTCTCATCAGATGACCGTCAAACATGAGTCTGATTCTGCTTAAGGTCTCTGCCTGTTTAAAGGATGTTTCACCATGCTGAATTAGTAAAGAATTTGGCCTGGCCCAGCTCTGCAGCTGTTTTATGTTGCTGGTCGCTCAAGAGGTGGTATGATGATGATGGTTTGTTGGATTTCCTAAGATTACACAACTGGAAGCCAAGAATTCTTTGATGAGCCCCACCTAGCCTGCAACTCGCTGAATGCACTAAAACTTATTCTGAAGTTCTGTATTCAGTGACTTACCACATAAAAATTAAAAGGAAAAGCTTTCAGCAGAAACTAAATGCTGCTCAAACTACAAAAATCCTCTGTGGCACTCATGTGACCAACCATTTTAAAGAGACCACTGTCAGTTACTATGGGTATCACCTGATGTTCACAAGAGTCTAATCTACATCTTAAAATAGTGTCCTCTGTTTGCCAACCCAGGAAAAAAAGACAGTTTCAGAAAGAGAGGACTGACACAGAGAGAGGAGGTCATAAATCAGACTGAGCTGTGGGTTCCAAATCAATCTTACAGCAAAATATGCAAAACGGAAAAAAGGCTGTAAAGAGTGCAAATATTTTCTCCCATGTTGGACTTTCACCAGCGCAAAAATGAGACACGTATGATAGTTCACTGTGTGGTCAACTAGTCAATGATTCGTGGCTTGACTATCTACACTGCTGCTGTAGCCGGCACTTCAAACTCACTTTCGAAATACCTTCACTCTTCTACTGATTCTTCATCATGACCTACTTATGGGTTTGTTTAGCAACAGCGAAAAGCAGGAGGAAAGCCGAGTGAGGACAGAAATCTCAACATAAATATTTGTGCAAAAGTCCTGCTCACCTTATCTAACCTTTCCTTCAGTGGAAATGTGCACAAAGTATTGAAATGTCACAGATACGCATGATCTTGTCTGAACCCTGACTGTTCATCCCAGGAGGAGAGTAATAAGAATCTGTTGGCATGAAAAAGTTACCAACTGTGCAAATCAAGAGATTACAGTTAAATTCATATACGTATGTTTTGTCATCTTCTTGTTGTCTTGAGTTAGTAATTGGCCATCCTACATTAGGACTTACTTATGCTCCTTGTAAAGAATATGTTTTGAACAGTGTAATGCCTCATTTTGACTTCTGTACAGTATAATCAACCAAAAATCCATTCATTCCCATGGGAACTGCTGTGATTTCTCATGTGCCTGTGAATCCTCCCTCCTGTAATGTTTTCGTTTGAACTCTACTTCAAGTACATTGAAAAATGTGAACTTCTGGATTGGATTTTGAAGAAAATGTATGACAGCATGCTCGCTAAACTGAAGACTATACCCTTCAAATATAATTTTAATCAAAATTCTAAACCTTTCCCTCTTTGATTCTGAAAGAAATAGAAAAGATGGAAATATTGGCCGGATTGAAGATGTTTAGTTTAAAAATCTCCTGCAGTTTTGTCTGCTGGTCTGTGTCTCTGGGCTGCAGCTGCTAAATCGGATCTTCTTCTGGCACCGACGCTGCCATGTGATGTATTTGCTGTCCCCGAGAAACCACAGTCCCTTTCAGCTTCTGCTCTTTATCCTATTCTTGATCACAAATTAATGGGCAACAATTAAGATACAGCACCAAGAGAGAGACAAGAAACATTCACCAGTATTTCAGCAGACTGGTTAATCATAGCAGGGACCAAAGCTGCAGTGCTTCCTGGGATATGAAGGCCCTGCTGCCATGACTACAACAGCTTCTCAGTCAGTTCAGCTCAGAGGAAGGACTGGACAACCTCATTAAAGCGTGTTGAAAATTCCCTTTAATTTTCTGCACACATGAGAACAATACAAGTCTTTGGCTTCCCCGCTCTCAGTGACAGAGGAGTATCTGAAAACAGAACACAGTTTGTGGAGAAGAACCAAATGGCATTTGTTCTCGGGATGGAAGTTCCTGGAATAACCCATAAAAAAATAAAGGCACTTTTTTTTTTCTGCTGTGTGTTGGTTAAAGTTCAAGACTGATGTTAAAAAAAGAAAAAGAAAAATCTGAAAATATTCCCAAGGAGTTCAAGAGAGGACCAAAACACCTTCAACAAAATCACACGAGAAGTATTCCAAAAATATAAAAATCCAGCATCAAAATTCAGAAATAAAAACAATAAAATGATAAAATAAACAAAAGAGAATGATCTCATTGTCAGTGTCAAATTACTACAGAGGAATATTAGGGCCAGGAATGAAATAGTAATCAGATGTGGATGTTTTTTTATGACACAGATGTCAACATGGAGAGAATAAAGACGATAGTCAAAATAATATTTTAAGATTTAAGTCAAGCTACAGTCACCTGAACAAAGTCAATGTAATGGGGAAATGTTCCTTTTACAAAAAAAGTCAACATGTAAAGGAAGAAAAAGCAGAAATACAAATCTGAGAGAAACTATTCTACGGTTGTTTGTTGTCTCCGGGTCCAAACGCTGTTTTACTTTATAAAAAATTGTTGTCCTGACTCTTTCTGCTGGTTTATACAGGAAGCATTAAAAAAGCAACACCCCATTGACTTATCTCTGCATCCTTCTTTTAACATTAAGGTTTAAACTAGCACAAGCTGCTAGCGGGGCTAACATCTATCATTTGCTTACATTTCAAACAAAAGGTTGACTTTTTTTTAGTATTTTGTTTTAGCTTTGAGTTCCATCAACCTTAAAGTTTTGCATATTTTAGTGAACGGATCAGCTCCTTTAGATAGATTTGCTTAAGGGGAGGCATGCAGTGAGTCTGATCAGCAGAGGGAGAAGAATGGGATAGCCTGTGTGATCTGTTGTCATTTATTGAGTATCTCACCGTGGCTGTTTGTAATGTTTGAATGTTTAGATTAAGATTATTTATGATTCCAAAGTTCACTCATATCAAATGGCTTAATAATTAAAGGACTGCTAGAGGAGAGTGGGTGAGTTGTGTTTGGTCTCTTTGCCTAAGAAACCAGGCAAAGCTCAAAAGATGTCTGATGGCTAGAACTACGTGCTGGGACACGATATGTACTGTTGATGAAGTTAGGTGCTGTTCTGAGCATTATTTGTGGCTACAGAGTGGCTTTTTGGTTGTGGCTTGCGGGTGGAGACATAGACCGCTGTGTATTGCTATCGTGCGGTCTTGACTGAAGTTGGTTTAACTAGAGAAGCAAGCGGTCAGCAACGTTCATCTCTTGAGGGGGGGTCTAACTTGGTGTTACGGTGTGTTTGATCATGGCTTCACTTCATGAAGTTTTCTAAGTTTAAGTAAGTGCCACGGTTTTAACAAAAAATGATTTAAAAAAATTCTTAATATTAAATTCAGACTTTTATTTTCCTCGAAATGTCATCTTAAATCTCACTTTTTTTTTCAAGCTGTACTGCAAATTTTTTTTTTCATTTTTCATTTTTATTTATTTTTATCCTGGCCCAATACTCTTCTGTTAGTCACTGTTTATTATCTGTGTTATAAGGTTGTCTTTTGTTCTGTTGCTTTATAAACTGAATCACAATGTCATCAAAGCCCATCAGACACGCCACACCTAAAAGAAACGAGTATTAGAGTCCAAAAATTAAAGTAGTCAAGTCGAGCACCTGCATCCCAGAGTTATTGAGCATACGTAATCATATTTGCACCTCTACCTCCTCCTGTAATGTAATAAACTAAATGAGTTGTTCCTTCATTATCATGTTTTTACTCTGTGACGTTTCTCCATCAGTTTCTCCTCCAGACACTTGATCAGGATCGGGTCCACTTTGGGGTCAAACTTGTTTGCAAACCAGTGTCCAAAGTTGAGCAGCCAGCGAAGTTCAGCCGCCCCGTAGATACAGACACTCCTCATGTGTGTCCCGGTGCATGCTGGGTAAAGATTTCCTTCTAAGTAATTCCACTTGACGAGTCGAGTTTTGCTCCTCAGATCTGTGATGTCTGCCTCTGACCTGGGAATGTGTCCGGGCACCCCGGATATCCTGACCAGGGTGGCCCAGAAGTGTTCGTCTGGTGAGTATGTGTCAGCTGACCAGGAGAGGAAGTCCCTCACCACAGCGCTGCTGCTGATGTGATCCACAAACTCCCGTGATAGGACAAAGTAGGCGCTCCCAATGAACACCTCAATCCCATGGGGCGGGGCCTGTTTGGCGGTGTTGGTTTTCACGGGGATGCGTCTATACTCATAAGGAACGTTCCTCAACTCGTGTGTGAAGCTGAAGCGTTGTTTCTTTAACTCACTCGGTCGACTTGACTCCAGCATGTTGCTGCCATTCAGCTTCATTAGCTCCATTACAAGCTCATAGTTTGACTTCAGAGGAAAGTCCTGACCACACAGGTTGATGACATACCGCCACTTGACCTCTGACCTAAGCAGGTCAGAGAGACAGTTGAGGTCAGCGTTGAGCCTACTGATGTGTGCATATTCCACAGACTCCAGTTTGGAGGCAATAAAGACATTAGGCGTGCACCGAGCGAGGTTTTTAACGGCCTTCACAAACGTTGCAGATGACTTCTGGTCATAGTGGAGGCAGTAGATGTTGTGAGGAGAGTAGATGGCGTGAAGGATCCGCTCCACCATGGGGGCGTTCTTATGCACCACCAGAGAGTAAGCCAATGGAAATTTCCGCTCTGCATCCGACACAGGAACATCATCGTAACCCCTCCCTCTGATAAATGTCTGACAGTCTGCAGTTAGACTTACCGTGCTCTCGTCATCCAGTTCAACAATCACCTTACGTTTTATCTCCAGAGCCTTCCCGATCTCTACCGGGTCCAGCTCGTAGACGGCCGTGCAGTTAACGTCATACCTCTGGTGGGTTCTAGATAAGCTGCGATGAGCTGTGATCCCGTACGGCTCGATATAGACGCTGTCTCTCACAGTGACTTTGATGTAGACGAGTTTAAGCAGACAGACGGCCAGCAGAGACAGAGAGAACAGGAAACACCTGTGTCTCAATCTATGGATGTGGTGACCACATCTTATTTTCATTCTGGAAACAAAGACATAAAAGAAAAAGAACGTCCATTAAAAATGAGTAATTCGTGTCTGGGAACTGTATTTATGAACAAAGTGTAATACAGGAAACAAAATGAGTTACCTTGCTCTTAAAAGTTGTCATGAGTTGCTCTCCTGCCACACAAATGTCTCCCACAGATCCACATAAGAACCTTTAACATGATGAGAAACATTTAGTGTTAAAACAAATGGAAAAAGGCAAAAAGACTTGAGCAAGAGTGGGGGAAATTTTAACATTTCTCATATGTTCTCTAATTATTGCATAGAATACACTAACTTGTCATCTTTTCAGTTTGCAAATGTCTATTGATTAATAAAACTTTCTCTGAATTTGATGACCTACCTATTACATGATGTTTATGATATTCATTGAGGCTCAGTTGGGCCTCAATGAATTTATTCACTTTTACAAAATAAGTCATAAGTTTTGGCGGTGTGGTTCTGTTCTGAGAGCCTGCTGCTCTTCCATTTGCATATGTGAAATGCCAATGCCAGAGGTGGGAAAAGCACTTCCCCTCATTTTCATGTGCGTACATGAAAAGCCAAGGCAGGTAGGGAGAGCAGCAGCAAAGATGCCCTGTGTGCAGAACACAGCAGGCATCTGTGACAGTGACAATACAGGACATATGATGCAGATCCAATCAGGCACAGCATCAACAGATGAAGCGGAGGAGGAAGCAGGTTGTAAAACGGTTTGTAGAGGGTGCAGGAAGAGTTGGCAGGCTAAAGCAGTTAAAACATTTGGTGAGTGGATGTGTAAAGTTTTAACTGGCTCAGCTGTCAGCTGATATAGGCTGGCACTGAGATCAGCTGATGTGCTGCCTGTGAGTAGCTTGCCTGCCCAGACTCTGACTGCGTTCAAGTTAATCCATGTCTATTGTCTGATATTATTAATTCAAATTTCTTTTGTTTATGGTTAATTTTCTTTTTTATTTCAGACATTATATAAATATCAAACAAATGAAGCAACACCTACTGTATACTGAAATATAACTAGGCAAATATTCTAGCAGTAACTACATTTCAATGAACTGAATTCAGTCAAAATTATACTATATTGTGTCAGTCTTTCTACCGATGTCCTTTAAGATCATATTTATCTCAAGTTTAAATTCCCTTGAATTTCCCAGCAGGGTTATAACTTTAAAACTTCAAATTATTCTTTTAGTTTTGAACCTGAGCTGTGAATTGATCCCACTCTTAACATACTGAAAGAACATATTTTTAGCTGTGGATGTGGGGGGAGTCAAACATGTTCCCCAAATTTTGTCAAAGTCTATTCCCCAAACTACTCGTATTAATACAGTCAGCAGCATTGGTCTGTGAAGTGATCCTGACTGCATGTATTCTGGGTTAAGTTATTGATCATTCCAGCAGTATCATTCATTAGTATTTTATTGTGTGGATGATCCCTGCACACAGAATTCATAACAAGCAGTGCAGAGAGGATTGTAATTATGAGAAAAATATTATGACTTAATTGATTTTACTGAGTAAAAAGATTAAAACATTGAAGACTTGTTTTAAGGAAGTATTTAAAATTGGCTTAAAATATCTTGAAACAAGATTTAAATTGGGACATGTCATGTCAATGTAGCTGAATGAAGGGCAATAACACATTCTCATAAGAAATGGGACAAAAAATGAGAGTAGACATCAATCAGACTACTAGCTGTGAATAGAGTTTTTATGTTTCCAGGGATTTTTATTCACTTGGTAACTAATTATATATAAAATGTAGCAAAGCGCAATTCTACACTCAGAAAACCCAGCAGTAAAACTGAAAAGCTACTCAGAAAAGTACACAAAAAAGCAACTCTATTTCAGTACTATGAGCAAATTCAGTTAGTTGTAATAGTATTAAGTCTTTAAATTAACATTAAAACACTGAACAAACCAATATGTGGCTGTTTTTACAGTAGTCATAGACTTTATCTGGACTTTAAGCATAATTCTCGACTTTTTTCTGTGCTGTGAGTGCATGATAAAACTTCTAATTTTAACCTTGACCTAACAAGATTGCTAATGCAAAACTGTGACGACTGATTGCAATAAAACTAATGTGTATCTACTTTTCTGAGAGCTCCTCTTTATTCCACAGCAGTCCCACTTCATCGTCTGTGAAATGTCCTTTTCCCTATAAGGAATCACATGATGCAGCAGCACAGTGCGGAACACACACAGTCTATCCGGGAATACTGAACTGAAATAACCCTCCAACACTGAAAACCCAAATCCTAAAAACTAAGTGAGAAAGTACAGAAGCTGTAAACTTACCTCATGAGGGAAGAAAAGTGCGCTTTGACAGAGCCGAGCGCTCCTCTGTCCGGTCCGGTGTGTCCGAGGGTCCTCCGCGGACTGTGGGGGGGAGTGTCAGGGGGCAGAGTCCCGGCTCAGTCCGCCCCCTGCCCGGTCACATCCAGCAGCACATCACCGCCACCCGATACATTCAGCACCCTGACACTAAAGATAAACCTCATCTACACACGCAAGAGAAACACCAGACGTGGCAACACACTGCAGGTTCACATAATACACGTTAACAAGTAAATGCGGGACTATGTGAATTCCTGTTACTCATTGCCAGATCTCTGACTTCATACATGATTAATGGTCTGATAAGGAGGCTGATAGTCACACTGGCTGGATCAAAGAGCAGTATAACTCATGTTCAAACATTTCAATCATCAACACAAAAGCGTAACTAAAGAATAAATGTGAAATCAAATGAAGCCTGAGAAGTGAGCAATGTTGAGGGTAGACAAAATTTAGATGAAAAAGACGCAGTTCCTCTAATGTCCACTAGAGGCTGATTCCCAAAGTGAGTCAACGCCCATAGAGCCTCACCTTGAGATTTCCAACTTAAAGGGATATTCCTGCGTAAAATTAAGTGAGGGTTAACCACACTGTAACACCGAATTAGACACCCCCTTGAGAGATGAATGTTGCCGACCGTTTGCTTCTCTAGTTACACCAACTTTAGTAACAACCGCACGATAGCAATACACAGCGGTCTAAGGAGCCATGCGCTCAACCAAAAAGCCACTCTATAGCCACAAATAATGCTCAGAACAGCACCTAACTTCATCAAAAGTACATATAGGGTCCCAGCCACAGCACTAGCCACCAAACATCTTTTTAGCTTTGCCTGATTTCTTTAGCAAAGAGAATTAACACAACTCACCCACTCTCCTCCAGCAGCCGTTTGTACGGAGAGCTCAGACTAGTCCCTCTCGCCATAGAACTCCAGTGAAGCTGGGCTTCCATTGGGCGGGACAAAGCCCAGCATTTATCCAATGAGCGTCTAGTTTCGCTGCTGGAACAACCCACTTTTAGCTTCCACATTGAAGTCAGCAGACACTGAGCGTCCGACTGTTTGAAACGCTGAGGCGCTGCGAGGATGAATGAGAACGAAGTTATGCCGGTTACCTGTGATTATCAGCTTCTTATCACAGTGTCTGAACAAAAGCTGAAGGCTTTCTAGTGCGTATTTAGTTAATGAAATGAACACACAGCCATACGTATTTCACCACTTTTTCTTTTTTTGGGGGGGTGACATTTTAAGGGAAGCCGAGCTTCCCTTGCAGTCTTAGAGCAATCGCCACTGGTATGCATGCAGCCTAGTGAAATATTGACACAGAAAAATTAGATTGTTATGGGGAGGAAAAAAGCTAATTTTTGATGCAGCAAGATGTTTCAGAAAAGGTTGGGAAAGAAACATGTTTGCATTCCATCATTTCTTAAAACAGGACTTTTTTATTTAATGATGCACCACAATCATTTCAGCAGGTGCTAAGCCTGGACTGCAAGCAGGTGAATTTAACAACTGGACTCTTCTACTATGGAGCCATGCTTTTGTAATATATGCAGAATGTGGTTTGACGTTGGCTTGTGGACATATGCAAATTCTTTCATTAAAAAAAAATATTGGCTGGATAGCAATATAATTATGTTGCTCAAAAACCTGTATGGACCACAAGATAGGTTACCAATTTGCCTCAGTCCATCTTAAATTGGCTCAGGCCCAAAGAAGGCATCAGCATATATAACCTACATTCTTGGATGCATCAGCAAACTGTGTTTACAGACAATGTTGTTTTGAGCCAGTGCAGTAATTTGCTCTACAGAATTGATGTCTGGACTGAACTTTGAGTTGACCTGGTAATAAGAAACGAGGTGGAGTTGAGCTCGCCCTTCAGCCTACGGTTCTTAGGGGAAACTATGTGGAGGCTGGTAGGTAGTATTCTGGGTAATAGTGGATGAAAGACACCATTTAAAAATGCAGCTAATACTGAAAATCCTGGCAAGTTTTCAGTAATTTTGCGTTTGTGTAAATAGAAATCATGAAACACTAGTGTGCAAAAAATCTTCCTCAGACCACAATTTTTTAATTTATATAATTAAATTATGCTCACAAATTGAATATCACAAAGATGTCAACATTTTAAACACGAACTTTGACTTTTAAACTCAAGAGAAACAAACCTGTGAAAGAGAAATATGCAAGCTGTATCAAATAAATAATGGAAATAACAATTAGTTTGTTAAACTGACCGTAAATTGAGTTAAAACCTTAGATTGAAACATGTGAAGTACAAATGGAGAAACCTAAGTCCACTGAGAGTCTGGACATTCATCCTGTAAGAGTTTCTCCCAGCAACGATCCATCAGAGCGTTGGGCATCAGCTCCTCATCCTCCACCAAATGGATGGTCCTGACTCTCATCAGACGCTTCAGCCCGGCCTCTTCTGCACAAACACACACACACAGTTAAATCTGCTCTCTACATCTTCAGTATAGACATAGTGGTCGAATTCATAGCTGGTTATACTGATGGTTTATACTGAGCATGGACATTTGTAAGATTTGTTTGCCAGGAAAGTCAAACTGAGTTTTGCCAGATGTGTTAACGCCACATTGACTCCAAAACAGAAATTATGTTTCTGGCTGGTTTCCTTGATATCCTGTTCAACCAGGCAGGAAAGGAGACTCACACTTTGTAATACACACATATTACGTTCACGAGCACATTCGCCAGCATAAAGAGTGAGTGAAAGGGGAGATAGAGTGACTCATTTGAGGACTCCTGTTAGGACTACTGATTTTTACGTCTGAACAATAAAATCACCCAGACTGCTCTTCATATCTCGTTCTGTCTCCTTCATTTGCTGCATCTTATATACATTTTCCACAACAACAATATCAAGTTAATTTGAAGAGGCTGGTGTCTCTGAGCTCACAGAGGCTCCAGGTGGGACACATGTGAAACAGGTGATTAATTATTGACACACAAGGAGCCACGCTTCAGTGCGCACCCGCCTGCTGTCTGTGTGAGAAATGTCAGGCACAGGATGTATGTAGAGCTGTGCGGAGGGAGACACATCAGCTGACAGGAAGTACAGACCTGAGTTCTGATCCTCTGGAGCAGAAGAAGAAGAAGAGCACTTGTGGTTCTTGTGACTGTGTGAGTTTGCTTCTGACTCCAGGTTTAGAGCGTAAGAAGACAAAGATTCACCTCTGAGCATCACCTGAGGAAACAGAGAGGACTTCCACACGAGTGTCTCTTAACAGCGTTCACACGTCTGTCTGTTTATACATGATGAATTATTGATGAGAGTATCAGGGAGTCTTGGAAGGGAATATGAAACCTGGATCCAGATCAGATAGCTCTCAGCAGCTTTAAAAGGACCTTTAAACAAGCGCTGAGAGATACAAGATACAGGAGAGTAAATGAAGTGTGTGTCGGTGCACGGCTCTGCAGTGAACGCTCAATAATTTACAGACTAATGCTGGGACCTGTCACAGTCCCCTACTGGCATCTGGAAACAGCAGAGACCAGAACTTTATTCCAAACAACAAGATAGGGAGGAGAAGAGCCTGCAGGAGGGAAACTTCACATTTAACTCAATCATTCAGGATGAATAACAGAGTTTCAACCTAAAAACCTCCACAAATACAAGCTGAGACTGGTAAATGCAGTCTTACTTGTACTGCTGTGTCTTATCCGCCTCCTAAAGTACAGTTTATTACAACCATCTGATCTTATTTCACTGTCTACTCAAAGCCTCTTCAAATTGTTGTTGTGTAACTTTAATATTTTAAATGGGAAACGTTGCGTTTGCAGGGGACTATTTTCAGCAGGGGATGGATCCACATTTCTTGCTTTGTATCAGGCATGTGCAGCAGGATGATATGTGGATAGCAGACAACTTAGTTGCACATCAGAGTACACAAATGTTATCAAAACTACTAATCATGTCACATTTTATCATTTGATTTTCCTTTGTTAAAACGGATGGGATTACAGATGGGAATTCGCAGCTCACTAAATCTGGTGTAACTGTATTTTCATTTTTCTTTGTATAAATGTTGTCATTGTACGCTGTCCCTGTTAAATGAAAGAGATAAAATGAACAAACACCTGGACATCTGGTCTGAAACAGATCCAAAGATGGCTAGATCACTACTGTGGATTAATCTTGCTTCGGGATCATTAAATTATAGATTGTCCAATGATCATCTGACCAGGCAGCATAGTGTCTTACCTTGTCCCAAGCATAGGCTGAGCTGACGGGGATGTAGTTACCGAACAAAGACTCCAGCCAACGCTCAGGAGATGGGTGCACTCTGCCTTTAAAGTCCTTTAGAGAGCCATCAGCCAAGACGTGAGCACAATGTAAGCAAGCCTGTACAAAAAAAAAAAAATCACGTTTTTTTTTTTTACTCATTCACTGAAAATCCAGTTTGAAACACTGCAGGGCTGGCTAGATAAAGCATCAGTTGGCAGACATGATGTACTGCAGTAGCTGTGGCAATAATAAGGGTCGAAAGGGTTATCAGTGACTCCTTATCCAGAGTCCTGTTTATGTTTGTAGCCAGTAACTCTCAAGTATTTCCTTAGCTTATGTAACATCTACGGACATTTGTGAAACATCGAACAAAGTACTGGAAAAGTTCAGCTTTGGCTGAGTATGTGTGACAGATGCACTTGGACAAGGTTTCCATGACAGAAGCCCAACAGTGGAAAACATCTAACAGACACCTGAGATGAGGACTAAAGGGTAAAATCTCAAACAACCTTCATCGCATTGCTTACCGTGTAACTCCACCCAGGCTTCTCACAGGGAGCTGTGGGTAGAAGTCACCTTAAAGATACTCACTGGGATAATGTCCTGACATTTTCAGGAACTTTCATTCTATTTTGAATAAACTTTTTTCTTCTAATATTCCAGAGCAGCTTTCTGACTTTTCTATTTTCTGCAGGCAACTGCGTTTGTGTGGTCAGAAATGATTGGTATGTAAAAACAGATGGACAACTTGGTACACAGGATTCCCTTTAAGGGTGGTGTCTGATGGTGAGAAGTCTCTTTGTCTGTATGGACACTGGTGACCCTCGCAGAGCAGTCTGACATACAGTAAATCAAGCTATACTGGCAGCAGCTGGCACTCACTGCAATATGAGACAGAGGAAACTCTGTAATTACACAACGGAACGCCACAGCTCCATGCATACATATGTGTAGAGGAATCCTTACTGAAAGTAAGAGCTGTTACCTGAGCGGTTGTTGTCCCTCAAACTGAAAAGAATAAAGGCGTAAAGCTGTGAAACTTGTTGTGATGTGCAATTTGAAGTGCAGGTTTATCTCGTTGTCTGTATACTGAAGCACCATTTGTTGTAATGTTTTTTTTCTATGTCTTTAAACATCTGAAACTGAAATCTGGTGAAGGCTATGTCTAGAAATCAGCTGTTCAGAGAAGCCAGATTACACCAAACTTTGTCCGTCTGAAGTTTTGAAACTTTGCTGAGGTCTAGTATGGACATCCGACACTGTAACATTATCTGCATGTTTGGGCTGTCGCAGTATACAAGTATTGATGGTAACCATCTTTATTAAGTTATTAATTAATCAACTATGAGTTCATTGCTGAGGTCCTGTGTGTTGATTGCCACATAATAAAAGGGAGGACAGATGAAGAGGTAGTGAGGTAAGGTTTTCTCCAAAGGAGTTTCAGTTGCACAACCAGGGATGAAGACAAATCACAAATTTGAACATGACTGGAAATGGATAATCACATAAAAGTTAACTGTAAAATTCATGGATTTGTAATATTTATGTTGATTTACTTCTACTGCCTATGTTGTTTTAAATTTTAAGTATTTCCTAAATATTGTGATAATACAGTTAATGTGACATTTCATGGTCATGATAATCTTGAAAATAATAACAGGTTCCTGCAAAACAAATCCATGCCTAAGTGAGTGACTATGGAGGGGGAGGTCTCTCAGCTTGTGTAGTACGGAAATAAAGTTTAAAACTATAATAATATTTGAAAAGGTCTTCTGTAAGGATGTTCAAAACTCTTGGTCATTTGAACAGTCATTTGAATTCAAACAAACTAAAAGTTACAGGAATGAGTCTTAAAGTCAGAAAAACACACTGAAAACAGCCAAAATTGATTATTGATTAAAGCACATTAAGACCAGACTATTGGTGAAAATTTTACACTAATACTCAGGTAATTCTAAAAGAAGACCTTGTTACCTTGATGCAGATGTGGAGGGCACATCCAGGCTCCAGCACCCCCTTCTGCATGAGCTCAGAGAGATGTCTGCTGCCATCCTCAGCCCTCATATGTAGCAGAGAATCCTTTCTTTTCATTCTGGAGTTTGTTTGTCGTAGTTTATGTCTTGTTTGTGGGGCGCTGCTCTGCCTTGTGTCCCTTTTGTTTTTTGGGACTTTAGTATGTTTGGAAGTGTTCATCAACTGTGTCTGATGCAGAGCAGGAGGTTCGAAGGTTGCAGATTCTAACACAGAAGACTGTATGACCTCTTCATAAATTTGACAGTCCTCAGCTTCAGAAGAGGCAAAACTGAGAGCTAGATTTAACTGATCCGTCTGCTGTCTCTCTTCTGCGCTGTGATGGTTCGGAGGTTGAGTGGACAACTTGGCCTTTCTGATCTCGTACACTTTCACCAAATGTATCTGCCTCTGGAGGGTCTGTATTAACTTCCTCTGACATGAAGCAAGGGGGGCAAGTTGAGTTTTCAGCACATGCTGCCAGAGAGAGTCGGACACTCTCCTGCACAGAGAAGCAAACAAGGTTGTTATTTGGATAAGTAGCCTGCTGGCACAAACTGTAAAAACAGCAGCATTCAGAGGCTGTATCCTAATTGAATTTCTTTGTCGATTGGATGAATGACAGTCAGCAGAGAGAGCTGACACAAAGAGTGAGAGTGAAATAGTTGGATTCAGAGACATTTATTATACATCAGGCTGCTCTGGAAACAGTAAACCCTCAATGAAGCTTTACTAAACCAGGTGGAGAGACGTGGTAACAAAAAAACTGTCCACACTATTCATGTTTAAGTGACTGTCAATAATATAAAAAAAAATAGGGTTTGAATGGGTTATATATACATTCAAATATATACATTGGAATTGGGATTGTAAACACAACCCCAATTCCAAAAAAGTTCTTATGTTATACATGTTCATAAAAACAGAAACCCATGGTCCAACCAATCAAAGTTTGACCTTCTTTTTGAAAATCACAGCTGCTGTTGCCTCCAGTCTCAAGAGGGAAGAGACAATTCTGCTTGTTATCAGGGGACAGTTTTGAAACCAGCAGTCCTGAGGGTACGGGGGGACCCTTGGCGCTGGGACAACAATTCACTTCTTAAACTCCAAGCACTGGTCATCAGAGTTCCCAAATGTTTGTTCTGTTTAATGTTTGGGAACTCAGATGACCAGAGTCTGAAGCTTGAAATGGTAAACATGTCCCTGTCCCTAAGGTATTTAACATGTTGCGAGCATCACATCAAAAATGAGCATAAATCTATCTTTAATCAATATCATTTTTGACTATGAACATTTTATTGTTGACTTTGCCTCATTTGTAATTATGTATATAGTAAAATAATCTGCAAACCATCAATTTCTGTTTTTTTGGGAGTGAGGATGTAACACTTTATTTCCTTTTTATAGCGATGAACAAATAAATGCAGACAAATGATTGCTGCAATTTAAACCCTTATTGTGAACTTTCTGCACTGACCTCTGTTTTTGACCGAGATGATCTTTCTTAAAGGTCTGTTTGTTGAGCAACTCAATCAGCTGATTCTCGATCTGTTTTAGAGCAGAATGGTATCTGCCTGAAATAAAAACAGCACAATTCACCTCAGTCACGACATTTATTTAGACTCAGGATCGAGATAAATCACAGGACATTTTTAGAATTCGATAAATGACATTTTCCCAAAGGTGTGAAGCGGCTCTGCGGATTGAACTGAGTTGCGTAACTTATTTCAATCACAGTGACAACATATAAGCAAGTCAGAGATGTGATCAGAGTACAACAGGGTTTATACAGTATAAAACAGTAAAGATGTTAATTTATAGAGGACGTGGTTGAATAAATGATAAATTGACTAATGTTTATGTCATGCTGTCCCTAACTTCACAAGCAAAACAATAAAATGTGGTTTATCAAACTAAATTTTGACTTAAGTTGTATAATTTTGATTATTTCAGTGACTCATGAGTAAATGACATTTTTAAACACAATCACTTCTGTAAAAAGTATCCCTTTAGTCCTGCGAAGAAACCCCTTTGGGTATTTCTAGTGCAGTTTATAAATACTGCTGCAGAATCTGTTTGAAATGTTTACCTGTGACATCTTACTTGTAAACTAAAATCGACTTGACTAGTGTGCAGCTGCTCTACCTGCATCCTGTGGAGCTGAAAGGGGCCATGTTGATATTTCTGTTTGTTTCTCCCAAACCTGCTCCAAAATCGCCATCACGCTTTCTGAATGACTCAGCTGTTGCAACCACAATACATCAACATTTGTGAGTTTCACATTAAAGCTGCAATAAACAGAAGTAAAGACTGTTTCAATTGGGGACTTGAATTTTAAAGGGATCAGGGTGTAAAAAGGTCTTACATTCTGAGTGTTGGTGTGTTTTTCTCTCTGCTGAATGTCAGCCGGCTCTCTGGCTCCATCTCCGTCACCTGACTCTTTGGATCGTACGTTTGGATTGAAGTTTCTCTGGCTGCGGAGCTGTTTGTGGCACTGAGCCTCAGAAGATTTACAACCTGAGAGAACCCTGCATTCAGACCTCAGCAGGATACACCACTCAGAAAATACATTAGGTCTCTGGGTTTTCTTAAAGCTGCGTGGGAGCGATAGTTTTAGCTTAATGTGGATGTTAAGTCTGCAGTGCAATCAGTCCTCCTCTGTATTTTTGAAATAAAATAATCTTTTAAGACAAAAATAAGTCTTTTTTTACACAGATGCAATCAGATCCATTTGTTTTTTTTAAATGACAGAATTTTTTGTATATTATACTTAGATATAAAAAACCTAAATCACATTTTCTCTCAAGCAAAAGCTCATCAAACTGATCTCTTAATGTGCTTGGATTAACTCACCTGGCTGTGTGTGTTGTCCAGATGCTTCCTGAGGCTCCTCATGAATAACCAAAGAGTCTCTGCATGTTAAGAGCAGCTGTTTCATATTTTCCTCCTCCGCCATGTCCAGAGCACTAAGGCCTCCGACCGTCCAGTCACAGGTGTTTGACCCAGACTGGAGAAGAAGCCGCACTATCTGCACATTACACACAGATTTGACAAAGTCTGGTTGAAAAAGTGAACCTGCATCCAGTGAAACTGAAACACCTCTGAGTGACGGTTTTCAAAAACACAAACTTGAGGGTTGAAATTGCCATATTTGTCTTTTGAACAACAGGTTTCCAATATTTCATTCGATTCAATAGTTTTAATCCAGTCAGATTACTGTAGAACTGGGTTTAAATTGATCTACAAAATCAGTTTAATCCTGATATTTTAGATGAAAGGAAGTGGGCAGCCCAAGCTAGTGCATCCCCAGAGCTCTCAAGTTAGCACCTCTACCTGCACTTTACACTATAACTCATAATCTCCAACAGACCAGAAAGACAGAACCAGAATGAGAAGTTTGACCCCGCCAGGTTAGGTTATGCTTTACCTTCGCACTTCAATCAGAGAAAAGAAAATGGTGAAAAAGGACGTTTAATGATTATCTTCCTGCCCATGTCTGCCGACTTGTTTTGGCTGCTTTTTCTGACAACTCCTTTACTATTTTTGCAGACTTGGCCACACACCTGGGTTTTCCATTCATGAAAGAGTGCATCCATCCTCCCCAAATCTGCAATACTTTTGCCTTTAAGACACCTCATCTATAAATTTCTTTAGTTTATTACTTTGTTAGTTTCTCAGTTATCCTCTTGAAGCACTGTCATCTCTCACAAAAAAAGAGGAAATAAACCGCACACAGGTTTGTTACATACAAAGTGAGTTTCTCCATCACCTCATAGTGTCCTTTAGTAACAGCATCATGAAGGGGTGTGACGCCATCACAGCTTCGAGCGTTGGGGTTCGCTCCAGCCCTCAGCAGCTCCCTAACCACTGCTTCATTGCCCACCAACGCAGCCTCATGGAGCGCAGTCCAACCTGACAAATCAAGATGATTTACACGATCAAAGAGGGTTTATTGTTTCATAGTTAATAATTTTATATGACAGACAAATGAAGGGGAATTAAGTCAATCTGCAGAGTGTAGATGAAACAGTGCCTCAGCGGTGTAAGACCTGCATTATCCTCCATGTTGACGCTGATCCCAGCCTTGATCAGTGCTCTGACTGTCTGCAGGTCTCCTCTCTTACATGCTCTGTGCAGATAGGTCTCTCCCCAGCCATTTCTCTTGTAGAGTGTGCTGTTGGGGATTTTCACACTTTGCTGGGAATTTGGTGCTTAAAGATGAATAACAAAATGATCAAAATGTCAATGCAACACACTCCCAATGCATGTTCACTCTGCGAAAGGATCATTTATATGACTGCTGTTACTGCTTGTTTCAGCTGATAGAATATCCAGACGTCACTTAAATACACATATAGACCTTAAGAATTATATAGAGTAACACCAGAGTCAATGTAAAGGTCTCCAGTTGCACTGAAAACAGATTAAAACTTGTTATTGCAGCACATATACAAGACACAGAGGTAAGAGTTCATAAAACAGGCTACGGTCAGGTCATCTCTGCTAGGAAAACTCTCTTATGCATTTGTAAATTATCTTTTGACAAAGAAATCCTGTAAAAAAAATTTTCCATTTATTTTGTTTTGACAGGAAACGTCAAACAAATATCTGTTGCACTGTGCTGTATCTGGAGTTTGTAACACTGACATGTTTGGAAAGTAGACTCATAACATCCCGCTCTACCCCGTGAGCTGCTGTAGATCTCTGGACCAGATGGTCTAAGTTCACTCACTTTAGTTTTATCTTCTTGCTTTTTTATTATCTCTTTGTGAGTCTAAATCACCTTGCTCCATGAATTCAGCTAGTCCTCCATGTTGGGAATAACTGTGATCATTCAATAAGCTGTTAGAGTCATCGTCTGTTGAGATGTCCCCTCTCCTTTCAGGCTGCAGATCACAGCCGCCAGTCATCTCCATAATGTCTGCTGGGAAAAAAAAAACACACATGCGCAAAGATGACGGGTAGCTCACAACTCTTTCATTCGTAGCATCAAATTCCTCCTAAACAAGTGAATGAGATGTGACCAGGAAATCATCATTAGGCCCATAGCCTCAGGGCTTTTCTCCAACCATCCTTTGGCCTTCAAGGAAAAATATGATATTGTGCATTTTTTTCAAATGGACTGAAGTAAGCTTCCTCCAGTGCTTTTACATCACTTCTTTTCATCCAAGTGGAGGTGTTTTAGCTTTAGTGGACATGAAGTGGTGTCCAACTGCTCTCATCCATACCCAGTATATCTATTATTCCAGAGGTTTCTGCTCGAACCAAAGCTCCAACTCTATCAAATAACCCCAAACTGTTGTAACTCTGGATAACAGAGCTTCACTGGAAGGGAAATCAAGCTGACATCAACTTATGTTAACTTTCTTCAGTATGTTTTTTTTTCAGAAATTAAAGATCCAGATCTCTGATGACTAAAATTCTCTGATTTGTAAAAGATTGCGACAGTGTCTTGAGTTAAAAGAGCAGGAGAGAAGTGCGGTGGACTTCTTTAATGGCCTGGAGGTTGAAGACTGCACTGCTGTTGTTATGAGTATCTGCACCTGTGTGATGGAGTTCCCTATATTATGACAAATTATCTAAAATTCAACATATTACATCAGATTTTATATCAGTGAATAAAATTTATTAAGGCCTACTCCTAACTGAATGTTTCATATTTCTGACTTACATGCTTTCTTTTGAATGGAATAAAATAAATCTAAAGTCAATGGCTCCCCCTGACAAAGCAGGCTGATTGTGCACTCACATTATCTAACTCCTGCTGCAACTCTGGTGAGTGAAACGCTAGCTCCACCTAGTGGTAAAACACAGAACCAGACACATTTATATTTAAGAGCTACTGAGTGTTCATTTTTAAATAGCCCCACAAGTCAGTGATAAAGTAATGCTTTTTCAGAAAATGAAAGAGTATATATTGGGTAAGAAATTGTTTTTCTTTCTTTGTAAGATAACAGTCTATAATCAGAATCCTGGACAATATCACATATCTGCAGAGCAGGAGAATGCAGTTTCAGGCCGGTAATCCTGGGACTGCAGCTCTAAAAACCCATGTGTTGATGTGACAGTAGGAGTAAGGGTCAGTTTCAGTTAGACACTAAAAGTGGTGAAGAAAATATATATTCATAGAAAATACACTCATTCTGGCACCAGTTGCACCATCAGCTATTAGCCATCTGGCGACTAGCATTAGTCAATTAAGCTAGCGTTTAATCCGCGTAAACATTTCCTTATGTGATTCCAACTGTCGCTAAAACCAAACTAATGTTATATGTTGTATTATTGTGAAATTAGCATCATACAGTTAGGCTAAGCAGTTGAAATCTGAACTAACATCAAATGGTGAAGTAATGTTTACTTTTCAAACTTCAGCTGAATAAAACCGGCAAAAACGTTGTTTTTCAGTTTTCTAGATAAACATCGAGAGGAAACGAAGAAAGGAGAATGTTTTAGTTGTGAAATTTCGTGTGAACGTAACTTGATTACCTGTTTAAATCCGGTTTCAGAAACTAGTCTTCCGCTTACTCCTTCACTTCAAGACCAGCAACATTTAGCGGCCCAATTCCAAACTCCACCCTAAGCCCTCAAGCCCTGCACCCTCATTAGCTTAGGTTAAGTCAGCTGGTAAGTGCTTGAGTGTGGGAGGGTTTAAGGGCTCCAAAAGGGTATAAAAGCAATGGAACAGCCCTTTGTGACGTGCCACGTTACCTCGACGACAGACGACAACGTTGCCGTGACAACCAAAGATGACTGACACTTGCCTCTCTGGGCCTCTTAATTCTGCATTTATTTCGCGGCCAGCGACGTCGCAGAAGAAAGGCCAACATTGTTCCGCTCCTTTTGCACACACTTGCTCTTGAACATAGACAACAGGTAATTGATAAATAATGATTAGATTGATAAATTAGAAAACCAGCATTAATGATAGGTTAAGTGATATTGAATGGTTAAAAGGTTGAAGCACTAGATTCTGAAAGTAATCACTGCTTTAGAGTGTTAGTTCAGTATAAAATGTATTGCTTCAGATAAAAGTTTGAAGTGAAAATCAATTTTCTTTGTTATAAGAATAACGCATGCGTGTGTGTGTATGTGTGTGTGTATATATGTATGTATATATACACACACACACACACACACACACACACACGCCCACCATACACGATGCGGAACATCCATGTTAGAGTATTAAGGGTGCACCTAGATCCTGAATGAACTGCTACTTCTTGACCTTCTTCGCCATGATCTCCGTCATTTTTGGTGTCTGTCGCGGACGATTCCCTCGTTCCTTTTTAAATCCTGGCCCCGGTTGCGTCGGCGTCCTCCAGTAACGCCCACAACGCAATGAATTGTGGGCAATTTCATAGCCAAAGTCTCCAACGGTACGGACTTACGGAAAGGGTGCAGAAAGGGGCGTTCCCGAGCCCTCGCTGACTTACCGATTTCATTTGGAACAACCCTCAAGCCCTTACAGAGCTCACATGAGCGCGCACCTAAGTCAATGAGTCAGTGAGGGGGTGGTTTGGAATTGGGCCAGCTAGCAGAGGTATGGGGGAACCATTTTGGAGGTGTATCGAGGCCGAAGAGTGCCACCATTTAAAAAAGATGTGACCACTAACGCTGAAATAGAGCTGAAAAGAGAAAAAAAAGTGAAATAAAGTCAGAAAATGTGTGAGTATTCAGAGAAATGAACAAAAAAGAGTCAAAATAAAAACTGAAAAATAAGACAAGAAGAATAAACAGAGGAAACATTTCCATTTATTTATAGATGGGTTTCAATACGTCATTGCGGGTATGCAGGGGGCAGAAAGTGGGACATTTCTTATTTGTTTACTAGCGGAGTCAAGGAGCTGTTGTACTGTAAACTGCACGAATCAGCAAAAAAAACAATCGGCAAACATTATGACCCTGCTCCTGATATTAGAAACACCTAAAACAATGTCGCAACCTGGTAAATTGAGTGAAATTCATGGACATTTCAAGAAGTGTTTTTCTGATTTTGATGCAATGAAAGACAAAGCAATTTTTCAATGAAATGACATTTTATTGCAATTGTGTCAGGGAGAACTTGCAAACAATACGGCATCTTCACTGATATCAGTTCACTCTGAAGCAGGCTTTTGCTAGCCTCGCTGGGCCATCCAGTTGCGTGAATCACTTGCCGTTCCTTCCCACAACAGTCTGGACTTCAGCCAATTGGGAGCCCTAAAAGTGGGCGGGAGTACTTTCCTTGATAGACAGACTACTGTAACCAAACATCTGATGTCATCACAGTGCGCAACTGTGTTCCCTGCTGGGCTCTCAAGCATCAAGTAAAGGTTTGGTAATATTTCAATGTGTACGAGCAAACAATGTCTTTTACATCTTCTTCTGCAGATATAATTGATTTCTGCCAACTTTGCAAAGTCAACTGCAGAATTAACGGCGTTCTGAATGGCCGGCGCTTTGAAATGTCCCGCAGCATGTGTTAGACGTCACCATCTACACATGGACCAATCAGTGGCTGCCTTTCCCTGTTGTCCAGGGAACAGTGGAAACACAGTCCCTGACTGGTCAGGTTATTTTTTGATTTCTAATACACGCTCCCATTTGGCCGAAGTCCAGACTGTTGTGGGAAGGAACGGCAAGTGATTCCTGCAACTGGATGACCCAGCCAGGCTAGGCTTTTGCCCCCTGGTTGCGCATGCACCTAGTATTGTACACAAGGAACCTGTCTATTGTACTCTGCAGAAAATATTCATAAGCTGACCATCACCACCATTATCATCGTCACTTAACAGAATGCAAGTTAGGTGGAGCAAGGATCAATAACGTTCAGCATCAGTGTGAGAGATATTATCCATCTAGGTAATTCAACTCTAAAATGAACAACAACAAAATTCCAATGACACACTCTTATATTAAAAGTGGCAAGTACACACAGCTGGAGAAGTTACTTTTTACAGAGTATTAAATGTGGCAAATTTTGTATGTACTTTTTCATTTATAAATACAAATCTTTATGATCCCTGAGGTCAGTCGCCTTTAGTTAAGGTACTAACTACTTTGACTACTTTGGGATGTGTAACACTCTCAAAAAGACATGGCAATACATTGATCTCTGAAGTGCAACCTGGACTTTGTTGGTAGGTCAACTAGTTACTGAACAATTGATTCAGCCTTGAACTTAATCCTGAACCCCTGCCTCAAATAAGACTGAGAGAATCCCATCACCACAGTGTCTGACTTTCAGCATATTAATGCAAACAGTTCATGTAGGATATATCAAATTATTAAAATGCAAGCGATTTAAAAATATATATACAAAATACTATATGACATATATTCTGTATGAATATACTCCTGAATTCCCACTTGGAGCTGTTTAGAAAAGTGAGCGAATCCTATTGATGGTATAAAACATAGATGTGGTCTCAGTGACAGTGTTAGTGTGAAAACAGATTTTAAAAAATGTTAAAAAAGTGGAAGATTTTTTCTATTATGCAGAGAAAAAAGTCTAAATGCTTTAGTACCTTTTGTGGCATAGGGTGTAAACGCTGCACTCCCTGATATTTTAGACATAATAAACCACAGGATTCCTGATAGGTCAGTTTATTCACTCTGCCTGTCAACGCGTGGTGAGATTAGGCGTACTCGCTCTGACCATTCCCCGCCCCTGCTGTCGCCTAGGAAACGGGGCGTGGTTTGAGCGTTCGTGAGGCAGGTGAGCGCTGTGATTGGCTGAAGGGTCGGATGATGTAGAAGCGTGCCATGGTTCCATCCGTACTGATGAACCGCTGAGTGAAGCCGGCTGCCTGAGCTCCACAACCACACCAGGAGGCTGTGAGCTGTCCGCTGTCACATCACCCTGACTTACCTTTCTCTCCTCCGCTCCTCAAGGTAGGAACCGTTAAATTTCATATGTGTGTCAAACTTGAAAAGAACGTAGAGCATGTTGAGGAAACTGTGACGACTTTACTTTGCCCGAGGAGTGTCCAAAATAGACCGTAAGCGGACAAAGCCGCTCCACTAACCCGGGCAGAGAGCTCGTTAGGTCGGATTGAACTTCAGAGACTGGTTCCTTCACTGCCAAGAAGAAACTGTATGTAGGCTGACTGTCTTTGGATAGAAAAAAAATCACATTAGAACTATATACTGGAAAGAATAGCTGCTTACCTTCAGCCAAGTCATTTATAAAACAGTTTTTTTTTTGTTTTGCTTTGTAAAAATACAAGTTAATGGCAGACATTTTTGGAAAATTAGATTTTGGGTCATCTACTTTGGGTTAAAGGGTGTTAATTATATCAAAGATTAGTTAAACACCAATAAATAGGCAAAAATGCATTAAAGTATCCAAACAAAAATCAAATATTTCCAACCTAATAAGATCTTATAGTGAAAACAGACCACACAGTGGCTTTGAAATGAGCTCTTTTGTGTTAACTGAAAAGTAATATATTGTTGATAAAGTCTTGACATGGTCTGTCTTGTCACCTGTCTGTGATATCCTGCAGTGCAAGATCTGTAAAATAGCAGAATCTCAAAGAAGAGGTGGAAGGAGTCAGACAATAATACTCTACACAAGAAAAAAAAGACTATAAGAAGTCAATTTACTGTAAATATGTACAGCAATGTATATACAGTCTGAGGTATTTCATATTAAATGTACTTACAGTACTGAGTACTGAGCATGTATGTGTAAATCACTGAGTGAATAACACGTGTCTGCAGGCCTGGAGGCTGCAGACTGCATTTCTAGACTCTCAATTCCGAGATGCATTGGTGCTCCAGTGTCTTACATAACCTTATTTGCATCTATTTTTAAAATTTTAGTGTATTTTATATACATTATGTATTTTGTGTACATTTTTAGTGTCCTTCGAATTGATATTTGGATTTCTAATGTGACCACTTGAGATTTTCCAATGTAACCATTTTAAAGTCAAATGTTAACATTGTAAGTTACTAATTTAAGTGTGTAAAAAGCTGGTTTTGTCTCTGTTGTGCCATCATCATAGTGTTTTTTCTACTGTTAATAGCAGTTCAAGTGGCCACTGTAACCACTTTTACTGTTTTATCTCATTTTAAGAGTCTTTTGTAAATGTTTTTTATGGAGCATTTAAGTTAGCCTGGCTGGGCCATCCAGTTGTGTTAATCACTTGCCGTTCCTTCCCATGTGGGAAGGAACGGCAAGTGATTCATGCAACTGGATGGCCCAGCCAGGCTAGGATGGCCCAGCCAGGCTACATTTAAGTGTCAACATTACCGCTTATAGTGTTTGACAAAAGCATATATGGACACACAAGTGTCCATTGTAACCATTTTAAGTGTAATACTGAACAATATTTTAATGTCTAATATAACAACTTTTGGGTCTAATTGTGACATATTAAGTGTCTAACAGCATCAATTGTAACCACTTTTGGTGTGACTGTGTTTTTAAAGTCTCATCAAACTATTTTTAGTGTCAGCATTTGTAATGTCTTTAGTAAAGTTAGACTTACAAATAGAAAATTTTAAACCAATCTCACTCTCTGCCTCACCTTAAGACTACAAATCTATCAGTTCCTAGCAGTTAACCCTGCCGACTTTATGAAATTAGTGTCATTTGTTATCATTTGAACTTCCAGTGACAATGACTGTTGGAAATTCCAACTTTTCATGTTGTGTTAACATTTAAAGTGTTTAATCCTTTTAACTGTCTGATTTAACCATTAGGGTAAGTGTTTAACTTATAAAAAAAAAATTTTAAATAATTTTTTAGCCTGAAAAACCTTGAAATAAAATTCATATTTTGATCTTTCAAGATGTATGTTGTTTACAGTAAGTGTGATGAGATATTCTAAATAGAAACTAGACAAATTCAAATGGTAAAATATGAGTACTTTGCTGTGAAGACATCATCCAGTCAGCTGCCTGTCATGTAATTGATGGATAGCCTGAGTGTTTTGGGCATGTTTTGATACATTTTGAAAATAAATTCAGACAGATGCTGATTAGGATGTCACTAAAGAAACATTATCCAGTTGAAACAGCAGTACACTTAATACAATCTTACATAAATACAGAGCAGTGAATCATTAATTCAACCATTTAAATAGAAATGATTTCTCCTCCCGCTGAAGTTCGTATGAGGACAGCTCAACAGCTTTTCTAATGAGCAACACAATGCGTAAATATGGACTTGAGTATCCCAGGTGTGGATATGACAATATAGTTCAGTTACCACAAAAATATTATGACCCTGCTGGACACACACTGTTGCCTGTGAAGAAAACTTTTTACCTGTCCACCGACAAACTTTTTTCTTTTCCATAATATTTTTATTGATTTTTTCAAATTTTAAACAAAACACGACAAACATACACAAACGTCTCAGCTCAGAAACGTAACAAAGACACAGTTAATATAAAAATGAGTGTACAGTACCTACATTGGACAATAAAATCAAATGTCAATCACAGAATGCTTGGTATCCACCGACAAACTTGACTTTGAACTGTATTAGTTTCACATTAATGTTTTAAAGCTCAAACCCTGAATCAGGTTTGACCATTTTTTTTCTTTTTTAAGAAATCATATGTTGACGAATAAACAGTTTTAGATAAACGTCTTTGTAAAAAATGCTGGTTATCTAACTTCTGATTATTGCGAAATATTAATTGTATTTACTGAACTGTTGCTGTCACTGGCTTTTAACTTCAAATAAAATCATAATCAGCATAATTGTTCGTCAACTAAAAATGAATCAGTACCTAATCATGATGTATTTTACAAGTGGGACACCATCATGAACTCCTAATGAAAGACACTGGGGAATCATTCTTACGTGAATATAAGTGGTTCTTAACTTACCTACATCCTGATAATCTGTAAACTCTTCAATTTAAAGTCAGAGCCGAATCGTCTTCTCCGTCCTTGTTTTACAAAGGTGTCACCTCACCTGCAGCCTCTCTCTCCACCCTCCTCTCTTGTTACCCGATAGCTCTTCTGCACCATGCTGACCCGTCTCTTCCGCATGCACGGCCTCCTGGTGGCCTCCCATCCCTGGGAGGTAATTGTCGGCACGGTAACACTCACCATCTGCATGATGTCCATGAACATGTTCACCGGAAACGACCAGATCTGTGGCTGGAACTTCGACTGCCCTAAAACAGAGGAGGTGAGTGGAGAAATTGAGATGCTTTAAGGTTAACTCAAAGACAGAAACATTCACATAGAAAGAGAAAGAAACAATAATATAGAAAGAGTGCAGAGAACGAAAATGAACCAAAAATAAATCCTAATGTTAAAGAGTGAAGTCATGGACTGATGTTTTATGGAGATCAGTATCTCATTTTGATTTTTGGTTGTCAAGACTTCAGTGATATAATGCATTTCAAAAGAGCATTGCACTCTGACCGCAGTATAGCAAGTTCTTATATTTTCATATTTTTTCTTTTTTCTTAGCAAATCTTGAGCAGTGACATCATCATCCTCACCATCACAAGATGCATCGCCATCGTCTATATTTACTTCCAGTTTCAGAACCTGAGACAGCTTGGATCCAAATACATTCTCGGTAAAATATAAATGAAAGCCTCATTATTTTAGCTGTAAAGGAAAAAGATTATTTGGTATAATTATCTGTGCAAAGCTTTAACTTTTCTCTCTGTCTTCTGCAGGTATTGCTGGACTCTTCACCATCTTTTCCAGCTTTGTTTTCAGCACAGTGGTTATTCACTTTCTGGATAAAGAGCTCACCGGTTTGAAGTAAAGACAGACTCTCTTGATACTCCTCTTTTTTTCATCATTATTCATTTTAACACTGCAGCTGATCGTTCTGTTCTAACCTGCAGCGAGGCTCTGCCTTTCTTCCTGCTTCTCATCGACCTCTCCAAAGCCTGTGCGCTCGCCAAATTTGCTTTGAGCTCCAGCTCTCAGGTATGAAGAAATAATCATCAAACAACATTTCACATCAAATTCAGCTGCTTTTAAGGTGGATAACTTTACAACATGTTCTTAGGATGAAGTGAGGGACAACATAGCTCGTGGGATGGCGGTGCTGGGACCTACCTTCACTCTGGACGCTCTGGTGGAGTGTTTGGTGATCGGAGTGGGAACCATGTCAGGTATCAGCTGAGTTTCAAGTCTGAGGTTTACTTGTTATCAGTTTAATCTTATTCACTGAGGTCAAGTATGGAGGGAAGTAATATTGGTTAAACACATGCAAAGGAAACTGAAGGTGTGATAGCTGTGATTTGGAAATATTTATAAAATGAGGTCAGAAGCCGAACAAGTCACCTGATCAAAGAGGTTAAATATAAAACTCACACTAAAGAAAACTTCTTTGGAAGCGGGAGCTGGAGAGGTGTTACCTAAACTTGTCTATAGTAAACTTCCACTAGTTTAATGCAGACAACAGACAAACGTAGATTTGTTTTTATTAAAGGTACAGTGTGGAGTATTTAACCACATTTAGAGAACACACTTGGTAGACATGGAAAATAGTAGTCTGTTGAGTGTGCAAATGAGTATAAGTAAGACTGTGACAATATCACATGAGTACTAATCAGTTACAGCGACCAAAAAGATTTCATCCTGATACATTGAAAACTTGGAAAAAAACCCACAATCAGTCAAAGTAAATAAAGGCAAGACAAAGGTGGAGTGATGTGCTCTTCCACAATTTTTACTAATAAACTTAACACACATTCTCACTCTTTAGCATCTGTTTAAAATGAAGTTATGTTTTATCTGTTTTATCAGCTCCTGAGACAGCTCACCATTTCAGCGCAGCAAACCTGACTCCACACCTGTGCCGTGCCACTGGCGGGGCATGAATTTAGAGCCCATAGAGACAGTGTGATTGTCAGCAGCAGACTGTGAATCTTAATTCAATGATGTTTTTCGTTTCAGGTGTGCGTCAGTTGGAAATCATGTGCTGCTTCGGCTGCATGTCAGTGTTGGCAAACTACTTTGTGTTCATGACGTTCTTCCCAGCGTGTGTCTCACTGGTGCTGGAGGTGAGAGGAATTTATTTTTTAAGGCGTGTACATACATGTGTGTTGGCGTTGACTGATCAGGTTGTGTGTCCTCTTGCAGCTATCCCGTGAGAGTCAGGAGGGTCATCCTATCTGGCAGCTGAGTCACTTCTCCAGAGTGATGGAGGAGGAGGACAACAAACCCAACCCTGTGACACAGAGAGTCAAGATGATCATGGTAACTCCTCCTCCTCCTTCTTTTATTATATAATTATTTTGTGACTTGCCTTCTTTTCTCATTATGAATCGCTTAATTCATACATGACCCTGTGTGTGACTCATCCTCTATGCTCGCCGCCTGCAGTCTCTGGGTCTGGTGATGGTCCACGCTCACAGCCGCTGGATCGCTGAGCCACTCTCCATCAACACCACAGTGGGCATCCCACAGGTGGGCATGCAGCTGGACCATCTCTCACCCCGGAGGATTGAGCCTGAGACACCACTGTGGCATTTCTACCTGACCAGGTGAAGATAATGATATGTTAACTTTATCCTTCATGTCTGAGGCACTGTTTGAACTCTATCCTCAGGAAATGTCAGTGGGTGTCTCCAGATATTGATTCAGTCAAATTCTTGAACAGGACGTTGTCTGTCCTCCACAAACCTTTGAATTCTGTACCTTGGTTTTGCTTCTTACACACAGTGACATAAAATCAGCAGCAGACTTTAAAACACTTTAACATTTTCAAACATTTTTAAAACTATTTTTTTGCAGCGATTTCCTTGTGGGACGTAATCAGAGCTTGACAGACTAGACCGGCAGCCACTGTCAACCTCTCCTTTTTGGACAATGTTTAAGGACACATAGTAGTACATAATGGACGGTGCATGTTACTTGCAGGCACACTATACATTACACACTGCAAGTTGCTGCATGATGTATAATGCATGCAGTGTGCTGCACACTGGAAGCTTGATGTTGTGTACTGCACAGCACATGCAGTATCCAGTGTGCAAGATTGAATGCTGCATACTAGATGCTGCAAACTGAATGTTGCACGCTACATGCTGAGTCAGTTGGTTATCAAATTGACCTCTAATGTTTCCTTGCTTAATATTTTTTGTTGTTGTGAAATCTACAAAGTTATTTGGAACCACACCAGGCTGAAAAGTTAGTGTTAATAGGTCTGTAAATGACTGGATTTTTACTTTTTGAGTATTTTCCAGTTTTCTTCGATGTTAATATTGCATGTCTGATATTTATGTGCTCAGTACTAACTGACTGTACGTTTATGACCTGAGTTTAACCAACTAATTGATTTAGAAAGAGACAAATGGAAACAAATTTCTCTTTCCCTTCCCTTCCTTTGCAGGATGTTCACTTTGGACGTCGAGCAGGTGATCTGTCTGCTCTTGGCTATGCTTCTTGCCATCAAGTACATCTTCTTCGAGCAGGTGGAGATGGAGTCCACTCTTTCACTAAAGAACCCCATCATGTCTGCCCCCGCGCTGAACCCCCGCCGGCCTGCTGACACCTGCTACAGGAAGGAAACACCTGCACCACGCCCCCTTAACCCTGCTCAGAATGTGCCTGCCCCCACACCCTTGATCAAGGCAGAGAAGGGTGAGTGTGAGTGCGATGATGAAGATATTGGAGCACATGGGAAGCATCATGGTGTCTTAACTCCTCTTTATTTTTGTAGATGAGGTGATCCGGCCTCTGTCTGCTCCACATGCTGATCCCCAGGTGAAGAGTGTCTTCGTTGTGGGGGAGGAAGAGGAGGTCAAGGAGGTCAAGTCTGAGAGCGATCAGCCGAGCAACAACACAAAGCCCAGAGAACTGGAAAAATGTTTGTCCATCCTCAACAACCCTGAGGTAACACGAGAAGCCATGAACCCCCACCCCTCTAACAGCTGATATCCTCCTCAGACGGTTGAATTGTTATGTCATTCTGGCCCACTTTCTGCAGCCATGTCCCACCAATAAGACGTCGTGTGATTTAACTCGTCTGTAATGAGCTTAGTCCCTCTGGTATCTCTGTGAGGATGAACCAATTAGAGCATGACGACAGAGGAAAAGACCCTTTAAGTGACCGCTCTGGCTCTGTCGGCCTCCCGTCCACACAGTTCAGCTCCGCACTGCCTCAGAATTAACCTGATGTGTTTTTGCAAGAAGAAGACTTTGCCTTACTTTTTGTGCGACTTTTGAGAAGAGAGTATTTCTGTTGAAACTGACCTGCAGACCTCATACTAAGCACAGCTACTGAGCGGGCCAATGCTTAAGTTAATGCTATTTACACAAGTAAGTGTAAGTAGCATTAACTCAAGAGTAAGTGATCATGGCAGCTGCTGATCACTTTTATTCTGCAGCCAGGACAAATAAACGCCACAGGTGTGTCCTGCACTCAGTCTGGACAAAAAGAAAATGTAAATGTCTGATCCAAAACACGTTGGTTTGATTATAAATGCTAATTGTTGAGAAACTTCAGCCAGAGTGCTTCTCTCATACACATTTTTTGTGTGTGTGTTGCAGATGGGTCCTTGTTTCCTGAGCGACGCTGAGGTGATGCTGCTGGTGAACTCCAAACACATCCCCGCCTACAAACTGGAGTCCGCGATGGAGCGACCAGAGAGGGGCGTGGCCATACGCAGACAGATGATCTCTGCCAAACTTTCCTCCCCCTCTGCTCTGTCCTCACTGCCATACATAGACTATGACTACTCCAAGGTGAACACACACACACACACACACACACACACAAAGAAACACACACTTACACACTCTCGCTCAGACCTCTATAATAAGCTCTTCATCACCTCTGTTTTCCAGGTGATGGGCACCTGCTGTGAGAATGTGATTGGCTACATGCCTGTACCTGTGGGTGTGGCTGGGCCGCTGCATCTGGATGGGAAGCAGTTCCAGGTTCCCATGGCAACCACAGAGGGATGCTTGGTTGCGAGCACAAACCGTGGCTGTCGAGCCATTGCTGTGAGTGTCTGAAGTTGTTTTCTAAAAATGCAGATCATGTTTTAAGTGTTATTTTTACTCTTAAATACTGAAATATAGCAAAACCAGCGAAGTTTGGTCTATTCTTGTGTAACCATTAGTTAGCTTTGGTAAGACTGTGTGTCTCCCGGCTGTTTTAGGGAGGTTGTTATAACATTGTCAGTGTTTAATTTGCAGATTTTTATTATGCCTTAAACTGTTAAATTTTGTAGAAGACTCCAGCTGTTGATGTATGTCCATGTCTCATAATTGGTGCAGCTCGGGGGTGGAGCCAGCAGTCGGATCTTGGCGGACAGCATGACTCGAGGACCTGTGGTTAGGCTGCCGTCTGCCTGTCAGGCTGCAGAGGTCAAAGCCTGGCTGGAGAGCAGCGACGGGTTTCAGACCATCAAAGCTGCTTTTGACAACACCAGCAGGTAAACATGAAACCTCAGGTGGATAAAGAGAGAGAGAGTAATGGTCCTGTTGTTTTTGGAGATGAAGAATGTGTTTCCTGTTTTCTGTTTGCAGGTTTGCTCGACTCCAGAAGCTGCTGGTTGGTTTGGCTGGAAGAAATCTCTACATTCGCTTTCACTCCAAGACTGGAGACGCAATGGGAATGAATATGATCTCTAAGGTGAATAAGTAAACGTATTATAAAACAGACTTTTGATGGTGCTGGTGCAAGTGTTTAAAGTCTATAAGCAAAGCAAAGCAAGTTTTCTCTCTTGGATCACTATGAGGTGTATGAGGAGTAGTTTGTGTGACATTTTGCATGAGATTCTCCAAACTTTAACTGGTCTAACACAGATAAATTTACATCAGTGCATCTCACATATGATAATAAAACATGTTCTTCTTCAGGGCACAGAGCAGGCTCTCAGTCAGCTGCAGCAGCACTTCCCCGAGCTGCAGGTTGTGGCCGTCAGTGGAAACTACTGCACTGACAAGAAACCAGCCGCCATCAACTGGATAGAAGGACGGGGGAAATCTGCCGTCTGTGAGGCCACCATCCCTGCTAAAGTGGTCAAAGAGGTATGAAAAGTTTGGACTGGAGAGAAACATCATGTGATTTTTTTTATTAGGCTTTTTTATTAGGCCTTCACTGGCTTAAAAAAGAGCTGCTCCATCCTTTCCTCTAAGTTATTAAAAAATATATATTCTGTATATGGACACGGAAAAGCAGGAGTTGTCCAGTGTTGTATATTCCTCTATAACATTTGAAAAATGAAGCGTAACAAGTGTCCTGAGTACCTTTGGTTAATGTAAGAATTGCTGTGAGAAATTTTGAGGGAAAATGTCAGAATATCCAGAGAAAACCCCTATGTTCTCTTGACTAGATTTTAAATTCTCATAATGAAAAGTTGCATAGTTTATGTCCTTGTGCTGAAGGTTTAATGATCATTATTTCACTTCTTTTGCTTGGTCTAAAATCTTAAAGTATAGAGTTGTCTCATATATAACCTCTGTATTACAAATCTCATATTCTTTCCTCATGACTGCAGGTCTTGAAGACATCTACAGCCGCTCTGGTGGAGGTGAACATCAGTAAGAACCTGGTGGGCTCAGCCATGGCAGGGAGCATCGGAGGGTACAACGCTCACGCCGCTAATCTGGTGGCTGCCATTTACATCGCCTGTGGACAGGTGACGGAGTTATAAAAACAAACAGTTCGTGCTTATGAGTCTGAGTGTCTCCTGTGTTAATCTTTGTGTATTTTTGTGTATGCCACAGGACCCAGCTCAGTCTGTAGGCAGCAGTAACTGCATCACTCTGATGGAGGCTTCTGGACCCACAGGAGAGGACCTGTACATCAGCTGCACCATGCCCTCCATAGAACTGGGAACTGTGGGAGGGGGCACCAATCTGCCTCCCCAACAAGCCTGTTTGCAGGTACACACATGCACACATGACGACACACATGCACACTCCAGGCATCTGCTTGTATGTAAACCTTTAGACTACCTGGAAATGGAACTAGAAGTGAAACAAATATTTGCTCAAAGCTGGAAATACAAAGAAACAAACTTGCTCTGGATCTGTTTATGTGCGTAGGGACACTTTTTTTCTCAAAAGTCGGGCTCTTATGGGGCTAGATTTGATCCAAACTCCATTAAAAACACATTTAATATTTTTCTCTTTTGATAAACAGACCTGAATGTCCCATACTCTCACTTTTCATACATCCTGATGTAGTTATCATATGTCGTTGCAGATGCTCGGTGTGCAGGGAGCCAGTCAGGACTGTCCAGGGGAAAACGCCCGTCAACTTGCCCGAGTTGTATGTGGAACCGTTCTGGCCGGAGAGCTCTCGCTAATGGCCGCTCTGGCTGCTGGACACCTGGTCAAGAGTCACATGACACACAACAGGTGAGTAGAGAAAAGGCTACCTGTACAGTGGAGCTTTGTTGAGATCTTCATTTTATTTCCACAGCAGACTTTACCCTGTCCTAATGCTTCATGCAAATGTGTGTTGGTTAGAGTGCTACTCAGTTATGTTATCTATATGAATTATTTAAACATATTAGGTTATAGGAAATATTTCTTGTCCTATCTCTCTCTTTCCTTCTACACATGTCTCTGAGCCTCTCAATCTGCTCATTAGATGTTTGTGTGGAAATGCAGCGCCCATTTATAAACCCCGGACAACTTATAACAAGCAAAGCATTTCCTGATAAGAATAAAAACATACATAAAATACAATCACGATGCAAAAAGGAATAGAAGTTTCTTGATCAGTTGAGTATGATCCAGACTTATGAAAAAAACACAGGTATGTTTTGTTCTGCTTTGTAGAGATATCTCTGTTTTTTGGAGCCTTGGTGTAAACCACCTACCTATCTGTCTTGTAGATCGAAGGTGAACCTACACGAGACTCCAGGAACCTGCACAAAGAAAGCCTCCTGAGCCTGAGAGGCAGCTGGACACTAATCAATAATTGCTGAAAATGAACCTCAGACATCTGCCAAGTGCTTTCAAAGGGACGCACCAGTGTCTGTGGACCAAAATCTATGCTGGGCATGAAAAGGATCAAATCAGACTGATGTGTGGAAGATAATTCTCTGTTTGTGTTTTCTGTCACCGAGCAGCTAACTCATTTTATTTCAACTCTTAAGATGCTTTCTCCTCTTGGGTTCAAATGAAATGTTTCTGCTCCCCTGTTGTCAAATGAAGCTTTGTGAGACAGAGGTAGATTGTCTGAATGTGTGCAGCTGCAAACAGGAACCTTACTACTGCCTGATAAAGATTCTCCATCTTTGATTTCTGTGCCAGTGTGTTTGTTGAAAACATTCTCACAGTGCAACAGACCCCAGTCCTGGTTTTACCATAAGAAGAACCACAAAACAACAGAAACATGACCCACAACTCACTTTAACAGTGATTAATATCGTGAAGAATGATTTTTGGGATCCATGAGGCACATTTAAACTCAGACTGCAGCCTGTATTTTAAGCTGAGTCTCACCTGTTTGTACTGAAACAGCAGGTGTTTCAGTAAGAAGGGAGAATAGATGAATAAAACAGGAAGCAAAGAAAGGAAATAATAAAAACAGGAATCTTCGGGTGTCTGCATCTCTGAAAGGACTATGCAACAAATCATGAATCAGTAATATCTCGGCATAAGGACAAAAAAAAAACCCTGTGCTGTTTCCAAACCCAAGGACATAACTTTGAAGAACAGTTTTGGCCCGTTTACTGCAAAGATGTTAATATCTTTTGTATTTTTAAGACTTTTTAAGTCAGTCTGTATTTTACCCAGCTTAACATGCACCACTGATGCTGATAATAAATTGTAATGTAATGTCCTAAAGTTACCTGTTTGGGGAAAATAAATGAAGTCATTAAAATATTTTTTTTTCAACAGATGGAAAATATTTTGAATATATTTTGTAATAAATTTGAACAAATTTATCCGCGAGTAATTGTCATGTTTTCATTGCAGTTTGCTCTTGTGTTGTGTCTGCTTGTGTAAATGAGCTGTTGGCAGAATAGGGAGGGGACACTTCCTACCAGTTTATTGAGGATTTCATCCAGTGAGAGCAGCTTATTCATAAATGAAGTGAACATATCCCAGACTATCTCTGCACGTGTGGAAAAGTGTGCCTGACAATAAAAGTCAATATCAAAGTGATACTCACAGACTTAATGGACAAATACAACACTTAAAGTCCTGAGGTGAGGTCGTTGTCATGATCTCTTGACAAGTTGGAGCGTGACATTACTTATCAACGCTGCGGCACATCTCATTGATTCATGTCTTATTTTCTTCTTTAACAAAAAAAATTTAAAACTAAACTTAGTCTCATATATTTACAACTCTATTCTCACAAATTCATGATACATATTGGGATCATAGCTGTAGAGGAAGGTCGTGTACCAGACTATTCTATGCTGACTAATAATGGGCAGCTACTGACATGTTGTATTCGGCCTCAAATCATATAAAGTTGGATGAAATTAGAAAATATAATCAGAAATGTATTCTGTATGGCACAGCACTCTTGCCCAATATAAAAAGTGTTATTGTTTGATATGGTTATAAAACACATAAACTCTATTACTGTCCCTAAGAATTAACCCCTGCACATACTGAGATGTTAAATGTGAGGGATCATTTCTACCACCTCTTTAACAAAGTGCTCTCACAGAAGTGAGCCCTGAGCTTCTAGTCTCAACACCGATCACCAGGATCATTGAAATCATCAGTAAGTAGCTATTGCCAAGAGATGATAGTTGTCGACTGTTGAGTGTGTGTGTGTGTGTGTGTGTGTGTGTGTGTGTGTGTGTGTGTGTGTGTGTGTGTGTGTGTGTGTGTGTGCTAGTGAAAGTTTGTGGTCTAATGAGATGATCCAGGTTTAACTTTCTCCTCCTCTCATCTCCTCACAGAGTCTCAGCCAGAAATCCTCCACTGATCTGACACAGCATGGCCTCACCAGAGCAGCCGCCAGCCAATCAGAGGCCGGCCCAACTCGTCTCACTAGCTGTGATCCGTCTGATTGGCTGAGGACTGCAAGGGGCCTCTGTGAGACCAATATATGAATAATGTGAGCTGCTCTGAGGTGTGGACCTTAACTGAAAGAAGAGAAGTTAACTAACACACACACACACACATACACACACACACACACACACACACACACACACACACACACACACACATACACACACACACACACACACACACGTGAAAATAAAACATGTTACTTCAACTTCTTAGATCAATGTCCAAATAGAGCTGTCATGATAACAGATTTTGTCCTCATGGTTCTCATGACCATTGTGATGTCCCAATATTTTAAAGAACTTAAAAACAGAGAAACACAATCAACCAAGGTGAGGAAAAGCAAGACAATGATGTGGTTACACATTTCTTTATAGACTTTATAGACTTTACAATAAACAAAATTAGCTCACATGTAATAATCCACTTTAAATGATGTTCAAATTTATGATCTATCCACAACAACAGTCCTGGAACCGAAACGTGTTTGGATAAGTCATTACCTCATAAAAAATAGTTTGCCATGCTTTTATTTTGATTTTTTTCTGTCTTGTGTTTAGGCTGTTTTTGCCCTCATTGAAAAACTATGTTTTTACTCTTAGTTAAACCTGCTTCTAGCAGGTGCCAAGTTGCAAATCTGCAGGAACAGTTAGAATGGATAAAAGTTGGATTGATTAACACACAAGCTCTGATGTTGTACTTGAATTCACAGCACATGTCCATTTATGAAAGTTTCCAATTGTTATTCCCTTGCAACAGTATCTGCTTCTGCCCCCACTACTGGGGCAGGAAAGGTTGTGTGGTGGCAGAGAAGGAGGGAGAGTAAGGACATCTGGTGGAGAGGTGGAAAGTAGCAGGAGGCATTTTGAGTGACTAGCAGCAGAGAGAGAGATCCAGGATTGTGTGACTCTTATTGCCCATTTCAACTTTTGGTGTATGATCTTGTCAGATTTATCCATTATTTTCCACACTTTCTATTTCGCTTGGTTTTATTTGTTCTTGTTTCTGAACTTTTGGTCAGTTTGCGTGTTTAAATTTGCAATGAGAATAAAATGGACATGTTTCAGTCTGTTCAGCTTGGTCAGGCAGGTGTGAAATTAACCATTAATGTATCAATCATGAACTTGCTATTAAGTTTCTTGCTATAAAGATGTCATGTGTTGTATTTGGTGTAGGACATTGTAGCATTTCTGCCCATTTCTACACATTGTGCCTTTCAGATATTCTCAAGAAACTACTTGTTTCCCCAGAAATGTTAAAAGTTCATTTTTCTCACCACATTATCAGACTTTGCTTAATTTGAGTAATTTTGAGTCATGGGTCTTATTTTTGAGTTTTAATATCTACAAAGAAGATGTTCTACCAGACTTGACACATGAACAAGTTTGTTTTAACTCTATAAATACCTTTTTTTTAAACTATAGTTGCAAAGTTTTATCACTGTGGGGAAGAGTGGGGTAAGTTGAGCCAAAGAGTAAGTTGAGCCACCCCCTGTTGCTTGGAAACGGCAAACGAAATTGAAATTACTTAAAGTCATTCTCATGTTAAAATGACTTTTTACAAAACAGCTTTTTAGCAGTTATATGCAATAATAAAAGAAAGAATTACCGTACCAGTTGAATAGTGTATAATAGATAAAAATACACAAGAATGTGAAGCGGTGACTGTTTTGGCTGGGGTGGAGAGTGGGGGGGTAGTGGGGATACGGCTCAACTTACCCCGTTCCTATGGTCAACTTACCCCATACACGGGGTTAGTTGACCATAGGAGACCACTTTATTTTGGCATGCTATATTATCAAGACAGCTATGTTTACACTCATTCTGTTGGTTTGCAGGGATGGGCAACATCTTGAAATATATGCAGCTTCACTACTTAGAGACAAAACTAAGATTGCCTTGATGTAGTGATCTGAAATATGAAAAAATGGCTCATCTTACCCCACTCTCCCCTACATTTTGTACATACTGGGAAGTTTCAGTGGAAAGTTCCACTAGATGGCAGTGTGGACGCTGTAATCGAGTTAGCAGCTGACGAAATCACACAGAAGAAGAATACCTACGCAGGACACCGGTGAACTCAAAACCAGGTGTTCTACGATGTTCTACAATAAAGCTCCTTCTTTATATTCGCAGTTTTATCTCTTTGTGAACAAAAAGCTGAACATGACGGCAGCACAGAGAACCCGGAACCTTTATTACCAGGTAACGTCAGCAAGCTCAGTGTACGGAAGCTGTTGTGATGCTGTTATGTAGCTAACCCCCAACTGATCGTGGAGAGCACACTTTTAAACTACTCAGAATAAACGATTTACCCTGAAATAATCATATTTTATGAAACATTTCAGCTGAGGAGTTTGTCACATCTTAGAGGGATTCCTCTGTGCACCAAAAACAGCCTGCATCCCACCGTTCAACCTTCAATCGCAGTAAGTTCCACCAGACTCCATTCAAAAATCTGTCAATTTAATGATTTCTTTCTGAAGGGATAGACCGTAATGAAGGAAACGTTTATGAAGCAGTACACTGGTGTTTTGGGGGCTTTGCACTAAATTCGGCCTATATATAATTACCTCAATAACGAATGAGCTGGACTGCCATATATGGATTAAAAACAGAATTTTATAGTTTGTAAATCATTAACCCCAATATTTGATAGAAAATATTGAAAATGAAATGTTTCTCTCTTCAGTGTTTAAATAGCAAAGCAGTGGTTGTTTGTTGGAAGAGAAACATCCACCTGACAGCTCTGAGGCCGGACAACTCAACACCTGTGCAGATGAGGTAACTCACAGTTATACTTTTTATCCCTCTAGTGTCCCTCTCAACCTGAGTTTATTAGTATTGTTATTTTTTTTTTTTGTGGTTTTCATGTGTAACTTTATTTATCAGGGAGCTGTCAGAGGCAGCGTATGAGAAGCTGGCAGATGAGACGTTGGACTCTTTGGCAGATTTTTTTGAGGACCTGACAGATGAAGGTTTCACTGAAGCAGACTACGACGTCATCTTCGCTGTAAGTTTACCTCTGCACTGTCACTGTCTCTATATATAGTTAAGACTATTTCATATGCAAAAACAACTATTGTTGAGTCATGTTAGACCATAAATAATGATCATTATTGTTGTGAGTAAATGCTCAGGCGTGATGGTTCAAGAGTAGACTAGTTTCCATCAATTGTGCAGGTTTAGCTGCCTAATAAAACTGAACTAATTATCCTCCAGTAATTTGACCTGCGTGTTTGTTGCTGTGCTGTGGTTTTGACACATTGTACAAATGTGTATAACTGCAGACTTAGTCCATCATCTTGTCCCTCCTGCTGTATTGACTGTCACGCCCCCCTGCCTCTACACTAGCCCTGCTGTTCATGCCTATACAGCTTCTTAAAGTAAATTAATATTTCTATCTTGTTTCATAAACGTCAAACTGAACTGAATCTCTAATGACAGATGAGCGTTATTAAGTGTTGTTAGACAATGATGCTATTTTAGAGAGTGTTGTTTTCCAACAGATTGACATATGACCACAGGCTGAACTGTACGTGTGTGTTTGTGTGTGTGTGTGTGTGTGTGCGTCAGCCTGTCTGTATTGATGTGTCACTCTGAGGTCTGATAGCAGCTGCTGTGATGCTGAAGCTGTCTACCTCACTGAACACCTGACAAATAAACTCAGACTGGAGGAGCTCTTGTTTCACATGTTTCCATGTTTTGTTTATACTATTGTAGGCAGCGTTTGCATGTAAGGAGGAAAAAGTGTCCTGCACCCACGTGAATGTGTATGTGAGTGTGTGTGTTTGTGCTTGTCCTTCCTTGACTCCACAGATCCATGTCACTGTTTCAAGACCTTCTGTCCTTCTCTCCCCTCCTGCAACATCTTCTTCCTCCCTGTCAGTGTTTCATGAGAAGGTGATTAATAGAGCTGTGTGTAGGTGTTTATGTTTGTGTGTGTGTGTGCTAGTGTGTGTCCATATGTGTGTGTGTGTGTGTTTTTTAATCATTGTGGTTAGACAGCAACTGTCTCTGCTGCCTCTGACTGATTGGCCAGTGTTCCAATCTTGGCAGCTGACCCCCTTTTTCAACTGTCTGCGGTGACATATGGGGCTATAAACAACACACACACACACACACACACACACACACACACACACACACACACACACGCACACACACACACAGACAGACAGCAGTGACCGGGCTGGCTAAATAAAATCCAGTCCTTCACACTGCAGAGTGTCAGAGAGTAAATCTTTATGCAATAATCCAGCTGCAGGTTTCTTCTCCTCACTTCCTTTCCGCTGTTCATTGTTTTCAAACCTAAAGAACGACCCTCTGTACTCAGGACAGATGAATGAGATCTCTACTACTGAGGAGCTTCAGAGGAATTTAAATTTTTCTGGGATGTGACGATGAACCAAAATCGCTATTTGATTTACAATCCTTGGTGTATGACACATGCTGTCTGAATTGTCCTAATGGTGCAAGAGTAACCCAGGTTATAATGAGGCTTTGACGAAGAGGTGGCCTTAAACAGTGTTAATGATGAAGATCTCATGCCAAAATATCATATAATGACACATAAGGATGCAAGCCTGCTGGTTTAATGTGTTTATGTAGGCAAAAATATTTATCAACAGGAAAAAAACAGGAAAAGTATGTTTTTAAAAATATCAATGCAGATTCAGCCTCAAACCATGTGCTGTATCTCACCTAACTTTTTCATTGATGCAATGTCAAGTATCGACAAAGAAGGCATGTGCTGCTAAGTCATTCATGTTTGTACAGCATGAGAGAGAAAAACAATGCTTTTCCCTCAACATGTCCTTTACCAGTGACACAACACAGTAATAATTCATGATAAGAGTATGAGTTTCCCTGTCTAAGCAAGATATTATCAGACGATCGCTACGGCCAAGTTATGGTCTGTTTTTATCTGTATATGATTTGTAACATCACATGTCACTAGAGTGTCAATGTTAGAACCACCTGGGTCTTGAATAACATGACATCTCTGTTATAAAATGTGACTTTATAATGACGAGAGAATAAATATAGAGTTGCAGTTGTTCAAGAGTTTAATGTGTGAAAGAAATAGAAATGATGTAGAAATATTTTAGGATGTCAAAACTTTATTTCAGCATACGTGTGTTTTTCCATCAGTTTTTATTCTCTTTAATACCAGGTCTGTTGTACAGCTTGTGTACCGCTGTTTTTGTTTGTTGTGTCTCTTCTGCACTATTAAATGTTGATGTGTGTTTATCATACACACAAACACACAAACTCAGCCGGACGTGTGTGTGTTCAGAGGGCCTCAGCTGGTCAGTTCAGACTTCAGACACTCGTGACGTGACACTGTCTGGCCTGATGTCCCCCGGATCTTCTGCGTGACAGAGCAGAAACACACACACAAACACACAAACTTCCTGCGTGTTTGTGTGGGGTCATGAAGTGGTCAGTGTGGAGATATTGATAATATGACATTTGTATCTTCCTCTTCCATTAAAATGTTAAATTTCTGTATTTCTATGTTTCCATGCAGAGCGGTGTGCTGACAGTGAAGGTGGGCGGAGGCCACGGCACTTACGTCATCAACAAACAGACTCCAAACAAACAGATCTGGCTCTCTTCACCCACCAGGTGAGGCTGTAGAGTCACGGCACACCTGACTGGAAGCAAATGTCTGTGCTCACAATCCTGAAACAAACTGCACCATCACAGAGTGCCTAAACACACCAGTCTCAGATCCTCATTTGAGATTCAAACTTCACTGCTCAAATAGATGCAATATTAATGATTATATAAAGATGTGCGCACAAACATTAAGCTTTCAATCAGAGTTTCCTGTTGATCCAATCTGTTACAAATAGAAGAAGCTGTTCTTATCAACTCTTACTGACAATAATCTGTTTCTATCTATTGTTTTCCCGTCACCTCTCACCAAGCGCTCAGATCTCTTTCTCCTCTTCTCTTCAGTCTTGGTTTTTGCACGTCTGTGTTTTATATATTTAATTTTTTCTCAAAGAAGACTGTCACGTTCGGTACTGAAAACATTACCTTTTGCAAATCCAGTGCCTACTGAAGAGGACTGTGTGCTGCCTGACAGAAAACTCACATGATTGTGTTAATTGGCTTTTTAAATACTGTGAACAAACATAGTGGTGTGATCCAGGTTGGCCGGGCCACCTTTTTAACAGCTATTCCCCCTCACTATACAATCAAGAATGAAGCGTTATGAAAACAGTGGTATTGTGTTGTGTTGGAAACTGTCATATAAAGAAGTCCAGGACAAATCCTGCTTACATCAGTGAAGACTAAAACATGTTAAGAAAGAGCCTTTATTCTTTCTCCAGCAGAAAAGCTGAGACTCCCATCTTTGAGGTAATCGTGTTGGGCAGGATGGCAACGTTGTGACTGCTGGAGATTGATTTTTTTGCTTAATCCTAAAACGGATGTAAAATATGAACCATAATTCCTCAAGCATTACTTACATAACCTTTAGCTTCTGCAAATTATAAAGGGATAAAGAGCACCAAAAACACACCAAGAAATGACATAAGAATAAGCAGTAATATCAGGAGAGATGGGCGTGTGATGCTCTGAAGCTTGTGTTACTCGGGTGAACCGCACAGCTCTGTCAAAGATGAAATGTCTCGTGACTGAAGCTTCAAACATCACCAGTGGTTCAAAAACTCTTGTGTCAGCTTGACACTCTTTTATTTTAGCTGTGATTGATAAAAGATAGAAAGAAAGTAGGCTCCTCATTGAACTACCATTCATGTGAACAAAATATAAATACAACAGCTTTGTGAAAATGCATGGATTATAATTTATTCGCACCCAGTTTGCACTAAAGCATATCAACGAATGAGTAGGCCTATACAATATTAATCAATCTAAGCAAGGGATGGATGTACAGAGATGGATATATGGTAGTTTTGGGGGTCACAGACTTTTATGTCTCTAAAACCTTGAATAGAAGTGTATAGGTGCTTTAGACTGTCATGAAGAGTGCTGTCATTAGTTATACAAGCCACCAGATGTCACTGTGTTTGTTAAGTCTGAAGTTTTCAAGCTTCCCAGTTTATAGTTGTTTCTGTTCCCTTTTTTGATTTCTGGTTGTTTGCTGTTCTTAACCTAGATTTTCTCAAAACAAGGTGTTTTTATGATAAATGTCCTGAATGTTATTTAATAAAATAACCAAACTCCCTTTCTTTCCCCCCTTCAGTGGACCAAAGCGTTATGATTGGACGGGTGAGCGCTGGGTTTACTCTCATGATGGTGTGAGCCTCCATCAGCTGCTCTCTAAGGAGTTTTCTCTCATCTTTAAGAGACACATGGACCTCTCTGGGCTGCTCTACTCCTGAGACAAAACACCTGCTGATCACTTTCAAACCCACCCCCCAAAAAAAACATCACTGTGACACATGAGACCACTGCTCAGGAAGTATAAACACAGAGAGTGTGTAACTTCTCACCATCCATCAGTAGTGCAGTTATTTATGATGACAGAGATCTGTATATGAGAGCCATTTATGTTTTCTTTATATTCCTAATAATGTATATTTTTATTTTAAGACAACAAAGACACTTTTTCCTTTAATGTTTTAATAAAACCAAAGAAGTTCAGTCTTCATGCCAGATATCTTTTTTTTCCACATGGATCAGTTTGCCTACCTGCTTTTCCTCTGAAAATTAACTTTCTGTAAATGTCAAATCAAATAAACTAAAAGTCGAGTTGCTGCATAAAGATGTAATTCTGATGGAGACTGAAGGGGTCCCCAACTTTTAGACCAAATAGACCAGACAGCAACAGTCATATTTCTGACTGACCAGTGTGATGTGGAGATTATTAAACATCTTGCGGCCATCTTTTTCCAATATAATGCAAAGTTACATAAAGCACAGTAAAAGCAAAATGCAACCAGAACACTGTTTTTAAGATAAGAAGAACTTAATTTATCCCCGAGGGGACAAAACAACAAAAACATCCGCTCTCTTGTGCTAACTTGGGTTTCACTATCAACCTAAGACCCAGTAATGATCTAGCGCCCAGTGGTTGGGGACCCCTGCTCTAGCAGTTTAAACACCAGAAACGGACAGGATTTTTTCAGTGTTAATTAAGAGTTACAGTGTTTATTTCAGCATTGATCACACTGGTATTTTCACAATAAAGTTCAAACCACAAATATGAAGGTAGTTGCCATTCCTATGTGTTTCAAACTCAAAACTACAGAGAAACCACCACAGAAGTCCTGCAAAAGCAGCCATAGGTATCATGTGCACACAAACTACTACAGTCTCTTGCCATGTAAGTATAAACATCTTTTTCAGATAACAAGCATAGGAGGTCTCTCCCAGTTACTGCTGTTGTAGTATTATGCTAAAGAAAATGCAAAGCACAGAAAGCAATAGCTGTGACAGGATTGTATGCCACAGAGGTTTCTGTTGTTGCTGCAATCTGGTCAGCAAAAGTATAACATGGTGAGTCACAATTACTGTACAGCGAATCAATATCAGCACAAAAAAAAGTGTTAATTTGAAGGGTCTGCTCAGCATACTACACAGATAAACTGCTCTTTGCACAGCTGATGTTGTAGTCAAAACTTTGAGTTTTGTGATACTTTGTAGAGAAATATTTCTTTTTTCTGTTGAAAGCATTGTTTAACTGAACTTTGTTGAAGTTTACTGAATGTTTAGGAGGTCTGTATTTAAGTCTGAAGAATTCACGAGTCACATTTAAGAGGTATATATATTACTATAAATATAAGTTACACATAAAGGTAGATAAATATAACTAAGAAAAATAATTATAAGGGATGCAATCAAGTACACTGAGATACCCACTCCTATTTCCACATGCTTTGATTGGTGATATCTGGAGTTAAGACCAGCAGTGGTTTGATTTTGTGATAATTCATCTGTATGTGATACATTGCCGATCCCTTTATTAAGACAATATACAAAAAACAAGAAAGAAAGTTTTCTTGGTCTCGATCATTGTAAGATTTCTTGTTCAACCTCGGTGCTGCATGTAGAATCACTCACATACGGTTTTCTTGGATGTGGGTCGACAGGCCACTGTTGGCCTCATCCTTAAATCTGGCCCTCGACTCTTTAACCTCAAACCTGACCCAAATTTAGATTCAATGGAGGCTCCAGGAAGACATTTTTCTTTACATTTTACTCCAGATTTCCACCTCAGTAAATAAAATGCTTTTGGGGAAAGATTTACTGGCACACACGGACATGAGTTTATGTGCCACTGCTTTATTTTTCTTCTTGTATTTTAATACGTCCTCAGCAAGCGATTAATTCAATGTCTCTGTTTTGACCCATCTGCCTTTTTCTGTCCAGCAGAATCCCCCCTGCAGATCAGCTGATCCTCTGGACATGATCCTGATCCAGGATCAGACCAGCCTGACACAGTCTGACTGCAGGATCAGTATGAGCTCAGGCTGCTGCGTCAAAAAACATATAAAACACGAAAAATACTTCACTTAATACTCTAACAGATGCTCAGCATATATTTTTTAATGGTGTTATACAGTATCTTCAGAGTAATTGTAATCACATTAACAACATATTAAATAGATCATCTTCCTGTGCATTCGTGTTTGGCGAAGGAAGAGGTACGTGAGGAGTTTGCAACAGCAGTAGAATAGTTTGTGAAGGGATGCTGCAAGCGGATTGACCACCAAAGATTGTAATTTCTACCTAAACAAATGTATGCCTTCACTATCTTTGGTCAATTTCAACACATGCACTCTCCTCTCTTCAGAGGATATGCTGGCTTGGTTCAGGAGCTCCTCACACTGTTCCCTCTGTTGCCCAATCACGTCCCTGGTCTGGATCAGCAGTTCTCTCCTCCTGCCAAGAACAGCCTGAACTAAGCCATGCTTTCCCCTTCTAAGCTGTTTCAACAGCGCACTCCAACCTTTCTAGAGGCCAGCAGAAAGTCCTTCTCTATAACATACCTGAACTCCTCCTAACACCGCAATTATTTTGATCCTGTGCCCCTTCAACCAATACACGCTATTGACTACTTAAGATCCAAGGGCCGTCAAAACATCCTCTTTCAGGCTGGTGGCTTTATTTACTACCATGAGTCCAGAGGTAGGTTTTTAGGTTGCTCCCACTGAAGGCACCAACAGTCCTCCCGCTTTTTTGTACTTCTGTTTCTGACTTTTAATTGTTTATTTACCAGCAGCAGGTTTGGTATCAATGTATAAGATTCTGAGTATTTCATTACTATGCATTCACCAAAATGAGAATGCCCTTTTCTAACCAACGTAATTTTTAACTGCAACATTTTCATATTTGGAGTTTCTATGGATGTATGTGATTATTCAATGAAACAGGGAGTGTTGTAGCCCTCATGAGTCAGCACCTGAAGTACTAGTAGGTTAAATGAGTTGATATTTTTATCACGATAGGCCTGAGATGGCGGTCATGTCGTACCTGAGCAGTAACACAGCTATCACGCTGAGGGCAATAACGCTGTAATACCGAAAAATCCTCAACTACCCAGATGTAAACATGCTTAGATGCATCAGGTGTGCACAATGTGGTTTGTCAGTGTTTTGATGTTGAATATGGAGATAAGGCTGTGTCTGGTTAACTGGACCACATTGATTCTTAATAAGTGCAGGCATGAGGAAGTTAATTTGATGAAAGCTGGTGGTGCTAGCTCTGCTAACATTAGCCACACACCAGTGCAAACCAGTTTTAAATTATTAATCTGCAGACTCTGTGATTCTGTGCTGAGTAAATCATGACCCCCGACCCAAATTTACAGACCTAGACTGTGTCCGAAATAGATCCCTAACCCCTATATAGGTGACTATGTGGGGTTAGCGCCATTTTGAGGGGTGTCCGAAACCTGAGTAATCAATTCCAGTGCCCTATATAGGTGACTCAAAATTTCCCATAAAGCATTGCAAAATGTGGTGACCATCCGATGGTCACTTACCAGTGGTGGGCATCCCATCATGCATTGCGTCTTGCCATGTAGTGTCCGAAACCTCCGGTGATTGAGTTCACTACATAGTCAACTATATAGTAAAACCCCATATGGGGGTTAGGGGTTAGGGGTTGAGTGATTCATTTCAGACACAGCTCTAGTCACTGCAAAGAATACATTTTAAGATGATACTGTCCTGCTACTTAATCAGTAGTGTCAATTTTGGTGCCCCCTGTGGACAAAGCAGTCATTGCTTTTCTTGTCCTCTATATGTTTCTTTTTACAAGAAAACTTGCAGACTCTGTGATCTCACGCTTAGTAAATCATGACCACTGACCCTAATTTTCAGACCTAGTCACTACAGAGACTGAATTTTAAGATGATACTGTCCTGCCACTTAATCAATAGTGTCAATTTTGGCGCCCCCTGTGGACAAAGCAGTCATTGCTTTTCTTGTCCGCTATATGTTTCTCTTTACAAGAAATCATATCCTGCTGACTTTTAAGGGTCGAATTTATCATATTTTATCGTTCTATGAGTAAAATGTGAATAAAAGAGGTTGTTTCTACAGCTACAAAGCCGACACTTATACTCTCATATCAGTTTCAGGCATTAAAATTATAATATAAAACTGATCAGTCAATCTTGTTTGCTTTGTATATTATAAAAAGGGATCAAAAGGAATTCCGGTTAATCTCATGAATACCAAAACCTCCTCGTAGGAGTGTTAACAGTAAAGAATATAAAGGCCAATGCTGTTTTCGAAAGCATATTTAGTCAAAAGAGCTGGATTCATTTTCCGGACTGTCACAGAAAAAAATAATTAGGTCCGTCCAGTATATGTCAAAGTTTTGGTGAGAGACAGATTATGGGTTCATGAGTAAAAATTGATTTAAAATGTGCTTAATTTGACATCACAGTGTGGACACTAAGCAAAGTTTCACCCTACGGTAAAAAAAGGAAAAGAAAAAATTGAGGATGGATCAGGCGGATTACCACTATAAGCACCCAGAGGCTTAGTACCACTATTATCCTCCTGTGCTGGGATTTTCTCTCTGAATTATGTAACAGTGATGCTTCAACATAAATCACTACACGGCTGTTTTGTCTCGTGGATTTTCCCTTCTGCTGATCCCTCTCCTCTGTTCAGAACTTTAGACGACCTGCTGGAGTCCAAACACACCTGTCTACAGGAGAGGAGCTACAGACGGTAACAGACCTACGGATAAACAGGTGTTGATTCGAGACTGGAGAACTGATGAGCCGTAACATGAAATATAAGAAGTTCATCACCATCATGCAGGCGGCTCTTGGGGTCGCTCCCCTCAACAAGAGAGAGCTGATTCCACCGCCACGCAGACTCTGGAAACCTGCGAGGTGAGCCCTTCTGTGTGACAGTGTGTTTGTGCATGAGTGGAGCGTACATAAATTTCCCCTGAGTATGTGTGTGTGTGTATGTATTGGAAACAAGTCAGAGTCAGGTGGTCAAGAAATCGATGTAAACTCAAAGAGAATCTATTTATGTTAATCTTCTGCCTGCAAACAGCTCCACCACATTAAGATTTCTGCTCATGCAAGCTTCATGCATGTGTACTCTCAGAGCTGTATGATGTTTGCTTTTTATGCATTTGGAAAGAGAGCGCAAACTGGTTATGCAACATCTAAAGTTTTCATAATTTATGCAGAAAAAAGAAGAACGCCCATGGTGTAAAACAAAATTATATATTCAGCTAAGTTAATACCATCCTTTTCCGTTTATGACATTAAAGTAGGAAACAATTGCCACTTTAAAAGCATTACACTTTGTCATGAATCAAAATCTTAAGAACACATAACCATAGACAACACCCAGGCCAACACAAAAACTGACCGAATCACATCTCTGTTAACAGTTTCTGCATGTGAATCATTGGAGTCTGAATTTTGGAATCGAAGGTGTTCCTGTTTCTGTTTGTAGTCTGAGTGCTTTTGACCAATCAGGTATCAGCAGGCTTTGGCGTCTGCAGAAGAAACAGTCTGAACAAAAACAGGCAGAACAGTCCATTGTAATGACACCCCAGCTCCCATCAGCAGTAATCTAACCTCTATAAACAGATATCTTTATGCAAGGTCACCTCTCTAAATCAAATATTTACACTTTACATCTCACTAAAGACAATCAGTGTCAAGATTTCCTGACTTCCTAGAATACATCAGAAAAAAAACAGATCTAACCTAGCCCGGGGTCAGAGGAGAAATGGTCTGGATCCTTTCAGATCATTTCTTTTTTTCCAAGTGGCACTAGCAGCAGCTGCATGAGGGAGTGTTATCACAAATGATTGGACAGACTTGATTCAACAGGCCTCCCAGTGGCAGAAGTGTCCATCTTGGTAACCTCCATTTAACCAAAAAAGATGAAGAAACAGATATGGAAGTGGTTTTCTTCTCTCTTTCACCTCCTTGGTAGGAAAGACCTGTCAAAGCACGACTTTTTACCATTTTCCAATCTGCATCTTGAGCTTGTCAACTCAGCAAACGGAGGACCTGATGAGGTTCACAATGAGCCCAAACACTATTTGTGAAAAAGCAGTGGGATGTGGGTGTGAAGGGATAATTTGAGAGCTTTTGCTGTAACTACTTGAAATTCAGATTAGGCAGTCCATTTGATATTTTCTTTTTCCTGTACTGGTTCTAGTTCACAGCTAGACTTGCAAATTCAGATGCAGGATTTGAGGTGGATTGTGAGACAACATCTGTGTCCAGAGTGTAAGCAGCACTTGTATCCATCCAGATATCTGTTTACCGAGATTAAGATTAACTGTTTGACTGGCCGTGTCTGGGATTGGATTATAAAATGCATTCCATATCCTCTGATTTCCCTTTTCCTGTAAAGAACAAAGGGCCATTGGATCACCAGAGGTTTGTACTACTCAATACTAGAAACAAAAAACAGAGCACTGCAGACATCAAAAATCTGGACCTCCTTCAACAGATCCACTTTTTAATGGAGAACAAAAGATCACAGTGACTTTGACCTTTGAACAACAAAAAAATATTGAGTTAATCCAAAAGTGGTAGTAGATTTTTTTTGCCTGAACCATGGAAATTCTTTCCAGATGTCTCTGAGATATGAAGTTCATCTATATGTGTGATGGATAATGGTCCAAAGAAAGCTTCTGTTGGTCAGTATGATCCTACAGTTGTGTACAGATTGGACCTTTGGGGTGGGTTTGCAGCGATGTGATCCTGGTGTAGGAGCCATAATGTTGCTTTGCTTATCGGTTATCCTGTGTTCAATTACTTTTGTCTGGTTGGTATTGGTTTTGCTGGCCTGGGTCATGTGGGCACTGTGTTTGAAAGCTGGTAGAATATAAAAGGCGACTTTCCTGCACTGAGTTGGAGAGGTGAGCCTAGGTAGTCGTAATTTTTGTTGACCACGCTTTATGTTCTTTGTTTCGCAATGATACACGTCGCAAAATGTACACATATTCCATCTGATGTGTGCGTGTAATCATTGGCGATTGACGAAGTGCTTTTCTTTTATTAAAGCTCTGAAAACTTAGATAAATTCTGGGTGCTTTTTTGGAACAGCATCAGCGTGTCACGCGAATATACAGGACCTATGCTCTGCCTCAAGCGAGTTTTTTTAAGGTACAAGGAAAGTCACTATACCTGGTATTGGCTAGGTACTGAACCCAAAAAGCTATATTCGATATCAGTGATAAAAAAACGATTTGTTGGACCAATCCTTTGGGAAGATCTTTTTGACTAAGTTCTATGCTTCACTTTGTTGACAACAGCCATGTGCAGACCCATGGGGCTAATGCATTACATCATCACCCCCAGTGGTCTGTGCATTTTGCTAGATGAAGAGCTAATGTAGCATGGAGGGAGTTACCCAGAGAAAAAATAAAGCTGAAACTAAGCTGTCAACGTTGTTAGCTGCAACTGGCTGCATAGATGCAAGACACTACCCAGTGATGGTTCAAATGTCTCAAAGCCCAGGTACCAGTATCAGTATCAGTATTGGGACTTAAAATGCTGGATCGTTGCATCCCTCCTTTGGGGTAAAGAAAAAAAAAACTCTTTTATTTATCTGCTCGATCTTTGTCTGAATTTTGTCGAGTCAAATTCTTGATGGTCAAATCTGTTTTTTTAAAATGTTGCCATGAGCTTGACCTATGAACTATACCCATCAAAATCTGACCAGTTCATCCCCTGGGTCTTAGTGGACCTTTTCTGGTATATTAAATAAAGTACTACACACTCCGTCATCCACATGAAGTACAGAATTCCTGATAAATTTAGTCATCTTTGCTCTCATGTATTTGTATTTGTTCTTGTCTTTTGTAATGTGCGTTACTGTTCTACTTTGACAGAAGAAAATCTCATCATTTACACATGTTTCTGTTTATTTTGTGCTCACCAGCTATTTTTACACATCTGCACACCCACCAGTTATTATAAGCCAAACACCCAGGCTCCTTTTTTTTGCAGAACTGCTGAAAGGCTTTGTTTGAAATGTCAATCACAATGTATGCATCACAAAAACCAGCTCCCTCAGTGTGTTTTACAGCAGAGAGGGAGCTCTACTGTTTCATCTAACCCGAGGGGAGGAATTGAGTTTGCACAAACATCTCTGTAATTTTTGCATGAGTGCTGTGCCTCATAAGAATTCTCTAATTTGCAGAGTACATCGTAATACTGATTCAGAGGAAGAATGTCTGGAAAGAGACCTTACTCTAATGTGGACTCCAACCAGGACTCGCCTCCTCAGTCAGACAGAGTGGCAAAACATGGCCGCTTTCAGTAGGAGAAACAAAAGAGTAACATATTTACCTCATGAGCATCGACATACAGGCAGAAAACTGTTTCCCTGATATCTTGATGGACCTAACTCATAAGCACAGTCTCCAGATTCTCCAGGCACGTGACCCGGACGAGGGTGGGAGCCGCGTGTGTGATGAATACGAGGCGACAGAAGGAGAGTGAAGACCCTGGGCACTTAAGATGACCTGTGGAGAAGACAGGCAGAGAAGGGATGCTGTAAAGAGTCAGAAGACACGGGGCAGGAGCTAGAGGCCATGTGTTTGATCTTCTGAGCTGATCATGTCAGAAAGAAGGAGCAGATATCCAGATCAAACATTCAGCTCAGGAAAATCCTGCTGGAAGGAAAGTAATACGGATCTGCAGAGCCTGAAAAAGGACACAAAAGGGTGATATACCAGCTTTATTCCAAGCCCGAGATAAGGGCGCAGGAGGAGAGCCTTTGTCCAAATCCCAATGACCCTTGATGCTTTCCAAGTTTGGAAGACCAAGCAGAGCAAATTCAAAGACAGTCCGAAGAGGACCTGAGGGAAATCAGTCCAACAGTCAAATGGCCCTGCACGGAAATGTCAATGAGAGGGCAGAGAGACATTTCTGAAGGTTACTGAGGCTGGCGTAGAGGTTTGATTGGTTGATTTATCAACTGAGAAATAATATGTAGTGAACAGGAGATTACACAAATCAGAATCTAGACAGGGTGAGTGACGTTCTAACTGAAAGCAGAGCTGTCTAGTTAAAGGAGCTTTAAATCACATCAGCACCAGTTCACATACAACAAAGTTAAAAAATTGCAAAAAAAACCCAAAAAACTGCAAAAGTATGTTATAAAAAGCATAATATTTATTAAATAGAAAAAAAATCAATAAAAAGAAAGATAATTTATGGAACAAAAAATTATAATTTTTTTTTAAATCAGGAAAAAAAATCCAGACTACAAAAATATTTCTGCATTTCATAAATTTTCTACTTTGAGTGAAATATATTTGTGTTTGGCAGGATTGTTTTGTATTTTGTGGTGTAATTATGTTTCCTTAGATATTTTTTGTGTATGTGAACTTTTTCGCATCTTTTTTTTCTGAAACTTTTTTATGCTTTTTCATTTTTTTGTGTGTTAATTTATGATCATTTCTTTATCATTTCCTTGAAGTAATAATCATCGTATTAATCATTTTTCCCGCTAGTTCTTCTGCCTTAGCATCTCAGTCTGATTGCATTTCCATGAAGAAATGATCATAAATGTTCTTCCTTGAGCTGCGGCACCCCGCTGCAGTCGATGGACTCGCCCTGAGGTCTCTGTACAAACAAGTGGCTGCTGGAAGAGAGTGGGTGAGTTGTGTTTAGTCGCTTTGCTAAAGAAATCAGGCAAAGCTAAAAAGATGTTTGGTGGCTAGTGCTCTGGCTGGGACCCTGTATGTACTGTTGGTGAAGTTAGGTGCTGTTCTGAGCATGTGGCTATAGAGTGGCGTTTTGGTTGAGCGTGTGGCTCTCTGTATTGTTATTGTGTGATCATTACTAAAGTTAGTATAACTAGAGAAGCAAGCGGTCGGCAACATTCATCTTTCGACGGGATGTCTAACTTGGTGTTACAGTGTTTTTGACCCTAACTTAATTTTACGCCGGAATATCCCTTTAAGTTTAACACGGTTTCTGCATTTTGAATTGTTTGAACATTTGACCTTCAGGGCCACCATAGTCCTTCCCTGCAGTTCCCTCTTCCTCATTCAGACTACTATCATAAAGTACAGCATAACAGAAAGATGGCGATGGACTATAACAGCCCCCTTCCCCCAATGAGAGAGAGACGACTGATCAATAACTCAGTCCTGAAGAGATGAATCTCAATGAGTCTCAGATACTCCTCATACATTATAGAAATTGGCAAGCAGCAGATTACTCATACTGTGTGTTTAGTTCATTTCCATACACACACTCAATCTACAGCTATCACGTCTTTGTGCGGGAGCTCAGGGGGCTCAATGTCTTCATCTGAGGAAAGAGAGAAAAGGTTTTCCTCTCTGGGGCAGAGGAGTGGAGAGGAAGCTTTAAGAGAAACTCAAACTATCCTGGGATGAGCTGTAACACCCTCTGTGACTGAGGGAGAGAGCACAAGTACTCTATCAGTCATAAAATGTTCACCTTACCTGCCCCGTTCTCCTCAAAATACACCTCAAGCAAGAGGGCAAGGATGGTGTAATGAAGCTGCTTTATCCTCCTCTCTCTCTTATCTAATGTTAGTATTTTGAAAGTGTGTAAATGGTTGTAAATATAAAACACCTCTCTCCAAAGCCGCCCCCAGAGTTTTATCTGAATGTGGAAATTTTTGCTCCATGTCCAGATCTACAAAAGTTCATCTCAGGGTCAAACTCTAATCCTGACAGCATGTCAACCATTATGAATTTATGATTAAATTTCAGATCAGATTTTGGGCAGATCAATTGCTGGTCTTGAGCCAAATCCAGCCTGGAGGCAACTTTCTAGTGGCCTTGACCCAAACAGAGTACATATATCTGAAAGAAGAAGAAAAAACACTGAACTGCACATACAGTGACATCAAATAACTTCCTCATTATCTTTGTCGAGAAGTGCACATGTTAAGTACTGGTATGAATAGGTGTTTAAAGAAGTCGTAGTGATAAAATTTGAGATGCCAGTCAAATCTGTCATCTGGGACGTCCCCCTACGTCAGAAATTCTGAGGAACTCCATTCCCTCTGAGAAATGTAATCCAGCAGTAGAAGCTTTACTTCAATAGTTTTTATAGTAAATACGCCCAGTTAGATGCAAATAAATCAACTTATGCTGGCAGGAAGTCAGGAAGTAAACAAAACCAAATGAAAGTGTTTTCATCATACGACGCAAATTCTGTTAGTTATGTACTAATGTGTTTGTTGATTGTTTTGGTGCATAATAGGTCAATAGTGAGACAACTCAGTGACGAGCTGAAAGGAGGCATGTTGCCATCTACCGTATAAGAGGGACAAGGGCAGTTGTCCAGTTAAATTTCCTAATCAGGCTATAATATAATATAAAAGCTGCATATCAAGAGATCACAACAGAAATGCTCCACACCTGCAGGGGGCGCTGGGAGGAACAGATTTACCATTTCAGCCTTATACAGCACATTATAGTCTGAGCAACTTGTTTCCATCCAGTAGCTCAGGAGGTAGAGCGGTCGTCCAATAACCAGAAGGTTGGTGGTTGGATTCCCCTCTATCCCAAGTCCGTCTGTTGTGTCCTTGGGCAAGAGACTTAACCCGGTGTGTGTCCTCGTATGATTGTGAGTGTTGTGTGGTGGTGGTATGAGGCGCAAATTGGCAGCTAATACTACATAGGTACTTTACCACCACCAAGGCGTGACTGTGTGAGCGAATGAATGAGGGTAAAGCGCTTTATGAAATCTAATGCATTATCATTATTTTTATTATTCACGAGAGTCCTCCTGTTGCTGTTCAGTTGTTCTTGTAGGCCACCGTACTTCTGCAATACCATGTGAGAAAAGTTGTAAAAACCCAAAGCTCACAAAGTAAGGGATGAAAAAAACAGCAGTGTACTGTAAACATGCGCTGTTAGCTTTGTTCTCCAAAAGCTGAACATTAGATGCACACACACACACACACACACACACACACACACACACACACACACACACACACACACACACACACACACACACAGAAAGTCTTGCATGCAGCAGCAGCAGCAGCACAGCCATCCTCCTCCCTCTCTCCCTCTTTACTCTCTCCTCTCTTCTCCTCCCTCCCTCCCTCTCCCTCCCTCTCTCCCTCTCTCTCCTTTTCCTCCTCCTCAGTCTTGCTCGGTCTCCGCTCTGTTAACAGCTCCAGCATCTCTCTCCATCCCTCCAGTTTTTTATCTGTTTATCTCTCGGGCGTTGTTGTCGTCTATCACCATGCGTCTCGGCATCTCCTCCTTCATTACGGATATCCTGAGCACCTCCAGTAACATCTGTTTCTGCTGGACCGAGGGCAAGGTAGAGTCACACCTCCTTCTCCTCCCACTCCTCCTCCCTCTTCTCCTCCGCCCTGCTGCTGTGCTGCAGAGCAAGGCAGCAGCAGCAGGCAGGACAGCAGCAGCGGGGGCCTCTGAGTGCTACTGAGGACAAACTCTTACTTGATTACATGATGTCCCAGCTGTGGATACTCTGTGGAGTGTGTGCATGCTGAGAGTTTGCGCTCTCTGTGTGTTAGGGGTTTGTGTGCAGGAATATATCACCAAAGTTTGGCTTTCTCTCTGGCTGTCGATTAACTAATTTGTTGGTTGAAAATTGCAGTGTGTATGGAATTTAGTAAAAGTTTGTGCAAGAAATGAGCTGCACAGAGTTAATGTTTGCCTCCCAGAGATAACTGTTTTTGTGGTTTAGAGGCTTTTTCGTTCTGAGCTGAAAGGAGGATCAGTTTCATCGGTGTGTATCCAGCACAGGGATGTCTGGGATATGTTTAGCCTAGTTTAGTGTATTGTGCAAAGACACACCTTTCAGTAAGGCTGTGAGAACAAGTACATGATTAGTTGGAGTGACTGTTTTTGTAGCATCATTTTTGTTTAATCATGAAAAAAATGACAAAAATATCATGATTACATCAATAATTTTAGTCTTGAGGATCTCTGCACCACTGCAGTACATCAGCACTTCAAATTTTTTAAACATTTTGATGAATTGTGCATCTTCAGCCTCCAGCATGTTTCAGTCTAATTTTCTCTCCTTTATGTTTCATTACATTGCAAGTTAATCCCCATTTCTATCACCACAGAGGCAAGACCCAGTGTAATATGACATTATCTGGATCTTACCTGACGCAGGTTCTGGTGGGTTGAATGATCAAAAAGTGAGACATTTGAATTTATCATCTATTTTATTCTGCCGGTACATATCCGCAAACAGCCCCCTACCCATCCAATCATCGGATGTCAAAACTACTCTTCTTCCACTGTACCTGATTTAACCAGTGTCATATCTATTGTCACCTACTGTACGTATTCATGTTTCCTCTCTTTTGTACCCCACTGGTCTTTGCTGATGCTCTACCTGCCTTGGTGTTTCATGTACGCCCATGAAACAGAGGGTAGATGTGCTGTCTCTGCTTAAAGCTGTTGTATCCACATACACATGTGAAAAGGTGGAGAGCTCTCAGAATAGAGCCAGACAGACAATTTTGATTTAGTGACTGAAAATCCTCATTCTTTTGATTTAAAGGTCACAACTGATGTGTTTCTGTCTGACAATGTTGTATCATCACTAATGGCTTCTGTGAATTCTTGGTCCTGCTTCCATGGCGGATCCTTGTGAGATGCAAGGTGAGACTTTATGAGGATATTGTTAAATCAAGGTGTGTTGTCTCAGGAGGGACTGTGAAAAGCACTCATGCACCAATCTTTAACAGTGACAAAAAAGCAAAAGATAAAATCCAGTAAGTTTCAACTTGTATTCATTCAGAGTGTTCTGCATCTTGTGCTCTCCTCATAGACTGTGAACCTGAGTACAAGCAAAGCCATGATTGGTTAAAGTAACTTAGATTCTCAACAGGAACCAGGAAGGAATCATTGACCTTTGGCTGATACTACATGGCGTGTAAAGGAAAACTGAGAGTACACAAGTCCTGAGATGCCTTTGTGTTTGTTTCCATATTTTGTGATATAAAAGCTGTTAGTTTACTCTTTAAAAAGAACTACTTAACATTGTTTACACTGTATATCTATTATCATTTTTGCCACCTTCTTTTTGAGTGGTTGTGGCTGCAGTTTTGGAACAGTGATATGTTTTATGTTTATCCCGATTTCTTCTGGTTGGGTTTGCATTATTGTAAATTTTATAAACAGATATCTAAGTTCATCATAAATGCATAGATGAACTGTGAACACTTGGCAACCAGAGAGCTGTGGTTTTGATATTAATTATTAGAGTTAATTTGATCCGTGCAGAGTGGCATTAGCAAGGTTTGTGGGTCACCTGGACTTTCTGGGGCAGAAACGTTGCATTTGACTGTGTCAGGTGATTTTCTCATTTAGCTTTAAAAATTAATGCCACTTGGAGTCCAGCCAGTCCTGTTCCTGTGGCTCATTTATGCACGACGGTTAAGACTGAGACGCAGGACATTTGGTCGTAGAATTCATGTTTTACCCGTTTGAAGAGGATGTTTGTTGGTGCATGCTCCATCAGCAGCACTGAGGAGAGTCACCACAGTCGCAGTGTGTGTGTGTGTGTGTGTGTGTATGTGTGTGTGTGTGTGTGTGTGTGTATGTGTGTGTTTTTATATTTGTGTGTGATATCATAATGACAGGAAGATAAAGAGATATCTGTATTGATATTGACAGACAGCCTCGGGGGGTGTGTGTGTGAATCAGGGATAGGCACACATGATTTTAACGCAATGCAACAGTGACACTGCTGCTTGAAATGTTGGCGCTCAGTGTGTGTGTGTGTGTGCTTGTGTGTGTGTGTGTGTGTGTTAGATTGATGGATTTGTCCCGGGACTGTAGCAGTATTAGATTCAGTGCAGGGCGTTAGTGGGGTAGGGGTGGGGGAGAGCAGAGGCGGCTGCAGATCTGTCGCTGATAAACCAATCAAACGTTACACACAGCCGGCTCTGTGTTCACTCACACACCGTCAATCCTGCACTATTTATCTGGTAGTCATTACTCTAACACACACTCCAAAACACACTGTAAAAAAACTGCACACAAGCATTTGTTCACACACGGCTAAAGTGAGGCAAGGTCACCTGACAGCAAACAACTCCATCTACCTTTCTAGATCTGTTTCTGTATAAACTACTTACAGCATAAAGTGAGAATTAGAATTCACCAGACCGTGTTGATCGAACTGGAATAATAAGAATATTGACAAAGACGTAACAACACATGTTATGTGAATACTACTGCTTGTAAAAGAGGAGGGCGTGGCTTTCTTATTCGATGAAAAAACCACCAAAACAAGCAGTAGCCGCTACACGCTGCAATTTCAGGGAGGCACAGCAACAGATTTCCACCACCACTATGCCTTTGTACTTAAAGATAATAATACCTTAAAACCATGTACTTTGGTGTCCCAGTGAGTGATAACACATCCCATTACGCTGTAGCAGAAGTGTGAGAGGCACTGCTTGCAAACACAGAGGCAGCTACACATACACACACACTCGAACACGCACGATTACAGTGTTTATCTACTCTGCCGGTGTCAACACTAGATTTTCCCATCTTATTTCCTCCGTTCCTCCTCTGATACCACCTTTGTAAAAGAAAACCAGAGGTAGGGTTTCAGCCACACTAATGCCTCCACAGGATTCTGTAAAGATCCGGCCATGAAATTGCAAGTATGTAATGAATAATGAACATGATATTCATCATTTATCTGTCATAATGGCGACCCTCAGCGAGGAAAAGTGACAGCTTTCCATCTACAGTTTCCATGTTTGAATTATTTTTGGTTTGGATCACTTCAAAGAAACCAGGATTTTTTTTATCAAACTCTTGTGGTCACATGTCTTTACAGATAAATCTGGTGATGGATGTTGTGATAGCTTTAGTCCTCATGAGTCTGAGTTTTTGGGGAGTTCTGGGACTTCTAATGGGGCCACTGGCTCTGCTGTTGCTATAGAAATAGAAGTGGAGGCTAAGTGTTTGGTACTTGCACCATGCTACCTTGAGATGTGAGCAGAGAGATTGGTGGCATTTAGGGGTGTCATGATTCTACAAATCCTCGATTCGATTTTAATTTCGATTTAGTCACAATTTGATTCAATTCGATTCTGGATTCTTTTTCGTACAGCACAGAGGCCATTTTAAGACTAGCCTAGTCGACGATCATTGGTTTTATCTATTACGTTTTGTACAGTAAATCTTATTTCAAAAGATGGGCTTCATACAAGTGATGCAATTTCCATTATTCTTGTGTAGTGTAACACATTAGGCACTGAAGGTCAAATTTAAATAATCTATTTCACAATCTTGTTTTCAGTGAAGTGAAAACAACAAAAACAAACATACTAACAACAAAAATGAGAACTCACAGAGGCTCGCGTTGGCTACAATGTGCAGTGTTGTCATTTGCTTCTGCTTTGCACACCTCCCAGATGTGGAGGGAGGGGATCGTTGATCCGCTCTTTGATTTGGATTATCAAGACCATGACGTAATTTTGATCGATTTCAGTAAAAAAATCTAAATCATGACACCCCTAGTGGTATTACCAGTGTATTTAATTTTATCTCTGCATACTCTGCCAACAGTTACTGAGTTATCATAGCTCCTGTTTTAAAGTGTGTCCTCACTTTAGACCTTAAACCAGATAGCTTGATAACCTCTTGCTCTTTTTGCTCCCTTGTGCCATTGTGACATTGCTGGAGCATATTTTGAACATGGCTTAACTTGAGAATAACTCAGATGAATAGTTTACATTTCGTTTCAGTACAAGTGCAGAAATAGTCATATAAATTACCTTTGTCGTGCTGGATATATGACACAGTCTCACAGTATTGAAACAACCAGGACAAGACAGGAATACGGGAACGTTACATGGCTGTTTGCCTCTTATTTCAGGTGGTTCATGTAAATTAAGTTGATGCATAAATATAGTGAATGAATCTCACTTATGAAACCTCATGTTGGCTACAAAGTCATGTCTGTGACCAATTTGTTCCAACTCCGACCCAAAGGAATGGATCATTTTTTGTTTTACTTAACAAAAAAAGGTACAGATATCTCTATGACCTCTAAAATGTATTATCATTATAGTGCTCTAAAAAAGGTTCATTGTGAGTCTTTCCTGGTGGACAGGGTGCTGTGTTGCAGTAAAAATGTGTCAATGAATCATTTAAATATGGAAGAATGAAAGTGTTTGATGAACCTCTGCTTTTTTGTAACATCAAGTCAAAAGATCTTTGGTTCAGACTCTCTCTCTTTTTTTTGTTTCGCAGACATTAAACTGAGACTAAATGTTCTGATTCTCATGTAAGTCATTCCTCCTACATTTGGATCTGCTCATTGAAACTCTCAGCATCACTTCCTGTTTGCAGCCTGTCTCACCTGCATCAGTGGTGTGTGCAGGTATTTCAACAGTGTGAACTGAACGCTCACACCTTCAGACTGCAGCTCAGAGACAGACAGACTGTTTCTCTGCAGCTCTCTGTGCAGGGACGCCTGCTTGTGAGAGTGCAGCGACACATTAGACAGTGGCACACCCACACACGCATAAATATATTCACACAGAGTAGGCGGGTCCATATTTCTAAGTCTAATCAGTGGCATACTGTCGGGCGATAGGTGAGCATTTCTAAAGATTGATGTTCATTCATCGATTGATCTGTTGAGCTTTGAGGACAGATGGCACCCTGAGGTGACCTGCGGACTACAGTATCAGCTCCGTCTCCTTTTACACACTCCTGCATGCAGCAATAATACTCACACACACTCACGCACACACACTCGCATAACTCATATGAGTAGCAGAGTACTGTCAGAGAGCAAAAATCAGCAGCAGGCAGTATGTTGAACAGTCAGATGGTGTTAGAGTAAGGTGTGTGTGTGTATGCACAGTAAATGTGTGTGTGCTCTCTCTGTGATCAGAAACAACACATTTACGGTGCTATCACCCTGAGGTTCCTGAAGAAGTGTTGTGAAGTCTAAACTGGATTCTGGAGGAATGTTGGCTTTTAAACTGTGCGCCAATAACAAACGAGGTGGCAACCAATCCCGTTTTGAGCAGAGGATGCAGCGTCCATGACTTCCAAAATGAATGTCAAATTTTGTCAGACCACAGGACTGTTTTACTTTTAATTTTAAAGTGAATTACGCTCACCTTTTTTGTGTGTGTGTGAAAGATATTGTTTAAAAACCTCCTCTCAGATCTTTTGTTTTTTTCTTTTCACTCACCTGGCTTGACTGATGGCAGCCAGATCAATATCTTGGGTGGACTGAACCATTTTACATACTGCAGGGATGAGAGGTCTCAGAGAGAGACTCCATGTTTTCAGCAGGATTATCTAGTTATAACAAACCAAAACTACATTTTCATTTCAGGCTCATTTGAGGCCCCTATGTTGATTTGGGCCCTGGGTTTCAGTCCCACCTTTTCCTTTACTAAGACGCCCCTTGGTCCAAGCAGTGACGCCAGCTCATGAAGCCATATAACACCTTTTTTATATCAAATTTTAAAATGCCTGTTTTGATCATTTCTGGACTTTTTTGCTTGATAAATATCCTGAAAAACTGGATGAGCAGAGCCACGTTGGAGCCTGTAAGATAATTTGGTCCTGGGACTAACCCTTCATGCATCTGTCTATAAACCAGATACAGTTAATGCAGACAGAGAGGAGGTTGTGAGGAAAAGGGGAGCAGACGAGGATGTCCACGCAGAGCTGTAGAGTGAGGATCATTCAGGGAGGGTGAGAGGGTGAAGATTTACTTCAGCAGGTCGTGATTCAGTCCTTTAAAATCAAGGACACCTGGGCGGGGACGCTGCATGTTGACATCAGACTGACCTCAGGGTTTCCAGGAGGAGGATAACTCTGTACTGAAACACAAACATGATGGTGTGTGAAAGGAGGAGGGACCAGTAGATATAAGATTATAAGTGGGGCAGTGAGAGCGGAAACATGGATTACAAACAGGATAATTAGGCTTGTGTTTTTTAAGACGTCAAATCTCCAGGGAGTTTTTTGCAAAGAGAATTCAGGAGGATAATGCTTGATGGTATGTTTCATTTTGTGCAACTGCATACCATAAAATTAGCTGATAGAAAGGCCTGTTAAGAACTGGAAGGATGACAAGACTTGAAAGAAGCTTTCAGGACCAGAGATGTTGTTCTGTAAGAGAGGTGTATCTCCTGTGGTCCCTTGGTTTGGATTGTTTGTACCAAGCTGACCAAGTGACAACTGAATATGGACACAGTTGCTTGGCAACTACAACATGGCCCCCAAAATATTCCCGTATAATTTAACCTCAGGGCCCCTTAAAAATAGGGTTTTGGCACACCCATTATGTAAAAATCCAACAGCTAACATGAACAAATAACACTGCGAGTTAAGCTGTCATTAGAAAAGATGAGATGGCTCAAAATATTAAGTTATTGTTACATCTGCATGACCGGAGAGGTTTGTAACACAAATGATCACAATATATGTGAGCTGAGGTCACCTGAAGGAGGTGGTCTCTCACATCCAATGAGAATTTAATTCTCACAATCAACCCAGCAACCAGGTAGAACCATGAGATATCTTTACCCATGAGATATCAGTCACAGGTGAGGTTAAGGTCAGCAAAGGCTAACTGTGCTTACTGTCTCCATTCATTTGAAATCAGCAGAAGTGCTGGTGTTATGCTTAAATGTCATAGAACTTAACATCTACTGGAGACAAGAATGGGATCTGACCTCTCCTTGTTGGGATCATATTTGGCATAACCCTCTGCCTAACTCTACAATGTCCCTATTTATGACTGTGTTTCAGGTCTCACTTCATTAGTTCTTCCATAAACTGAAAACGTTGGTCATTTCACAGCCTCCCCAGTGATAAAATAAGATAAGTTAAAATGAGACACTACTTTATTAATCCCACAAGAGGAAATTCCTAGTAGTAATAAGCAGCTGCAAAAAGAATTGAGGGAAAATCCTGACAGCACAACCATGAGGAAATCATGGTTGTGCCAATTTTCGGTGCCCCCTGTGGACAACATGATACCTGCTTCCTTAGCCTGCTGTCAATCATGCGATCTGTTTCACGCCCCTTTTTTTAGCTATTTCAGCTCTTTAAAGTCGTATCAGAGAAATTATAACGCATGTTGCTGATTTTCTTGTTTGCATTTAAAGATCATAAAGAGGCTTCACTGTCAGTTTTGGTCTGTCTTTACTTTGGTCAGTCCATTACTTAATATCAGAGCAAAGCTTCAGCCACCTCCTCCTTAATATTTATGTTTAATATCACAAACTGAAATAGAGGCATTTGCAACGTTATTATCTTACAGATGGGGACTTTAGAGGTGCTTTAGAGACTTAAGGTCTATTTTAATGTTTGTCAACCAACAGCACAATGTTTAACTTAATGAAGTGAGGTTGCATGAGGTCAGAATTGCTCATTTTTGGTTGTATTTTCTCACTTTTTAGATTCTTACTTATTAAAGGACTAATGAACCCAACACTACAGCAAGTTGCTTATGCAAGTTGATGCAAAATGTGACATCACCGCCCAGCAAATGCAGCCGCTGTTTTTCCCCCTCAGATTGTATTACGACTTTTTTTTTTAAACTTTGACTTTATTCTCAACATTTCCACTTACTTCTCAAAGTGCATTGTCAGACGATAATCTTCCTCCTCTCTTTTTCCATATTACCTAAAATTCTTCAATAGTGTTGTCTTATAGTCGACCTGCACATAAACAAGCACACTGCGAGCGAGGACGCTGCAGATTCACTCAGACCACCTACCCCCTCCACAATCCCACACTCACATACACAACCTTTGCACACACTTGAGCCAGGCTTCCTCTTTAAGGATTCAGATCTGTTCCAGTTTTGTCTGCAGTTTGGATTAGAAGCAGCTCTGTGTATTGACCTGAGTGACTCCCTGCATTTCATTATAAAAAGCACAAGAGGCCAGAATCCTGCAGACTCATCTCACACTATGGTATGAATCCACACCCAAAAAACACACGCATACACAGACACATACACAATGAAATTATCATTAACACGAGTGTGCTCACCTGCATACTAACACATGACAATTAACACCATGCACACTTTGCATGCACCTTAAAAAAACACGTACAAGCATATTTTCTGCTTTCCTGACACTTTTTCTAACACACACACACACAAACACACACACACACACACACACACACACACACACAAAGGTGAAAATAAAACACAGCTCTGACCCTGGGTGCAGAGGGGGTCACCTCCTCTTTGTCCTCCATCCTCCATCCTCTTTCTCTCTACCTCCTGAGGTCTGCGTTAACAGCACGCAGACATAAAACACACTTTGCCGTAGATGTTCATTAAGCTCACAGGGGATCAAAACGACAATAATTGTGATTTATACAGACTCACATTACAAATGGCTGTGATTTATTGTTAGAATAACTGTGGAGGGCTTTTCATCTCTAGCAAAGATCCACAGCTCAGTTTGCTCCCACAGAAATACACTGAGTTATTGGTCAAGAGCTGCACACTCATATACACATCGCTCAGCCTCACATAACATGAACTGTGTGTTACTGCATGACCACCAGTCTGCAATATAAGGTGACACAACAGAGGTTTTAGGGCAGTAGAGGTGATTGATGACAGTGTTGCAGTGTGTGGTGAGGCTACCGCAAATGGTGAGCATAGTGTTAGTTCAGGTGAGCTCAGCCCACAGTACAACAGCTGATCTTTATTCGAGACCATACCAGCTGAGAGCTCAGCAGATTACCTTCTTTGCATCCAATCAGTTGAAATGTTGGAATAAGCTTTCTATTTCAACTGCTTTAGCCTGAATACTCCTCCTGATTTCTCTGGGGGGTCTTTGCTGCTGCTCTTCCAGCCTTGGCTTTTCAAGTATGAACATGAAGCTGCAGGAAGGTGGTTCTAACTTCGGTCCATTTTTAACCATATAACCATCAAGGTCGGTTTATGTAATTGTGCGTACAATTTGAAAGGCAATTTTTTTTTTTTTCATCCAGGCACTAAGATTCCCCTGAGGTTATGAGGTTCCTTTACAAATGGTCAAACCAAGCTCCATTCAGGAAGCAAACATTTTCAAGCTTTTCCTTGTCATCTTGTAATCAGACCTGAATATTTTTGAATCCAGACTTTTTACAAATCGCCATCACAGTGCAGGTATTTCAGCATCTTTTTTAAATCTGTTTGAAGACAGTTCGGAAAGAAGATTGATGAATTTAAATTTGCAAAAATGTTAGATTTAGGGTGCACTATGCAAGTGTGTAAAGTGTATTTTACTTTTTGGCCAACACATCATTTTAAAACATGAACTTTTCTAAGTGCTTTTATGGTACCAATGTTAAGCTCACAGGGAAATTATTTGTTTTGCACATGCCTCCAATTTTGCTTTTCTCTGTTTTCCATAACTAAATGTAACTTAAAATTAGTTGAAACCAACCCACTGTTAATCAGACCCTATTTTAGACCCACTTATTATGGATGTCACCATTTGTTAGCATGCTAACAGTAACGTAGTTAACAGTTCAAGTAAGTGGACTTTACTCTCTCAACATTTCTTGAGGTTTTTCTGGACTCAAGAAACTTTTGCTGTTTGAATTGGCGAACATGGACGCAGGCGGACACTGGAGGCAGCTACTCAAAAGTGACAAAAAAAAAAATGATAATAAAAGACAAGAAAAGTTTTCATCAATGAGGAAGTCTAAGTACTCCACTTCATCTTTCCAGTCCTTGTGCAGTCAGTACTTGAGTCCCAGACTAAACTAGGGTCATCATGGGTCTTCATCCTGGACTTCAGTGCTTTTAGTTACGAGGATTCACTGTTGTCTAAGTCCCATTAAGTGCTGAGCTTGCATGTTGAAAATGATCGTAAAATTAGGGCTGTGATTGTTCAGTTAAAAAAAACAAAAACTTAAAATCTCATCTTTTTCTATTCTTTATAAGGTCCTTCCGCTCTTCTTAATCCCTCTTCCCATTTTCCAGATCTGAATGACGCCCTCTTGTTTTTTATCTACATCTTTTTGTCCTTTTCTCCTCCTCTTCTCAGCTCCTTGTCCTGTGTGTTTGTCTGTGCGTGCGTGTGTGAGAACAGCTCCTGCAGCAGTGTTAATTAGCAGAGGCCAGATGGATGAGGTGATGGCGTGTTATAGTACCCTCTGCAACACTGCCACTCCCACTGTTATCAAGCACGTGCTGGCTGAAACACACACTCACACACGCTCTACACACACACACGCTTACATAACCCAGTGCAGATGTGGCCTTATTTACTGTTAAATCTATTTGTGTTTGAAGTGAAATGTTGTCTGCAGATAAAGCTGCACAGCTGTTGGGTCTTTTTTAATCTCCAACTATAAAACAGACTTTTTTTTTTTTTTCCTAATTTCTTTTACTCTGTTTTCTATTTCTGGTCTTTTCATAAGATTTATTTTAGGTAGCAGCTCAAAGGGTGACACAGTTGTAGCGATTTTCACACCTTTCCAAAAATAATTTAAGCATCAGCCAATCAGGGAGCAGAATTAGAGTAAGGGGTGGAGGTAAAGTCAGGCTTCAATATTCATGACACTCCTCTCTCTCTCTTTCTCTTTCTCTCTTTCTTTCTCTCTCCCAATGTTAGACGCACTGCAGTAGTCTCTCTCTCTTCTCCCTTTCTTCCTCTTCTCTTCTCCGTTCAGCTTCCTCAGCAGGTCTTCACTATCCCATAAGCATAATCTCACACACAAACACACACACTCACACACACACACATGTACTGACACAGTGACCTTGACTGACAGCAGGCTGGAGGCAGAAGTTGCTCTTTGACTCTTAATCACAGATTCAGGATGAGAAGAAGGAGGAGGAGGAGCAGTGTTTACCCTGAGCAGGAGAATTACAAGGTCAGATCTGAGCCATGAAGAGAAGTGTCAAGTTACAGCGAGTGAAACTGAACCTCTGCAGCTGGTGTCACCTGTGAAGTGATAACCAGCTCCTGTTTTACTGTGGAAAGCACAAAGAAGCTAATTTTAGCCATGAGTGACACAGTTCTGTGTGTTTCCATAGATTTAGTGGCTTTGAGATAAACACAACAAGGGTGCTGTTGTACCATTGTTGTGTTGTGAATGTGTGTGATTTAACAAGTTATCTCACAGGATTAAGTCAAAACTTTACAAAATTCAGATTATGACTTTATTTGTCTTGTGTTTTAGCAGAATGAATTAAACTGGAGTCATATGAGAAAAGGTCACAAATTTACACAAAGGAGGTTAAACAAGATTTTTTTTTAAAAAGTTGGAAATTTACAAAATTAAAGATGAAAATTTTACAAGAGTAAAGTCTATATGAATAGTCTGTCATGATCTACATGTACAGGCTAAAATAACAGCTCGCATGATATAAGGGGAGCAGCCAGCTGACGGCGTTTTAATGATGGATGTGGATCATCTTGTGATGTTAATCTCAACAGCTGTGGACCAACAGCGGTTACAGAGGTGAGCACGAGCTGCCTGGTAGCCTGACCTCCTTCAGAAGATACTCAGTGTAGTACACAGTCTATTCAGAATCCTGATACTACTGTCAGACATGTACTCACTCACAGCAATGTTTGGGACTGTCAGCTCTGTTATCCATTCATTTGTCTTTAAACCAGAACATGAACTGCAACTAAAATCAGACAGAACCGTTTTTTTTTTAATTCGTATATCCTCCTCATTTCTATTATTTATAATTTGCTGTATTTGCATGTTTTGAAATGGCAGCATCTGTTGTCGCTGCACGCCCAGCACTCTTAGTTAAAGATTGTGAAACCTTATTCCACCATCATGTATTTAAATGTCTCTTCTATCTTCCAAATGAAAAAAGGGGCGAGACTTACATCAACTTTGCCAACAACAATGGCGAGGGTCCGCAGAGGTCCAATTTGGAGATAGAGTGGCTTCTTATGCTTTGACCCCATTTCTGAGCTTGTTTCTCACTTTGTAAAATGAAGGAAAAAATGAAGCATAGACTGTCACTACAAAAGGGAAGACGAATGCTGCAAGATCAGTTTTGGAACTAGCAAAATGGAGTGCCAGCGTGAAGCACTCTGAATGTACTGTAGCTTATGTACTCATGATATCCTTGTTTCTTTTTGTGCTGTGTGCTCCTGAATTCATCATTTGTATTTTACGTTTCCTGATACTATATTGATGTCTTCTTGTTTGAGGTGGGTGTGGACTGACATTTCTGCTCGAATGCTCCTTCATGATCTGACATTTTCTTCATGGTCTGGATGTGCTTTGTGGTGCTGCTATTTGAACTTTAAACCACTGAAGTAATGCAGGACTTATTCATTTGTTTTGTCTGGGCCCTCTTTCGAAAGATTATCTGAAGTTTTCTCTTCATGCAACCTTATTTTATCATATTTGTAAGAGTGGTATATGTGTTTTGATGTATGAGGAGAACAAAAATCAATCAATCTTGCAGATGTAGCTCAGACCGTTTGTGTTTTTTGGTATGTTCTTGTGAAGGAACTAAAGTTGTCTTTTGTGGTCTCTACTGCAGTTTGAAAGACATTTTCTGCAGAATCTGGCTGAGCCTAAATGTCAGAGACCTCATGAATGGATATGAGGTTTGGGGTTCAAACCGAGATCTGCTGACGGCTGCAGGACGCTGCAGAGTGGAGGGTGTGTCCTCTGCAACACATTTTGATTTACACAAACAAAAGTCCTAAAACAACACAGTCTGCTGGTTTTAATAGAAGATATGAATTTATGTCAAACTGATACTTTAATGTGTCCGTATCTGTTCATTTACATGGAGCTTTACTGCCTGTCGCCGCTGCAGTGAGCGAGCTCCCTGTCCCTGTTGGTGGATTCCCGAGGTATCTGCATGCCCTCTAGTGTGTGTGTGTGTGTGTGTGTCTGTGTGTGTGTGCAGTGCAAAAGCCGAGCTCAGCCTAAAGGTGACATTGGGAGGATTTCATAGAGGTGGTAATCCCACAAAAGAGATGTTGTGTGTGACCTTTTATCATCTAAATCACACGAGGGGAGGTCCGTTTTATTTTTGAGCTGGTGTGAAAACGTTGGGGAGGCTCGGATAAATATGGAGTTGAGTATCCAAACATAATATTAAGACTTAACGGGGGAAGAGGAAAGGCATGTATGAAGCCTCATGCACCTCCTTAACTATACATCAAACGTTTAGAATCACAAGCCAGGAGATTTTTTCTGTTTCTACTTTGCATGACTGTAGTACGATTAACTGCCACTAAACATAAACTTAAAATAACCCTGCCAGAATTGATGGCAGTGAAACGCATCAATCACATCACCAGTTCAATGCATAGAAATATGAATATTCAGTAATATCTAGCATGCAGATTCTAGTTGAAATGCTGTCTTGCTAACCCTCCTCTGAGTGAAGCTGGACTTTGAGGACAAAAAGTTACACACAAAAAAAATGCTGGGTTGTTTTTTCAACCCAACAACTAGGTTGAGCCTGTTGGTCAATTTATTTGGGTTGTTTTCATGGAGTTGGGTATTCTGAGTACCCAATTCACAAGGTTATTTATGTTGGGAACAGAGTTATTAGCTGTTGGGTTGTAATTTCTATACAGTTTTGTTGGTTTGTTGTGGACTACCCAACACAATGGGTAGACGTTCGGGCATTTGATCCCAAGCACCACCCACTCACCAGGTTGATGCCACAACACTTAACCCACCTTGCTCCCAGAGTGTGTCCTCCATTGGTGTATGATTGTGAGTGTTGTGTGGTGGTGGTCGGAGAGGCCGTAGAAGGTAGTTTACCACCACCGAGGTGTGACTGTGTGACCAAATAAATGATGTCTCCAATGTAAAGCACTTTGAGGGTCTCTGATAAATATAAAATAATTTAATATTATCTTAAATATTAACGACCCAAATGCTGGGTTTAAAGAACCCAATTGTAAGTGAACTGACCCAATTAGTTGGGTAAAATTAACCCAGCATGTGTTCTGTCCAATATTCAACCAGCACTGGGTTGGGAAACTACCAAAATTGGGTTGTTTTTAACCCAATATTTTTAAGAGTGTACTGTGATACATGATAGGTATGATTCTCTATTAGTCAAGATTATTCCTCTGCAGCCCTTGGTTCTTGTGTGTTTTACTTCCTATTGACGACTTCTTTTTTACGTGCATTTCATCGCACTCTCTATCTTCATAAACTAATCCTTACTCACCAGTTTAACCACATTACATTGTCACTCTGCTCCTCTCATCACTGTGGTTTCAACACAAATTCTACTTTCACCCGGTGTTTTCATTACACTGTCCTGTTTTTTTTAGGATACTGTGTCTCTTTTGTTAGTCCTGGTTATCCTCAGCCTTTACTTCTGCTCCACTTGGCTGTCTGAGCAAATACACTAACAAGTTCCATGACTACGTTTCTGTAGGCGCTTGAACTCTTTTGGTTTTTCTTTAGGACACATTGTCCCCTTTTCAAATCTTTTCTATTCCTCGGTTTCGCCATTGATACCACTTATTTCACTCTTCTTCTGTCACTGTCTTTCATATCTGAGCCCCAGTAGCAAAGGTTGTAATGAGAGACGATGAGGACGGAGATGTTTGGTGTGATACAAACTGACACAACTGAGATCAAACGAAGACTTGCTTCTCTCTGTGTGTGTGTGTGTGTGTGTGTGTGTGTGTGTGTGTGTGTTCCTGAGATGCAGGAACTACAGGGTAAAGAGTGACTGTGCATTTATTTGTGCCCAGGGCTGTAGTGTGGGGTGTTTGTGTGTGTATTTAACATTCATATCCAGTCTCAGTTATTAATGTGGTTTTAGAGGCTGATCAAAACTGGGCCGTTATTTCCAGAACTTGTCAAACTTCTGATGAGAAGGTTGTGCTCTCATTGGTCGAACAAATGCTAGAGGGCAGAGCGAAAAATCGAACATGGTAGACTTTTGTTGTGTTCACACCAGACGCAAGTCAAATAGTTGTTTTGTGTTTATTCAATTTGTGCAAATAACTCCATTCACATACCAGATCATTTCACCCAAACACATGACTTAAGGGGATATTTGGGCGTAAAATTAACTTAGGGTCAAAAACATTGTAACACAGAGTTAGACACCCCCTCGAGAGATGAATGTTGCTGACCGCTTGCTTCTCTAGTTATACCAACTTTAGATACGACAGCAGGATAGCAATACACAGCGGTCTGAGGAGCCATAAACAAACCTCAACCAAAACGTGAATCTATAGCCACAAATAATGCTCAGAACAGCACCTAACTTCATCAACAGTACATATAGGGTCCCCGCCATAGCACTAGCCACCAAACATCTTTTTAACTTTGCCTAATGTCTATAGATAAGAGACTACACACAACTCACCCACTCTCTTCCAGCAGCCACTTGTTTATAGGGAGAGCTCAGATGAGTCCATCACTGAGTGTAGCAGGATTACGCAGCTCAAGGAAGAACATTTATGATCATTTTATCATTTTCTTATTCGTTACTATAGTTGGTATAACTGGAGAAGCAAGCATACAGCAACATTCATCTCTCGAGGGGGTATCTAACTCGATGTTACAGTGTTTCTGACCCTAACTTAATTTTACGCCGGAATATCCCTTTAACGTCAGTGGGGAGGGTTTTCTTTCATGCTTACCAGATAACACGACCTCCGTACTCACTCTCCAGCCCCCTGTTACTCCAGTGAGGATAGATCGGTATAGCTCAAAGCAGCTGCACACCGGCAAGATCAGTTTGTCCTCCATTTTCCAGATGATTGAAACTCCACTGATATGTTGTTGACGTGCGTCAACAGGGTATTTCTATGGGTATTGTGGCAGGAATGGGTGTTGCTTGAGTTCAGATCTTCACAACTACCATGTTCAAGCAAATGAAGCGAGTAGAGCATTGAAGCACTCCCATCTAATTGTGTCTCAGTATTGATTTTACATCTACATCATGAATGACTCGATAAGGTTTGCCAAGTGTTGTGAGAAGTAATTGCATGTTTATGAGGAAACTTAGTTTTACTCGATCATTACTCTCCAATATATCACATTTAATAGTTTTAATTCTCCACTCCATTTACAGTTTAAAGAACGCTGTGATTGCCGCTCACTCAAGAAGGCGCTCAATAGATGAGAATACAAAATCTGTCTATGGCATTTGACATGACAGACTGACTACACACTATCTCCAACCACTGGCCTGGCATGTATTGTTACTAGTTGTTTCACTGTTATAGTGTGGAAAGAGAAATATTCAAAAACATCCCTGGAGTGGGCAGTTTTTTTGTCAAAGAGAAAAAAAAAATCTGTTGTTATACATATCAGTGTGGACGTAGCCGTAAACTATCACATTACAACTCTCCACGCCTGAAGACAAACTACTTTAACGCCACGAAATCTTACTTTGCAAATTAACTCCTCAAAAAGCTCTGTATTGTACATAAACTGTAAGTGTGGAGGAGTCTGACTGGGCTGCTCTTTAGGGTCAACTTACAGGTCAGCACTTAAAACAAAAGTCTTATTTGTGTCTTTAAAGAATCACATAAGACGTCCGCTCTCGTATCTCAGTTCAGCAGATACAGAAGGTTAATCTGAAGAAAAGAAAATGAGTAAGGGATTTGCTCTCTAACAAAGAGCAATGGAAATATCTTATCTGAGTTCTGTCCCCCAATATAAATATTTTTATAAAGTTAGTAATATAAATGAGCAAGGTCAAAGTTCAGGAAAACATTTTTACATTTAGATTACATTGAAATTAACCTCTGTGTGACCCAGCGGACTGTATTCTTCTGTCTCTGTTCTGTCTAGGGGCAGATAAGGCCAAAATAATGTAAAATAGAGCATAAAATATGAACTGAGAAGGTTTTTTTGGTCAAAGGTCATGTGCATCACATTTTATTAACAGTCTATTTTAAGATAGTCTTTTTACATTTTTTTCATTATATTTGCTTTATTTTATTTTTAATCGGCAACAATGTCATTCTGAAACATTATTATTATCTTTTAATCTATCTTCAGCCGATGTTAAATATTTGATTGTGATTGGATTGTGAATGACTTAATGTGTCCTGTCCCTTTACGCTTGTGTTTATGTGTGTGTTTGTGTGTGTTTAATGTGTGTGAGTGTGTACCCAGCCCTCTGTGCTGACCGGTTGTTTCCTCATAGGGAGCGCTTCAGCTCAGTCAGCTCAGAGGTGTCTGTGCAGAGACATTTGGAGGGCTTAAACACACTGCACTCCCGGCAGCCTCACACTATGTGTGTGTGCGCAACTCCATGTCGTCACCAGGTATTACACACACACAAATACATACACACATACACACCTGCTCCAGATGACTCAGATGTTCTTTCCACAGCTGTTTGCCAGTCTGAGGAAGTCAAAAGTTCAGCAAAATCAGCCGGCGTGCATCATTGACATGTTTCAGCATGAAGTAACACAATTCACTTTTTAAAAAAATATTCTGCAGAGATTTTTGCTTTGCTTTTGTTGGAGCTAATTCAGTTTACCAATGACTACATGCTCCAAATAGAAGGTTAAGATCAAGATCAAAAATGCATGTTAACAAATTTTCTATACTTACCATTTCTAACTGTAATGGCTACTAAAAAGCAAAGCCAAGAACAGCTCGGACTACCAAGTTGTCATTAAGGCCACAAGGGCATAACACATAAAGGCACTTTTGTTATACTGTGGATTTTTTCTTCTTCTTCTCCCAAATTTTGTTTCTCAACTAATCCTACAGCTTGAAGAGTTGTAGGACAAGCTATATATCAAACTGTGTGGCTTAATCAGGATCAGTGTGCTGTTACTTTTCTCTATTGTAAACGTCAATCAAAAACTGCGAAAAAATTGCATTAAAGTGAATAGGACAAGACAAAAAAAGAGCAATTATTGGAGTTTTTCAAACGTCTACTTCTCCAGCTCTGTTTTTTTCTGTTGTATGAATTAATACTTGAAAAGGAGTGTTTTTTTTTGTAGATGTCTTCTTTGTATGAAATATCACAATGCTACTAGAATTCATTATTTGTAATCCCTGAAGAATCTCCTCATAATGTACACACCCGGGCAGTAGCTACAGTGCCCATTTCAAAATTTCCCAGAGTGAATTTTCTTGTATATTTAGTTACTGTGAACCGGAGCCCTCCCTCAAAATGCTCATCCAGCCACTGGGCCGTCACACTAAGTATGCCTTCTGGACCATTGTCAGAAGTCCACATGTCAGTGGTCAGATTGATGTTTTGTAGAAATGTCACATTGGGTATTCTATATAAACTCCACCTGCTTCATCTCCAAGCTGCTTTGCAACCAATCACCCCCTCAGCTCCTCCTCTTATGCTGTTTCCGATTTAATCAGTGTCACACATGTTATCACTTACGACTTCTCTGTTCTGGGGGGTCCTTGCCGTTGCTGTCCCTGCCTTGGCTTTTCATATATGTAAGTAATGAAGGAGAGGTGTGATCTCCCTACCTCAGGCTTTGGTGTATCACATACAAAGAAGGGCTGGGAGCTCTCTCTGATGTCTGCTCTGTTCAGTACCCTAGGAGTCTTTGCTGCTGCTCTCCCTGCCTTGGCTTTTCTACATACACATGTGAAAGGACAGGAAGTAATGACTGCAATAGATATATTTTACCTGCTCCTGTAGAGGTGTGTGTGCTTCATTACTGAGCTGCTGATATGGAAATTAAATAGAAAAGCTTAAATCCTAATCCTCTTCAGAATCAGAATGCCCCTTATTGTTGATATACAGAGGGTACAATGAGATTGGAAAGCTTTTCAATTTTCAGTGCAATAGACACAAAAAAAAGAAAGAAAACAGAGACCTAATTAAAAGTACAAAAATATACTAAAAAGAAAAAAATAGTAATAATAATAAAAGGTACAGACTTTATACAAGATAAAATCCTCTAGTGCAGCGTAGACAGTGCAATGAAAATGAAAACTATATACAAGAATAGGAAAGGAATTCAGCAAGCAGCAGTTGTAATATATTGCACTATTTGTATTTTGCCTATCATACCCATGATAAGTATATCAAACTGTAACTGTTAAACAATGTTAACCCTGTTGTTCATGTTTTAAACTTAAAAAAACCAAATCACCAATCAAAGGTGAAATCATTGCTATTAAAGTGTAAAATTCAATCTTGATCATCATACTTAGGTTTAGGTATAAGGCCACTGATTCATATAAAGAATTAATGGTGAGTGTATCGCTGATGAAAATGTTAGTTCATAAGATCAGAGACATGCAGAATTATTAAAATTATGATATGAATAAAGGGACTCTAACTGTGGTTATAGATGTTTAGGAAAACTTGCCTATACAAATAAGAAGTTAATGCCTTTAATTTTAAGGTCTGTAAGTGTGTATGTGGTCAGATTAGTGCAGCGCGTCTCTCTGCCGACACCACAGTAACCTTCATACATGTCTGTGTGGTCGCTGGACAGGCTGGTCGATATCAGCCTGGGCTGTGAGCTGTATCAGAGAGCTGGGGTCGCAGTCAGACTGCACACTCACAGGTTTCACCTTCCTCGAACATTGATCGCCCTCTTCCTCTTCCTCTTCCTCCTGCTCGTCTTTCTCCTCCGTGAGCTGCACTCATTAGTACTCCTCATTCATCTGCTTCACACAAGAACCATAATTGAGGTGGGATTTTCCTCAACTTTGACCTGTTCACTGTCAGGTTATACTGTGGTCCCCAACCTTTGAGAAAATGTATAAAGAATAGAAAAAAGATCAGGAAATACTGAATTCACAGGTTATCAAACCTCTAAACTACCAATGCGGCTAAGCTGAGCGTTTCTGCAGATCAGCAAAAATACCATAATGTGTTATGTTGGCGAAATATCTTTATTAGCCATGCAGTACAATAACATAAAAACAACATTATTGACTCTTATGGAGAGAGGGTGCTACATAGAAGTTGAAAGGTTATTATTATAGGACTCAAACACTTCAGCTGTGCACAATATGGCAGCAAAGTGTTGATAATGTTGCTCTGACTTGGTATCAGACAGCTGCTTGCAAACATGTCAAACTGTCTTCAAATGTAGCAACAAAACTGTCATTCAAGTTTCATAAGTTCAGCCTCACAGTCTCTGGCAAACCAGGAGAGTACTCAGTATTTTGTCGTGTGAATAAATAGTCACACTTCTGTGTTTATGAGCAGCTTCAAAGAGAAACAGAGACACCTGGATACATAGAGATTTAGCCAAGCTGAAAATAAAAGTACTCACCACAAGTGTCCAAAATATGTAAAATATGAAAGGGACTGTTCAGGTTATTTTTCAATTGTTTCCTTTTTTCAGTGTGGTTGTATGAGGTACTTGTCTTTCCTACAGGAGGTCCTGGTCAGCTTGACCCTGTTGCTGAGAAGCCAGCTGGAGAACCAGAACAAGAGCTTGGCTACCAGTCTCTGCAGACAGAGTCAGCTCTGCTGTGTATTTAAGAGCATTTTTAACAAAATGAAGCCAAAGTTCCACTTTCAGTGTACTTGAAAACTATATCTGGATATTTTTAAAGTGCTTTACTTTGCCATCAGAGAGCCCTGTTTGTTTTTGCACTGTTCACTTAACAATCTGGACAGCTGATCAGTGTGCTGCAGGTAGAGAAACTTGTATACAGGCAATGTCATGTGCAAAGATAGATGAGTCGAATGGATTTTTGCCTCACACTGACAGTCATTTTGTAAATTCTGATACTATTTTGAGATGCCAGGTAGGCAGGTCTTTCATCATTGTCTCAATAGGGCAGCAGAGCCTGATGCAAGGTTGAGACCCATAGACTCCCATGGATTTCTTAAAATATGCTGTTGGGAAAAGCTTGAAAACAAAACTACGCCAACATCGGTGTACCTCGTGTTTTTGCTGAGGTTTAATGTGGACATCAAACACCGTAACGTTATATGTGTTAAAATACAGATCAGTATAACAGGTCTCCTTCAGGGACATTTGTTTGTTTGGCTGTTAGAAAAGTGGATGAATGGAACATCAGCCAGTGCACAAAAGCATTTTATGGATCTGTCTTTGTTTGGTTGCTTTAAGATTTCATTTCAGAGAGTGGTCCAGGGTTGATTTATATTCTTCACTGCAGACTGACTCTGCAGACATTAAAGACTATTTTTAGAAAGCATCTCACTTTCAAAGACAACACAGTAAAGCTTTTGATTCCCTACGTGATTACTATAAATATTCACTAATTTGCATTGGTGTATTTGCATGGCAGTTTTGAACTTGACACACAGTACAATATGATGCTTGGAGAGTGAGCGTACATATTCAGAGAGGTGTCGGGTCAGATTTTGTCATATCATACAAAATAATATTGATTCTCAGCTGTTGTGTTGCTTTCTCAAAAGCCACCAGACTTCATTTTTGAAAACATTAATTTTACCTTACAGAGCAGCACAGGAGTTTCTGGTTTATTCCTGCCATGATTTGCTCTTGTATTATTGTAATATGCACATTTTTTGAATATTCAAAATGTCTTTTACCCAGTTGTGTGATAACAATTAGCAATCTGCCCATCAAAAGTCATTTAAGGTGGTGAAAGGCTCGACCTGCATGCTCTTTAACGTTAAATTACTGTTTTTGTCAATGGAGTTTGGCAGCTTTAAAAAGAGTGATAAAACAGACAGACCTTAACAAAAGACAAAAATAAGATAACTCACACCATTAATTCTGCCTTTCATCTTAACATTATGGAATCATCCAACACATGACCCAGAAGTTGTACTTTCTGTTATTTGATGTAACTCCAGTAGCAGCCTCTAGATGTCGCTGCCCTTCTAGTTCTGACGGAGACAGAGAGACTCAGCCGATTAGACGGACTGAATACAGAATATAGGGCGGTGTGTGTGTAAAGAACAACTGGACAGCATGTTAGAGCACGTGCACACACACACACACACACACACACACACACACACACACACACACACACACACACACACACACAGTAGTGGACAGAGACTTCGTTACAGCCTGTACTTGATGAGTGTGTGTTTTTCCAGGCAGTTCAAGGTCAGTAGATAATGGATGTTCTGACTAAATTAACATGTAATCCCTTTGGATTGATTTATTAGTTAAATTTCTCGCTTCCAAAAGTAGTTCTGTCAATTTCTGTCAGATGTTATGATGCCTAATGTCCAAATATAATCTAACTGCCTGTGTAATTGATGTTTATCAATCAGTTTTGTGAAATTAACCTTTAATGGATGCAGGAAAAGAATCAAGTTGACAGGGCCTCGGCATGGCTATGAAATATCTGTCATTAGAGGAGTGTATTCAAGTTTTAATTCGTGTTTATTATCATTTTAAGTCACATCTGATCTCATAATTGCAATAGTTAACAATGTCATGTTCAAAATTCCATTATTTTGTAGCTAAAACAACAATATTATACAGTTCTTACTTGTGTCTTGATTTGTGAATAAAATGAAAAGTGCTTAATGAACTTAATTTTTAGTTGCGCTGATCAGCCTTGAAAATCAATGGTTTTATCCCATGTAATGTGTCACTGTGTGTGACTTCTAATGCCACATCTGAGAACCTCACAACCTCCCCACAGAAAGTCTTGAATTTTTCTCTCTGCCTTCTATGATGTGTTCTTTTACAAGCGTAAAAGTCACAGGTGTGAAAGGACAAAATGGTGGTGTGAAAGACAAAGGATGCAGTAAGTGCTGGAGTGCTAGACACAGAAAGGTTGGTCAAGCTCTGACAACAATATCCCTGCGGTTAGGATGTGTTGTTGAGGGACAACCAAGAGGGATTTCGAAGAGAAAAACAGACACTGTCAACCATTGTAACAGACAAACAGAGTGTGCACTCTGACCTCAGCACTGGACCAGAGTCTTCCTCAGTGTTGACTGGCCTGCTGTCAGTTTCCACCCATTAAGCAGCAGGTGCTTTTGTTTTCTAAAGTTAAATTTGTTTTTGTCATCACGTTTGACTTGTCAACTGAGCCATCTTCCAGTTTATTTAAGTGTAATTTGTCATTCAAAAACATGGTGGTGGTGCTACTTTTCTTTATGATGGCAGCAAAAGAGCAGGAAAAGGCTGCTTCAGATGAACTACCATGTGCAGCAAGGGACAAAACAGAAGAAAAAAAAAAGATTTTGGACCTTGATCATCTTGTATAAATGCAGTGAGACTCCAATAAATTCAAACCACATGACTTATAAAATTACAGGACACCTTTTTTCATGAAAAGCAAGATAATTCAGACCAGTTAAATGCAGACACAGTGCAAAAAATGCTTTATTTTAGAGATGAAAAAAAAAAAAAAAAACACATTAAAGGAATATACTGGCGTAAAATTAATTTAGGGTCAAACACACAGTAACACTGAGTTAGACGCCCCCTCGAGAGATGAATGTTGCCGACCACTTGCTTCTCTAGTTATACCAACTTTAGTAACGACCACACGATAGCAATACACCGCGGTCTGAGGAGCCATAAACAAACCTCAACCAAAACGCCACTCTATAGCCATAAATAATGCTCAGAACAGCACTTAACTTCATCAACAGTACATATAGGGTCCCAGCCACAGCACTAGCGACCAAACATCTTTTTAACTTTGCCTGATTTCTTTAGCAGAGAGACTAAACACAACTCACCTACTCTTGTCCAGCAGCCTTTTGTTTGTAGTGAGACCTCGGGCCAGTCCATTATGGACTGCTGCGGGGTGACGCAGCTCAAGGAAGAACAATTAAACGGGTGCTGTACTGAGCATTATTTGTGGCTATAGAGTGGCGTTTTGGTTGAGGTTTGTTTATGGCTCCTCAGACCGCTGTGTATTGCTGTCCGCGGACATTACTAGAGTTGGTTTAACTGGAGAAGCAAGCGATCAGCAACATTCATCTCTCAAGGGGGTGTCTAACTCGGTGTTACTGTGTGTTTGACCCTAAATCAATTTTACGCTGGTATATCCCTTTAATATTGAGTTTTGCTTTCAGCACAAAACATTTTTGTCTTATCAAAGGTTTTTATTTGGTTGTTTTAGAAACTTCTGTATATTCAGTAAAACATGTTTTATGTTCATTAGTTATATTTTCTGTTGACCTTTAGGACCACGAAAGCTTTTTCCCAACTGCATTTCTATGGAGAACGGCGGCAATTTAACACAAATATCACACACACACACACACACACACACACACACACACACACACACACACACACACACACACACACACACACACACAGATTGACACTATGTCGGTGCTTTTTAGACTTCCAGGCTACTTCCAGCTGTCTGAACCAGTTTCCAGTGAAAGAAACAGGAAGAGTGATTGTGTGTTCGTATGTGTCTCATTGTGTGTTCGAATGTGTCTCTGTGTGTGTGTGTGAGAGCAGGCAGTTGTTGTGCTGTGCTGGGCGGACGGACCTCCCTCTCCGATTCCGGGAGGCTGTCCCGTCCACCCGGATGAAGCAGACAGGCAGGCAGGGAGGAGGGCGGAGCTGTGCTGGCTGTCACACGGATATGTTTCATTTCTCACACGGCCCCCTTCAGGAACACACCAAGACACACACAAACACACACACACACACGGCGTCTAAATCTGACTGGATCCGCGTTGAACAGAGCCCTCAGAGAGCCGGAGGAGCAGCAGGATGCCGGTGAAAGGCGGAGGACGGCTGGTGTCTTACCCGAGCAGGAGCGACCATGTGGGAGTAAGTGAAGCCGAGATGTGACGGTTCAGTTTCGGGTTTACCTCCTGCCTTTATGTCTTAGTGCTGTCTGTACTCTGTGCCACGATTTGCCGTCCAAGTTCAGTCAGTGTGTGTCTGTATGTGTGCGTCACCCCTGAGAGGCTCCATCGCGCTGTGAGGTGCGTGTCTGTCAGCCTATAGCAGCCTGTCAGTACACCTGTTGTGCCTGAGCACGGCCAATCAGGGACCATGTTACTAACCTGCTCAGCTGATATCGACTCTCTGGAGTTTCGGGTTTGTTTTCAGACAGAAAAACTGAGAAGTTGAGTTTAAATCCGGAGTTAGAAGTCCTTTGAGTGTGTCTGTAATCCGTCCAGATTAACATGTTGGATTTGATGGCGGTTCTCCGGAGATTAGAACAAGTAGAACAGAAGGGACAAGAGTGTGTGAGGAAAGTGATTTAATCTGCTGCAGCCCTACACAGTGACTTTTTAGGAAGTGTTAACCTTAAAAAGTGCATAATGACATGAGAGTTTCCTTTTTCAGAGCTGTAGAGCTGTGAATTTCCATTTTTAGCCATTTTTAAACTAAGTAATTTGTTTGTTGGATGATTTGACACATTAACTCACTTTCTTGGAGCTCACACTGATTCTTTTTAAATCTGTCTGCATTAAATAGCATTTGTCTAAAGTAGGGCTGGGAGATATGGGAAAAAGTTTATTACAAAATTTTCTTTAAGACTCCAAAAACAGGCAACTGGACTGTGTAGAGTTGAGAAAACTCTCTTTAAGAAAACCATGACCTGGATGAATGAGAATCAACATGGATTTATCACAATTTATTTTTTTCATATCAGTCAATATTGATATACATCACAATATAAAAAGCGCAAAGCGGACCTGGAGCAACTCCCCTTTTCATTGGGTATTTGTATCGTCTTCCAAAACATGCCAGAATGCCGACTATTGAAAAGGATATTGAACATGTTTTATATTGATGTTGAGGGAAATTAATTTTCAATATATATGGTTATGGTTTTATTGCCCAGCCCTAGTCTAAAGTAGTAACTGACTGTAACCTACTTTAAATTTAGCTCATGAAAACTCATGATACGATACAATACAATACATTACAATATAACATGATAGGAAACAAACAAACAAAAAATGCAATATCTAAAATAAGAGAGAACCCAGTTAGGCATATCTGATGCCAAATTATGAGGCGCCAGTGCTATAGCTGCAGAATAACAGAAAATTATCATATTTTTACTCCATCTGTAAGATTATTTCATATACAAGTCCCTGCTTCACTTCAGACACATGTTGGTCATGTAATGGCTGTGTGAGTTGCTGCTAAAGGGCCTCCTTTTTCACAAGTTTAAACCCAAAGAAGGCCATTTACTCCCCATTCTTGAGTCATGGACTTAGAAACGTGGTGAGTATCCTTACAGGACAGAGTAAAGAGGTGTGTGATCTACTTGAGAGTGTTTTGCAGAGAACAGGGATGTGTGCTGAAGGCAGCAAGGAAAGTTTGGGATTTAGCACTGAATAAGAGTACAATTGAATAGCTTGACAACAATGGTTTTAAGTTAAAGATCTTGAGACCTTGACTCACTACAATTATGTACAATTGCATATGGTGATTTGTTTTGTGGTACATATGGTACGTATCATGATATGTATCATGTCAGGACATGTATCATACTGTAATGTGTCCTCTGAATCCTGATACGTAGTGTATAATGAGGCTGTGGGAAATTCCCAGCTCTGGTTGGACGTGCAGCCAGTACAGTTCCAGTCTAAAGCTGGTGCAAGTCCAAGTGCACATCATTTCACAGCAGTTTTTTTAAATGGATTTTTTTTATTTATTGTGTAGTCCTGCATGATCTCCAAACTAATAACTGCACTAAGTCTCTGTGTATCATTGGGATTATCCGAAAAAGGGGCATTTAGGTATTTTGTAAACACATAGTTTGACCTCATGTTGTTTTGACATCTGTGGAGAGAGGATGATCACACAATAACAACTCAGCTCATAGGTCAAGGTTGGCTCTTCCTCTGTGAGGGTGTGTGTGTGTAAGTGTGTGAATGAGTGAGTAAGTGTGTGAGTGTGTGTTTGTTTGTGTGTGTGTGTGTTACCCCCTTAAGGCTCCTTGCAGTCTGGCTGGTTGGGCCCAGTTGGAGTGAGGCTGTCAGATTAATGGTCATCCTTAATGGGAGAGCTGGGGGCGGTGAATGTGTGTGTGTGTGCGTGTGTGCCTATCTGGGTGATCACAGTAATGACCCTCTGACTGGTAGGTGTACATTCTGATCCGTCTTTAGTCCCTTAAACCTCCATAGTCTGATCATTCGTCTTGAACTGAGCTCTCTTGTTGTGTTTAAACTTGGAGGATTCCTGAATAAATAAAAAGAAAAGATTTCAGCTCCAAACACAGTAAACGGCAATAAATGTGTTAAAATGTCAAAGCTCTGACGTGCCAACTGAAGTAGAGCTTAAATGCGTCAGTGCAGCTGATGTGAGATCAGTGGAAGCAGATGAAGTGTTTGTCTGTTGGTGTGTGAATGTGTGTGTGACAGAATCAGCTGAGGTGTTGCTCAGTGAAGCTAAAAACAGTGGAGCTGTCAGCTGAGGTGTAAAAAGTGGAAACAGCTTCCAGGAGCAGAGAAAGTAAATATGTTTTTTCTTACATATTTTTGTGGATGTTTTTCTCCACTGTTGATCTCTGAAGGAGACGACAGAGTTTACTGAATGAAGGAACGATGAGTAAATAAGTACCCGTCTGGATCAATGAGCTGCAGTCAGAAATCAGCTTTGCTTTTTAGTCCCTCAGACACACTCACACTTTTGCCCTGAACTATTGCAGATCTAAACCGGAGGGCCTACTTGTCAGGTTCCTTGGGTCTGTGTAATGTCTGATTGTGCCGATGAGTGAACGGAGCTGGTGATAGTCCAGAGCATGCACAGTAAAGAGTTTATCAAGTTAGGAGGGTTCAGCTGCAGCATATAAGCCAGAGTAGAGGCTGTGATTGACTATATACCTTATCAAAGCATTCACTAACCAAATACAGCAGGTATGGTCTGATTTGATATCACAGCAGATGTAGGGCAGCGCTTCACTAAAGTAAATAAATGTGCATTAGCCAGTCTGTTGAACCTTCAGTATGTTTATTCAGGTCTAGTAATAAAATAAAGATACAATGATAATCCTGATACTAGTTTTTCAGTGGATGAAGTCTTTGCTGATAGTAAGAGGGCAGGTTGGCCAACAGCTGATATGCTGAAACTATATCTTAACTTTTCTTGCCTTTGGTTTAGCACTTAAGTTTAAAGATCTTTACAACAACTCAGAAAGAAAATAATTGGACTTGAATAAACATATTTTGTGTGGAACCAGTAAATCATAGTCACATAGGACTCCTGTACTTCTGTCCAGCCATCTGTATTTATTAAAATGGAGCAAATACAAGGGAAATAATCCGTAAATGTGTCCTTTTTTCTGAGGAGAAGGTTCAGAAAAAACTGTTGGATACTGTAGGTAATGAATCAAAGAAACTAAAGTGTTGATTTGAGTCAAATAAAGGAACACTTAATTCAGGCATAACCAACTTTATAACACCGTTGTACTCAAGCAGAACACTTAGGATAGATGAGGTAGAAATTAAGAGCAACTGAAATAAAGTTTCTCGCTGCAGCAAAAATGGATAATAAATTAGGCAGTGAAATATACCAAAGTAAAAACATCAATTTAATTAACCAATGTATTATTCCATAATTCAATGCACAATGCAGTTGAACATTGTTTGTCTGAGCCAGTGACATGTTTCAGATGTTTTTTTTTTTTTTAATGAATTAATGGCATCAAAAATACTTGTGTTAGATTATTGAAAGATATATTTATTCAAACTGCATTATTCTATATCATGACAGAGTTTATAGCTATAGCCGCTAACTTGGATCATGTAGGATGGGAAAATGTGTTATTATTCAGAACAGACGATAGTGACGTAAAACATTTATGCAAACATTACAGTAATTACAATACAAATGCACAGGGCTCAAAACTTCCCTTTTCACCAATTTCCTAACATAGCTTGACAGCAGCAGCACAGAGGAAGCAGCAGACTATACATTTGTTTTCTTTAAAATCAGCCCTGTAAGCAAAGCTGTCAGCTCATGGCGATTATTTCAAAGTGGCATCAATCAGCTGACAGATGAATCTGTTTACATCTAGAGACAGACATGAAGGCAAAAACACACTAAATGAAAGAAAATGTTTGTACACTGCATTTGACTTGATTTATGTCCAAAATAATTGATAAAGTACAAAAATAATGTAGTACTGCAGCCCAAGTTTAATGCTGCAACATGACATGAATGGATTGTTGAACTAACTTCAGAACTACAGGTGTAACCCACTCCACAGAGAGACTGTGGGTCCTGAGAACGAAACAGCAGCAGTGAACAGAGTGTCGTCATGTTGCTGTCATTTCTCCCATGATGCACTTGGATTCCATCACCTCCTCTCCTGTTTTTTACAATAGCAGAGCTCTGAGGTCAGCTTGAGTGATGTTTTCACGCTGACACAGAGGCACACAGTGAACAGAGAGGACACACACACGCACACACAGAGTGGTACAGACACACACTGGTGCACTGTATGACAGAATACAGGACACACTCACACACAATGTGACTTAACACTAACACTGACAAAGGACAGATGTGGAGCTAACACCGCAGCTAATCTTTCTCCAAACACTGATGCGTTTATTGTTTTTTCAATTTAAAGGCTCATTACACTGATTTTTCACACACAGTAAACATGTCATGTGTCTTGCTGCTGTTGAACCGCTGTGAATAACTATACTGTCTTCTCTGTGACACTGTTTGAACCATACACATCTAAGTGTGTGTTGGACAAATAGATCCAGACTGTTTTATCAGACAGCCCCTTCAGTCTGTGCAGTTAGACCTCTCCTTATAGATTCAACAGATCAGTTTTTAATATAAGTTGTAAAAAGTCAAAGCAAAATTAGAGGATCTCTTCCTCTAAAAGTGTTTCTCCAACATCAGGAGATAAAATCAGGCCTTTTAAATGATTTTTTTAATCTTGGTGAATTTTTGCCGTTGAATTTCATAGTTAATCATATTTTTTTATGGCATGTTTATAACTCCATTATTTGGAATTTAAAAATTAGTTTGTATGAATGATGAAAAGCAATTCTTGTATGCATACTTTCGATTACTCACTCATTTCCAAGAGTCCTTGGTTGATGCGATTGTATTTGTACCTTCCAGTTTGGTTGCTGTTTTGTCCTGGTCTCTTATGTATTAAACCAGTGTTCCCAGTATGATCAGACATGATTAGTCACAACATGCCAACCTGGGGACGTCCCTAGACTCCAATGTTGACAGGCCTACAGTCAGTTTCCACCCATTTAGCAACACTGGTGTTAACCTCTCATATTAGTTTTATCCACAGGTTGTGGGGATTCTCATTAGTAAACAGTGCCGTGTTTGGTTTTGTGTTATGGTTGGTTGATTAACTGCTGACGCCAAGAATCTTCATGGAAAATATTGAAATCAAAACTGAATAATTCATTTCCTGATCATTACAAACACGACTCCTGTCTTTCTACCAAACACCAGGAGATAATCAGTGAAGACCTGAACTATCACAGTGTCTGTAGTGGTGTCAGTATGACAAAAATGAAAGATCTCCATCTTTTATTAGAAGTTTTCATTATCTGGAATTGTTTTCTCTGTGGTGATTTAACAGTCATTTAAAAACTCTCTTAGAAAGCAGCATAAATTTGTCTTTAAACAGGAAGAAAGTGTTTTTATTTCTTGATCACTTTTCTTCACTGAAGTCTTAAAACCAGTTTTCCATCAGGTGATAATGAAGTTATCTTGGTTTGAAGCCGTTGCACCCCCTTGCTGTAATTTGCATTTTGTCTGAACTGTACACCCCAGGGTGCTGCATGTGTAAGTGTTAGGACTTGAAGTAGAGCTTTAATCTGAGAGAGATGTGTTACATGTGTGTGCTTGAATGTGTCCACAGAGTTCGTGTTTGTTGCTGTTGTATTTAATTTGTGATGATAGACAAGTTTGTGGCTGTGCACCAGATTTTCACCCCCTTCTTCTCCACCCTGTTTCAGAGCACAAAGACTCATTATAATTAGCCTTCCCACATCAGGGATAATCATCAAAGATTGAGTCTGTTTGTGTCTGAAGAATGGGCTCTTGTTCTTCAGTTTCAGCGTAAATGTTTTAGGCCGGTTGGTGTTTACAGCAGGGAGTCCTGCTGCCCTGAACATGTCTCCACATCGCTTATCGTCTGAACTCAAAGCCCTGAAAAGTTTCCAAAGATCTTCGCAACATTTTTTATTTAATAGTTTAAAAAAAGAAACCTTCAGGGTCCCTAAATCCGCCCACTCATGCACACTTGTGCAGCTGGTTGATTTTCTAGAAAGAAAGAGTGTTTTCTAGTCAACTGGAAAAAAGATTTTTACAGCCAGGATTCAGTGCAAGAGTTGAATACATCTCCTGTGACCACATTTTAACTTTTTTTTATTTAATTATGGAAGCTTTTAAAGCTCATTAATATATAAAACAACAAAATAAAAGCCACCTCATCTGTTTAATTCTCTTTTAGATCTAAATACTGATCCGTTTTTGCTGCTTTCTCACGCCTAGTTTTGCTGAAGATCTTGACTTCAACTTTGTTGATCTGTTCTCAGTTTGGTTATTTAAAGCACAGCTGTTTTTTTAAGTGACATCAGGGCAGTCAACATTAACAGTTTGCACCAGAGACATAAATAATGTGCAAATGGGATCAGATAAGTGCTGAGCAGTGATTTTTTATTTATAAGGCAAAACCTGGTTTGAGTGCAGGGGGGTATGACTTTATTTTGACCTTTCAAGCTTTCTGTTTAAGAGTCAAGCCTGAATGAACAACAACTCTGATTTTAAAAAAGTTCCAGTGCTGTGTAATATGAAAAGCAGAAACAGATTTAGATGGTTTGTAAAACATGTATAGTCTATATTTGATAGAAAATGGTACAAAGAGAACAAATCAAATGTTGATCAAATGCAGCTGTTGCTCTGATACCCACTACCTGAAAATTTTGGCTGATCTAGCATGCACTAAATTACAAACTATAAATTAAAAACATACCATAAACTCAAAAGGATGTCATACTTAGCGTGGATGCGGTGATGCGGCAGATGCGGTGATGAACTGTGTTTATAGACAGCAGTTTTTCAGAATTGATCTTGAACACATGCAGTGATTTCCACTATAGAGTCAGTCTGTTTTTAATGCTGAAGGTCACCACCACTTAATATTGATTTTGCACATTGTCCCTTTTTTTTGCATCATGGTCAAACAAGTAAGATGTTAACAAACTTGAACAGCAGCCACTTCATGATTTGAACATCCTGAAGAGCTGGCTTGAGTGGGAAGGAGCCACCCTTCCCGCAGGGCAGACTAAAAAATTAAGTCAAATGTAAATGATAATAAATAAAGAAAAAGATAATAAACATTTATACCATTTTTATATTTTTATCATTTAAAGCTCCAGCGAGGAGTTTTCAGTTTGTGTCAATTTTAGCGCCCCCTGTGGACAAAGCAGTAAACTCTGATCTTGTCCTCTACATGTATAGGGAGTGTCCTGTGACCTAATATAAAATCATCCTGCTGACTTTGGACTGTTGAATGTGTCATTTAATGTGAGTATTTTATGTAAAAACAGAGCTGTTTCTTATTCTGCACAGCTGATATCCACCCCCTCACATTAGTTTCAAGCATTAATATTTGTTGTTTTAGACTCAATGTTGCTGATGCTTTTGTTTGCTTTTTTGTATCATATAAAGGCATCAGCTTTAAGAGGCTTTAAGTGTTTGAATGTATCCTCCTACCAGGCCGCGTTTACACTTGGTAGTCAAGTTGTTGGTTTGTACCGTTTATACCTTCATATCATACCAAGATACTGTAGATATAAATATACAGTTTCATAAGTGTTCTTCTTTGTATTGGTCATTATGTGAGTAAATTAGCGTTTAATTAAAAACCAAGGTTATGGGAATGATTTCAATCCTGACTGTGAAATACTGTCATTCTGATAAAGCTTCTAGGCAGCAGAGCCAGTTGTGTTAAAATGATTTGTGTCCACAGTAACACACTCACCAATGCACTCACACTCTTGAGCCTGTTATGATGGGTCTTTATGGGACGTGTTGGCATGCTCGTCCGCAGCTGATGAGCTGGCAGTCTCTGAGCTGGCTCTGGGGGGTGATATGATGGGGTGTCATGCAACTTTCTGGCGTGCCACTTAGCAGAACACAGCTACCTCAGCTCTTCCGCCTCACTGCCGGTCACAACGCATGCATGCACGCATACACACAGATTTAAACACACAGGCTCAGACACACACACACACACTGCTGCGCTGTCGTCACTGTCAGGCTGAAGTGCTGGACCGTAATTTGTGCAGATAACAACAACGCGTCCTTTCTTCTGTGTGCAAGTACCCGCCCCCTCCTGCTCAGATCACTTCACATTCTTAAAATAACTCTTTGAGTGGACGAGTGGAGGACTGAGAGGACGGTTACTCCACGTCTCACACACTCAGGGTTCATTCAAAAGATTCAGAGGTTTATTGTCATATGCAGAGAAAAAGCCGCATCCAACTTTAAAGATGTTTTTACAACCTGAGTAGTGCTCAATCCACTTTGGTCTAACCTTCAAATCCTTCAGCTTCTTAAATGAAATACATTTGACGTGATCCAAAACATCAACATAAAAGTGGTGTGGAAATATCTGAATGTATGTCCCAGAGAAATTTAAAAGAGAGGAACCGACCAACTGGTTTGGGATAGTTTAGAGACTGCTGTGCTCTGTGATCTTAAATAACAGATTTAAAACAGCTGTTTGTGGTTAAAAATTCTCCTATCTCTGTTGTATCCTTGCTGTAATGTTGTATATTACACCACTTCAGCACCAGGCACCTTCTCTTCTCTGGTGGCGTCTGAGTTTTGTCTCCTGGTGCTGTTTGTTCACTGGTTTTAAACTTCAGCTATGACGGCTTATCTTGCTGTGAAGTATGAGCGCTGCCTGTGTTCTCAGTGAGCATGTGCAGGAGTCATTTCTTCCAGGTTCGATCATACTCAGTGGACGTGTTCACACTCTCAAGGCGTGTTCTGATTGTTTTTCACAGAATAAGGGAGTCACTCAATAACGCAGTTTCATACATTGTTTAAACTGTAACCATAGTCACTGTCACACTCCTAGTCACATCCCTGTTAATATCTAATCAGTTGAAGTCTCTCCTTTCAACTCTTTTTTTTTTTAATTTTCTGAATCTGTCTGAATTCAGATGTATCTTGAATAGGGATGGAATCAAGAACCTGTTCCAACTAGTTTAAGCCATCACCATAATTTGCCGTTATGCTTATTAGCTCCCTGAATAATTCCTCCTGCTTTTTACTGCGGGCCTTTCAAAACAACAACACGATCCATTGTTATAGGCAGTCAGTGTCTTTATTTGCGTATGAACCCGTTGGTGCTGAACGCGCTCATTCTGGCGTCTGTGAGCGGCGTTCTAAACTCCGTTCACAAGTGTGCCAGATGTCCAGAGCCTTCCAGGCGAATCCCCAGCTAAAACACACCATAAACAGGCCTTAATATTTAGCGGAAAGCCACCCAATTTGGCAACCACAAGCAGCCTTTCTGTCGCTCCAGTAAATATGTCAGTCGTCACGACTTAATTATACATGATGAACGAGGGGGGTAGCACTAGCTGCCCGGAGCACACAGACTCTTACGAGCATTTAAAAGAGTTTTATGTAAAAGTCAGCGCCGACACAGACAGTAAAAATCTAACCCTTCTGTGTAAACTTTGTCAGCCTGGTTTGAGAAAGCAAGTTTGGACATCAACAACGTCTTTAGCAAAACCTTAAACGGACATCATATCATATCATATCATATCATATCACAATATCATATCATCATTGTTAATGTTTAATTGTTATCGTTATTTCTGATATTTGTTCTGGTACCTTGTTAGTATGACTGAGATGGAAGTTGATGTGAATTGTTTCCAGGTAGGTTTGGAAAAATATAGAAATGAAAAAAAAAAATTTAAGGGCTACAGTCTTGTTGTTGTAATCATAATAAAGAGTCTAAAAAACATTCAAGCAGCAGGTTTTCCTCATGTTTATGAAAATATACTCTAGAGATGAAAATTCTTACTAGTTAGAACTGAAAAAAACACCAGTAATCTGAGGGCTGTCCTCTAAATGTAATTCTTAACCTGGTTGGATTAGGATTCAAAAATGGATATGAAGATTAATCTGACGTAGTTTCAGTGTTAAAACGGCTGAAATAATTGCTGTCTGTGGTTCTATATGGGCTTCGTAAAAATCTTAACAAATAATAGCTTGCAGCAAAGTATAAGAGAGAAAAAAGAACTAAATTAGTTTATTTTTGGGAACCATGAACTTAAGTTCAAAATGTGGAATTATGAACGATGAACTGACCTAGTTCTAGTTCATTTTAAAATGTGTGAACTGAACTTTGAACTAGTTCAGGTTGAAAGTGAACTTTCCCAACACTGCCAAAGAGTCATGGAAGTGACCATGGCAGGCAGGAGACAAGAGCAACCCAAACTGCTGGTATTTACAACATATTATTGTTGTGTATGCGGCATAAGCTCTGAACTTGAAATCACGCAACAAACCAACTTGCTTCAAAATCCACTTGCTTCGAGCGACTGACGGCTTTTAGGAGAATGTCAGTATTTTTCTGTAAAGGTCCAATCAAAATCTAGACTTCAGGGGTCTATAGCTGGAGTAGCAGTAATGAAAAAACTTGTCATAAAATGTGTGAAAAATTCAAAGAGGGATCTGATAGAGAATTGGATTGATGATCAGAATTGATAACATTGGTATCAATAAATCTTATCTCAGATCCTCGAGAGCAGCTCTGCACCGGCTCTGCCCCTCCCTGATGTTAGCTTGGGTTTTAGCAGAGCTCCACACCCTCAGTCTCTGAACCTTCTCCCAAGGCAGGCGAAGGGCAGATCCAATAAACACACACACATATACACACACGCAGGCACAGAGAGAGATATAAACACACACTGAGGAATTTTATCAGTCAACCACTCCCTGCAGCTGCCCTCTCTGTGTGGCACGGATCCTAGTGGTCAGGGAATATTTAGAATATCTGGAAACTTTAAGGAGTGATTCACACAAACTCCTGAATTGGTTCTCATGCTGGGAAACTGAGGGAGCAGATTTATTTAAATGATACCACAGATAATTCACCTCCCAGTGAATTGCTGTGAGTCACAGGGTCATTTTGAGAGTTGAGATCTGAGTTTAAGAGTAAGTTTGCCTGTAATGAGATTTTAAGTTTGCAGACTGTCACAGTGTTTGTCCTGCAGCTCTGTCTACCCAGGACACAGATTAAATCAAGAAAGGCGCTCAGATTTAACAGCCCTGAGAACTAATAAATAAAATCACTGCTTTGCATTTTATCAAACAGAACCTGCATTGACTGTCGCTGTAATGTCCTGTGTTTAAATATCATAAAGTATATCTCCCGTTAAAGCTGTGTTGTATTTGTTTACACAGTTATTGCTTTATTACAGTTTCACATGCGACGAAGGGGAAGCAGAGCATCAATTAGTGCAGTAGCACAAACTAGAGAGAAGGAACTTATTGTTTTGGTTCCACTGCCCAGAGTGGAACTGTAAAACTTGATCCCCATTAAATAGTGGAGACTGGGTCCTTTTTGTTTCAATGTTATCCTCATGACTGTAACATCTGAACTGTTTAATTTTGTCCACTGAAACACACAGATGTTATTTTTGGATTTGTGGGAGGTTGTCTTTGGATTTAATGTTGTCCAACGTAAACAAACTTTTCTGGACGCTCATCCAGATTCCTCTGGTGGTTATAGTCTGCTGCTGATGGTCTGAATTGAATAATTGAACATATTGAAGGCCCTAACAGAGGAATAATACTTTACAACTTCTTCTAGTTGTTTGAAAGCCTCGGTCAGGGTGTCAGACTAAGACTGAGCACACTCTAAATCAGTAGGTCTCAAACTTTTCTCTCTCACACCCCCCTTGAGAGGATGGAAAAGTTCTGTGCCTTCTTTTTATCAGTGTTTTTCAAATCTAGACGTCACTTGGTGTGGGGCCAGCCTTACATATAATACTTCTTGTCTCGGTAACTGATGTCCTATTTTGTACATATAATACTGGTGGTAGACTCACTGGACCTAATTGCTAATTTTCAGACATTGCCACAACCCAACATCAGATCATGCTGTCCTTAGGTCAGTGTTTAAGGATGAGCCCTTCACTCTGCACCTTTTTGATTCAGTTTGTCTCTGAAAGTTTCTCACAGTCAGGGAAGAATCAGTTAAGAAATTTCATGGCTCTTATTCTCCACCCAATGATAAACAGCAGGAAGTTTTTTTATGTTTTCAGGACAACAGCCACAATGGAGCTGTTTGTGCCCACCTCTTTACTGATGACTCTTTTGTAAACAAAGGCCAGAAGGAGATGGATCAGTGTTTCAACTCTTACTCAAACCTGGTACTTTTTCATCTATCAAAACCCTTTTGAAAGCTCTCAACCCTTAACTGTAACTAAGTTAGAACAGCAGTTGTAATAGCCATGATATGCTAACAAAGCTAAAAACTGAGCTAAGTTTAGGGTGTCCTCTTTCACCCGGACATGTCCTCTTTTTGGGGGGCTGTCCGGCTTTGTCTGGGGAAGTTTATAAAATCCTTCAAATGTCAGTGGTTTTGTACGTAAGTTTTGATTTTGTGTCACGTGGACTTATTCAGTTAGAAGCTAGTAAAAGACACTCGATCCGACCCGAAAAACTCTCAAAATTAACTTTGTGAGACTCTGTGACTCCGCCTCCGCATAGTCGTGTCCTCTTTTTGGGAAGTCAGCATATGGAACAGCTAATCTCAGATGTTTACTGTAAAGGCATATTTTTAAGGTCATTTCTTGACTATATGAAGCTGTGTAAGAAGTAACGCCCACAATGTGTGTCTAACTGCATTAGGGTAGAAAATGAGTTTTAGGAAGATGCTAATTAGTGCTGAAATGAGGGTTTTCAGAGATATCAGGTTTTTTAAAAAGTCACGATAAGCTCCTCTTCAGGTGTCCCAGACTGACATAATGAAAGCTTTAAAATAAGCACAATAGGTTTCCTTCAAATGACTGACTCAGACAGGATCAGACTCTGAAGGAGACAAGGTTTGAACAAACAAAGACTTTGTTTTAGTGCAAAATAACGGCTTAAACAAGTAGAAAGGATAAACAGCACCACTTTATCTGCTTGTGTAGCTGTCAGCGCTCGTCGATTCAGTACTTCAAGTGTTTTCACCAGTTTGAGGAGGATTTGTCGAGTTTTTTGAGGTTTATCTCTGTCAACAGAAGTCAGACTCAAAGAGGAGAGATGTGAGATAAAAGTTCTCACTTGGGAGTTTGTTGATGTTTTCACATTAGATGTCAGATCCTCCCAGTAACACACCACACACTTGCTAACACTTTTCCCATCCGTTCAAACTGCAGTGCGTCTTTTTTACAATCTAGTCTGTTTCTCCTCTGGTTTGTGAGGAGCGTGGTGACGTTAAACTTGCCTCTGTGTCTGAAATACAGGTCAGTTATGTATCAGTGTGTGTGTGTGTGTGTGTGTGTGTGTGTGTGTACAGTTTGTTGTTTCCTGACAGTGATCAGAACTGAGGAGACGTTATCTATGGAATGACAGGAAGAGGGAGTGATGGTTTACAGGCAGCTTCCTGTGGTCAAAGCCTCTTTTCTCCTTGTTTCCTCCCTGAGTCCTGAGGCAGAGACCGAGACCTGACCACAACCTTTGTTTAGACCAAAACACACACTCACAACCACACACTGAGGTCACTTTATTACACTGAGGCTTCACTTCTGCCTCAGGCCCTCAGTTATCAATGTTTAGGAGCGCAGAGCTGGTTTTTTGATGGAGCTGCTTTTATTATCAGAGGAGAGATCTGACACGGAGGAGAGGGAAGTATCTGTCTCTATAACATCAAACTTCCTTCAGACTTTAATGGTAGAAGTTTTTTTTTTTCTCTCAGCATAAAGATACACCTCATTTCCCAGCCTCTTTTGTATTTTTTAAGATTACATCTCTCCTCGTGTCAGCATTTGCTTTCTCTGAATCTCCAGTTCACAGCACATCAGTAGTTTCTCTCTGGACTGGATGTTCTGCCACACCTGCATAAATTACTTTGTGTGTGTGTGTGTCTGTGTGTGTCTGTGTGTGCGTGTGTGTGTGTGCCTCATATGTAAATAGGGGAGTGGTGAGTCATGTTGTTGTTCTTGCAGCTCATGCAGTTCAACTTCACCTCAGTCAGGACTGAATTAATCTGAACAGGTTCTGATCTAACAATAGATGATTAATTGTTTAACTAAGGCGTGTCTCTTTACTCAGCTGTGATTCATCTTATAGGTTTATTTTTATACGATACTTCAATTCCATAAGAATAAAATGTTTTTGATTGAACTGATTTTAATGGCTTACAATCGATCAAATTCAGCATCCAGACTCTTCTACTACAGAGCAACGCTGTTGTAACATGAATGTCATTTGGTTCAGTTTTAACCAGCATTAATGGATGCAGTGATGACCTGTGTTTATGGACAATGATTTCTGGAAGTGAAATTGAGCCCATGTGGTGGTTTCCACTACAGAATCATGTCTGTTTTTGTGCATCACTGCCTGAGAGCCTGAGGATAACAGCCGCCCAGTATTGGTTTCAAGCCTTGTCTCTTTTACAAAGAGGTTTCTCCAGATTTGTGGATTTATGAAAAGATGAACTACATGGTAAATCCTTAATTTACCAGTTGTACTATTTGATATTATACTATTAGGAGTTTTCTCAATGGTTATGGTCTGCCTTATATAAAAACTATACCATTAGCATTGTGTTACTTGATAACAGGAATGCTGCTGTGCAGTTATTTGATGCTGCTGCAGCTTAGGAGGCATTTTTCTCACAGCAGGTATTTATACCTCATCTTATCTTACAAACAGGCCTTGAAGGAGACCATAGAACACAAACAAACAACAATGAGGCCAAGTAAAATGAACCGAGTAAAAGACAAAGACAGTCATGTCAAAACATCCATGACTGAGCGGTGACAAGTGATGTTCAAAATCTGGATCACAGACACTGGGTGCTGAAAAACTTTATGAAAATAGTTCAACATTTTATGAACTCAATAGTTCTCGAAGGCAAAAATATATCACAGAAACCAATAATGAGTTCACTAAATGCACAAGTATGTCATGAGACACAAAAATATATCTATTTGGATTTCGTTCCCTGCTTTTTTGGTAATGTTTTCTGCTTTTCATGAAATATTTTTACATTTTTTACTTGTTTTTTGTATTTCATGAAATGTTTTTGCATATGTGAGTATTTTTGTTTGTATGAAATCTTGGTGTTGTATGAAATATTCTTTCCATCATATAATTAACACCTCCATCTGTTGTTGCATTTTATTTAAATGTAGCTTTTTAATAATGTCAAGTTTTTTTGATGTTTTTGATGAATTATCATTTGCTTGAAAATATTTATGGCAGCATAATTTTAAGTGCTCCTGCAGCTTTTTTTAGGACCTTAAAAAAGTACAGTTATCTGTGCCGTTTCATCTGTTTATCTGTGTGTGGGTGTTATTTGAGCAGATCTCTCTGAAATCTCTGCAGCTGTCCAAAGTTTTCCCAGCGGCCGTTTGATTTCAGCTTTTAAGAGCTGAAAGCAGCTCAGAACTCAAAGTGTCATCCTGTCGTGACCGGGATGTTAATCTGAAAATGAAGCACTGCAATTACAGAGAAATAACAGGAAACACGCTTCCCAGAGTCGTGTGTGTGCGTGTGGTTGTGTGCGTATGTGTGTGTGTTTTGGTGATACTATCAATGCAGTCGTGTCCCTCTTAGCCACTCCAAACAAACAGATATGACAGCGATACAAAACCCTCTGAAATATTTTGATTCTGTTCCAAAATACATATTCCAGAAAGCACAGACAGTCCCTCTCTGTGTAATATCAGTGTGAGCAGTGTGTATTTACAGTGTATAGTTTGTGTTGAAGCATGTAGTCTGACAGTGTGTAGTTTGTGAGGGAAGTGTTGAAGAGGAAGTTGCTGTGAGGTCAGACACAGAACAAAGACCGGACTCACTTCTCCTGGAAACAACAGAAGGAAGTAAAAGTTAAATATTAAATCTGCTTTTTACTCAAATGAAAGTGTTTCTGTTGTCTTATCAGAATCTAGATTAAAGGGCAACTTCTTGTAATTTAGCTTGGGTCCGGTTTTTAAACAGGCCTAGTTAAATGTCTACTGGACAGGGATGGTTTTAAAATGGCACCAGTATTGAGTACAGATGCATCCTTGAAAAATCTAATACTGTGTTGTTTTTCAGATTTTTGAGTTTTTATTTCAATTATTATAAAAAAAAAAAAAAAAGCATTTATAAGACAGAATTATTCAGAAGTGTATTTGATGCTGTGGGAGGAAACCAGCATCTCTATAAAGCTTCTAAGCAGATGGAGGCATGATGTACTCACAAATCTCCAACTGTGTTGACTTTAGATTGACAAAACACAACAGACTAGGGGTGGGAGAAAAAATCTATTTGCATATCACGATTGTTTGTTTTACATTTTTTAAATAAATTTTTCTATTCAAAAATCGATTATTTTTTTCTAATTTAAGAATAAATCTTAAAAACTGACTTACATGTGATGTGTATTTTGGGGGGAAATATGGCTCCTGGAATAGTCAGTAGACAATCATAATCATTCAACTGTTTCACTGGTGTTAAAAATGCAGACTAAAAATTGTAGAAGAATCGAATCAGGAAAAAAGCATATTGTCCCAGTCCTACAACAGACCAACACTGTGGAAACTTCACACTGGACTTCAAACTCTCTGACCTTCCTTCAGACTCTGGGACCTTGATTTCCAAATTAAATGCAGAATACTTTTTTCTAGAAAAACGAAGCAGTCGTTCATAGGACTGTCCCAATCCAAGATTGGTATCAGATATTGGTCTGATATCAACCAACAAACAAATATCGGATTATATCTGTCTGCATCTAAAATCTCCGATACAAGCAGTCCATTCCAGACTCCACTCCAGCACCTCTAGTTAGCAGCGCCCTGATCCAGCATGCAGAGTCCACGTGATAACAACAACAGTGTGTACTAAGGTACTAACAAAGTAGCAGAGTAGGAGTGATGTTGGCTATGTGGCAGTATTTTTTGTTAAAGTCTGAATAAGACATTGCAGCTAAGTGAAAAACTTGTCGTGCACAAGTTTGGGCCAATATTGGATCAATATCGGTATTGGCCAATACTGAAGGCTACAATATCGGTATAGTATTGGAAGTAAAAAAGTTTGTATTGGGACACCCCTAGTCATCAGTCCTTTTTCCTCCTTTGCCCTTAGTTGGACCCCTCTGAAGCTGTCTCTGGTTCAGGCTTGTTATGTGGCAGCTCTAGTCCCTTTCCTAAAGCAGTCTGTGTGTAGTTTCTGTTGATGCTCTGACTCCAGCCTCTGTCCACTTGTTGTGAAGCTCCTCAGACTTGTCTTGACTATGCTGTCAGGGCTGCTACCATCCCTGCTGCTTGGTCACCTTTTCCTCCCACTCTTCTCCCCTTCCAGTCAACTTTCCATTTCTATGCTTTGATCTAAAACTCTGTGAACACACAGCCTTTTCACCAATGATCTTTTATGACATACCCTTCTTGTGGAGGGTGTCCATGAACATCTTCTGGACAATGTCAAGTCAGCAGTCTTCACATGTTGGACTGAGAGATACACAATGTTCATATGAGGGGAATAGTGATTATTATTACTACCTCTAGAATGACATATTCTAACTATTTTTAATCTATTTTCCTTGCTATAAAAAGCGCAGATTATGATTTGCATCTAATGTGTCAGTGTCTTTTGGACTGGAGGAAAGGGGGTCAAACTTTCAGTCCTGTAAGTAGTGGACACCCCACTTTACCTCCTAATCCACAGCAGCTCCTCAACTAAGATTCATTATGAAACACTCCGAGTGACATACTGACACATTCATCATGATTTGGTTGCTGTCGTGAGCTTCTTCATCTCCAGGCCTGCACTGCTGACACACACACTCACACACACTCCACACACACACACACAAATGCAGGAGTGCAGGTGCAGTGAGAAAAGAGGAGAGTGTATAAATAGCAGCATCGTTTGTGGTGAGTGAGTCAGGTATCCGCAGCCTCCATTTCCACACTCACACACATGTCACCGTTTAGTCTCACACTCCTGCAGACACACACGTGCACACACACATACATGCTCGCTCTGTGTCGTCAGGGAGACAGTCAGCTGTTACAGGAACAGATATCTCATATGGAAATCGTGTGTGCGTGTGTCAGTGCTGCAGTCATTTATAACCAAACCTCTGCACTGCCTGGAATCAGGAGGCTGACACACACCTTTGAACACTGACAGCCCTTTCTTTTACCGTTATGAAGTTTTAGCTTTAAAGGTTGTTTGTTTAGAGACACACCATAGAGAAGATTTGACTCAATCAGACTTTGAATCTCAAGGTCTCATAAGATTGTTGCACAAAGACAGGCAGTTCTGAAGAAGCCTGTAAAAACAGCTTATGTTGACCTATCATATTGGTTCATTTTATATTGTTGAATGATATTAATGATTTCGCTGGAAAGCAAGAACATCTTTGAGTCTACACTGTATGACATCTGGGCCAGCGAAACTTGAGCAAAAACCGTGTCGTACTTTTGTACCACTGAGCTTGTTGTACTTCCTCCATAAAGACAAACTTTGCTTGAGATGCTGCTGAGACTTTTTGGAGTTTTCTCCATCTTCTCACGAGTATTATTGACAATGTTTGGCTTGTTCTTTGTCTGACCCTCCCCCTCTGTGATGTAAATCAGATATTGTTTCTGTGTGCGTTCATACAATAATCATGAATGGATTCCTGGATAGAAAGCGGGTCAGCTGACTGCATAATGAAGTCTGAATTAATGAGAACCTAAAGCGGCAGAGACAGTCCAGAGTGAAGGATGGTGATCTAAATAAAGACGAGTGTGTTACAGGCAGAAGAAGGAGGCTCTTTGTGTTTAAACACACTCACTCCTCTCTGCACTCAACCCTGAGGATGGAGGAGTCCTCCATCAGTCTCTCGGCTCAGAGGAGGAAGACTCACTTCTCTTCGTTGTGAGGAGTCTAGAGAGTAGAAAGAGGAGGGGATGTATTAATTCTGCTGCATCTTACAAGTTCAGTCATCCTCTCCTCCTCTGAGCAGGTGTAACACAAAGAGTCCAGATCTTTGTTCGTGTGCAGGAAATTCAGAGAACGGAAAAACAAATGAATATGCAGCCTGAGTTTACAGGCTGTTTGATATGGAAGAGGATAAGGGCCACAAGAAGAGAAAAAAAATTACAAGAGGGAGATTTTTTTTTAATTTCCATTTTTAGATTAAAGTCAAAATTTCAAGATTAAAGTTGAAATTTTAAAAAGTGGAAATTTCGACTTTAATCTCAAAATTTCTATTTTTTTATTCTCGAAATGTTGACATTATTCATGGCATTTCGACATTTTCTTAACTTGAAATTTCAACTTTAATTTCGAAATTTCAATTTTTAATCTAAAAATTTCTATTTTATTGATATAATTTCAATTTTCAATCTTGAAGTTTCGACTTAAATCTCCTTCGTGTAATTATTTTATTTCTCCTCATGTGGCCCAAATCATCTTTCGTAGTTTAAACTGATAGACATGTGAATCTTTGTGTAGTTTTATTTCTGAAACTCAACATTCACACATTAACAGCACATTGACATAGTTGGTGTCAATAATTTGAAAAAGGATCACAAAAAACCTTGTAGTTCAAAAAAATGTAGAAATCTATTTTTGAAGGTTGAACCAGTTGACAAGCCGAACTGTTCAATGAAATTCCTTAAATCCCTGAAATACCAGACCCCCTCCCCCTGAGCGCTCTGACCCTCAGTGTTCACACGTTCATCCATCTGACCTGATCCACGTCTTCTACCGTGGGTTCGCCGTCTGTTTGGTGTGTTAATGTGTGTTTTGTTAACACAGCTGACTGCAGGCTGGATAAACCGGTTCCCATGACCTCGTACACACGACACAGTGTGTAATTAAGAGCGTGTGCGTGCAACCCTCTGTTTGTGTGTGTGTTTAACTTTAACTTTGTGTGTTGGAGTGTTTGCTTTCAGATCGGAAGTGCGTTTGTAGTCACGATATATTTTTTTGTTGTCTGTGTTTTATTGAGTAGTTGAGACTCTCCTGTATGTAACACTCTGATCATGTCCACTGTCAGCCTTCAGTCATGAAGCAAACTTACAGAAAATTAGTGAAACAGTTTAGAATAAAATGCAAAAAGAACTTTTGAAAAGCTTTGAATTCACCAGAAGCTTCAGCTGCACCTCACTCTGTATTAACTGTGAACAAAACACAGAAATATTTAAATGAGCTCTTTGTAGTAGAGCTTCAAAGTGTTCTCAACTTTAATATGATAGCAATGAAAACTGATGATATGCCACCTGCGTCATTACCTTAGAAAATAGGGTCTGCTGATCAGTCTGGAGGCTCCTGTGAAGTAACTCTCTGTCATGTAATTTAATCAGTAGATTCGTAGTTACTTTCTCATAGCTGAATAATTAAAACCAGAATTCTACCAGTTTTCCCATTTCTGTGCAGCCATACTCAAACCCTGCTACTACAGACTGTTTGCTTGTTGGTGAATGTACTGAATGTACAGTTTGGAAGTCTAAACATTTTTCCTTTATCTGCACATCACATGTTTTTATCAGAAAATACTTCATGTTTAAGATCAGCACCAGGTTTGACTGTCATTGTGGGAAAGTCTTAGTGCAAACCCTCTATGGTATGAAAGTAAGAACTTCAGGTAGAGATTTTGAGAAGCGAAGACATGAGTTAAAGACCCACTCCAATGAAAATCATGTTTTTCTTGTTTTCTACATATTCATATGGCATTTTTCTGATGCTACAGGACACATCATGAGAAAAATAAGGGCAAAATTGTGCGTTCAAATCAATGTGAATCTCTGGCAGACCCAAACAGCAGGTTCAGAAACAGTGAGAATTCCTACGTAGCAAATCCAAGATCCGCCCCGAGCCCCGCCATGCAGGTCACACTCAGAAATAAAGAGGACGATTGCGGAACAAGTGTGTGCGATAGTGGATTGCAATGCTCGTAAGAAGGCTAATTATGAAATTAGCTACTGGATCTGGAGAAGAAAAGTCCTTGAAAATGACACAGATAACGCAATTTTGGCTAAAAACGTAATAATCACAATTTAAAGATTAAAGATTAAAGATACTTATAAGACTTTAGGTAGTAAAAAAAAAAAAAAAAAAAGGAGTGGGACTTTAAAGATGACCGCTCAGCAAACTCACCAGGGCCCAGCTAAAACTGACATCAGTGTGTCTAAAAAGTTTGAATCAAGTCAGATCTAACCAGTGGTGGCACTGCTTATGCAATGCTCAGAAGCGTTTCCCCCTCAGTATCTGGACAAACTTCTGTTTTTCCTTTTTCATGGGCAGAGAGACGCTTTTTAGGGAGAATTCTTTACTCAAGCGTTGTATTCACAGATGATGACTGCTGAGGTGTTTTAGACAGCAGATTGTCCCTTGTTCTGGGTTGTGTAACAGTCGCTCTGTGTGCAGTGAACCTGTCATGATGTCAGAGTGAGAGCCCTGCAGGACGACCTTCACCTCCACATCCGTCCTGCTGCAGGTCATAAAGCCTGAACGTCCTGCAGCCTGAACGTCAGAGCAGACCGCAGCAGCTGTCAGTGGAAGATCAGCAGAAAGACATGCAGAGAGATAGACAGGACTTCAGTGTATGTAGAGATATATTCAGGACTCAGTGTATGCAGACTGACAGGGCATAAAATTTGCAGATGGACAGATATAGAGACAGATAGACAGACACACAGCGGGCCGCGTTTACCTTTTAGTTTATCATCTCTGTTTTACTGTCAGAGCTTTCATTGTTCTACCCTCCGCCTGCAGCCGTCTTTCCACTTCAAAGCTCTCACGCCTCATTTGAGATGTGTGTGTACAGTAGATGCTGACCTACTCCCTGTTTATAGCAGTGTAAATTAGCATACCACACTCTCTCACACACTAGTAAACCAGCTGCTGAGGTGAGACTTTGTTTAAACAGTCAGCAGGCAGAGATGGATGTCAGTGTTTTATGGATTTATTGTAATGTTCTTCCACTTTAGACAATTATCATCATTAACAGAATTACTCTTCTGTCATAATTCTTTTCCTGCTGTCTCCTATTGGTCACATTGGTGTTTTGATTTAAACTATAAATACAACCCTAGTTCTACTGGCTCAAAACCAATACTCGATGGGTTCCAGGTGGCACCGCACTAAAAACAGACATGACTCTGTAGTGGGACTCACCACATGGGCTCAATATCACTTCTAAAAACAAAGGTTATAGTCCATAAACAAAGGACTATAGAGCCTTTGTGTATAAGGCACACTTGTACCACTAGGTCGATTTAATGTTAGACCTCAAAGTTTTTGTTTACAAAATAATAATAGAAAAAAGAAAATTATGATTTTAGAATAGAATAGAATATAGAATAGAATATTCCTTTATTGATCCCTCATGGGGGACATTTTTTTGTCACAGCAGCATCACAGACAAAGAGTGCAAAAATGCAGTTATAAAAATAAAGATCCTAATATTAAGAACTAAATGTAATAATTAAGAAAAAAATGTAGAAAAAAGGAAAAAGGGAGAAGAAAAATAAAACTATCTACAATATACACAATTTACACATACACAAAAAGTGGTGGTGTGTGTCCAGTTATTATTACAGTTCGTTGTAAAGTCTTTTAACTGGTGCCCGACTTTTAGGTATTAAAAGTTTGGAAAAATTGGATGACAATTGATGATTTGCTTCAACATGCAGCTTTGAAAGAGACTGTAATTGTTGAAATAATATTTTTATGAAGGAGTTTCCACTGAAAGATCACACAAACAGCTGTTACATCACTCTCTACAAACACACAATATAACACAGAAAATAACAGAAATTTTACCTCCCAGAGGAGGGAAACTGCTGATCTGGTTGTTATGTTTTGTGCTCAATGCCAAGTAATTATTTCCAACGCTAAATTGAGAAAATACAAGCAAACAAACCATTGAGGTCAGCAGAAAAAAAGACCCCAAACTTCTGAGTTCATAAAATTCGTATTTCCATTTCTCTGCTCTCAGCTCCATTATCAGGGCAGAGATACTTGAGAGCCATTCGCCTCCAGGACTGAAAGATTTTCTGCATCCCTTCAGCTTAGATCACTTCAAATTGGCTTTACTGAATCACTCCACTCAACCTCACAGCTGCACATATTTTTTTGGCTCATTCCCGAGGACTTGGACTCCTGTGGGTTTTGACCTCCTGACCTTCTCCATGTGCTTCCTCAGGTCAAACTTAACATTTCTAGCAATAGTTAGATCATCAGCATAGAGTTAATTCAGCCTGACACTTTCATATTGTGGCTGTGAGGATTGTTAAGTCCTCCAGACACTGACATGATAGTTTTATCTAGGGCTTTTGGGTCTGGTGGTGTAAACGTGGGTAAAACTGTTGCATTGTGATATTTGTTTCTCAAAATACTGGGCTTCCTTGTAAACGAAGAGGGTAAATTATACACACAAACACACAAACTGTTGGATATAAAGCCTGTAGAAAGTGTGTTGCACATTGTGTCCATGCCTTTGGTCTGCCCTCCCCTCACAGTCCGAACCTCAGAGTTGTTTCTTCTCGCTGACTCCTCCTCAGCTCCTCCGGTTGTCTCCTCTGCAGCTGATCGTCCTTCTCTGCTCTGATGTGGGCTGGAAGGGTCAGAGAGTGAGATAGAGAATCCCTCAGAGCTTCAGCCTCTCTGCTCTGCTCCTCTTTGAAGATTAAACTTCCATTTTAATGAAAGCCCTCTTTCTCACTCCACCGCCACTCCTCTCCCTCCTCTCCCTATATGCACACTGTGGGACAGAGGCTGCACTTTACAAACTGTTCCTGTTATTGAGACTTTTTGCAAGAATATTTTTCAGGGCTGCCTAGCACAAGTAAACAATATTCGTGTGCTACAAATACTAAGACAATGCAAAGTCAAAAACTCCTGAACAATAAAGTTCATATCTTTGACATTATACATCTTAATTATGGCTTTCAATATATCTAACAGAGATACTTATGATTTAAGATAGTCATGAAACAATACCTGATCAGATACTATGATCAAAACGATAGACTGTGGTAGATTACATCACTTAAAAATGTGTGTGATGATTCTGGTCTGATCTATTTACCACACATCTGTGCAACAAGATTACTATTGTATGAACACATGTTGTTGCTTGTTGCTGATGTCAACGCTTAATGTCACTGTTGTTTTTCTACACTATAGATTATTGCCATTATTATTGTTTCCTCTATATTTCACCTTTACTTTAAGGATGTGCCTATCCGATATTTAGATCAGATATCGGCTCTGATGTTGATATCAGCAACATGTAAGTCTTACTTCTTTTTGCTGTGTGCTAATGTGCAATTTGTTATTTGTAAGTAATTAGTAATTATTAAGTAAATTTATATCTGTGTTATTTGTTACCTTTTATATATTTTTTAACAAGGCTAATGTCAAGCCTGATACCTTCACTCACAGGGCAAAGTATACAGTTCATTCATTCAACAGTAGTATTGGATCGGTATCGGATATCGGCCGATATGCTCAGCCGAGGTATCAGTATCGGATTGGATCAGGAAAAAAAATGGATCGGTTCATCTCTGCTTTTACTTTGCTGTTTATCCTCAGTTAAAAACAGTGCAAAACTCTCATGGATGAGAGTCAGTGCTGAAAACCTTTAGACTGATAGACATTAAACAGACGAATACGAATTATGTGTCAAAATCGTACGTAGTTTGAACACTATGCTTTTTTGGTCTAAAAGAGGACTAATAGACGTCTAAATGTAGCCTAGATGACTGGTCTAAAATCAGACTGTCACAGGTCTGAAAATCAATCAATCAATCAATCAATCAAATTTTATTTATATAGCGCCAATTCACAACAGTCGTCATCTCAAGACGCTTTTCAAGGAACAAGAGCAGGTCAGGACCGCGCTCATTGTTTGATGATCAAGAACCAACCTAAGATGGGTTTTGGCCCATCTCAACTAACATGAGTAGCAGTGGCAAGGAAAAACTTCCTTTTAACAGGCAGAAACCTTGGGCGGGGGGGGGGTAGTCTCTGCAGCAACGGTCCAGAGGAGCCAAAGAGATGGAGGAGCTCAGGGCCCAGGATGGATGCAGCTGGGGTCAGGCAGTTCCGCAGCAGACCGTTTGCAGCTTTAGTCCAGTGGCAGCTAAAAGACTCAGAGACACTCAGAGAGACAGAAAACTGGTCAGTGACTTATATGGGACATAAAGATCTAAAGAGGAGATAGAGACAGACTCTAGCTCAGTGTGCCAGATAGCCCCGGCAGTCTAGGCCTATAGCAGCATAACTAAGAGCTGGTTCAAATCAGCCCTGACTATAGGCTTTATCAAATCAGACTGTCACAGGTCTGAAAATGAAAATGTTTTAGGTATCTAAATTTAGACCAAGTCTAAATCTGGGCTATATCTATACTATACTGTATATTGCTCAATAGCTATCATAATTATGTTGGTTAAGTACTTGGAGATCAGAAGTACTCTGTTGCTTTTTGAAGTAGTTATCGAATAATGGGTTAAAGTGCAACGTCTCAATTCCATCTATAAATATACAGAATCTAGACGGTTGAAATTAGTTTTTTTAAAAAAAACTAGATGTCTAATAGCCGTCTATTGCTCAGTGGGTAGCTGATACACAGGTGCTGCAACCAGCCAGAGTTTTGCATTGTTTAAGAACTTGGAGCATGTCACTCTTTGCTGTTGCAAATTGTCCACCTCCATGAAAATTCACTTTCCTTTTTGCATTTTAATGCCAGTGAAGCTTATTTTTACGATTATTGCCTGTTTAAATGATAGTCAGATATTTCTTAACCAAACCAAGATCAAATTCCTGCACTCTGGTGGAAAACTAAAATGTATTTTTAGTCAAGTCTTTTCCTTGGTACAAATTAAAATATAAAAAGACTGTTTACGCAGTGAAACTCTGTAGTTGAACAGTGAGAATAAACATCTTCTCTTTATGCTGGAGACTAAAATGAGGCACCAGAGACTGTGTTCCTTCTAATTTTAAAGCCAGAGTATTTTTGTTTCAGGTCAGCAGGTCACTCAGAGCAGCAATGGCCTCTCCTCTCCCAGCATGCACTACACATTCGCTTCTGTTGTAAAGCTGCATCCTCTCTTGTTCCAGCAGCTGTAGTTTCCTCCTCCCATTAGCTCTCACTCTGTCTGCATCTCTCTGGAGGAGCTCTTTCCTTTATTCATGATGGAAAGATGAAGCCTGAAATATTTACAACAACAAGAGGAGAAAAGTGTTTCAATAAGACATGAGCTGGAACAATGGTAGAGGGAGGATGAGGATGATGAGAGAAAAGTAGGAGGAAGAAAGTCTGAAGGAAAAGTTGATCCAGTTTAACAGCCAACAATGGAGGATTAACCAGCTTAATCCCGATTCCCCAGGTGGAGGAATAAGTGGTCAGGAGTAATGGAGGAAAAGAACAAAGATGTGAGCGTCATTGAAGAGTTGAACCCCTCATTTAGAGGATAAATGTGAACGCAGTGATTTTTTAATCCTTTAAAACAACAATATTGTAGTTCATTCCTGGAGCTGGAGCCAATAAAACCCAAAGGGAAATAACCAACAATATTCTGTTCTCAATGATCTGAAACAAAGAAAATCATCTGCTGCTCATAGAAAAGAGAAACGGAAAAGGATAAAGATTGTTTTCTGATTTGATAAATAGCTGAAAACGATTATTCAAACACAGCAATTGTTGCTCGATACAAAGATATGAGGTGCATTATTCCGCCTTGACTCTATGCTACATTGAGCACCACATACATATGTGTCTGAGCGTCCATGTAGCTTTGCAATAATCCACCTATAGATGGGCAATTCACTTGATTTTCATTCCAGTTACAATTATGACTCCTCAGGATCCTAGAAATATAATTTTGACTGAACAATACGGTGCTAGCTGCTTTTTCGCCCCTGCTACGCCATATACTTTAAATGAAGCACATCTCCTGTCTTCCTAAACATCAGATCGTTGGCGTGGCCTATCCTCCCCTCAAACTGCTCTCATTTAACTCCATCATAAGCAGCTCAGATCAATGTGAAACCAATTTTGGGAGGAAGTTGTGGTTCCTCTCAAAATTGATGGTGGACTGTAGGGACGGGCGATATGGGCTAAAAAATTTATCACAATAAGTTCTGCCATTCTGGCGATAACAATAAAAGTCCCGATAAAAAACTGCTTTAATTCCAATCCATGTTTTTGATTCATTCTGTCTTGAGAAACCCACAAACGTTGTTGGATGGCACTTACCAGTTGGTACAGTCAAATAAGATACTTAACCACAAGTTTAAAATAGTGACATCAAACAAGTCTGAAATGTGAAAACACTTTCAATAGGTACTCAAAAGTCTTATTGCACAGGGTGAACAGCAGCAGCAGCTCCACTGTCCGATGACAGGCATACCTGATGGCACTCGTCCAAGCCCCAATCTTCACAACCTTCGGCCATGTTTGTTTGTTATTCTTCTCTGTGTGGGCTAAGGCATCTGTCGCTCGCGCTTACGTCAGCAAGTTACTTATGTTTATTACATTTATCGTAAGATGGCAAAAGGTTATCATGGAGGATTTTTCTGACGATAAATCGTGAACAATAATTTCTGCCCATCTCTAGTGGACCGTTCAAACATATTGTGCAACACAACATGAACTGTCATGGGGCATTGGGTGGAGAGAGGCGTGGAGCAAGTGTGTGTATCCGTGGGAGTCTGAAAAGTCAAGGGACAGAATGAACACAACAAGAGAGAAGCTGTAAAGACCATGAGTGTGCATGAGCGCTAATGATCTAACAACTGTCTGGCTAATAAGTGAGAGACATCGTTGATAAAATACAAACCAGGCTTTGGTTCTGGGTTGACTCTTGTCTTATAGAGAAGTTGAATGTAAAGCTGTCTTTCCCTCATTCCTCTCTGTTATCGACATGAACTTTGGAGTGTCAGATGTTTCATGTTCTTTGAGCTGCTGCCTCTTAGGAATCTCACTCCTTCCTAATATTTCTCTTCTTTATCTGAGCACTGACCCACTTTCTCTGCTGATCACTCTCAGTGTTTGTCTTACACACTGATTATTTCCACTCATACGATGTGTGTTGTGAGGAGTACCAGTCACTGCCACAGTACACAAGCTCATACACCCACACTTAAGAAAGAAAGAAAGAGAGAGAGAGAGAGAGAGAGAGAGAGAGAGCTCTGTTTTCAGTGTGAGGGTGTCATGAGCATGATGTGCTGTGACAGCACTGAGCAGGCCTGTCTGAAGCTCTGAGGGCCACCCGCAGACACGGACACGCGCACATACACACGCATACACAGCGGAGAGGGGAAAGAGAGAGAGAGTGAACGGAGAATGGGTGGAGCAGCAACCATCAGACCAGCGAAGCTGCAGGTTTTTACTGCTGCTCACATTTTGTACATTTTGATCTGTACTGAAGTCTCTGTGTGTGAATTCAGAGTTAGAGTTTTCAAATTTTACACTTATCTAAAACACTGAGTTTTACCAAGTTTAGAAAAATAATAATAATAATAACCATTTAATTTAGGGTTCAGAAAGGTAACTAAAGTTACAGATTAACTTTGAACAAATTTTGAACCGATATTTAAATTTTGGTTTGGGTTAGGGGCCCTAGACACATGAGCCCTGCTGTTACACTCTCTCTCCCTCTTTTCTTCCAGCAGGATTAAGAGTTTTAATCATAGACTTTATATAGAATGGACAGCATCTGCCTCCTCACTGGGTGAAGCCACTCTGAGAACAGCACCCTCTGGTGACAGGCTGCAGTATAGGTCATAAATCCCGCCTCCGCCAGCAAAGCTTATGGGGCTGTTCGGAAATTAATTACACAGAATAAAATTACACAGTTCTGTATGTATTGCTTAGCTGCAAAACAAAGTGAATATGCTGTGTAATAGTGGGTAAACTACTAGAATAGAGTTTGCTCAGAGAGCACAGTTTGGATATCAAATACTTTAAAACTCAACTGAGCTAAGTAAATAAAAGAACAAAGTGTTTGAGGTTTCCAGAGTTAGTTGGTGTCATGTCCTTGATTAAATCTGCAGGAACGTCTTCATCAATATTTATTGTCTTTGTGCTATTTTGGAGTGCTGTTACCCCTGGTGTTTGCTCAGAGGGCTGAATGGATTGGGCTGATCAAGATGCTTTTAGTAACTGGCAACAGAGGAAGGTACAAATTTTAGAAAGGACCTCTTCAGAGATCTTTATTTTTTTTGTAAAGAAAGGATTTATTTGTTGTAGAGACAGAAGTCTTACACGAGGATAGGACATAATGTGAAGTCAGTTGTGTGGAAAAAACATTGGAGTTGGAGTTGCAGTAATTTCAAGACTCATCAAGTATCATTTGATGGCTATATTTGCCTTTAAACAACTTCTGGTTTAAGCAACATTTAGTGATGATCAACTGTCAGCCATTAACAATGTGCTGCATTGTTTACAGTCCAAATTGCAATATCAGAAGTCAATGTGTGTTTATCTGTTTATGGTGAGTCTCCGTTTCACTGTAAACAGTAAGTCACACAGAGGTTTCACTTTGGCTTATTGTACAGCTGTTTGTCGTGAGTCCACGTTTCATTGTAAATATTAAAGCCCAAAACCCACAGGATCTGTGCTCGCTGTGTTCTGGCAGTGCCACGCACCGTGAATGAATTTCCCTTTGGGGATCAATAAAGTTGTTGTTTGATACACAGCAAACATGTTCCTGTTCTCGTCAGCGCTCCATGTTACACAGGAAGTGCTGCTGTGTGTCTCTTTTCTGGCCTTTTTGGGACTTGTCCCAGTCAACTATGATAAAAACTAAAACCAACACTAACACCAGAAAAAAATAAAATTGAAATTAAATTTTTATTTTATAAAAGGAAACAAAACTTAACTATCAAACCAGAATTACAAATTTAAATCAATTTGGACCAAACTGGTGTTGAGAAGAAGCCCAGTAAATAATTCAATACTAAACCTGTTATAATCCTAATACATTAAATCCTGCTGGTATGTGATTGGTCAATACTAACTGGACTGTGAATGTATCGCATACAGAAACCAAAACCGTTTTCTACACATGAATAAATAAAAAGCACTTTGTTGTGTGGACAAAAGAGTGGAGGCTGAGTCCACATCTTAGCAGCCAAATTACAATTACAAGTCCAAGTGAGCACTTTTGGTGTATGAATTATGAAGATGTACTTGAGCGTTGAGGACATGATGTGTCATCCTTTTTAAAGTCTCACTCAGGAACACTAAAACTAATCACAGTGTGTTTATTTTGTAATTTCTTTTTCTGCAGGAATAGAGTTAAACAGAAATCCTAACTTATACCTTTGTACCTACTGTGACCCTCCTATATCACAGATTAATCAGCGATAAATACTTTCTTTTTTTTGGTGTTTTATTTGAATTGACACCTGCTGGATAAGCATAAACCATCTGTGAGTGTTCACAGTAACATGACCCAGTGAACGGTCAGCGCTGTGACAGAGAATCTTTTCACATCATTAAAAACGGACTATTGATGTTTGGCAGCCTGTGTACAACTGTTATTGATGTGTCTATTTTTAATAAATGTAGGCCAGAGTCACATAACAGGAACACATGGGGGAGCACATACAGATGTGTGTGTCCCTATTAGCGCTTTAAAGCCTCAGATTATGTGCAGAGCTGCTTGTTTGTGTGCCTCCATTATTGATCAGTGATTTCCCCGGTGTAAGCCTCCATCAGTGCTTTATTCTGCACTTTATCTCTGTCTAGCAGGGTAATTATTTTACACAGGGATTAGGATTACACCAGAGGGAACAAACAAAGTTTTTGAATCTGTAAATTATCCTCTTGCATAAACAACTTCACATTAGCTTTCATGAAAATTCATGTGAACTGATCAGGTTTTTTTTAACATTTCACTGCCTGGTGGTGAAACATTATGAGATGGAGCATGAATGCACCACAGAAATAACCAATAAAAAGGCTTTAAAACTATATGTATAAATGGTGCAATGATAGCATTGCAAAATATGCAAAACTCTAAGGAATAGAGTCAAGTATAATCTTTTTATTGTTTTAAGAATCTGATGCTAACTCATAAATACTAAAAACATATAATGGACATGAAACGGTGTCTTTTTTAATACTCCAAACAGTGACTTGAAAATGACCGTTAGCTGTGTGTCTTTCCTCAACACTGCATGCTTGTGTTCTTTCAGCGTCTTGCCTCTCTGTGTAGCTCTATGGTGGCTCAGACTGTGTTGACAGAACATGTTGGTAACACTTTACAATAAACATAATTTCTAAATGGTAAATAGATAGTTTATTAATGTTTAATCATCAATTTAAAACAGCATATAGACCAATTGTAAATGGCAAATAGTTTATTTATGTAAGTTAATAGTTACTCTATCAGTAAGAAGCAATGAAATTATGATTAATATTTTTTATTAATTATTAATGGACTATTTATTAAAGGTTTGTATAGGGTTTAAATATTGGTTGTAAAACATCTAGATTAAAATGTGTGTCAGTAGCACTTTGTAAATGGTTAATATTTGTTTTTTAAACCATCTATAAACATTACTTAGATGTTATTGTAAAGTTGTAACTGATGTTTGTAATACTTTGTAAATGATTAATAAGTGGTTCATAAACCACTCATAAACATTACTTAGATGATTATTGTAAAGTTAGGGTTAGCGATAGGTTTTTAAAATTGTAAAATTTAAAATTTATTGATGGTCCATATGCTATTTATAAATGATGATTAAACATTAATAAACTATCTGCTTACCATTTATGAGTTATGGTTACTGTAAAGTGTTACCAACATGTTGAATGTCTTTTGTTAAAACCAAGAAACACAAAACTTATGGTTCTGTTTATTGTCTTTTGTGTTGTTTAGGTGTTGATAAAGTAAATCATCCATTTTTGTTCACACTGACAACTGTAATCTCCAAAATTGCTCATTTTTGGCCTGTTCTTGCACAAGAAGCACCTTTACAGTCTGTTGCATTAAAGGAGGTAGACAAAACAGGATGCTATAGTGCTATTGGATAAAAGCCCATGTATGATTTTTATGTATTGTTTTTTCAATAACTTTTGAGTTTGTTTACTAGGTTTGACCAAAAATTATACTTATACAAAACATTTGAAGAAGGTTTTTTCATCTTTATTGTGGAGGCAGATGGGGCTTAGCCCTGCTGGCCTATTTACACCAGTCACCCCTGATGTAAAGTGAGTGGATGATTCTTGTACCTCCACTTTTACCTGACAACAGTCAATTAAAGAAATTCATGAATACAACGTTGATGTTCTTTAGCCACTAATTTACTACTTAATTGGAAGAAAAAGAAACACAAAATAAGAAGCATACTAAAACAGCAGCCGTACAGGTAGACTAAACTGTGTATTGGTGTTGTTCAAGGCTGTATCATATATTCTTTGTTGATAATCAGAGGATAAGTCTAATACTCAATGATTTGGTTTGCTGACTGATACGAACACCAATGTGTGTTTGTGTGTATCTGTTTGGTCTGAGTAAATTGGCTTTATCAGAGCTTTATCTGTTTGGTCTGCTGATCCTCTCTTGATCTCACTCTTCTCACCCTTCCTCTTGGTCTGTAATGATCAGAGCTGCACCTGATGGAGGATGTATAAGCATATTTGCGATGATGTCAGCAGTAGATAGGTTTCTACAGTGTGATAGAATAGATAGAATTAAGAAACACCGAACCAAATTCAAGTAGAAAATTCACTGATGTAAACTGTTGGTATGGAATGGTATGGTATGTTGGAATATATGTCCAGCTCTAGGTTACCTTTAGCTGGAACTTAACCTATGTCATGAAGAATTTTAGATCAGTGATGTATCTAATTTAAGTCAGTAAAATATTCACAATGCTTCAAGGAGAGAGCTGATGATCCAAATTTAGCTCTACCATGTTTAGATTGAAGTTTCCATTCACTGTGTTCCAGTCCTGTCTTTGTATTTATCTACACGGAAGTTTAGGAGCTGAGCTGTTAATGCTTATGAAAACATTATTGCACAAGACTCTTATATTTGTGTGACAGAAAAAAGAAATATACTTAAATGATTCAAAAGTGGCACAGTTTTTCTTTAATCTAAAAATAGAGAAGTTTTAATCTTTGACGTTTCGAAACTGTTATAATCCTCAAACAGCCTGGTGGTTAGCTTGCAGTTTTGTAACACTTCATGACACATTGAGTTCTCTAGATTTCTGATGTGATATCTATTTTCATACATTAATGGTTGAATGCAGTTAGTTGCCATAGGTTTACTGCCTGGGATACACACAGTCGTAAAGAATCATCTCTATCATCCAAGGTTTTCAAGTGGTTTGCATCCACTTCATAGAAATATGCATCCAAAGAAAAGTGTCGTCAGTCCTGTAAATAAATCTCCAGAACCGAACACTCGGCTACATTCATACTGCAGGTTATGATGCACAGTTCGGATTTTTTGTTAAATCCGATCTTTTTGTGCGGTTGTTCACATTACAACAACGAATGCGGCATCAAATGTGAATGGAATGCATCTGTGATGGGACCCGCATGCGCACAAAGCACAAATTGCTTTCCGCGCCTGTTTGTGTTGTCGAACAATGGTGACGTCTGTCGCATATTGATAACGTGTAGGTCGGATGAACGCGCCTAAACGTCCTGCAGTCACATCGGATACATATCCGATTTATATCTACATACAAAAGAGGCCTGGGTCAGATTTGAAAAAATCAGAATTGCACTGTTCACACTTACAAGAAAAAATCAGATATGTGTCACATATGGTTAAAAAATCGGAATTGACCTGCAGTATAAAGATTCTACACCTGGCATTCTACAACCAGCATTCTAGAACCAAGCTTTTCAGAACCCAGCATTCTAGAACCCAGTATTTTAGAACCCTCCTCCACTGTTGCCAGGCTAAAAAATTATAACCATTGAATTAGAGGGTGTTTCTCTTTTTCTCTTTATAACAACATTTTGGACCCCAAATCTGACCTGAAACATTGTGCTAAATAATTCACAGCCGTTGGCAGGTGTGTACCAGCAGAAGGCAACACTAAAGTTGTGCCAGTGCAAATGCAAACCAAGTGATTTAACAAGTTCTTGAGTGTGATGCAGCATTTACAGTATTTTATGAAAATATTTCCGTCAGTTTAAGTTTTTTGATGAAAACGACAAGTACAGCATCTCAGTGAAATCAGCTGCTGAGGACTTTGATTGAAATTTGAAGAAGCATCCAACTAAAGACAGCTCCACAATGCGGGTGCAGAGTGCTCCGACACAGAAATGGCTAGCTTTTAACTAATCTAAAACTGGTATTGTCACTATGAAGGAAATGAACAAGCTTATAGCTGGTTGTATAGGAAATGCTACTGAAATCCACTGTAGTATCTATGTCATGCTGTATGGGCTATAAATATACGACATGCACTCTGAGTTTGATGGGTCTTTATAACTCAGAGACTTCAACATGTTACTTTTACTGGTTAGTAACTTCAGATAATAATGACTTTCCTTTAAATGGTACAAATGTTCTGGCGGGTGCACCAATTTGAAATCCATCTTTTGGTCACTGTGTCAGATTAAGCCATCGCAGAGACATACAGTTTGAGGAATGATGATCTTTTTCTTGATCTTCTAGTTTTTCAAGATGCACTGGTAAAGTAAACAAACTTCAGAAAAGCTTGATAATGACCCACATTGGGAAAAACTGAAAACAAAATCCTGGCTGTGGTTCTTTTGGGAGTACACACAACATGAGGACAGTCCTCATGGGTATAACATGTGAGGGAGAGAGAGGGTGAGAGAGCCAGAGTTAAAGCAGCAGGAGGGAGTGCAGAGTGACAGTCAGGGAGGAGGGAGGGCAGGCAGCTCGTTCTTTCGAGCCTGTCTCTCCCTTTGAACCCAGGGATCCCGCTCCCACCTGGACATGTCATCTGGCCTGCGCAGGAAGTGGAGGAGTGCCGTGCAAGGACTCAGGACTCTGCGGGGGACAGGAGAAGGGAAAGGAGGAGAAGGAGGAGGGAAAGGAGGAGGAGGAGGAGAAGGAGGAGGCGCTGTGAGTGAGATGTTATTTTTAGTCCCCCCCCCTCGCAGGGCTAAGCTAATCCTCGGCTGCACAGCTTATCAGGATTGGAGGTAGGACACCAAGCAGAGAGGTCAGCAGTCACTCCTGTGGGAACCCTGCTCTGTCTGTGATGCCATTCGAACTCCCCAAACCGAGCCGGACCATGCTGGGTCAGGACTCTGGCAGGCAGGGACGTGGTTTTCATAAAGCAGAGGGGCCGAGCCTGCTGATGGAGCCATGAGTCTGCAGTGGCTGCAGACTGGCTGCTGGCACCGGTGCAGGCAAGCCAGGACGGGAAGGATGGGGGTCTCAGACGGATGCAGGGAAGGGGGAGGCGGCGGAGACGGTGGGGGGGCCAAAATCCAGCTGAGGGGGCTGGAGACTGAGCAGCTGAAGGGCAGCCTGGTGGTCCTCTACGCTCCTGCAGGGAACTCCTGTCTGCTCCGACTGGTGGGACGATGTTTGTAGAGTTTAGATCAGAGTGATGTGTGTTGTCTTGTGCTCAGAGTCTGCTCCAATGATCAAGATCTGAGTCGGTGGTCAGGCGTAGGGTTAGTTCAGTAGTTTAGAGCGTGGCTGTAGAAGTTATCTGTTTGTTTCTGAACGCTCACGATTTCATACTGTTGGTGAATGAGTGGAAAGACCCTGGAGTCAGCATCATATCTTGGAATAGCCCTGTTCTGGTTTGTGTGTGAAAGTGTGTGTGTGAGAGAGAGAGCGAGAGAGAGAGTTTCCCTCAAACTGCACGCGACCAGTTCCTTTTAACTCTGGTCCGCTCTGCATGATGCTCGCAGCTTAGTTATCGTGTCACTGGAGGAGACTGCTCTATCTAACCTGCCTCTGTGATTTTTACTTTCTTCATATTTTCATCGCTAGATATTTTTGTCTGCCAGATGGATGATAATGAAATAACCAGACCAACCTCATCTCTTTTAAAAGCACTTTTGTAGATAGGTTTATGTTTTATTCCTTACAGGGTAAGTCTAACAAATCCTACTACTTTTTAAGATTATTTCACTTTCTAACTTGTAGTTCCTACTTCATCACAGTCTGTTCTTAGTAACTTAATTTTTTTAATTTTTTTAATTGATTGCTGTTCTAACCTTGCTATTGCTGAGCACTCCATTATAATTTGAAAAGTGTTTCATGTAAAAGGTTATCGTTGTCTTCCTTTTCATGCTCTATTTACAGGTGCGTCTCAAAAATTAGAATATTGTTATAAAGTTATTTTTATTTCATTAAAAGTGGTAAACTTTTATATATTCTTTATTTATTGTATTTTCAAGTGGAATATTTGAAATATTTTATGTTATTTTGATGATTAATCTCTTATAATTAGATTATTTCCTTAGATCCACTAAAAAAAAAAAAATAGTGAAATGTTCAACCTCTGGAAGGTATGTTCCTTTATACACTTAATACTGGGTTGCATGACCAATAGGCATACTTTTTATCCAAGGTCAATTAACAGTCTATTTTAGGTCCAACATTTACACAGAGTCACATATCAGTTTGATGCTGTGTCACTAAAATACCAGTGCTAAGATTTCCTGACTCCTGAGAATGCATCAGTGATAGATCCAACCTGAATCCAACAAGCAGGCGCCTCTCGCATTGTACATTGGACTCTAACATGCATGCAGTCCATGGAAAATTAAGTCTTGGCATTGAATGTTATTTTTTGTTTACAGTTGGCTGCACCATGAATACAGAGAAGTTCACACGCTCTGCTGATGGCAAATATGGCTCTCAGACAGACAACAGCTAATTAGGTCTCAGGATTGGTTCTTAAAGCTCCTGTGAGAAGTTTTTGGACATCTTTGAGATAAACTGAAATCCAAATAGATGCCTTTTGATGATCTACAAGTCAAACAAAACCATCAGCGATGTGTCGTTGTCTCATACATAAATACATCTGTGTATGCTTTTTTAAGGTGCAACATCTATCACACTTTTGCATGTACGACCATGTGTTATGCGCATCATGCAAAATTATATTCGACATGGCACTTTATAATCGTGGGCAGCAGAGTAATGTACAATCAGCATACACTTTATATTTCTGTGCGATAATTTGACAATGTGCAATATAAAGAGGGCCTGAGCTCTCAGTCTACTAGCACTCACTTGGCACTTTAATTAGCACTCCAGGACTTTATGATACACTGTGTATAATTACCCAGCCTGTTTTATTTTGGACTGTATGTCATTAAGGTTATCCACGGTTCATGTATGCTGCTTGTCTTTTCATATGCTCTGTGTGTTATATTCCTACAACTGATGTTAGTTTTTTTTGTTTTATGTGGGACAGGGGATGGAAATTAGCTATCTATAATCTCATGTATTTACAAATATTTATTAATGCATATTGACCCATTTTTAAAAAGATAAATAAATCTCAATCTCAGTGCAAGGGGGTTGATGTCAACTGTAGCTAAGAGAACACCTTTTTTTTCCACATGAAATACTCACAATAAATGATCAGCAGGATGAGATTTCTTGTCAGACGTACACTGTTCAAGCTTTTGCAAGACAAGATAAGCACAGACTGTTTTGTCCACAAGACTGACACAAGTCGAAGTTTCTTCACAGGAGCTTTAAAGTTCTGCGAAGCAGCATTAAAGATAAATTCAATTACTTAAAAAAATTCTAATAGTAGAAAACGTGTACCTGTGGTCAACCATCCAAACAGACCTGGCAGTAAACCTGCCCGTGTTTCTGACATTTTACCCTCCTGAAGAAGCTCAAATCAGCAAAGCAGAACTGAGTGATAGGCTGACAAACTACTGATGAGTGTTGCTGATGAGGTCAACCTGCTGCTGACTGCTGGTTCTACCTTTGCAGTGTGTGTGTGTGTGTGCGCGTGCACGCATGTGTTTGCGCGTGCATTATATGAGGCACAGAGGACTCTGACACATACTGAAGTTCACTGAAGCTTAGATCAGCTGATGGCATTTTAACTCTGTGGTGAGACAGCAGAGAAAGCTGAGTGTGTGTCTGTGTGTGTGCGGTTTTGTGGGTTGTGTTCATTTGTGGAGGACAGACATGTTTGTAAATGTCAGTCCTAACTGGGTTTTTTTTTTTTGGTCATGTTTTGTGACCGGTCTTGGGTAATACACTGTCTCCTTATGGGTTAATGTTTTATTCATGACGGGTTTGGTTTGCGCTGTTACTTTTCATCAGTATTAGATATACGGCTCTGTTGTTTTGGTTCATGAATATTAATATTTACAGTATATGCTCATAATTGTGTGTGAGAGAGAGGGAGAGGGAGAGGAGGACAGACATGAATTTGTTAAACTCAGTGAGCAGACATGGAAAGCACTATACAGGAGCTATTCTGGAGACAGACTGATATGGATGTTTTGTGGCGGATTTTGGACAGAGATTAGGAAGGGACATATTTCATATACAGCCGATAACAGAGAGTCTGGTATTAATTATTACAGTTATAATTGTTTGCTTCTGTTAAAGTGATTCATTTATAACTAATACACATAAAATTGAGTATCGATGACAAACTTTTCATACTTTATTAGTCACCTGTAAAGTGAGCTGTGTCCTATGCACCAGCGTGTCCAATAACCCAGTACAAAATGCAGAGAGATGTGTTTCATTGTGTGGCAGTGCTTCATGGCTGAGTCTGGTTTGACTGTGTGATTGAATGAACCAGACTTTGGGTCAAGTGTGCTCTGATGTGAAACCACGCTCAGTGACAGGGTCGAGGTTTGTGCTGGTAGCCTCTAACAGGAACTCTAAGGTGGAATCATGATATTAGGATGACATTTCAGGCAGGAAGAAGGTCAATACTGCAGTGGAGGGATGATGAGTGTGCTAGTGAAAGAAGCAGCAGCCGGAGAGAGTTTGTCTGTATATTGAGTGCAATCTGCAATGACAATATTAAGTGTTATAATAGGATATAAGGTGCAGTAAAGAATTACATTAAAGATCTCCACCCAACAGGTAAAACATGCTCATTTTTAAGAGGAAAAACATTTATTATTTGTATTAAATATTTTTTTCTTATTTTTTGTAATAAATTCAGATTTTTGCTATCTGTTTATTTGAAATTATGCATGCTGGGAAATTTAAGGAGCAGCCCTAGTCTGGAGACTGGTCTGAATCTGGAGACTGTTAAAGGTATATTTCCTCTGAGCCCTCCACATCAGCCGGACCAGAGTTTCAGAGACAGCTGCTTTAGCCTGATTGTTGTTCTGCCTCAGGCCTTGGTCGTCACTGGCAGGTGCCTTCATGTGGAACAGCATTTTCCAAGGACAAAACTTAGCAAATTTGGCTTTTTTAAATTTAATTGTGGCTTCACTGTCTCATATTCAGTCCAGTGCACCAGAAATGATGCTGCCAAAATTATCTAAGACAAAGAAAAGAGTAAAATTTTCAGGGATCAGGAAAAAAATTAAAAAATGCTTGCACAAAATTTGGACTGACAAAAAATGTACAGTGCCAGTCGAATACTACACTATAATGATTTGCCAGTATTTACCAGCATTGAATGTGAAGATATGTTGCACAGTTGATGAAGCAAGTAGCTGCCATGGTTACGCTGTCTCCTTTTTAATTTTTGTCAGATTGGCAAACCAGCCATGTGATCACAAAGTTTGTTATGGCGTTTTCTCACCTTTTTGCCATTTTGCAACAGTTTTCCCTCAATAAACATTCAGCCAATCAGCTCAGCGCTCTTTATTATTGCAGCTCCACCCACTCTGATCACTGAATGGAAACTGAGAGGCTGCAGATCCTCTTTAGACGCAAGTTTTTGGATGTTTTTTGATAGCTGAAAACAAAACTTTGCTTTACACAAGACTAGGACATGTTGTCAACAGCTTAAACAACATTTTATGGGTAGTTTAATTTTTTCTTTACAACTTTTAAAGCTCAAATAATCAACCAAGTGCCTGTTCTGTTTGTTAGCTGCTGTATGAGCAGATTCTAGAGCAGGTGACCTTGTACTTAACCTTGTTTGTCGGTGTGAGCGAGTTCACTTGCCTGACTTGCCGTTGTTAATCTCTGCAGACTGTCAGTACCTAGAGGGTTTTTGGTCAAGTCTCGGGGGACTTACTTTCTCTGACTCTGAAGTTCTGACGTTGGAATAGAGGGAACTTCACACAAAATGTACATAAAAGGAGATAATGTTTGGCAAGATAGTGAAAAGAGTAAATGTGCAAACTTTTCTTAAAATATGTTTTGTGGAGTTTGGGCAGTTTGACTGTCATCTGTGAAGTTCACCTGAGACTACAGTGTGACCATTTTGACTCTCAAAGTGTGAGTTTTTTTGTGGGCTGTCTCATAAATGCTGTGTGCAGGTAAAGAAGCGCCTTTTTTTTTACAGGAAGTGTTGGTCAGATTAGAAAGAATCCTCAATATAAGAAAACTAGTAAATCTCCTGGAAGTGAAATGAAGACAGTATAAGTAAAACTGTCATCATGTGTAAGTTCTTATCAATCCAGGCTGTTAAACCGGTGTGGGCGTGCTCACATGCATGCCATGTTACTCAGCAGTGGATGGATCAGTGTGAGACAGTGAGAACTACATGTTAAGGACAGGGATTTAACTTCACCTGCAGGTTAAATTCAGACATGTTAAGGATTTATCTCCCTCATCAGGGGTCTATGGTGTAGTTTGTTTCTGCACTTTAGAAAGTTGTGTATACTATACACAGCCGTTCACTGTGTGTGTTTTTCTGCTGAGCGCAAACAGGGAAATGACAGAGTATCACTGATGTCCTTAAATACAGGTTTTCTGTAAATGTGTTTACCTCCATCAGTCTTAAGTAATCCCATTCACACACAGACGACACAGCCTGCGGGGACAATTCGGGGCTAAGTGTCTTGCGCAAGATCCCTTTGGCATGAAGACGGCAGGACTTGGGATTGAACCTTGCAGCTGAAAAATGACCGAATCTATCACTTACTTGGCATCTGCTACTGTTATAAGCATCACGCAGTTTTTTCTTTTTTTTCAATGAAGAATCATAATCATGATCATTGATATTGATATCAAGCTTATTAAAATGATTTTCTGTGACTTGAAATCTGCATCACATGCATTTAAGCTTCTCGAAACCTCTCTACAACTTCAAAAAACAAACTCTATATTTGGTGTAACTGTTAGCCACGTGACTCGGCTGTGTCCTCAGCTTCACCTCAGTCTGTTTTCAGATCAGCTGAAAATTAGTTGGAGTCAGCATTTCCACTATGGTGACCTTCAACTTCAGACTTCATAGCATCTTTTCTTACACAAGTGGATGATCACACTGAGGTTATATCCATGTCTTTCACAGGAGAAAACAGCACTAAATTTGTGTCTGACTGTCCCCTTAGAAAATTTAACAGTAACAGGAGGAAGCAGAGCCACGCTGGGAAACAGAGCAGCTCTCCATTACAGCCTCTTTCCTCTCAGACTTCCTCACTTTTCCGGTTTTCTGATATCCGTATTTGTGCAGAGTGGACAGCCTCCATCAGTGTTTGCAAGACTCACAGAGACATAGAGAGACAGGTAGAGACAAAGACGGATAGAGATGGACAGTCAGAGAACTGAGGTATTCAAGGATAAGGTCAGATGTTTGCTGCAGTATTTGTCCAATTAAAAAGCTCGCAGCAGACACACAGGCTCATGTTATTGACATGTTTCTGACTGTTCTTTCACAGAGGTCATTTCCCACACCCACACACACGCCCTCTCCATGTGTGTGTGTGTGTGTGTGTGTGTGTGTGTGTGTGTGTGTGTGTGTGTGTGTGTGTGTGTGTGTGTGTGTGTGTGTGTGTGTGTGTGTGTGTGTGTGTGTTAATCTGTGTTAGTCTGCCGACAGCCCACACAGATCTCTGTGTTCTCATAGTCTGATTTGTTCATGTGTGTCCAGTTCATATGTGTCTTTAGCCGAGTTGAGGCAGATATTTACTGCAGGTGTTTACAAAGCTGTTTTTATTGCTGTATTGATCACAAAAGACTTACAGCGGATTATAAATTTTTTATTAAGGGACATTAAAACATAACTCATTTGTACAAACATTGAAAAGTCTCTCCTTAAAGGTCATGCTTACACAAAAAAAGTGAAAATTCAAAGACAGAAAGTCTGGATAAGTCCTTTTTTATAGGTTTTTCATTTCCTGTTCATCATTAAACAACAGTTTTGTTTTTTTTTTCTGTAGTTTGGACATAAAATAAACGTAGTAAGAATGAAACACATGAATGCAAAAACATAGAAAAACGTACTAAAAGAAAAACAACCACAGCTCATTTATCGTACAGACAGAGAGCAGAGTTTCTGCATACTTCAAGATCATCAACAACAATTTAGTAAACATGCACTGATGTACTATGGCTTAATCTCTTTTGATATTATGTCAAATATAATGTTCAGTACAAGTCTACTAACAATGTGCATCCAAAATTAAAATGTTGACCAGTTATTAATGTCTAGGAGTTTGTTTTTGTTTCTGTGTTATAATTATTTAGTGTTACATTAAATTAAATTAAAGCTCAAATTCTCATTTTGTGACGTCTCTGTTCCATAGAAGTTATTCAGCATGTAGTACATGGAGTAACCCTCTTACTGTACTTAAACCTCTGAAAACACAGATCACATAAATATTTATGCACCCTGGTCATGTGTGTACTGATGTAAACAGACAGACAGACAAATCAACATTGGTTCATTACCCCCAAAACAGCAGAACTCCATATAGGACGGATAACACCACTCCAGTAATTCTGCCGATAATGCTGCTTTTCGCATCATGTTGCATCTTATTTTGGTTTCGTTTGTCATGCCTGTTGTTTGTCCTTTTGGTTTCATATGAAGCAGCTTTCTGCGTTTATCTGTGGATTTGATTGTTTAGAAATTTGGCTGAGAAGACGCTTTTCTATTTGTGACAACAGTTGAATTTTTCAGTAATGTTTGCATTCATGCCTTCTGCAAAAAGTGCCACTAAAGTGTTAATGCTTTGAAACACTTTACCTGTGTAGGATGCAATGATGCCGTCATTCATGATCATCAATGCAGATCTAAAATTACTGAATGGTGAATGTGTGTGTGTGCATTTTTGTTTATAAAAGTCTCCTTTTTGCCTGTGAAGTTTACCCATGTCTAAAAGTGTCTGAGTGTAGAAACAAACAGTAATCACAGCAAAAATTGTGTTTTAGTAAATAAAGATACAACATTTGGATGCTGCCTCAGTATTATTATTGTCTTTGTGTCTTTGTACTGTCAGTGATTAGTGTGAAGAGCATTGTGGGATGTTTGTGTGTTTGTTTTAGAGCTTGTTTTGTACTGATTATCTTTACACTGCTGAATGAAGTCTGTATCTGATGTGAGTAACCATGCTGTGTTTCTGTGTTTCCTGCAGAGCTCGGGGATGGAGGAGACAGTGTGGGAGCAGTACACAGTCACTCTGCAGCGGGTGAGTTCAGTCATCAAACCTCATGTTAAAACAACAGTCATCCATATATTCATCAGCCTGGAGCAAAACTTCGCTTTAATCAGCCCCCCAGAATCTGCAAACCTAATCTGGATTTAGGGAAACATTCAAGACCTAAAAAAGAACAGCAAACACAACGTGAAAGAGGAAATCTTCCAAACTCTTTAATGAGAAACCTGCGTTTTACCCACTCTCAAGGCCATGACATAACCAGCCAAAAGGATCCACGTTTAATCACTTCTGAGCGAAACACAAAACTAATTATTTCTCCTTAGTTATGACACACTTAAAGTGTTCGGCATCGGTGGGAAAAATCACTGTTGTCTCTAAGGTTGGACTCCTGCAGTGAAAATTAACACAAACTAAAAATAGACCCCTCCAACCCAGCTGACCCCCCCTCAGGCTGCTCCACCACTTACATCCACACCATCAGCCCTGTCTCTGTTTGTATTAAAACTGTGAAAAAAGTAGGGAAATCTTATCGTTTTATCATCTCGTTGATGATTTAACATGGTTTGTGCAGGAATTTGGCAAGTGTGACAAACAGAGTGTTTAATTAGTTTTCTGCCTGTGGAGACAGAAAGCTTAATCAACCATCAACCAATGACATTTGCATGACAAATTAAGAGTTTGATATTTGAATATTTTACTGAGAACAGGAACTTTTATGTTTCTATTAGCTCAGACTAAAAACAGGAATCATCCCCTTTAGAGCTTCAAGAAACTCGTACTTAGAAGTCATCTTTGAAAAAAAATCCCCATTGTGACTTTTTTGAGAGATAAAATCACAATTCAATTAAAACCACTTTAGTCAAAGAGAATTATTATTTTCCTGCAAAAGTCATATTTGTCATATTAAAGTCATAAAAGCAACATAGCTTTGCTCACATTCACATGCATGTGTAGAATACCAAAGACCAAGGCCTCTTTCACTACATACATTAAAGGCCAAGGCAGGGAGCTGGGGTGGAGGTGGGTTAAAAAGCAATTTGTATAGAGACAGGCTGAAGAAGTTTGAATAGAACCTCAATTTTAGCATTTGACAATTGCATGCATAGAGAGTAGCAGAGCAGTCAACTGATATGCACAGCCATTAAGGAGAGCTGGTGTACTGTGGACTCAGCTTGACTTCATGGCCTACCTGAACTGACACTACACGTCATTTGTGTATGATGACTCTTCTTACTTGTTCTTACTGGAATCTGAAATATCTCGCACATGCAGGAAATACCTTACATTTGTTACTGAGGTGTGAAAGTTTACCTTTTTGATATAAAGTGTGTGATCAGATTGTCTCTGTTGTTATGGGCTTTTGACCCGACAGGTTCAAGTATTTTACATCGCAGGATAAAAGCAGTTTTTGGCAGGACCCATACGCCTCATCACAACTTTAAAACCGTTATTAGCCTCTTTGTAAATTTCTCTTCAGATACAAAGTCAAGATGGCTCAGTTTAAATATGAGTAAAACTGTATGTATCGATTTCTCCTCTGGCAGGACTCTAAGATGGGTTTTGGTATCGCTGTGTCAGGGGGACGCGACAACCCCAACGTGGACAGTGGAGAGACGTCGATCATTGTGTCAGATGTGCTGCAGGGAGGACCAGCGGATGGATTACTCTTGTAAGTCTGACAGAAACACACTTCAGTGATTCATTGAAAATAATTTAGTGAGATTCCTCCAGTGCACTGTACAGAAATCATTGATCCGTTACAAGTTATGACTGTTCTGGACTTAGATTCAATTTCATCTTAAGACAATGAATCCTGTTTCATGTCACACTTGACAGAGTAAGTTCTTTCCAAAAATTGTTCCTGAAGTTTCACAAAAATTGACCTCCTGCAAATGAACTATTGCTCAATGGGCTAAAACTAGCATAATGGTATTAATACCACAATCACCAATGATCTTTTTATACCCACAAACCCAAAGAGCCATCAGTGATTCTACAAAACTTCATTTATTTTTAACTTGATGATTTAATATAAACCATCTCTTTTTTGTGTGCGTGTGTGTCTTTATTTGTGCAGCGAGAATGATCGGGTCATTCAGGTGAACTCCATCCCCATGGACAACGTGCCTCATTCCTTTGCTGTGCAGTCGCTTCGAAAATGCGGAAAAGTGGCCAAAATAGTGAGTATGAAAATCACATTATGAAAAAATGCAATTGTGTTTGATGGTTCTAAAACTTAAAATAAAATGAAATAAATTAAATGAAATCCTGATATTGTGGTTGAAAGAGTTATTTTGGGGAAACGGGATTGTTCTCTGTAAATGAACCACTACTGGAGTTGTGTGTTCAGTGTGTTAGCTATTTTCTTGAAGCCCCAAATATTGATAGGAATAGGCTGTTGTGTTTGTTATTGTTAAAGAGGATTGAGTAGACCTGCCTGTTTGCTTTGCCTGCTGTTTTCTAAGTTTCCAATCCAATAAACATTCAGTCATATCCAGTGAATGTCTCATTTCAGCCAGCTAGCTGTACTCTGCCTGTGTTTGTGAGCGTGTGTTTGTGTATGTTTGCACACAGCGCTGGCTCTGTAAACAGTAAACAGAGTGGCTTGAAGCAAGACACACACCACGATCCCAGCCAATTAGCAACAGGTGGTGTTCATGCACTCTGACTTCTGACCTCTGCTGGCTTCTTTCCTGCCTTCTAGCCTTCATCTTCACAGACATTGTCTCACTATGACAGTAATTAACCCTGAATGACAGTCAGACCACCCAAACAACTTGGCAGGAAAACATCATACCTGCTTCAGCATGTTTCACTGCCAAGAATAAAACATGTGCCAACTGTATTTTATCAAGCAAAAACATTTCCTCCTGTTATAAAACCTCACTTTTTCTCAGTGCTGCAGACTCCTCATGTTGGCTGCATTCCTCAGGTGTTACAGTTATTTACCTGGCAGTGGGAATTATGGGTTGGAAGCCATTTTCTCTCTTCTATCAGTAACTAAACAGTAGCAGACAGGCAGCAGCAGCAGGTGAAGAGTTTGCAGCAAAGGATGAACCGCCATTTCTTCCCACACGTATAGGTATAGGTCAAAGTTAACTTTTTTTATAATTATCTCTACACTGTGTGCATAATTAGTGTAAGATAAGGGCTTATCTCATGTCATCTCATATCGTCTCGTCATGTCATGTCATGTCATGTCCCGTCATATCATGTCATGTCATGTCACGTCATATCATGTCATGTCGTGTCGTGTCATGTCATGTCATGTCATGTCCCATCATATCAAGTCATGTCATGTCATGTCCTATCATGTCATATCATGTCATGTCCCGTCATGTCATGTCATGTCATGTCATGTCCCATCATATCATGTCATGTCATGTCATGTCCTATCATGTCATGTCATGTCCCGTCCCGTCATATCATGTCATGTCATGTCATGTCATGTCCCATCATATCATATCATGTCATGTCATGTCATGTCATGTCATGTCACACAGATGGTACTTGGGTGTCCCTACAAAAGAGAATTCTACATCATTTCACATTAAAATTTGTAACCACATAAGATGAACACACCCTACTATTGAACCAGAATCTCTTTCCTAAAGAAAGACCTACCCTCCTGCTTCCTCTGCAAACCACTTTACAACCTGCCTCCACCTCAGCTCCTCCTTTTATCAGTGTCACTTGTATTGTCTCTGATGTCTGCTCCATTCAGTACCTTGGGGGTCTTTGCTGCTGCTCTCCCTGCCATGTTTTTTTATGTGTTCTCCTGCTTTATCATGTGATATAAAGCATTTTATTCAAATTTTGAATTTTACTATTTCTTTTAATTAGACGGTGAAGAGACCGCGTAAAGTGGCGGTCCACTCGCTGAAGCAGCCCCCCTCCCCGGGTGGAGACAGTAGGGACTACACCCCCTCCACCCACTACTACGATGCGGACAATGACAACGGGTGGTATCGTAATGAGGGAAGAGACCACACCTCTGACAGCAAAGAGTACCTGGACCCCGACTACATGGGGGGACGGGACTACAACACAAGAGGTAGGAGCCGAGGAAGGAGCACGGAGAGAACCTCCCCCAGCCCCGACAGGTCCAGAAGAGACGGCAGCCGGGGGCGAGCACTTGACACCAGTGCAGAGCGCCAAAGGTACCACAGCCGAGGACGCAGCCCTGGAGATAGCTACCGTATGGAGGAGAAGTATGAGCGAGGAGAGGGAGGAGGAGGAAGAGGAGGGAGGTACAAGAGCAGGGACAGGCTGAATGACAACCCTCCATCTCCAGAACCTTCTAGAGAGCTGGAGCCGCTGGAGAAACCCGTCAATGTCCTGCTGGTGAAGAACAGACCCAACGAAGGTGAGGGATAAAGAAGGATTCCTTTAAACTCTTTTTTTGTTTCTTTTTTCAGTGTAGCATAGCGGATGTGTCTGTAGATGAATTATTGATCAGTCACCATGGTCCAGTTTCAGTTTTTCAGGATCTACTTATATAGATCTCCATGAACCTCTGTTTAGATTTTTATGGTTCTTTGTGGATTAACAGCAACAGCTTTGGTGGCTACATTATACTTTGTTTTGGCCACTAGAGAATCTGACATCTTGTTCGGATGATTGACTCTGTATAAAAAGTAAATATAGCAGTAACAATAAGAGAAGCTCTCTGAAACGTAAACAGTCGACAAAAGCCTCAAAGCTGAGTTTCCATCAAGTTGCCCAGCTCAGCTTGGTGCTATAAACAATTATTTGCATTTCCACTGTTAGAGGTTCGGAAAGTTACCATGACAACTGATCTATACAATTAAACTACAACTTCTTTGTCACTTCTTTGTCGAGGTACCAAGCATATCTCTGTGCTCAGACTGCAGTCAGTTGATTAGTTAATCAATCCTTCCTTCCTTCCTGTGTGACAGGGTGATAATTGACAAACACAAACGTGCTTTTCTTGAAATCCCTCAGGCTTGGAGAGAGTTACTTAAAGGCTGTTTTCATCCTCCTGAGCAGTCACATGGCAGGGAGAAAGAACACAGAATGCCGCCATATGGTGTATCTAGAAGGACTTTAAACATGGGCCTGTCTCGCATGCACAGCAACATAAACAAGATATTGATGGCACACTTTTTTGTTCTGATGTTTTCATTTTCATGATACATCAAGATGCCCTGCACCGTTTATTTCCTTTCAAACTATTGGTCTGGGCAAAATTTCCTTCTGAGACACTTAAATATTTACAACCTGTCTCCACCTCAGTGCCATATGTATTGTCACTGGTGCCTTTCCTGGGGGTCTTATGTACTGCTCTTCCCATCTCAGGCTTTGGCATTTCAAGTCTGTTGACAGGCAGTGAGCTCTCAGAACAGGGCCATACCATCAAGTATGAGTTACTGATGACATTTGCAATCAGAGACCTCAACAACCTGCAAGCTTTTATTGATGTAACTTATTTTCACTTTGGAAATAATCTTACAACGCTCAATGGGGTTCAGTCAGATTGTACGTACCAACACTGATTATAAAAGTAGTATTGTGGACATGCAGTCTGTGACCTAAATGTAAGCTTGATCTGTTAGAATTGGTTAATTAAAATATTTCATACTGTTGTTTGGTCCCTACTTTTTGCAGAAATCACCTCCACTTGTAATATAAGTGTAAATGTCGTGTGTATTTTGTGTATTTTGTAGAGTATGGTCTGCGTCTGGGGAGTCAGATCTTCATCAAACAGATGACGAGCACCGGCCTCGCTGCCAAAGACGGAAACCTGCAGGAGGGAGACATCATTCTCAAGGTGCACAAACTTTTTTACACTGCTTTTACAAAATCACATCTCACATGAACGGTATCTGCATTTTCTCAAGTTTTCAATAGTATTGGTCTGCAGAGCTGGAGGTTTCAGTTTTAGGACTGCAACCTTAGAACTGCGTCTCTGGGACCCTGTGTTGTTGCCATGGTAATGGGTATAAAGAGGGCAATTAGGGGCCTCCTCAGTAATTAAAAATGCTTGTTACAAAATAAAAATAGCAACATTACTTACTTAAAATGAATATAGGACCCTGAAAATACTCTGTGACGTGCAAAGTCTTCATCTAAAATCAATATAAAAGACCTGAATCACTTTTTCTACATAACTGAAGGATGTAGTGGTCAAATAAACATCTCTGTGTGTATCTGTGTGTGTGCAGATCAACGGGACAGTGACAGAGAATCTCTCTCTGCATGACGCGGGGAAGCTAATCGAGAAGTCGAGGGGGAAGCTGCAGCTGGTGGTCCAGAGAGACCGCCGCCAGATCCTAGTGCGCATCCCTCCCCTCGCAGACTCCGACTCTGATAACGACGGTAAGTCCCTGAATACACCACATGATGTGTACGGAGGTGTGTGCAGAATTGATCCTGTGTTATAAGCAGAACAGTGTCTCCCACAGACGTTGGCACTTCTGAGGGGAGGTGATCGGTGTCTGTCTGTTTGTGACCTTTGATTTAACCTTTTTTGTCGGCAAGTTTTGAGCCTGATGTTACTCGTTTTTGATAACCAGGGCCCGCTGCATGATGATCTAACCAGAAAACCTCACTAAGAGAGGTGAGTCTGTGGGAAACACTGTAAGTTGTGGATGTAAAACTCTGATGTAGGCAAAGATAATGCAGAGTTAGGTTTGGTTTTTCAGCTTTTAAGAGTTGTCTTGCAGAGTTGAGTTGTATCAGGCGCTCATGGAAATCAAACACAGACATTCTGCACATTCAATATATGGAGGTTCAGCTTCCTCAGATGATATGTCATTATTGTCTTATTGCAGATAAATTACAGTTCTCTCCGAAATGTTAGAAGCTAGTGGGTGATATAAAATATTACATCAAACATAAAATATTCCAATTGTACGCTTAAACCTCATTTATCAGAGTGCATAGTTTAGTCCTAATCTAGATTTTGATTTAGTTTCAGTCGCCTTTCTTAAACTGTTCGTCATTATTTGAAGATGTATATGTTAGATTAAAGGGAAAGGACTCTCTAATTCATAGCATCGCCTCTCTAGGACAGTGAGGAGGTCTTAGAGTTTACAGTATAGCAGTTCACAAAGTCATTTCTGCTTGAGCTGTAACTTTAATAACAGGAATAAAGTCCTAAAGCTTTAAATCTACAGTTACCCAGTATGTTACTTCATTTATTTCCATAGATTCATGATTTATTTTAATGTAATGTGGTTCTAATCCTCCATCAAAGCTGTAAACTAGTGGACAGTAAGGCAGAAAGACTGAGCTGACCGTTTATATTCAAATACATGTGTATCTTAATTCATCAGACCTCCCTTTAGTCTGTCTTATAGCCGCAGTGAGCCATAAGATCTGTCTTGTCTTCTTACTCTGTGACTGAGGCTGTGGTGGGGTTAAACTCAGGTCACGAAGGATTCACCTCAGGAAGCTTAGCTAGATTACCAAGAGAGCCAAGAAAAAAACACGGAAACAAAAGATTAAGTGAAAGAAACATTTTTGTTGCTCTCAGTTTATGAAAAAATTCTCTGAAGACACTTTCTAATTAACTAAAGCTCTCAAAGGGGCACTAATCCATTTATTTATCCACTATAAGAATCTCTACAGGCTGAGGCTGGATTTTCTTCTCACAATCACAGTCAGAGCTTTAATACATCTTTGCAAAAGCCACAACAACCATGCTTTTCCTTGATAACACTGTAAATACTTTAAAACAGTTATAAAACTTGAGGATATCATTATTTTCATGCATATTTTTATGTCATGTATTGATTTCTTATTGAAAAGTATTAAAGTTCTTGTGCAATGTTTAAGAAAGGTAATTGAAAAAGTTGCTGAGTGACACACTCGAGCCTTGGTACAAACGCAGCATGATAAATAAAAGGATTTGTAATTAAAATGCTCTCAAGAAAGATTTCAGCTGGTTTCTGGAGACATCCAGTTAAAAATATGAGGCATCCAGGCAGCTATAAATACCGTCTGAACCGAAGCAGTCTTGAGTTTCTGCAGCTGCTCAGAGAAAAGACAGAGAGAAAGAGACAGAGAGAGGCCAGCAGCAGGTCAGGATTGAATCAGGCTTGAAGACAGCCAGGAGAAAATCTGAAACGTAGACGATCATTTTGTTTGAGAAGTGCTCATCTTGACCCGTAGAGGCGATCCCTGTCATCGCTCAAAAGCATCTCTGTCTGTGTTTTCTCTTCCAGATAATATGTCATACTTTTAGATGAAGGACCAGCGCAGACACATGATGTGTAACAATCTGTTGCCTTCTTTCTCTAAAACGGCTGACACACACCCTGACTAAGTCGTAAAGCTTTCACACCTTTTGCACTTCTCTTTATACTGCTTCAGACTTAAACTTTTTAATACATGATTCATTTTCCTGAATAAATAAATAAAGAAACTTTTTAATCACTATATACTTTGAACTGTGTGATTCATTCAGTATAGAGGTTAAAAAAATTGAACGAGGGCTGTGAGATATGTTTTTATCTGAACGTTGAATCCTGATGCTGCAGAAAGAAGGTGATGATTTATCTTTGTGAACACAGAGAGTTGCATGACAAAGCCTGGCTCATAAAGTGGGTAAGATGTTCATTGAATATCAGTGTGATAACATATTAATGATTTGTCCTAACAGCGTAGAAACTCGCCGTTGTCTGTCCAGGTGGTAAATCTGATCTTCCTCTTCTCACTGCTGTCTCTCACTTCATTTTTATTTCTCACAAGCATACTCATACTCATACATGACGCTGCTCTCAAAAATCACTGCACTCAAACATCCCCCGTCTGACTCCCCCTGTACTTTGTGGTCTCTGCGACTCTAAATAGGTGACTTCTACGCAATCAGACAGATTTTACAACCAGAGTATTCGCCCCCTGCTGGACATTAAAAAGGATACAACTTTGACGTCTATTTCTTAACCTGCTAAAAACTCCTCACCCTAGCTTTAAATCGTGGTATACAGTGTATGTATAGTAAGTGTGTGTTCAATCCTGTGACAGAAGCAGATTTCATGGTAACAATCAAACTTATATGTTGAAAACCTTAATGTTTTTGAACCAGTTGAGGTCATTTTTTCACCATTATCATGCAGGAATTTTGTTAAAGATTCTTTGAGGAGTTTTTTATTTTAACAAAATAGACGGAAATTAATATTGAAGCCTTTCTATGATACCTGACAAGATTAAGAGGAAGAAGAGGAACTTTGTTGATACCCAAAGGGAAATTCAAGGATTTTTTAGACACTAATTTTAATGCCTGAAACCAGTGTGTGGGGGATAGGTGTCTGCTAAAAAAGACAGCTCAGTTTTTACTATTTCTGAAAATATACACAATAAACTATATACAGTATTTGACTGCTCAAGCATGTAAAGGTCAATAAAAGCAAAGACCGCTTCATCCAACAGGCACAAACAAAAAGTTCCTTAAAGCTTAAACAAGAAGCAAGGAACTAGATCACTTCACTTTAACTATTTTGATATTACTCACATTCACATGCAGAGTGTTTCATTGGACTTAAAACCGAATTATTTGTTATCAATTTTGTTTTATAGTCTTTGGCTTAAAGTTGATCGTACAACTGATCTTAGTTGAAGGTAGTAGCCTTCAACTTCACTGGTTTAGTAGAAGTATTAAAAACATAGATTAAAAGTATTAGTACATGGCTGTATTTTAAACCCTTTCAGATGACCGTGTTCTAAATATTATCATCTACAGCATGAAAATAACTCCATCCACTGAGGAGAATCCAGGGTTAACAAGGTCAAACTCTTAAAATGTCAGCCAAACACGTTCCTGAAAATATGACAGCACATGGAGCAGATTTAGCCTCGTGCTGCTTCTGCAAATGTGCACAAATTAATCCTTCAAAACTGACTCTACAGAATAGACCTGTATCTATCTATCTATCTATCTCGGTGCTTTTAGGAGATGCAGAAGATAATCATGTATGTACAAAACCTGGGTATCCTTCGCTGAACTCATTCTCCACATGAAAAGAACTAAAAAGATGAATAATTTAAAAAATAAAGTGTGTTTTTCATATTTTTTTATTGAAATTTGTTTATAAAAAGATTACAGGTTAGGATTTACAGTTAATTCTGCAATCAGACCCCCAAATGTTAAGTTTTTCCAGTGATTTAGGCACATTGCTATCTGAAGTCCATTAAAGATACTATTTAGAAGCTTGTCAGTCCAGTGGTTGTGTTGAAAACCAAGAAAAGACAGTTTATGTGTCTCACAGTGACAGAGCAGAGAGTTGTGGAGCAGCTGATACCGCACACGCGTGTTAGTGTGAATTTGTTGGTAGTCAGCATGTGTGCTGGCTCTGGCGGGAGATGAGGAGTGGTCGCTCACCTGGAAATTCCCAGATGCTCCTCTTCCACTCAGATTCTGATCCAAACACTCACACAGGTGAATCGTTGAAAAATAAACATGAATGACTTAAAAGATAAAGTACTAAAATCCACTCAGGGTGTCATTCTCTGCTGCTCTAACCTGAAACAAATGAATAAAACAAAGTAAAGTGTAGAAGTCCACCAGCAGCTACAACACACTGGAGATGAAGCTCTCCTTTAAGGGTGATTCTGTATCTTTAAATCTGGGTTTTGAGGTCTAAACGAGAATGATGTCGGTAAAAGGTTTAAGAATCGCTCCTGAAGCTTGCTTCACCTTTTGATCCTGGAGGGCTCAGATTGTTATTCTAACATCATAGACAGGATCCCTACAGATATGGGCTTTTAAATAGAAATCAAATAAGAAATCAGATAAGACGATAATTTTTGCACCAGAATGTGATACACAAGCAGAAATTATAGTGTAATTGGTAACTGGTGATAAGACAAGCATATAATTCACACTGCCAACTTGTGTTTGGGCTTCATGATTGAGAGTGACAGAGACTGAATGCACATGTATGTCGACCTCATGACAGCATATGCCACCAAGGGATCTGTATAAACCAGGCTCAGTGCCAGATAGAGGACAAAACTGTCACACAGGGCGTCATGTGTCTATGTGTCTTTGGGTCAGTGGTTTCATGATTCTGAAATGGATAATGAAAACTGAAATTTTTCACTTCATTTTATAAAAAAAGAAAAATCTAAATAAAAAAACATGAGTTGATTTTCTTTCTCATGGTCCAAAACAGAGGAGCAAGAGTTTAAAAATGTTTAAAAAAAAAAGGTATTTCTTGAAGAAGGGGCTCAGTTTTGTTATGGATATCTCACTGCTACTAATGTGGTAGCTAGTAGAAGATAAGCTTTATTTAGTTTGTTACCTGCTTGTTCTGTTTATGTGACGCAGTTTGGAGTCACTCTGAATCAAACGACCAGAAGATAGTCAGTCCGTCATTGTGAATTCATTTTGCTGCATTAAGATAAACTGAACGAACAAGAAACGTGTCCCACTACACCACGGGGCTTAAATGTAGAAATGGTGGTACTGCATACCAAGATGTGTCAGCCTAGTGAAAGCTCTACAGTGTACAGTCACTGGACTTTTGGTAATTTATTTTAGATCATTTCACAGATAAAAAAACTTGCAGTAGAACGTAAGCAAATGCCTAAATTACTATTTATTTGCCCACCTGTAGAAGACGGACTAAAACTGTCAGTTTCATGTCAACACTCCGTCCAAATTTGTCGCAGTGAAATAGACTGAAGTTTGTTTTCTGATGTAACATTTGGACACACTCTATTTGACACAATCTCCTGACATTTCTCTTCTTCATTCGTCTCTTGTTTCACATTCCCTTTTCTCTATTTATAGATGTCTTTCTCACTTTTCGTACTCTGTTTCCAGCCCTGCATGCAGATTGTCTCTCTAACCCTAATCAAACTAATTAACACCTACTAGACTGTGTCATGTGAAACCGGCCGTGCCTCTCTGACCTCTAACTGCTGTTAAATTAAGGGTAAAACAATCTGCTTAAAGCCGTGATGAGATGGAGCAGTCCTGTTTAAGTTGACAGAGCTGCTGGCTGTTAAAGGGGACTGTCATGGCGTTATGTTTCCAGATTTATCTCTGCTCTCTTTTATGTTGTCGTTTCACACCTGAGTCCTCAGATGTGTCTTTTGTTTTTTTTTTGTTTCTCAGCTTCCTCCTCCTCCCTCTCTCTGCAGAGCGGTGAGCTGAGTGCCACGCTCTGACAGATAAAAGCAGCTACATCAAACACTCTGCCGCCCCTGTTCACGTCAATAATAAAAAAGGAATCACAGAGGCTGAATGAAGGCTGAGCGGTCTCTGTAGACAGCAGGATTGTGTGTAAGCACTTTCAGCCTGCTTGTTTCGAAGCTATAAAGCAGTATGGATGCTCTCATGTGGTCTGAGCCACCCTCATGGATCCTTAGAAAGCGTCTTTAGGAAGTTTCTAAAAAGGGATTCACTCGCCTGAGATTTACTATATCCATTTCAAGCTACAACATACATTTCTTTTTCTACCACTTATCAAGGTCACAAATACTGCAAGATAAAAGTGCATCTCCTCCAGGAGCTGGATGGTTCCTGTGGTCCATTGTTATTTGTAGGTCCACCATGGCTTGAAGTTACATAGAGACCATGCATAATTGGCATGAAAGCTGTCTTACTTTCATAGACTGTATATACTATGGACAACTTTATTCCGCCTTCCGCCAGTATATGGATTTGAAGCCAAAAAGCTCTTGGTAATTCTGTGATTTTTTTTCTCCACTTCCCGAAACCAACATTGCGCAATAGCCTTGTACGTACTCCATTTGCGCAGTAACATTGTGCGCATTCAGCGGGAGAGTTGCCGAGAGTCACTGTGATGTAAGGTGACCAGACGTCCCCGATTTCCGGGGACAGTCCCCGAATTGAATGACCTGTCCCCGGCAAAAGCTGTCCCCGAAAACTTAAGCGTTTCATGAATGAGAACAAAAATGTTACGTGTAGGCTCGAACAACGGTTATTACAGTAGCCGAATGGGTAGGAAGCACAAGTAAGCAGTCCCGAACAACAGTTTTTACGGGGGCTATTACAAGGGGCGTGCGCTGCTGCAAAATAGTACCGAGATGTCATCTGTGATCACGCACCAGATGTCCCTGGATTTCATTACAGAAATCTGCTCCCCTTACTGTGATGACGCTCGGCTCAAAGAGCATATCCCCCGGGTGAGCTACGCAATCTTGGTACGCCAATAGGCTGTATCAGGTGTCAATCATAGAAAACATGAACCCCCTAATAACTTTTAAAAATGAAGCTGTACAGAAAAAAGAGGACTTGAGGACAAACCAGTCTTACTGTAATTGCATGTCAACATCACAAGCGGGGGGGGGGGGGGGAATTCATATCCAGTGTAATAAATTTCCAAAGTTTGTCCACAGCTCCATAAGCTTTGCTGGAGAAGGCGGGATTTATGACCTATACTGCACCAGGGTGTGCTGTTCTCGAAGTGGCTTCACCCAACAAGGAGGCAGACAGTGTCCCTTCTATATACAGTCTATGGTTACTTTCTATTACATTACCCCATGTTACCATAACATGACAACATAATCCTTAGGGATAAGATTTGATAAGGTATGACACAATATTATTGGAAGGATTACTTTGCCCATCTGGTCTAGGAACATGACGATTCCTTGGAAGGAGCTGGAAATCTTTGAAGGTGAAAGGACATCAGGGGGAGCTCGATTAAACAAGCAGCCAATGCATCTGAACCCTTAGAAGTGCATAGACCTAATACATGTTTGATTATGAAAGCTGGTGCTTAACACAAAATCATCAGAAGAGACTGTTTTTGTTCTTCTGATCTGTTCTTGGCTGAAGGCAGAGTGTTTGACTCAAAGCTACTTTTATCTTCAGTCCTCAGCCATGGCGTCAGAATTTGTCCTCTTAACTCTGACAATGTCTCTGATAACTTCCTCAAACTTTCCTAGGCTGTAATTAGCCGGTGTCGGGGCTTCCTTAGGAGACCGTTTGGTGGTGGTGGTTTTGGTGATGGTGGTGGTGGGTTTGGTGGCACGCGGTCTCAGAGGGGTCTTAAGCTTTAAAGCTGTCTTAGCCTGACTAATTTGTGCTTGTGTGTCTGTCAGACATATCAGAGATGGAGTCCTACCATTCCTACTCTCCGCCAGAGGAAAGGAGGTCCCGGCAGTCTGACCTGTCCTCACATTCGTCCAATGAGAGAGAGAACCAAAGGTAGGACGGATGGAGGGTGAGGTTTTTTATATTCAGTCTCAAACTCTGATTCAAAGTCAATGGTGATAAAATCTAAGCAGAATGTATTTTGTGTGTTTCACAGGGAAGAACCCATTAAAACAGCCAAGATGGCCGCCATGGCATCCCCGTTCAGAATACCTGAAGACCCCAAAGCCTCAGCTGACCCAGAAAAAGACAAACCTCCACATACAGAGGAGCCTCAGGGTACACACTTACATCGTCCTTTTAGCTCTGACTTGGTCTCCACTCCACTTTGATTCTAGTTTTTTTATGAGTTTCATCCGTATGGGACCTTTCATTTGGTGTGACAGTTTTTTTAGCACTGGCTTTTTCAATCTGGCTTAAAGCATGAGATCATTTCCTAAAGTTTGCTGTGTATTGACTTAAACTGGACCAACATATTTGCTAACATTTAAGATTTCTTATTTCTTCTTTTTTTGTTTTATCTACAGCTGCCACATTAACCACACCAAAGATTCTCCTCCGACCGAGTCCAGAAGATGAAAAAATTTACGGGCAAGTTTCTCTTTTATTCTTCACACAACTTTTGGCTCTAAGTTTCCCTGTCATACTATTTAAGAATTAATTGTATTCATAGTAACTAGGGCTGTCGAAAGATTAAATTTTTCAAAATTGCGATTAATCGCAGAATCTTCATAGTTAACTGCGATTAATCGTGGTTTGAATTGCATGTTTAAAACTATTTTATTTTGCATCTCAAGGCAGTTTTAAGCCCATGATATAAAGTATTTCCTACCTCAGTCTTAATTGGGAATCAAATCACATTTCAACTAGAGCCACTTTAGCCAGTAACTTAAGCATTTCTGTGAAATTACTCATATTTGGTGGTATGGCAGGATCAGCTGATATACTGTGGGCAGAGCTTAACTAAATTGAAATCAACATGGACTTGGAGCTGAATACACAGATGTGTATCCGCACAAGTTAAACTTCAGTAGTCAAAATGTACAACAGTACAAAAGAATCTTTTTTACTCAAATTTAAGAGTCAGATTGTGTGAAAATCACCCACAGTAGTATCATTGGAGTTAATCTGACCATATTATTCATGTCAGCTTGAATTTCTCTCCTCCAGGCCAAACACAATAATGGTGAACTTCCAGAAAGGAGACAGTGTTGGTCTGAGGCTGGCAGGAGGAAATGATGTCGGCATCTTCATCGCCAGTGTTCAGGAGGGCAGTCCTGCAGAAGAGGAGGGGCTGCATGTCGGAGACCAAATCCTAAAGGTACCAGATTAAGACACGTTTTTCCATTCAGGAAACAAGCCTGAGAGTCAATTATGATGTGAAGGTTAAACTCCAAAAAAAGATAACATTGAACTAGCTGTGATTTTTGTGCCTTTTGTGTTTTTCAGGTGAACAATGTTGATTTTCAAGGTGTGGTGAGAGAGGAGGCGGTGCTATTCCTGTTAGAAATTCCCAAAGGGGAAGTGATCACCATCCTGGCTCAGAGCAAACCTGACGGTAAACATTTTATCCACAGACTCCAAAAGAAACTGACCTGAAGTCATGAGTTAAATTTATCACATTCATTCAGTCAACACCAGGCACACAGTTTGATTTTGACTTATTGTTTAAAATGAACACTCAATTATCCTCTAGCATTATTAGGTCACGACTTCTCTTTGAACTTTAGTAATTTATTGATTTAAAACTTCTGTAATACTAGAACATCTAACACTGATTAACTCTTCTTGCTCTTCTTCTTCATACACACACCTTTGGTTACACTGCAGACTTTATTTCCAAGGCACTCTATCCCATGATACAAACTATATTCAGGTTGTCTTTAGTTTACTTAACAAACGATCACTGTTATGTGCTTCTCTGTTTAACCTGAGGAGGATTTGTTTTTATTATTTGTTAATCATTTGTTCCAAAGCTGTGCCTTTCCTGGATTCCTGGAAAGTGGATCATCTCGTATCAAATCTGATCATTTCCTTTTTCCTCACATAATGTAAAAAAACATAACCTATGGTATCATGTTCCATAATATTGTATTGTATTAAATGGTATTGTATCGTAACATAGAAATTCAATCATATGGTATGCTATTGTCTTTGATTTTATCTTATTTTAGTGTATTTTATCATATCCTGTAGTAAGTTATGGTATGATATTGTTTCTAAAAATTAAAAAATTCAACCACAGTGTATCATATCCTAAAAATTATATCCCATGGTATTATGTGGTGACGTATTGTATCTTAACTTGTTTCATATCATTTTGTACTGTAATATATTGTACTGTATCATGCCAATCAATTAATCAATCAATCAGACTTTATTTGTATAACACTTGTCATATAGTAAGATGTAGCACAAAGTGCTTTACAGAAAATCACTAAAACCATTAAAAAACAAATCATTTAAACGTTAAGATGATACATGCACATGTAGATATTCATGTATACACAAAGTACAAATAAGTAAGACATAAATAAGACAAAACAGTACTTTATCAAACTGTTATTTGTAAAACACTCGACATTTGTCGGGTCCTTAAAGACTTAATACATTTAGAAACCTTATAACGTAATGATTTCTATCAGTCTTGTCCTGCAGACTGTCTTCAGGGAGCTTCACTGAACTATATACTGACAGATATAATAAAATAACCTACTTAACACAAAGAGGCATGATATTTCACCTTATGTTGTGAAAAAATGAATTTCTGTAATTTAGCAAAAACAGCTAAGAAGTTAGAATAAGTTTAAAGTGACTTCTTCTCCAGTAGATACATCATATTCTTATTTTCTTCTCCAACAGGAACCAAAGTGATCAGAGCTGAGCTTTTGTTTCTTTCAGACTTTTTAACAAGTGCCACAAATCATCAAGTGACCATCTGAGCTGGTGCTTAAAGGTTGGGCAGTGATGAAATGAGCTGTGACAGTCAGGCCAGATGGAAAGTGTTAATCAGAGCAAGATTTAAATGTACTCAGTCGTTCTTTTCCACAAAGTTTCTCCAGCTGTCACACTCGTACCCCAGGACTCCTGTCCCTCTCTCTCTCTCTCTCTCTTTCCCTATGTCTGCCCCTCTCTAATGTTTGGATTTAATGAGAGAGGTACCAGCTTGGTCCCCTGAAGGCCTTAAGGCCGGATCAGGCTAGTTCTGGTTCAGCCAGCCATGACACACATGCAGCCACACAGACCCGTTCAAGAACACATCGGGCGAGAGACAGTGACACAAACCGTGTTACGTAATGAGCACATCGGGCCCTACAGCCTGTGATCTTTATTTAAAAAGTCTATTTATGAAGCAAAAACACACGAAGCAAAGCACTGACCTGACACGAAAACTCAGTCAGTCGTCATCGCCTGGTAGTGCTAAGGGGACATTCGGGGTTATCAGAGTGAGGTGGCGGGTCCTTAAATAAAATAATGGCTGGAATAGGAAAGGTCAAAGGTACAGCAGAAAAACTGGAGGGATGACTGGAGGCCAGGGGGACAGTTAAAGGGGTCAACCTTGGATCTGATCATCTGAATATGGTCAGGGTAGGATTTTCAACAAGCAACCAGTGAAAATTAATAAAAAAGATCAACAGCAGGAGTGCAAAGCAGGAGGCCGGAGACTGAAGGTCTGCAGGCAAGGTCGACTTGGATCCAGGCTCAGCTGGCAGTGTGGGAAGCTAACAAAGCTCCAGCCAACTGGAGTGCAGACCAGTTACCTCCAGGCCAGATTTCAGGCTGAGTGCTACCAGGTCACATACCCAGCTGGAGGCTAGCAGGCTGGTGACTAGTGGGCCAGGGCAAATTTAAAGGTCTCACAGAATGAAGAACAGGTTTTCCCTGTCTACATCAGTAAACTTTATTTATTCTCCAGTCTAGCAGCCCTGAGAAAGTTCCTGTAGCCCACACTGTGAAAAACACAGTCACTGTGTGGGGATTTGAATTTACTCTGTAGGTGACAACAACAGCAGTGATCTACTTCGGCATGCATGCAAAACTACACCCAGGGTTCCTACACAGTTTGGATTTCCATACTTTTCCATACCCTACTTTTTAGAATTATTATATTGTGTGGAAATACCTACTTTACTATTTTAGAAAACAGTATTTTAGAACTGTGGTAATCGTCTGGAGACATGAATATTTTACCATAGTTTATTTTTTATTTTCCATACCTATTAAGACCAGGAAATTGATTAAATTTATTTCCATACTTTTCCATACTTCCATACTTCCATAGAAACCCTGGACTCCCACTTTCTCTCCTCTAGCTTTCACTTTCTCTGCTGTTGTGGTTTTGTTTTGATATTGCAGAACCGAGAAGCCAAAGATTGGAGCGAGACTCAACCAGTTGCTCTGTAGTTCAATTAATCAATTCACAAATCAGTCTTTATATAAAGAGCACCAATTAAAAACAAAAGATATCAGATGTTATCTCAAGACTCTTTACAAGAAGAAAAGGACTAGACATTGTTCTTTTTATATTACTTACCTTCACCCAATATCAAAATACGATTGTGTTTCCCCTTGAAAGATTAGACCCACTCTTTTCATCATGAACAAAACAGCACAAAGAAAGGAGGAAACTAAAGGAGGATAGACTCCCTTTAACAGGCAAAAACCCAGCCAAGACCGTTTAGGGATAGAGGGAAAGTAGAAAAAAAAAGGATGCTCAAGACAGACAACAACAGTTTGTACAGAGTCGTTGTCTTAATCTCAGTAATAAAGGTATAAATATGTGATCTATTTACAGGACAGCATATTAATCATAATAGAGTGATCTTAATATTTATGGCAGTTACAGTCAACAGGTCTAACAGTTGGATCTGTCTGCGTTTCATCCTGGCACTTCTCTAACAATGAGGGATGACCAAATAAAGTTGCACTCAAAGAGCAAGAAAGTAGGGATTCAATATTGGTGTGGGTTCCTCGTGATCACTCACCTGCCTCTGCAGCCATCCTCATCAGTCAACACCAGTCCGCTCTGCCCCCTTAGAAAAAATGTAGGCAGCCAATCAGCACAGCTGTTGATAATGAGGTTAAAGTCTGAGAGGCTGCAGATCCTACAGAGGCTGGATTTGTGGTGTTTTCCACAACAGAACAGATAAAATCCCATTATATACAACCTTTGGGATAAAAAGTTTTACTTTTCACTTGCTTTTCATGATCTTTATTCAGGAAATGCAAAAGGTCAAACAGTCATAATGCAACTCAAGAGTGGTGCCATGAGTAATTGATAGAAACATGTTTTTCTTTAAAGGTCAAACAGGGGAATCCTTTGTTTCTTGCATGTGATCAAAGTGTGTGTGTGATGAAAGCTGACTGAATGTGAGTGTGAGTGTGCAGCAGCAGATTTTAGTCAGTGTGACTGTTGCCTCTGTTGGTCCTTTTGGGTCAGTGCTCTGTCGGACCTCACATATCAAGTCTAGAAGCCTCCCAGCAGCCCGGAGCAGACTGTACACTGTATTACTATGCAACAGTCACTTAGATATGTGCATTTTGTTATGATTGTGCAAAGAAGACTGAATATTTTTAGCAGAGAAGTTCATTCCTGACCTTTAAGAACCCTGCATGTTAGACATTAATCACCAAAGTAGTCTTTTACATCTTTCACTTGCTTTTCATGATCTTTATTCAGGAAATGCAAAAGGTCAAACAGTCATAATGCAACTCAAGAGTGGTGCCATGAGTAATTATAAATGGAGGGGTGGAATCAAATGTCTCAGATTAGGACGTCAAATTAAATCAGAGCGGCTGAAAATGATGACAGAAACAGCTGTTGTATTAAAACTTATTCCTAAAGTGTTTAATGTCCAGATAAGAGCTGCCAGTAACAATGTCAGATTTTCACCTCATGTTTAGGGTAATATTATAAATAGTTGTAAGATGTACAACCCCAAAATCATGACAGTCAGGACTCAAGGACAGAAATCAGTAGTTTGCAGTGGGTTCAGGCCCAGGGTAGAGAGCCTGTAGTTACATATAAAATGCATCTATATATTTAATAAAAATACAGCAATCCAACTTCTGTGTTTTATTTTCACGACTTAAGACAGTAAGACCTCATGTTTTAAAAGCAACGGCACTTATTTGACTTCCTTTATTATGCCCCCAAACCACATTATAGCAATAACAGGTAACTCAGACTTTTCACTTCAACTGTAGAGTCTCTTTGTAGCCTCTTTTACCTCCTCTTATGGCACTTTTATTAAATTCCTCCTCTCTGGTCTCTCTCTGTTTTTTTTTTTTAGTGTATAATGATATTTTAGTCTCTGGGCGGGGGGACTCTTTCTTCATCCGGACCCACTTTGAGTATGAGAAAGAGACTCCCCAGAGCCTGGCCTTCACCCGCGGTGACATCTTTAAAGTGGTGGACACCCTGTATGATGGCAAGCTCGGGAACTGGCTCGCCGTCCGTGTCGGGAAGGACAAGCAGCTGCTGGAGAAGGGGATCATACCCAACAAGAGCAGGTTGGAGCTTTTTTAGTTTCACCCTTGCTTTTATTACGCAATATATGTGGGAGTCGGGGCAACAGTTTTTTTTATACTCCAAATTAAAAATGCTGCTTACATGCTCACGTTATGGAGCAGTGCTGACATAATATCAGAAATCTGTCCATAGAGGGATGCATCTGTCTCAACTTGCGCTTTATATTTGTTCGAGTCTTAAGCAAAATCAAACCTTTTGTATAAATTTGTGATTAAGATCTAAAAGAAGTCACAGTATAATGAAACATAACAACCAACAATTATGTGCAAACTGGTAACAAGTGTGTTTTTATCCTGTCAGGGCGGAGCAGATGGCCAGCGTGCAGAGCTCTCACAAAGCTGTGGCCGGGGATCGAGCAGACTTCTGGAGGTTGAGAGGTCAGCGCTCTTTGAAGCGGAAGGACCTGAAGAAGAGCAGAGAGACCCTGAGCAGTCAGACGCTCGCCACACGCTTCCCCGCGTATGAGCGGGTGGTGCTCCGAGAAGGTGGGTGACACCACCTGCAGTTTTGTGATGAATGAGAATCTGCTTATCGGCTTTTGCTCTTCCTGAATGGTTAAATGTTATATGATCACTCAGTTGCACTCCTTATTGCAGTGATTTAATTCCTCCACAGAGAGACGTGCTGACTTTATGACCTGTGCAGCCCACACAGGTTCTTAAGATGGTAGCAAACCTGACACATGGTGCAATACAAGTTTATTTAGACTGAGACGATAGTGTAAGATTGAGTGACTGGAAAAAAAATGCATGGATTGATTTGAGTCAACATTTTAACATGTATGTACCAAAAAACTAGATGTCCTGTATAGTGAAGTTGGGGATGTAAATACCATGTACATCCTTAGAGTTAAGGTTTTTAGTCTTATCTGTCATTGGAGCTGGGTTTTTGTTCCTCGCTGTGCATGCATCATGTAGTCAAGTGTCCCTTTTTTTTTTTTTTTTTACTGTGTTAGCATCATCCAAAACTCTGATTTAAAAAAACAAAGCTTTGGACATTCAACTCAGATCAATATGCTTCAAGGTAATAGTCACATAATCCTGTGGTGAACATGACATTCATCCATCCGTTGTTTAGATCGGGAAAGTGACTGTTTTACATCTTTACCTTTTCATACGGTGCAGGTGTGCATTGTTTTAAGAAGTGTGGGTGACCAAACTGCGTCACGGCTCTAAAGTTTGTCATGGAAACTAGGACTTTTTAATCACACTGTAATCGCCGCATATCTTTGCAGTTAAAGATAGTGATGTGATAGTTTTTTTCAGGGCAGCTAGATCAGCTGTTGCTGTGGAAAAGATGGACTGTAGAGGTGGAAACAAAGCTGGTCGTGTGGCATCTGTACAGCTTATTTAACTTCACCTTTGCATATAATGGAAACAGCCACTCGGTTACAGAGTGCCTCGCTTTTTATGAGAGCAAAAACTTGTCCACACTTCAAACTTGAAACCAGAAGGCTTGATAGTCTCTTGTCCGTCTTGCTCTATCTATTGTTATCATTCTGGTAGTGCTGAAGCATAAACAGGATAATGAACACAGTGCACAGTTCAGATTTCCTTTTCTTTAAAAGTGCAGATTTAGAGTCTCTCAGTATCAGTAAAGTCAATGATTTACTTTGTAAGATAATTATGTATAAGTTCGGACAGATTGTTGGACTTCAATTTGTAGAAAACTATATTATTTCCCCTCTTACTTTGGATTGATTTGTGTGATTTTGTGTGAGCAGTGGAGCTAATCCGAGTTGGATATTTTATCCTTTGCCTCTTTTTCTTCTTTGAGTCTAAACTAACTTTACATTTTTTGTGTATGTGCCACTGTTAGCAGCATTGTAATCACCGTTATGTTTTTGTATTTGTTGTTGCAGCTGGTTTCAGACGTCCTGTTGTTCTGTTTGGTCCCATCGCTGATGCTGCTAACGAGAAACTGGCCTCTGAGATGCCCGACCTCTTTGTTATTGCCAGTGAGTCTCTGTCTGTCTTTTTCTGCATATACAGTTTATGTGTAAAAATGAACAGAAGTTCTCCTACAGTTTTTTAACTGTTTGTTTTTAACAATAGAAACTGAGCCAAAAGACGCTGGCTCTGAGAAGTCCTCAGGAGTGGTCCGCCTAAACACCATCAGACAAATCATCGAGCAGGTACAAACACAGAAAATATCACCCCAGGTTATGTCCCAGTTTTTCATTTTATAAAGTTAAAGTTTACCAATTTGTTGAAATGTTAGGCTTTTACCAACCAGCTATTTTAACAGACAACTCACAAACATTAATCATTGACTCAGAGGGTTGAAAAAGTAGGCTTATTTATCCATGAACAATCTAAGGGATCAGATTATGTGAGAAACTAGAGAATAAAGTCCGATTAAAGGAGTATTTGATAACGACCTTTCCTCCCACAGGACAAACACGCCCTGCTGGATGTGACACCCAAAGCTGTGGACACCCTGAACTACACTCAGTGGTACCCAATCGTCATCTTCTTCAACCCCGACAGCAAACACGGCATCAAGGCGATCAGACAGAGGATCGCCCCCAACTCCAACCGCAGCGCTCGCAAACTGTACGAGCAGGCCGTCAAGCTGAGGAAGACCTGCTCACACCTGTTCACTGGTAAAAAAATAAATAAATACATACATACACACACAAACATTCACTTAGAGTGTTTTCTGTTATCTGAGTGTGTTTGCTGAAGATTGATGGTTTTTGTTTTCCAGCCTCGATCGACCTGAACTCAGCCAATGATGCCTGGTACGGCAGCGTCAAAGACTCCATCAGAGAACAGCAGATGCAGGCGGTGTGGGTCTCTGACGGCAAGGTAAACACACAAATGAATACACACTTTGGTTTCACACACACAGCCTCTACTGGTCAGAGATAGCCGGGTCCAAGATCAAAACTTTTTCATGACCTTAAACAACAACAGATCAAAAAGGCTCTACTTGTTTCTATGCTGGTCTGACTGGTACCCAAATCACAATATGCTGTTTCAATTCGGGATTAAATGTGCCAACAGGAGGTCTGTTTGGGTCTACAAACAGAGATATACCTCTGCTTTTAAATAATTTACAAAAGTGGATTTAAAGGGATATTTCGGCGTTTATTTGAGTTATGGTCAAACACACCGTAACACCGAGTTAGACATCCCCCCAAGAGATGAATGTTGCCGATCGCTTGCTTCTCTAGTTATACCAACATCATTTACAGCGGCACAATAGCAATACACAGCAGTCTACGTCTCCACTCGCAAACCGCAACCAAAAAGCCACTCTATAGCCACAAATAATGCTCAGAACAGCACCTAACTTCATCAACAGTACATATAGGGTCCCAACCATCAAACATCGTTTTTAGCTTTGCCTGGTTTCTTAAGCAAAGAGACCAAACAAAACTCACCCACTCTGCTCCAGCAGCCACTTGTTTGTAGGGGGAACCCGGGCGAGTCGATCACCGAGTGCAGTGGATCATTTCCGTGAAGTAGCATCTCGGTCTGACTGGATTTCCATATATTAATATGTCCATATATATAAATGTTCTTCCTTGAGCTGCGAAACTCCGCTGCACTCTGTGATCGACTCGTCAGGGCTCCCCCACAAACACAACTCGGTGTTACGGTGTGTTTGACATTAACTTAAATTTATGCCGGAATATCCCTTTAACAGAAGTTCCAGGTTTTGCTCATGTTTTTTTATGTCTTTATGTCCACATGGAGAATCAACTAAAAACCTGAGCCTTTATGACGAGCAGGATAATAGATCTGTGCCAAGCTCTGTAGAGTGTCTCTAAGTATCTGTATCAATAAGCAGTGTTGGTTTTTATGAAACTCTTACAAAATCCATCTTTGGGTTTCAGCACCTGTTGCAGTAGATTTTGGCTTCACTTTTGTATAACAGGAATGGATTGAGAAGCATGTAGTAAAAGACAGGGAGCTGAATGCTAACTTTTTAACAATAAACATAAACACTGAAGGTGATATCTTCACCTGCACACAGAGGATTTTCAGAGGGACTAATGTAAGCTGTTTGAGTGTAGCTCTCAGTGTGTAACTTAGTTCTTCCTAGTTCAGTCTACAGTGAAGTAACTGCCCCTCTATGTACCTGTCCCTGTAGCAGCCACCTGTGTGCACTCTGAGCATGCTCACTGTGTGTCTCTTTACTTCCTGTCAGTAGTGCTCTACAGCTCGGCTCTGTTTGTCTTTCTTTCTTCTCTCTTGTTCTCGTGCTATCCGTCTGTCCATCCTTCCTGCCTGTACACCCAAGATCCACCATGTGTCTCTTCTAGCTGGAGGGAGTAGAGACTGATCTGGACTGCCAGGACGTTGAGCGTCTGTCCTACCTGTCTGCCATGTCTGCTGACTACCTAAGTATGGACAGCCGGCTGACCTCGGACCTGGACGACACCCCGGACGAGGGCGGAACCTACACTGATAATGAGCATGACGCTGAGATGATGCATATATCCGCCATCAGCCGCTCGTCTGAACCGGTCTCAGCCGAGGAGGTCAGAAACACACAGACGAAATGCGTAGTTCAACACAACTTTTGTTGGCCTACTAAAAAAAATACAAACTGCAGACAAATACAGCTATCAGGGGCTGTTACCTGTGCTAATTACTTAAATTTAACCTTGTGAGTCCAGATATAAAACCAATAGGTCTTGGATCAGCTCAAGGGCAGATTGAGGTGGTGAGAAATAATTGGTGCCCCTGGTTTTATTACTTCTCTCAGTAGAAATTTTACCAAAATTTTTCTAGAAATCAATCAAATGTTTACAGTTTAAGAAAACATAATGACTGTAGTCTAGGGCTTTTTATTACAACTCTTTTAAAGTTTTCTAAGTCTTCATGTTTCGAAAAGCGTTTTGTTTTTGAAAACCTACAACTGATCATTTTTTTAATAATATAACTTTCTTTTCCACCACTGACTGACCCGTCTTCTGTGCTGTGTATGTGTGTAGATCTTGCGCAGGTACAGTCCAGACATCAGGAGTCGAATGAGGAAAATCAGCAGCCATGAATTCTTGAGCAGGTCGAGTCCTCCACCTGTCTTCTTAACAGAGAAGGTGAGACACAGTAACTGTGAACATTGTCCTGACGACTCTGTCGACCAGCAGTGATTTCTTCATTCAAGAACCTTTATTCTGTTTCTGTATTATTTCAGAGATATTAGAAAAAAACATTTAAAATGGATCACACAATAATTTCATACAGTTTAGATAAAAGACTATCAGTCAAGAGTCAGGTCTGCACTAAAAATAACAAGTTGTTTGTCACACAAAATGTCTGTAAGAGCTCGTTATTCTCAAATGTTTGACCTTGGGTGACTTTATTTTAAAGAAATCGCAGTAAGTACCTGTAGTAACTCTCACCTGCACATCCTCCCCCCGGCAGTTTCTTTCCTCCATCCAGAGGAACAAACTGTCCTTTCCTTTGAGGAACGGCCTGACGCGGAGAAACCCGTCTAACTGCAGCTCAGATTCTTCCAACAGCAGCTCACTGGACCGCATGGGTACCCACAATCCCCCTCTGTAGCTGGTGCAGGGTGGTGGGCGTTACAGCCGTGGTGACAGAGTTCAAGTTTTCACTCCAGCAATCACAGCAGCTGAATAAAACAATATGTCACTATTAAGAGAATGATATTTGAACGGCTGCTGTTCAGCTGGAGTGAAAACTTCTTCTTGTGCTTTCCTCTCTTAGATGGTACCTTTAAAATCCGATCCACAGATCTATATTTGTTAGTTTAGCCTCAAATGACCCTTAAATGATTTCCTTTCCCGAGTTTTAATACACCTGGTAGTTTTTATATTAGTTAAACCAAATACAGACCCGTTAGCCTTTATGTACCCAACTAGAAATGGATCCTTCAGTGTTCATAGTTTATGATAATGTAGAAAATGTGCATTTTATATAAAAGGATTCTTCTACAAAAACAGTTACAACACATTTTTATAAGAGGATCTGTTGAAGAACTGATAGCCTAGTGATGTACTGTAGATGCACCCACGTTTACAGACAGCCAGGGTTTACATCCACCCTGTGGCCTCTTTCCTGCATGTCTGTCCCCACTCCGTCCACTGTCTTCTATCTCTTAAGAAAGGCCAAAACAAAAAATAAATGAATCTTTATAAATACTGGATCTGCTTTTGCTTTCCTTGTTCTCCACAGGCTCTGAGGAGAATTTCAAGGAACTTATAACTCTAAGTAAATAATGTAATGGTGACTTTTCATGAAGCTTCATGCAAACAACGTCAAAGTGATTAAGAGTTTCAGGGCCAAGGGTTAGGAAAAGATGGGGTCTTTTTGTGATGCATAAACTTTTTAATTGAGAATGAAAGAGATACAAAGAGCCAGACAGCAAGTCTTCACCAGACAGTGACCTCAAGACATGTCTTTACTCCTCAACTTCAACTTTAGTCTCTAAATTCGAACTTGTTTCTCAACATGTTCACCGTTTTCTGCAGCTGCATACTAAAAAAAATCTCCTAGGCAGAGCAGACAACAGCCACAGTTAGGGTTGTAAAGCTACGTTTAATGTTCAGTTGACTAAAACAGTGATGTCAAAAGTGCACGAATGCTCATATATTCCTTATCTTAACCTGAAGCTGTCACTTTCACCGACGGACACAGTTTATTCTTCTATCTGTTCATTCGTTAGCATTTTTTCATGTTCTGATTTCCACCTGGTGTTTCAGCCTCTGGGAGAGTTGAGAGTTTCATTGATTTACCTTCTCACTTTCACTGTTTGTTGTCGTCATGAATATAGAAAGAATAAAATTATGGTTTTGAGCCTCGGTGCTGCTCAGATTTGGACATCATGAGTGTTCACTGAGATTTGTAGGTATTTTTTAGATCTGTTTTTTTTTCCACAAACCACCAGAAACTTCACTCTCTAATTCCTGCCTCTGACTCTTCCATTCCTTGTTCAGGTAAAGCTTTCTTTAAGGGACACGTCTGTCCTCGTGTCCGGTTCCACCAGCCTACACCATCACCACCGTCAACACCACCCTCCACCCCCCAGCTGCAGCAGGAGTTATGAGTCCCCCTCCAGCAGCAGCCCTGCCAGCAGCAACAACGACCCTCCACCCCCGATCTCCCGTTCAACGGGTTTCTGCGGACCACCACCTCCACCTCCGCTCCACCACTTCAGCCCCAACAGCATCATGAGGCCGCTGGGGGCTCCTCAGCCCCCACCTGCACCCAAACCTCCCAGCAGCGCCGAGAGCATGGAGAAAGCAGTGGTTCAGCTCCCTGCTTTGCCTTGTGCGGGTGTAGCAGCCTCCAGACAGCTGGAGGAGGTGGCGGAAGACAGCCCGGTGGAGGATCCATCCATGAGGACCTTTCTGGGGAAGATTAAAGCTTTTGAGAAAATGGATCACTTCGCCAGAGCACAGAGGATTCTGGAGGTGCAGGAGGCACAAAGTGCCAGGGTGAGTGTGACTCAGACTGAAGTCAGACCCCACGGTCCTTCTGTCTGTTACGATAGTCAAAGTGTCAGATCAGACAATGACAGAGACTGAAATTCATGACATGATTTGACAGACTACGAGGTAATACCTAACCAATCATCAGGACCTGATGATGTTGTCCGGCAGAGAAGTGAAGCTAGACAATACCTGGAGATGCAAACAGCAGTTTTTCACCAGGTCACTAAAGCGTGTCCGCTGTTTCTGTCAACATTTTCTCCTTTTAGTCGCCCGTAGATGTTTCTTGAAACACGTCATAAAGGCAGGGATGGTGTCATCAGAGCTCAAAAAACCTTTTCTGCTGTCTCATAGTTTCATCTCACAACATCAACTTCATCCGTCTTCTTCCACTTCGTCATTTTGTTTGTGACTTCTGTACTCTTGTTGGTCACATCACTGTGATAGTTAGAAAATAAACCCTGGATTTTTTGTCAGGAGGTAGTGAGGCATCCAAAATAAGGTCTTCAAAACTGGCCGTGTTATTTACCAGCAGTAATTAATAGTCTTCATGTTCAACTTTGATTTCTAAGCATTAACACTCTGTATTTATCAGGTCATATAAAAAGTTTGAATCATTTTGAGGACCAAGATGTGAGTGAATGATTAAGTGGTGTGAAAAACACAGAAGAAATACTCAGGAAGAGCTTTAATTGAATTGAATTTTAGTTGAAAAGTTTTGGGTTTTATTTTGCTTCATAGATTTTGAGATTTTATGATGAGTTTCAAAATAGAAAAAGATGCTGTTGTTTTTCTTTGACTATACCTCCATCTTCATTGTTATTTATTGTTCCCATATGTATCCATTTGCTCTCTAAATGATATTATGATAACATGATTTCATAGACCAACATTAGATTCAGTTAAATCACTTCAGCAGTGGACGAGTACATATCTCCCCCCAAATCAAATATCATATATTGAGTAATTCATCCACGACAGAAGATTCAGATCAAGATATTGGTCCTGGATTTGGTTAAATAAATGGATGGATTTATAAGATAACATACACTTTTAAGTATAAATGAATGTAGTTTTAGTATTTGGTGCGAGAGTGAGCCACAAAACGGAGAAGTGAACACCTAAACCCAGCACCAAGTAGGAAAATCTCACTGACCGCCAGACATTTCATAGTGATCATGAGGAAAGACTTTGTTTCTGACCCAAAATTGCATATTGGTTTAAACTCCAGTCATAATTTTCCGCTCTCTGTTCCCAGTTGGAAATTGCTCAGAAGCATCCAGACATCTATGCTGTTCCTGTGAAGACAGCCAAGCTGGATCACAGTCGTCCTCAGCCTATCGGGTAGGCTCACTACTGCCATACGACCGTTTCCGAGCTTCGCTGTGAGTGTTCGACCAAGTGTTTGTGTGTCTGTCTGCAGTGCTAACAACACATTAAAGATAGAGCTGTAACAAGGGCGGTGTTCTTCCACAGAAAATGAGGACACATTTAGAGTGTTAACAGCCAGCAAATTACTTCCAAGTGTTTATTTTTAGGTTTACAATCTAAAGGATTCAATCTGACTAACTCGAAAGCTACAGCAGTTAGTTAGTTTAGTTCAAGCTTACAATCAGCTCTCATTTATAGTTACTTTGTCTGAAATAAAACAGAATAATGATGATACAAGAATTATGGTTAAAAGATATGACTCCTTAAAACAAGTCCTTAAAGAAAATTAAAACAACAGTATTATATACATGTTCATTAGTAACATTGTATATAAAGAAAAAACGAACATATAGCATATAAAGAAGTTAAGTTGCATTACATGAAACAATCCTCGGCAGTTAGTGAAAGGTATAGTAATATGGCAACTGACCCTAACCCCTACAGCAATATACTAGTAATGATACAGCATATTGCAACAGTAACCCAGAACAGCAATTTATGTAGGCAGAAAAGACTAAAATCAGACATACAACATGTAAACAGTTTGAAAATAAGCATACAGGTGTGTTAAAGTATTGACATAACTTGTGTAGTGTTAGATCAGCAGCTACAAAGTGAAGCTCAGCCTGCAGTACACCAGCTGATTTTAACACCCTCAAGTTCAGCCAATTACATTTTACACATACAATAAGTCAATGTGAAAATGAGTGTTGTAGTTAAACTGCTTTGGCTTACTCTTCCTGCTTTCTCTGCGGCTATGCAACCCGCCTCCATCCTAACTCCTCCTCTTTATGTTACCAGCATCATATGTATTGTCCCTGATGCCCAGGGTTCTTTGCTGCTGCTCTTCCTGCCTTGGCTTTTCATGTACACACATGAAACAGAGGGAAGGTGTTCTCTCTCTGTGCCTCATGCTTTGGAGTTCCACATACATACGGCACTCTCAGATCAGAACCATATTACCAAATAAAACTTATATAGATAATTCATACTCTTTGGACAAAGTGGTCCTGATTGAATCAGCATCAAACGTAATATGCAAAAGTTGTGGTGGATAAAAACACCACTTAGGTATCAGTTTTAAGTATATTCACAGCTTGAACTGTATGATAGAAGAGGTGGTAGCCTTTTCCTTCATACAGTTATATTTGTGTTGGGAGCAACCCAATGATTTGCAAAAAGCACTCCAATTAAATCAAACTCAAGGCTGTCACAATACCAGAGTTTTCATTTTTCATATTTATGTCAGCAAAATGACCTGCACATTGATCGAAAACTTGAAAAGAAAAAACTCTAATGTCTCAAAGTTAGCTGACCTGAATCCCTGGTTTTCTTTCACTTCCTAGACAATGTCTGACAAACAACTGCATGAAAAGATCTCCAACATTATAATAACTTTGCCATAATAAGGCAGTAACTTGAGGTTACATTTCCTGTCTGGAAGGTAGCAAACCAACTACACATTACCCTTTCTGTTGTGATGGAATCAGCAGAATGATGGAGACAATGGATGGTGAACAGATTGGTGGTGATAACTCAAATTGAGATTGGCACAACATGTAAATTGGACTTTATTATCTAATGGATGACTCTGCCCACTTCTTATGCATAGTCTATGGTTTATCAAAGTGTGTTTTTGAAGTGCTATGCAAGAGGTAAAGGTATGATATCCCTTTTCCTACCAATCTATCAGTTCATGAATGTTTGCACACCTCTTTCTAGACTCCATCTCTTAGATTTCCCTGCATCAGAGTAAATGACCAATTTGCTCAAACTCTCAGTCTACAAATTCCATCAGGACTGCGTGTGGCTAACATATTTTGTCTCCTTGCAGCTCCAGCTCTCACTCTGACCCTCAGACTCCTCCCCCTCCCCTTCCCAAAGATGGGGGTCCTTTCTACCGGAGTGAAAAGGAGCGAGAGGAGGGCACGGGATACTTCAATGCCAACTCCTACCAGTACCAGGACACTGAACTGTAGGATAGCTGAGCCTGTTCTCAGCCTCCTGGACAAACATGTACACATGCACTGCACATGAAGTCTGTTCACACACTAACCATTCCATCACGTCTGCACAAGTACGCTGCTGACTTTGAACTGACTTTTGCTTCTTTAAAATTGATTTGAAAAAAAAAAATTTTGATTTATTTTTTTGCTTCAAGGAAGTCAAAGTGATCTGTGCTATCCGACTGGATGAGAACACACTGTCTACGCTTTACGTTTGTGTTGAATATGAGTGATTCTTTTTATGTACCACTTTAAATGGTCCAAACTGAGTGACTATGAAACCACTTGTTTTCTTGCCTATGCAACTTTTCAGTTTGTGCACAGCAACTGAAACCTTTTGCCACGAGTTCTGTCCTCACAAAAACCTCAACAAATCCAAAAACCCACAAAGCGCTTTATCACATCCCCCCTTCTTTTTAAGCTCCTAATATGATCAACAAAGGTTACATATATATTCTATTATACAGCATATATATATATATATATTATATATCTAAAGTCAAGTGTTTATACTCTGTCTTTGCATTCCTACGTATATATGACAATGCAGTATATATCTATATATATATACATATATATTCTATCTTGTAACTCTGGAATTTGTTACAATTTTTTGAAGTGCCTTTTCCTTTTGTTATTCCCATGAGGTTTGGGTTGTCTTTCCTCCGCCCCTCAGCCGCCCAGCCATACTGAAACCTCTGCTGCTGTCAAGCTTAAAGGGAAACCAGGGAACCAGAGACACCGAAACCTTAATGCTGTCTCCTCACACTGTACTGTCTGCAGAAAACGCACCCACGAAAATACAGTCCACACCCTGCAGTCTGTCCCATCTGCCATGTGTAAGAAAGCCATGTCTGATATTAAGTTAAGATGCCCAGTCACTCCAGCAATAAAACCTTCAGAATTTGTTGCAATAATGATTTACTTTTAAAGGATTTAGTCCGGTTAATGAAGGTGAAGTTAATCTGCACAAAACACTCGATTTCACTGTAATCAAACATCACATCGAGGGGCAAGTTCATGAAGAGTGGATTTCACCTGCTTTATTTTGTTTAAAAAAGGTGGACTTTTAAAATACATGCAAACATGTTGGACATAAATCGCACTGAGTCAGATTCCTCAAATTTGAACATACCTGGATAGTTTGGTTGGGATTCATTTTTCTCCGTCAAACTGGCCTAAGCCTTCTGCACATGCTTCACAATCTCCACAATTTGCACACCAGCCATTTCACCCAAAATCACACAAATGTATGGAAGGAAGCGGGATAGTTTACAAAACCTCAACAGAAGAGGGCAAAGGTAAACAACAGATCATGATCCTATGAAAGGTGCAGAGCTGTAAAGATGTTCAAGGGTAACAAGTAATATGTCACCTGAAAGAGGGTCCAGTGGTCGCTGAAAATGGGGCTGTAGTGAAGGTGGATCCATGTCAATAAATTGATTCTTACCCAGTACTTGTAGGAACAACTGTCCAGTTAAATCATCCAATGGAACTGTAACTGTAGCTTTGTGCATGTTAACACGCTGAATGTCCACTTCACAAAGCATATTGCATAATGATACTGAATTGCAAACACCTCCTTCAAGTTGTCCTCTTCTCATGTTTTGCGTGTAATTACTGAGAGGACCTGTGAGCATCCTCACTCTCTGCTGGGCGGAGATGAGAGCGGACACTTATATCCTCACTGTGAAGTCCAATCTTGACAGAGGTCTCCCTGGGCTGAGCCGGTGTCTGATTAATTTTTGCAGGTGACCCAAACCAAACATCGGACATCGAAGAGACGTGCAAATCAAGTCAGTATTGGGTCGATCCATTAAAAACCACACCTAGACGTCAGTGCTACGTGCAAAATAGGTTAGAAATTTCGACGTCCAAATTGGACCTTTTTTAGACGTCGCTCTGACGTATAGAATTTGGACGTCATCTGAGGATCAAATCTAGACGTTGGCACAACATGCAAAATGGATCCAAGATTTAGACGTCAGTATTGGACCTCTTTTAGACATTGACATGACGTCAACATTTGTACCTCATCGCCGAAAATATGCATTAAATAGATGTCATTTTGACGTTGCATTGCGCAGTCATGGTAACTGGACATAAACTGCAGCAGAGTTCCCACCAGCTCTACAAAAACAAAAAGTTTCACTCTACCTGACTCTGGCTGTTGGCTGTTGACCAGCATTGAAAAACAATATCACTGTTTATTTACGGTGTACTGTCTTTTAATATAACACCATCAAAAGTCAGCAGCACAGTGGTTAAGATAAACTTTCTCAAAACCTGAAGTCTGAATATAGAAGTTCAGATAATGATGTCAGTGTTTGCCAAAACTTTTTGCTGTCCGCAGAAAAAAACAAATTTAATATCTTCACTCAGTATTGACATTTTATTTTATTTCATGCTTAGTGTTCACTGCTGGGATGTTACTGCTCTTGAACCCCCACTTAAAGATAATCCGTCAGTTTTATACTACATCTGCACTGATGTAGTTTGTCTTCATCTGTTAATTTCCTGCAGATGGCATCATCCTCCATCTCTTAAGTCAGGGTAACTATCACTGCCTATGCCAACAATCCTTCCGAGGACAGGTTGACTATTTTTCTTAGTGGATTGGATTGACTAAACTTTAAGTGTGTGTGTCAAAAGTAGGGTGGCCTCTCACTGTTACCCTCAAAGTACCACATGTTTATGAACACAAGCATGAAGGCTGTATAATCAAAACACAGCTCATGTATTTCCACTGAAACACTAAACTTTCAACACCTTGGATACAAAGAGCACAGCTTTTTAGGGGGACGCTTTTTTAGTTCACCTTTCAACACCATGGACACCATATTTGTAGTTTTTTTTTGTTGCAGAGTTTTAAACAAAGGAGTGGGCTCATTATATACTATTAGACTGATTTGACATAGCAAACAAGTGTTTGCGTACTCACACCGAACTGATGACATTTTGAGAAAAACTCAGTAGCATACGGCTAAATGCTTGTGACTTAAAGGCTTATACAAGACTAGTGCTGCACATTTCTCTTTATGTCTCTCATTAGGACCCTAATTCAACAATATTAACAATGTTGAAAAAAGGGTTAAGACTTAACAGAGTTCAAAACTAAAAGATGTTATTAAAAATATATGCTTATTTCAAATTTGATCTAAACAGCAGGTTTTTTAATTGTTCCCGTCACAACCAAAAGTGAGGTCAGAGACAACAAAACACTGATTTAAAAAAAAAAAAACACCTGGAGAAACATCTCCCAACTCATAAGGTTTATTTGTAACAGGATAGCAACATGACTGGGAATAAAAAAAAAAGGCAAAAAAAAAATATAAGAAAGGGTTCACCAATCTGTGAGAGAATGTGAAGGCATATAACTCAGCAATCTCAGACTAATGCTCAAGAGTAGAGTTGAATTTGAGGATGACCAGATGACTGAAAAACTGTAGACACTCTGGTCCTGAGCCCATTTAAAATAGAATACAAAAAAGTGTGAAACTGACTTGTGGTTTGAAATTGCTTTACAGTATCCCTGCTCTAAAGAGAGAAGGGACCACCAGCATTGTTATGAGTGCACACATAATATTAACACTGAGCATCTCTGACGGTATAAGGATGCATAGGTGCCCATGCAGAGGTAGCTTACACATCTGGGTAGGCTAATATATGTAATATAATAAGAGCATGGCTCTGTGGTCCAAGAGTCCACCTGCAGTCCTGACTTGAAGCCCATTGAAAACAAATGAAATGAAAAGAATCCAGCTGTTGAGCATCTAAACTCCTATTTCAGACAAGAACGGGACAACATTTCACTTTTAAAACCCCAGAAATGGGTCTCTTGAAACTGTGCATCACATTTAGAATGAGTATATATTTTTCAATAAACCGTAATTTTTTTTATTTAGTTTGCCCCTGCACAATTTTTGAGAAAAACTGGTACAATAAAATAGTCTGGTGATAGTTGTTGGGTTTTTAGATACTAAGCTTGAAACTGTCTGCTCACTGAATTAAAAAGCCTTATTTATTCTCCCTCTGTGCCATAGCTCTCCATTTATGTCCAAAAATTAACTCATTTATAGTTAAAAGACCACTTAATATGTATTATACTCCTGCTGGAAATAACCTCCTATGCTGCTGTTTGAGTGTCCCTCTGTTTCTGAAACTACAAAACCCTTTTTAAAATTAATAACGTGTATTTTTTCAGCCTTTATAAGTCCTTCGGAAACACCAGAAAGAATTGAGAAACAGACATTGTTGGTTTTGGTCTTTTGGTGGAGTTTTGGTGTTGAGCCTGGACTTTGAAACAGAAATCCTGGTCAAGACATAAAGATCTATAGAGCAGGATGCATTTGAAGGCCTTCATCATGTCATTTCATTACGAGATATCCCCTGACCAGTTATCACAGTAAGCTTTCAGAGCCCCTTTAGTGAGGTTTGATAAGCGTTGTCTGACTCCCATTTTTATAAGCTTTGTCATTACAGGAAGACATAGCTTCCTCTAATAATCTGAATAAACTGCAGACAGAAAACGTCCTTTATCTTGCAGACATAGAGAACAGTGAGAGTAAAATCCTGAATAAGCTGGCTGAATCATTTTTGTGTTAAATCATTCATAGAGAGGATTAAACAGAAGAACCTGTTACAGCCCCCAGAGAAGTAGTCCCAGTTTTATGTGGGACTCTCTCGGGGTCTTGGTGGAGGGCGCGGCTCTCTGTCACTATCAGTGTGAATCAGTTGTGTCTCACATATTTTGAATATACTTGATTGTATTTCTCAGTTCACTCTTTACCTCCACACATGATCTACAAAGTGCTGGCTGACGTCCTTAGCAGGGACTGTCGCTTCACTCCTGTACTGAGTTATGGCTGAGGGTTGTATTTCAAATGAGAATGAGGAATGATTGGTCTGTTTCTGCTGAGTTTTTTCCATGTTTTCACCTTAAAACACCAAATAAAACTTAAATCTTAACCACATGTTTTGGAGAAGGTGCTGTCTTCTTTTTTTGTTTGGAAAAAAATATATATATCCTCTATGTCAGACAACTGAAGTCCTACTCAGGCTTCAGATAAACGGTGAAGGAACTACAGAGTGAGCATAAATGGTGTTATAGATGTTCAATCTTTTAAGACTTCACAAATCAGAAATCTTTTGAGCCACAAGTCCCAACCTGAGTTCCTGTGCACCCATAAAGTACCTCGCTCTGCAAGAGGAACTTTAGGAGCTGAGATATTTGAAGGGCAAAATGATTTCCTTGTTCTCAAGAAACATTTGACTACCAAAGCTAGAAACTTTTTGACTAAAGAACTATGATCCTGTTCTGTGAGAGAGGGTGCTACCCTTCAAATTTAGGACTTTCAAGGGTGAAGTAATGCTATTGTACTAACCAGAAAAACTATGGTTCTGAAAATGTGACCTTTTGTGGATATAATGATGTTACTCTTTAAGAGTGCGTCCTCGCAGAGCTGGAGAATTTTTAAAGGTAAAAAGATGTTTCTGAGTGTACTACCCTCAAGTCTTCAGTGGAGTAACCAGTCTATCTCAGGTCAGTTTCTTGAGGCTATGTTCACTTAGTACCTCAGTCATTATTATTGATAAATGTTAAAGTAGGCCTACACAAAAAAAAAGTTAAATACAAAAAAGAGGAAAATGGAGGTAAGCAACGACAACAACAACAGAACTAAAAATGGTTCTTCACAGTGAACAAAAAAGAATCGGACATATTATTGCAAATTATTATTACATTATCATTATTATACCTGAAAAAATGTAGGTATTTGCAATTGGAATGAATATAGCATACAGGAGGGCAGGGAGCAGGCCTGATTAAACAGTCTGACTGCAGCAGGAAGGAAGGACTTTTGGTGTCTCTCTGTCACATACTGCAGGTGAAATAGCCTCTAACTAAAGGAGCTGTCCGGTGCTGTTACAACACAGCCCTTCACATTCAACTTTACCCATGAACATTTCCTGACCAAGACCTTTAAACATCAAATTTATCTGCTCCATATGGGTCCTTTAAATTAAAAGACATAAATCCTGTGATCCCTGTCCTACAACCCCGCAACAGAAGATGACTAGATAACCCACTCTAACCCTCACCCTTACAGCACTAAATCACAGCTGTGGTTTGGCAGAAAGAGCCGCTCATCCACTATCCTAAAGAAAATTCAAGGCTGTGCTATTCTATACTGAAGGGACCACCTGCAGGATACCTTTCCCAAGTTGTTTTATGTCAGTGTGTTCATGAGTGAGTACATTTGAATGCAAGAAATTATAAGAAAACAAAGGTTTACAGAACTCAAGGATGGCCTTGGTTAAGTAGGGGCTCGCAGCATCTTATGAAAATATCTGCCTCCTGGACGTAATAATTGCACCTGTAGTAGTTAAGCAACATAGAGTTTAAAAGAGTTAACCTTCCTCCTGTGTTAGCTTTTACTATGCACCCTCCATGTTAAAGGTTGGTTTTGACCCATATCATAAATCAGCTGTAAATTACACTAAAAACATTTCTCTATCATCCAAGTTGGTTCTCATCTTTAGGTTACTTTGTTAGGCTTCACTATCCATGAAAATATTGCTTATAATATTTTTTGTTGTGGGCCTCTGGGCCTTTATTTGTCAGTATACCCCTCACACAGACATCCATACTGAACTGATCTCACATGACGTTTTTTGTGGAGGGAAATACATGGCAAAATGAGAATTTCTAAAATCTCACATGACTGGAAGAGCAACCCTAACACGACAAGTGCCATAATTTTAATAAGAGCATTTTATAATTTAGTCAGTTTAAGTTTTTTATTATTATTTTGTTGAAATAGAGGTTCCTGACAGAGTCAAGAAGTCTTGATGCAAAAAAGCTAATTTAAGTGGTTCTTTTAAGCATTTAAAATAAAAAATGGGTCAGTGCAGACCCTAACACAGGAGGAGGGTTATAAGAGCTAAAGAAAACAATTGATGATGAAAAGAGCAACTAGGACCATCATGATCTCAGATTTTCACCTCATGGTTTTTTATGTTGTGAGGTGCTTTGCAACTCTGTCATGAAAAGTACAAAAATGTGGTTTGACATCACTATTTTTGATATTAATATCTCATATTTTGGGTTTAATGTGACAGCTCTGAGAGCAAGAGTGACCAAATGGAAAATAAAGGACTATTTGTCTACATCATAATTAGTCAAATATTCCTAAATTTTAAAGTTAGCTCATTTTTTGGCTGACTTTCTTTATTATCTGATCTCTGTTAACTTTATTCTTTCAGTGTCAGTAAACTCAGTAATAAAACACAGTAAAACAACAGGAATGGATGTTCACAGGGTTTATTGGTTAGAGCATGTTGGATCTTTCGGTGTAATTTGGTTGTGGTTCATAACAATGACTCACAGACTCTTCAAACACTGGCTTCCTGCAAAGGTCATAGGTCACATACACCTATTATTGCCTCTGTCCTTGGAGGGTGTAGGAGTAATGGAGAACTCCACCTTTCTTCAGATAGCAGTCGTGTTGGTGGGTTCCCACCTTGATCTGTCTCTGACAGACTCCCAGCTCGTCGTCAAACAGGATGTCACTGTCGTAGACCTCCAGCCTCAGCACGTCGTTCGCCTGGGCCTTGAAGTAAGTGAACTCCTCCCCCCACCACGGGTTGATGTCATTGTTACGAACAGATGTTTTACCCAGGGATGCAGGGCCACAGAAAACTTTCACGAAGCCGTCTGTGGTTCCCAGGAGGTTTGAACTGAGGTCACTGGCCCGCAGGTCGAACACCTTGATCTGAGCCAGAGTCGCACTGAGACTGCAGAGGAGCAGCAAGAAGAGATGGAGTCTGGAGGCCATGGCTGCACAAGAGGAGGAGGAACAATCAGTGACTCAAGTGGTGCTGCTGGCACAAAAACTTTGATCTTCATTTTAAGAAAGAGGACTTTTACATGCACTGTGGGCTCTAACTTTTCACTGGTACTAGCTGCAGGCGCTGCAGCATCAAAGATAATTACTTCTAGATCAAATATCCGCTGGTTTTAAAAAGGATAACTTTAACTGACTTTAGATCAATCAGGAAACAAAAGGTGGAGCAGAGGTGGGCTGAGTGAGTCTTGGTTGTTGGTGACATGTGTTTCCACCTTTCCAAAGCCCCAGTCTTGGCTCCAACCTTTCTTTGTAATTCAGCCCCCAGTTACCATGAACAGATAAATGAGCTACAAAGACCCAAAATGTTTTTTGTACCAGACTGTAAACATGTTTATTTTGGCTGTAAAGTTGGATATTTTTCCATTGGGTTGCTATGGGGACTGACTTGCCGCTGAAGACAGCCTCTGGTGGAGACCAGAGGAACTGCAGTTATGTGTGGTCTTCACAGGAGGTTATCGCTCCTTCATATCTCAGTGAGTTTTCAGAAACGTTATTGTCCACCCCTAGACCACAGCATTTTGATTCAATTATGATCATATTAGTCTGCAGGTATGAATCAAAACAAAAATTAAAAGATCAAAATTTTAAAAAGTAATTTTTTGTTTTCTCTGTCAGAACGGAGGAAAGATGAAATTCCTACTAACTCCACCTATTGTATTTTCTCCACTGCAGATCTAACCCGTCACTTAAATACAAACAAGAGGAGTGAACTGAGAGTCTGTCCAAGGACGATTCTTGACCATGAGGACCCCCCACCCCGTCACATAAATATATCCACTCTGGCCACAGAAAGAATGACTTGGAGTGAGGATCATTCCTCTACTGTACCTTAGTGGATCAGCAGAGGAAGCAGCTTTGCATTGTGGGGCCGTCTAAAAATTAAATGTTCAGCTAAGTTATGAAACCTAGATATTACAAAAGTCTCAAAGGGAGAAACACTACAGGTTTAAACACTAGTGCAACTATGATATCAATTTCTGATGAACTGACCGAGTTAGGCTGACAACAGAAAACATCTTGACTTACAGTGAAGACTTAAATATTTGGACTTGGAAAATGACTAAAATGTGACACAAACTAAAAAGCATTTAAGTCCAAAAGCTTAGACTAAATGTAAAATGGCTTTTAAAATTAACACTGAATTTGAACACAGCGGTAAATTAATACAACCTTGTTGTGGCACAACATTTAAGAGCACATTTCATTTGCAATACTTCATCACTGTAAAGTAACAAAACACAAACAACTTGAGCATCTGCTGGAGTTTAAAACCTTTTAAAACTATAACGCATATAACTTCATATAAAAGGAACATTTTTTAGTTTTGGTATATCAGCGTAAATCATTCAGAGTAAATCTGCGGTAACGGATTCGGTCTTACCTATTGTGTGGATGCCGTGTTTCCCAGCAAAGTTTGCTCTTCCATATGTTTTAAAGAGCATCAGGCCTCATATCAGTTTTTTCTCACCGCCCACAACACAAGCTGTTTCTCTCTCAGCGTTATGCAACGCCAAAAAACATGACGTGTGGATCATATATCCTGTGAGAAGAGTGCAACTCCAAAAGCACTTCAACAAGCCAAAGACTCTAAAAGCCAAAATATCCCACTACTTTAATGAAAAGTTTTTAACTTCTACTGAAATGAAACCAGTTTTGTTGAGATTAAACAACTGCTGTTATCAGACTTAAATTCTGGAATTTCTCCCAGTGGGACTAATAATGGAACATCTTATCTCTTATTTGACCCCTGTGAGGTCAGTTTGTCAGACTAACTGAAACAGGATGTGCAAATTGTCATTCTGTCACAGGGGGTTCATTTTTAATATTGTTTTAGTATATTTCAAACATTACTGTAATAAATAAGACACCACAGTAAGTTTCCTGGGGACTGATCTTTGGTTTACTGATTGTTTTAACCGAGTTGGAAATATAGAACTAAAACTGCCTATCTGAGTGTCTTTCCCTTGCAATAACACGCTAAAGACAATGTTTGTTTGTTGCAGCGCTGTTTATTTTGCATTGACAGCTTAGAAATGAGACAAAGGCTTCTGATTATGGTACCTTTCAGCATCTTTATTTCTTAAATGCTCAATCAGGTGTGGAGAAGAAAATATGGCCTAATCATTGAGGATTTATTTCATCCTCTTGTTTGATTTTGTGTTTTTGGACGGCTGATGGCTGGTTTACTGACTCAGGGTGTAGGAGTAATGAAGGGTTCCTCCTTCTTCCAGGTAGCAGTCGTGATGGTGGGTTCCCGGTCTGATGTTGCGCTGGCAGATTCCCAACAGGTCATCGAATATTAAGTCGCTGTCGTGAACCTCCAGCCTCAGCACATCGCCCTCCTGAGCCTGGAAGTGGGAGAACTCCTCTTCCCACCACGGGTTGACAGTGTCACGGCGAACCACAGTCTTCCCCAGAGAAGCCGAACCGCAGTACACCACAACATATCCATCTGTGGTTCCAAAGATGTCAGAGGGCAGGCCGGTGGCTCTCAGGTCAAAGATTCTGACGTCGGACTGAGCCACAGTCAGACCAGACAGGACCAGCAGGAAGAGAGAGAGAGAGGAGGCCATGACTGCACAACAAGCTGTGGAGAGGACAGAGTAAAGGTTAAAGCAAAGGAAACCAAACTTTTCCTCAGGTGTAACAATTTAAATTCTTACATTTTTGTTATGGTGGGCATTTTTGCCTTTATTAATACAAGAGCGGAGGAAACATGCAGAAAAGGCTCATGGCCCCGAGATGAACCAGTGACCATGAGGACCACAGATTCTGGGTCTGGGCCACATGCTTTCGCCACCAGACTAACCACCCCTCCTTTTCCTCCTCTATTTTAATTCAGTCAAACTTTTGCTGAGACTGTACCTCAATGAAACATCTCAAGCAGGAGTAAAAGTATTGAACTCTGTAAATATTCACCCAGATTTCCCAGCATTTAACACATAAACATTCTTGACTCAATGTTGATCAGCCACATGGTCATTTGAGAGGTCTGATCAATAATCTGTCTCTATATATAAAAAAAAAGTTTTACATTTCTGAAAAGAAGTTGAAATTTTATAAGAATAGACTTTTTAATTAATTGTGATAAAGCTGCAGTCTTAAGTCCATAATCGATATTAATTTGAAAAAATAAAAGCCTTAAATCTGCAAGAAAAAAGGATAAAATTTAAATTCAAAATTTATTACAATCAATTTGTACAAAATAAGTTGTCAATTAAACTTTTTTTTTTAATTTGGAGAAAAAAGTTGTTATTTCCTGACTCTGGAGTTTTATTTTAAGGATTTAATTCCTATAAATTAATAACTATAATCTCTTAATTTCATCATCTAACTATTGCTAAAAAAAAAAGAAAAAAGAAGAATCAATATGACTTTGCACTCCCTTTCCCAAATTTTAGAGTCTATTTTCAACAAACAATACCTCAGCGGTAGATTTTAGGTAACATATAAACCTTCATTAATTTGATTATTTTATTAGTTTTCTTTCAGTCACAGTGAACACAACCTTTTAATAAAGTCTGGTCCGTACACACTTCTTTGCTGTTTACTAAACTGGTGTTAAATGGTTAACTGGACTGGGTTTTTTTTCCCCCATAGTCAAAGTCATCATTTTAAACTGTTAAATTTGTGCAAGGCCATACTTGTCGATCAGCGTCTGGTAAAAAGTCCTGTTTCAGCTGCTTCTGTATCCTGGAAAACAACACCTCCCTCCCTCACAGTGTAAGATAAGATGAGCCCATGTGGTCTCACTCACAGCTCAGACATATGAGAGATGTTGCATCATCATCCTTACTGAAGGCGAGTGGGAAAATTTAGTCCCACAACACCTGGATATGTTTGGTAAGTTACTCATTTTAATCTTTGTTTTTTTTGTTCACAAGATGTTCCTGACTTATCTTGAACCTGTGGTCTGGAGCCATCAATGTGGTTTTCAGGTGTAAGAATGCTCATTTTTGCTTTATTAAGTGCATACCTAAGCAATTGCAACTGCATGGTATTTTAGTAATATTCGATTTCAGCTTCTAGTAATGAATTAGATCAAAATCAAGTCTTAAGTCCTGGTGGGGGCATCAATTTTTGCTCATCTTAAAGTCTTATTTCTACGCCTAATGAAAACAAGACATGTATCTTAACTTGTTGAGTGACTGTGGCTTTTATTAAATCTAATAAGACACGTGTTACTTGAAATAAGCAGAGGTGGGCAGTAAGTACAGTACTAAATAATAAGTACTGTACTTTGAGTATCTGTACTGTATTTGGGGCAAAACCTATTAGTCCTTGTTGATTCTTAAAACTGTATTATATAAGCAGAAAGTGCATAATGCAGGAACTGAAGCAGTTCAAGAAAAGTTTGGTTTTCCCCTTAGTGTTGATACTTAAACAGACATTTTAAGGGTCAAAAGCTTTATTTCTGGTATCCTGGTGTATTTTTTAACAACCAATTTGTCATGAATTTTCTTTATTTTTCAGTTTATAATAGAGAGGAACAGATTGTGACTTACCATCTTTGCAGCCCACTCTGTGAGACATAAAACGGCTCAGAAACCTTTCATCAAAATGCTTAAGATTGATTTCCGTTATAATATGTCGGACATTTCTCAGTAATACTTTAAGTTACATCTTATAGGACTGTTTTCAACATTAATGTCTCGAGAGTGTGAACATGTGACATGGTGCCCCACCATCAGGTAAGTTGTCTCACTACATGGGGTAAGATGTCACAAAATTATTGTTGTTCTTATTTTTTTACATGAAAGTGAACATCAAAGTCAGGCACAGAAAATGTTTATCATTGAGTTAGAAAAAGTCCTCGAAGAAACGTTAGCATAAAATATCATGCAACATGCTCTGGAGTTTGGAGAGCTGTCTGACTCTGTATTTTGGCTGGGGTGAATGTTTTTGCAGTACTGAGCTTAAGTATGGTAGTTGACATTAAAGTCCTTTATTGTACTCCAGATTGATTTATTAGCTAGGGTCACCTGTCTGACTGTCCTCAGCATCACATCAGGTACTGCACTGCCATGTTCTGTTTTTCTTTTGTAAATCCTGACCATGTCTTCTTGCTTTCTCCTCTCCTTTAAACCACTCTTTAAACCAGGTCAAAATTTCGATATAACAACTGCTGATAAGCAGACTCTCTATGTTGATTTTAATCCCGTTTAAACATGTGACAATTCACCCCAAAATGACTGAGACATGTCGCCCCAAACTAACATGTTTGCTAATTCTAGCTCCAGCTTGAAGTTACCTTAAAACAGAACAATGACTGAGGTATGACAGGATGCCTTAATCTCTCCTCTAACAAGTCCACATGTATCACTGCTAGGATTTTTATCTGAAAGAAACTTATTTCATGATATAAAAAGTTTTTTCTTTTTTTTACTTTGGGTTAGACACGATCCCTGACAATTAAAAAGGATTAAAACTAGTATTCCAAGTTTTAGTTGTGCCCTCTGGTGGCGAAGATAATTGCAATGTAACAACATACCCATGTGACAACAAGCTCCAGTCTCCCCTGTTTGATAGGGATAGTGTCTACGCGTTTCGACTCACAAGAGTCTTAGTCAGGACATAAATGAACACATTTCAGACACCTGTGTTAGTGCAAAAAAAAAATGTTAAAGGTATCCTGCAGTCTTATCCTGAAATCACTTTAATCGTGTATTGTATTGAGGTAAGTTATTCAGAGTAAATCTGGGGTAACAGATTTGGTCTTACCTATTGTGTGGATGCCGTGTTTCCCAGCACAGTTTGCTCTTCCATATGTTTTAAAGAGCATCAGGCCTCATATCAGTTTTTTCTCACCGCCCACAACACAGGTCGTTTCTCTCTCAGCGTCACACAACACCAAAAAACATGACGTGTGGATCATTTTGACACCACAATATTATAGAAGAGTGCAACTCCACAGGCACATCAACAGGCCAAAGACTCTAAAAGCCAAAATATCCCACTACTTTTTACTGAAATAAAACCATTTCTGTTGAGATTAAACAACTGCTGTCATCAGACTAAATGTGCAAATTGCCATCCTGTCACGGGGGGTTTATTTTCTATATTGTCTTAGTATATGTCAAACATTACTGTAATAAACAAGACACCACAGTAAGTTTCCTGGGGACTGAACTTTTGCTTTCCTGATTATTTTAACCTAGTTGGAAAAATTTAGGTGCAACTTTCAACTTTATATTTATTTGTAAAATATGAAAAAGCACGATACTCCCTCCAGACATATAGAACTCAAGTAAACATGAGGCAAAATGTTCATTTGTTCTGTTTTTTTGGTCTCCACCAGCTCCTAGAACACCTAGAAATCACCAGCTACTTACTGACCGTGTATGTTTGATTTTTGTGAAATGTTGTGAATGTTTTGGGTTGTTTTTATTTACATAAAAAAAAGAAAGAAAAAGCAGCAGTTAATTTTTGCTGCAATGAAACCTGAGCTGTGTGGCCTCCATGCAGGATCTGTCTGGAGAATTAAAGAAGGAATAAGGAGAATCCTTACCTGAATTCTTGCTGGTGTGCTTCTTATCTCTGAGTCTGCTGCTACCTTTATATAAAGGCTCACACAGGTCATATCAGGTTGATTAAAATAAACTTTCCAAATGCACAACCTGCATCGCTCCCAGCATTACGCAATATCAAACACTCAGATTAACAAAAAACTTCAAGGTTTGGGATTATGATTCCCTGTCGATTCTTAACTCAACTGCATCTTTTTTTTCTTATTATTATTTTTTTTATAGGCCCAGATTTGATGGAGCAAAGTAAGCCCGATGTCTTGATCACTCCTATTTGAAATACTAAAGTAATTTTTCTTTTCATGTAAGCGAAGGGTGTAATACTGTGTACCGCAATATTGTACACCAGCACTTCCAGCACAATAACTTTAAATAAAATAAATCAAACCGTTTTAGCTTACATAGGTATTCTTATGACTATTTGTCTTTGTAACCTTTGAATAGTTTAGTTTTCATTTGACCCACAAATGACATATTAACATTTTTGTATTGATGAATGGGAGAACTGATATTTCTGCAAACTCTGCAGCTTGGGTAAAACTGTTTGAATCATCCTTATAAAGTGATTTTAGTGAGTCTGACCAGCATATTAATGATTTTTCATGTTTTTATATACACTCCCAGAAAAAAGCACAGAGCTTTGTTCTGAACTCCCTCACATTTGGATTGTTATCAATAACCACTTGGACTATAATCTTAGATATGAAAAACCCGCGATTTAAACAGCTGTGTGTACGTTTCATAACCAAGGTCACTACATAGTTTCACCGTACTGAGGACAGCTCATACAGCAGTAGCAGTATGCGGTCTGATAAAGCCTTTATTTAAATCAAATGCAAACTTATTCTTTACGTCTTTTCTTCCATTTCTTCTCTTACTTTTTTTGTCATACTTTTTAGTATATTTATTTTATCAACATTAAATAATATCCAATAATTTCTGGAGGTCTCTTTCAGTTTCTGCAAGGAGAAATATGTCATCTGCACAAAGCGGTTGACTCTCATTTTACTTTACTCTAACACTAATGGCTGCATCCTTTAACTTTAATGATAACACCATTTATATAAATAGGCCTACTGTTAAACAGAGCACGAGAGCACACGTCTTCCTTATTTTACACCACAAAGTAATGGGAACCAACCTGCCTTGTGATCATTTACAACATTCTAGGGTGACTTTGGTAGAGTCATAATTCCACACAGATATATAACATCTTAATGATGCTGAAATATTAGAGACGATCAGAATGATAGGGTAAATAAATGTCATTCCTTTATGTGTGTACTATCATAGACTGTATAATACTTACTGTATATGTCACACATGTGAAGGTGGATGTCTGTCCCCCCCTTTGACCTCCTCTGTTTAAAAAAAAAAGGCTAGATCCACTCCTAGACACTGCCACAAGGTGTTGTGAGCAGGTGTGTCAAAGAAATAAATGTTTCATCTCACAAAAACAACTGTGTTCAATTTCTTAAAAAAAAAAAAAAAAATCACACTACAAAGCCACCTAAATGCATGCACACAACACAAAACAACTTAGTAAAAACACTGTTTGATCCAGTATTGATTATGTAAAGGCACAACAAATTCACGTGACACAGTTTAAAATCATATGAAATCTGTGTTCCTAACATTTAACTCAGTGTGTGTAGTTTAGAGCACTCAAAACGAGAGTATGGAGGGGCAGTAACGCTTCTACACCAGCGGGGGGCAGCAGCGCGCTCAGACCGGCTCCAGGCTGCCTGTGAAACTGTAGAAGAGTTAGGACGCGGATGTGTCGATGTATTTTCGCCGGGTTTTTGTAGTTTTCTTCGTATTTGTGATTTTTTATATCGTGTGGAGTTTAAACGGTAAATATATATTAAGTGTGTGAACCTTTGTTAACCATAAACCTCGATACTGTGTTGTTTTATTGCATTTAGCTCGCTAACTTCATAGCCTTCAATAGTCCTCTCACCTGCTCGTCCATTTCTGTACGTTTGACTGAAACTGCATCATAGACTGTATATAGAATATTAGATAAAGTGTTATAGATATAGACTGTATATCTGGATATTAACATCGAGGTTTTATTCATCTACAGAGAGGATGTCTGAGCAGACTCTTGACTATTTCCTCAGTCGGAATAAAATCCAGAAAAGAGATGGTGCTGATATCAGGTGGTCACACGCTGTGAACAGCAGAGACAGTTTAACAGAGGCTCTGACAGGTAAACACACTTTATTATTGCATGTTTTTTGTTTGTTTGTTTGTTTGTTTTTTGTTGTTGTTTTTTTCCATTAAACTTAACAATATGAATGAAAACACAAGCTCTGACAGATAAACTTGCTCTTTGTTGGTTGCATGGTTTATTTACAAAAATAATGATCATAAATGGGTAACAGGCTCTGACAGGTAAACTTACCTTTTATCATATATTTAACATTAAAAAGAGTGGAGTAATGATTTTGGCGTGTCTGATGAGTAAATATGTGTTTATTTTTTTCACTGGCTATGGTTAATTGAGAAGTATTTATTAATACTTAATAAAAAGTTTTAACAGAGATGATGTGTTTTAGTCCTGTTTAGAATAACATCGAAGTCTCCACATTTAATACCATACTCTATACAAATTATGTCTGGCTTACTGCAAAGGGAATTGACCACATGTACTTCATATAAAACAAGGGCTGAGATGATATGCTTTTCTCATGATTCTTTTCTTCTACGATTTTTTGGATGCCAAAAATTGCGATTTTACAGTATTGTCATTTTTCTTGATATTTATTCTGCATTTTTAACACCAGTGAAACAGTTGCATGATTATGATTGTCTACTGACTATTTCAGGAACCATATTTCCCACAAAATACACATCAGATGAAAGTCAGTTTTTGAGATTTATTCTTAAATTTGGAAAAAAAAAAAAAAAAAACAATTGTTGAACATAAAAAAAACGATTTGAAAATTGTAAAACAAAAAATCGCGATACTTCCGTAAATCGATTTTTTCTCCCACCCCTATTTAAAACCATTCCAGTTTTAATATTGAGCATCTGTAATAAAAAAGAACCTAATTCAACCTGAATTCAAAGGTTGTTTATCTTCTTTAATAAGCCTGATTTACTAAATATAATCTGAATTTCCGTTAAGATGATGAGTGTGACAGCTTAACTGTGAGAATGTTTAAATTGTGAGGTTTCCCCCCTAAAATGGAAAAAAGCAAGGAGACTTTGAGATGTTTTTGAGATTAATTTGTTTACCAGCAGAATGACATGGGATAACTTACAAAAAACACATTTAGTTGTTTTTTTTTCCCATGAGGTCCAACTCACATGCTGGAGGCTGACGTCATCATTCGAGGTGGTGACCCCAGAGTGCCGATCATGGCTCATCCTCCTGCCACAGACAGTGACATCACACTGAGAGAGTGGCTGGAAACGGTGAAGGAGCATGAAAAAGGAATAAAACTGGACTTTAAGAGGTTAGATGATGCTCCACTTCCCCCCCCCCCCGCAGTCCTATCTGTGATGTTGACTCGGTGTTACACCCTCTCCTCAGCCTGGACTCTGTGTCTCCCTCTTTGATCCTGCTGCAGGAAGTGCTGACAGAGTTGAACCGTCCTGTGTGGATCAATGCAGACATCCTTCCTGGTCCAGGGGGAAAGGCCACACCTCTTGATGCTCAGTCTTTCCTCTCTGCTGTGAGTACTCTACCTGCTCACACTGTGCTGTCTCTGGGCTGGACCACTGGATGGACCGCTGGAACAGAGAACCCAGGTGAGGACACTGAAGGTACTAACATGGCTGGCCTTCTACACTTTTATTCTACAGATCATACTCAGAAACACCTGGAGGGGCAAAATATTCAGCTGTACTCGAATCGAAAGTTCTCTAAAGTAGTAAGGCTTTCTAAACGTAAGTAAATCCAAAAAAATAACTATCATGAATTTTTTTTATATTTTAAGAAATTAAAGATGTAATATATTCTAGACCCATGAACTGAAATGTTTCAAGACATTGTTCTTATTTCATAATTATGGCCCACAGCTCAAAAAATACACTTAGTTTTGAGTTTAGGTTCTGTTCAAACACTGTAGACATTATTTATTTCTCACTCTGGTGCATCAAGAGCCACCATGCTCAGATATCTCAGATATAAAGAGACTACATTTGTCACATTCCTCTAACCAAGCCACCCCTGAGCCAGGGAAAACAAAGAACAGTCATACCTGGGTGAAGGAGAAAAAGAACTGAGCTATTGTTCCTTGGTCCAAAGTCCTCTTATGGTGTGTTGTGTGTTTATGTTGTTCAGGTTACAGTTGGGACATGGTGCATGCAATGGAGGAGATTTGTAGAACCCTCAAACACCCTGTCACCTTTCCAGTACGTGCAGCTCTAATGGCCCAGTCGGCCCCGCAGCTCACCTGGCTGCTGCAGCAGTCAGACAGGTGAGTATCAACCAAGAGAGGTCAGAGGTCACATTGGCATTAAAACAAGTGTAGCACCAGAAGATCTCTTGGATAAATGATTTTGTGTCCATTCTGCTGTTCACAGGTACTCCCTCACAGTGTGGACCAGTTTGACTGATGACTTCAGAGTCCAGGACTTACTGATGTACAGGAAACAGTTTGACGTCAGCAGGATCTACTTTGACCTGTCGGAGTCTGAAAGGACTCAACTCAGTGTGACGGAGTGATACATTCGCTGAAAGTTCATAAAGACCCTCAGAGGATTTGTCTGGGTGTGATCTCAGGACTGTTATAGCAGACTGACATCCCCGGGTTGCAGTATGGACAGTGCAACCTTAGTGGTGTATTATCTGAAAACTATAATACATGAGAGCAGAAGTCCCTGACTTTGTGTTTGGAGCACATAGTAGGCTGTGGGATGTATCTCAGGGGTCATATGAAAAAGTGTTTTACCAATACTCTTTCTGTGCAGGGTTTCAGCGCCGCTCGCACATGTCCTGCATTCTTGAAAAGCTCACAATCGCCAACAGCCAATTCAGTTCACTGAATCACAGTAACACGCTTCTTATTGCTTTAATGTGTGACAGTATTCCACATTTTTAGGATGATATAAAGTTGATCTTTAATGTGAAACCTCATCGGAAAAGCAGCTAGCTTAAGATGAATTTTCTAATGGATTTACTCGCACCGATACAAGTTCAATTTTAATCTGAAGTTTGCTTTGGTGAAGACGCTATGTTCTGTTGACTTGGATTTGGGGCTTCTGAGTTGAGACAAACAGTCCCAAACATGATTACTTGTTGATTTGACAATGTCTGTATCACATGTACGTAATAAACAAGAACAGTTTGTACACACGTAAACTCTGAACACTCTGAAAACAAAAATACACAAATGAGTAACACAAATGAGTAAAATCCACAAAAAATAGTTTGTCAAAAAACATAACTTGCATGAATATTTACTTAAAGGGATTTGCCTCAATTTTGATGATAAATTCTATTTATTACAAGACTGACATGTATTAGAGTATTTTTACACTTGTTCAAGGATCTGAGCTCTTCCACCTCTTACATTTAATCTCAGGCTGCAGGTTAATCATAGCATTCAGTTATTTTAAGCATTCAGCTTTACATCAAGACTTAGCCTTATGTCTTTGGATCAAAATGTTACTAAAGGAAGATTTAAAAACAGCATAACTTTCCTAATTGCAATGTTTTTACTGCCTCTTTTTTATCATTTTATTAAGAGATAAAAGTCTATTCATGAAATAACATATGTAGAAGGTTTATATAGGAAAGAGACTGCAATACGATGCAGTTAAATGAAACACTAAAGGCTGAGTGTATTACAGAGGTGTTGCTACTGGCAACTCTGAATGTGATGAAAAGTGTCTGAGAATGTTTCACATTTTCAAGGATGCAGATTCACTTACTGGCAATTTAGATAAAAGCTTTCTCTGAAAGGGAAGGTTACCTTTTCCTCAGTGTGAAGCTTAGGTTGATTATTTATTCCCACTGTGTTATGAAAGGTTCTGCATATTTAAGGCTTAGATACATAATGTCTATTTTTGCATTGTAAACTACTGATTGTTGAACAACAACATGGAGCAAATTAAAATTGCGGGTGGATTGTATCGATAAGAAAATATCATTTTTTTTGTATAAAATTGGTGTAAACCAGTGGACTTGACAAGCGTCATTGTGCACTTCTCTTTCTATACTCAGGGGAAGGACACATGGATAAAGGACACAGGTTTGAGTTATGAAATAATCACAAACCTGTATAATATTTGATGCCGTTATGAAACCTATGATATACACCAGAGTGTTAGTCATCAGTCTTTTTGTCTGAATCAACCTTGAGCTTGAAGGTTGTTGATGGAGAGTATTTTGATGATTAAACTTTCAAAATGAGATGCTACCAAGTGAGATTTCAACACCACGGATGGCTTTCCAGAGCTGAAACATCTCCACTTAAGTTTAGAGTTTCCTCAGGTGGATACAGTTTACACAGAACAGACACTTGTGTGAAGTCCAGAGTCAAAACAGGCATCTACAAGGAGATATTAGAGCACTTCATGATTCTGATGAGCTTTATGCAGATGCTGATTTCTTTTTCCAGCAGGACTAAGCAGACTATAATTGGGCTGACCTGAATCCCATAAAGAATCAGTGAGGTATTTGTCAAGATGAAGATGAGAAACACCTGCCCCCCAAAATACTGACCATCTTAAGGCCACTGTCAGATTACTTCAATGTCACATTGAAATGAACGTCTCAGAGAATTTCTCAGTTTTTCCCAAGTAGTTTTAATGATGATACATACCAAAGTTACATTTGGTATCTTTAATATTCATTCTTTCTGTGTCACTGATTACATCAAATCTCTAATTCTTCTTGTGAATCATTGGAGAAAATGAGATTGAATCACGAAAAGTGCATCAACTTTGTTCAGTCTTAAAAACGCAGTCAAGCTGGCATCAGAAATGGCAGTTACAGTACAGCAATGAATAAAACTAGATACAGTACAAAGATTTCTCTTGATGCATGCAGTATTTTATTTTAGTGGCCAAAAGTTTCCTTAAAGTTGGCCAGTTGCTTAATCTGCTCGCTCTGCATTGAGTGTCGCCTCCACAGCATTTTCTTGGATTGCGGATCTCTTGGGTAAATAGGTGCACAGGGCAGGAAGGGCTTTGACCCTGTAAAAACATTATTTAATGTCTTGCTACTTCCACTCAATGGGTAGGAAGCACTAGAGCTGACCCCAATATCTGGTATAGGAGCATGAGGATTCAGAGGAGGGAGATATCCAGGGCGAGTGTGGGAAATATGATCCAGCAGAAGGGCACCTGAACCTCTTCGCTCCAGCCCTGTTGCACCTCGTCTTGGGACAAAGCTCTCCAAGGACTCCTTGGATCCTGACAGAGTAGACGACCCGCTGCTGACTAGCTTGTTCCTCTCTGGTTCTGCCTTGGTTCCACAAACATTCTTGGAGCTGTTATGCTGGCTGCCAAACTGTGGTAACTGAGAATCAGAACTATAATGGTTGATGCCAATATTCCTCTGACGGACCACGTTCTGCAAAGTGTCTTGGAGCAGGTTTGGGTGGGAGGCAGAATGTGGTGAGCTTGCAGCACTGTCATATGACATCTTCCTACCAAAGACTCTTCTTCCAGCCCCTATCTTCATCTCATTTCCTGATATTTCTAGTGCTCTTAAAAGCCCCGATGAGTCTTTGACATCAATGCTGTGATGGCGAGAAACAACTGGAGGTCGACCATGGAAGGCAAAGTTGTTGACTCTGAATGACAGCTCTTCCTCGGGTGTTATTTCTGATGGTTCCTCCGTCAAAGAGGAGGCCTGGCTCTGCTGAAGTAATAGGGAAGGACTTTTGGACCAGGGTTCAGACTGCAGCCTCTGAAGATTAAGTCGCTTTTCCACCCCCGGGATACGTAATGGACTAGGATGTTGGATTGGAGAATTTGGACGTGATGTGATCAAGCCAGGTCCTGATTGGAAACACTGGGGATCCCTGAGCCCAAGTAGAGGGCTGCCAGGCTGAGGGGAAGCACTTGCTGAGGAGCCCTGAGGAGGAGTTCGTAGCTGGAACTCATACGGCCACATGCAAGATGTTGGGGTGTAATGCATTCGCTCCTCGAGGTCAGGAAGTGGGGGGACATTGAGGTACTGCTTTGTCATCTGATGACCTGATGGCAGTTTGTTGGTGGTGATGATGATCACCTCCTTACCTTTGGCTTTACAGGCATCCATGAGGACCCTCAAGATGCTGCTGTTTCCAGAATTGACAGCATACACCAATGCCGACAAACCTGCATGATCCTCCAGAGTGGGATCAGCTCCACTGCTCAACAGGAGAGACAGAATTTCTGCTCCAGCTTGTTCCAGGCATGCATGCATCAGAGCTGTTTTCCCTGTCTTGTCTTGGATGTTTGGATCAGCACCATTTTCTAGAAGATACCTGTTGGGGGTGAAGATGACATTTACAAAATGGGAAACTACAAATGTAAAAGCAGGTAATACACACCAAAAATGCCTTCAATAATCAATTGTGTATGCTAAAATAACATACCGAACCATCTTGGGTTTTGGTACACTCTGTGAATCCGTGTGGCATGTCTTGCAGGCCACCATCAGTGGAGTCTCGCCTTGTTCATTACTTTCGTTTATGTAGGCCCCTCCCTCTAAGAGGAGGCGAGTCAGACGCAGGCGACACAAATAGACGGCCCTCAGCAGAGAATTTCCATCAGTCCGAACTTCTATTGACTCATCCATGGTAAAGATCTTGGCTTCTGCCTCCTTAAACGTCTTTGATGAAGGGTCGTCACTTTTTTGTCCCGAGATGCTCACAGCCCAGTCTCTACAAATACAGAAAGATAAACATTAAATTCTCAAGTGTAGTTCTCCAGATAGGCAGCTGTTTCTGTCAGTTCAATCAGCGAAGAATTACCACACACCAGATTTGCTATTCCAATTCCAAATCTTTATTTGTGGTTCGTGCCGTCTTCGAATCTATTGGTTGTTTTAACTGATTTTGCATGAGTAAAAACTAGAGAGACACCCAACTCAGAACTCCATATCTGTGACTGGAACAGGCCGAGTCAAAGTGCACATCGTGAGCCTGGCATCATGTTTTTGCAAGCATTTTGGAAATCTTCAGTTTGCAATTTTGGCTGGCATTTTTCTTGGCTTTTGGGGACCAAATGTGACCATATTAGGAAAAGGTTGGACATTCTCTGATACACCTCTATACTAGTTGTAAAACCCACATGTAAAGTAGAAAACTAGCATGTAAAACGTTAACTTGGGTGATGATGACGTAGGGGACAGACTTGTCTTGCGATCAATTTTCCTTACAGTTGTAGTTCTTCATGCAACCAGTGGAGTTACCTTCCTGCTGGACATTTGGATGGCCAACCATCTGGTTAACTAGAGGCTAGGCGCAGGCTAAGCTCAGGTAAATAGTCTTCATTAAGCTGCTAATAGGTTCAGTTTTTCAGTGTTTCAACAGAGTGAGTTTCTGTTGCTGGCGATAGTTAGTCAAACCTGTTTATTTGTCAGACCAATGCCAAAGTCAGACTTCGCATGGATATTGCCCAATCCAGAGGATGTAGGGTGTCAGGAATCAGTCAGCCAGTCAATGGTTTTATCTCTTGTAACGTGTCTCAGGGAATGATAATCAAGGACCAACTGGGATACTTTGCAGCCAGTCCTGCAAGTCAGAAAGTCCACCTTGTGATCTGCAACATCAATGATGTTGGTGAGTATCTGCCATTAGCATTTCCAGGTTTCATCCAGCCCCATCCCTCTTCCTTCCAACATCATCTCATCTTGGTTGGGTACCACTTTATTGTCTGTCAGTAAGGTTACAACTCTAATTTGTAGCTCTTTGATCGGCTTATCTAACCCAGTGGCCGTAGTAATAGGCAAAAAGACAGTGTAGTCCTAATGTCCAGTTGCACATTAGAACACGAGGCTCTGAAGGGACTGCCTTAGTGCAAGAGACCGCCTCTAGTGGACACAAGAGTTAGTGCTGTGTTGACTCTACATGGGGTATTTGATGAGAAAACTGTTGGTTTGCAACCATATCAACAATATTTGATTAGATAGCAAGGGGCAGTAACACACAACTTAAAGCAATGATTTATTTCTTTGATATAATAATAATATCACATTCTGCATCTGACATACTGTATGTTTTTTTTAAATTTCTCATCGAACGTTACATCATTTTTCAGGGAGTGAATTACTCTGCAGTTCTACAGCACCTTTATTTGTCCTTCCCGTGTTTCCTTGAATCCTCACAGTTATTGTCAAACGTCTGAGAAGATAACACCTTCCTGTCTTTTTCATTACTTTTATATTTACCAGTTTAACCACAGACACAGCTGTTTTAAAAAAAATCTCTTCGGGGGTTGACAAAAGAAACAAGTGCAAACTTCTGCAGCTTCAGATGTCAGAATAGCATGTTCGTCATCCCTCCCTGGATTGGCTCTATTCTCTCCTGCAGCCTATTGTGTGTGTGGCCTTGTGTTAGTGACTGACCAATGACTTCTTACTGCATCTGCTGAGATCAGACATTATGCTATCAGTCTGATGATTATGGAATACGTGTATTCTGACATGGAGGATAAATGACACAGAGGGCTGCTAACAAAACCATTTGTATTGTTAAATATTATTATTTTTGTGTCAAATATATCAATTGTAATGTGTAACACATAGACTGTATTGTAAATGGACGTAGCATCTGTGTTGTCACCCATTTGTAAATCAGTATTTTGAAGCTTATCGGCAGTGGTTGCCATATTGGAAATGCTAACTCAACCTAACTTTCAGTCAACCTACCAGGGGCGGGCCTACAGCCTCCTTACATACAGCGTGTCCGCCTGTCAGTCAACTCAAGTTAGCTGTGGCCCTAATTCACCACTGTCTTCACCTTTATATCTTAAAAACATGTTACAAATAAATTCACCCCAGTACATCTGAAAGTATCCGGGTCCCATGCTTTATTAAAGTGTCTCTTAACTTTATGGAGAACTGGTGGACCATCTGTTCATTGATTAGTGGTTTGATTCCTGAGAATGATAGTTTACTTTATGTGTGAAAAGCAGCAGGCTTGGACCTCAGTGTGCAGTCTTCTCTGCAGGATGACATTCAAACCCCTCTATCAGAGCCTGTTCGAGGGGTCATGCTTGGCCATCAGCCAGTCTCAGCACAGACAGAATAACAAATGAGCCATGCAGCTGAGAAAATGTCATTCCTTAACATTTAATCACTTCTATTGTAAAGGCCAGAGATGTCCCTCCATTTCACATTACTCAAAGAGACTGAGATATTACTATCATAATTATCATAGTGACAGTCCTTCAGATATTGACTGAAAAGTACACGCTAAGGCATGCTCGCAATTCACTCTGGATAAAAATATGACAAAAAATGAATAACAATGTCACTCTTAACAGAACAAAAAGGACTCTGCAAGGACACAAGCATTTAAAATCTTGAGTCCATAAAAACACTCAAAATCTAGAGCATGCATGGAAAGATTATGTAGAGGTGCCAGACCAAAAGCCCTGGGGTTTTGGTTCTTTTTTTAAGCAAGAGTCACGGATAGTTGTTTATTTCTATCATTAATGATAAGTTTGAAATGGTCTTTTATATGCGCTTCAATTTTCCCCAAAATTATTTAGATCTTAATAGTTAAAAATAAACTAAAACTGCAGAGGAGATACACCTGTTGGTCGCAATGTTTTGTGAAGCAAAACACTGATAATTTAGGATCAAAATTTTAAAAAAGACATGAAGGAATCAGTCCTTGAGAGGACTTGAGTTTGGGCTTTTTAGTCCCCAAACACAACACATGACTTCTTGGACTTCAGCGTTTTAAGCAAATTAAAGTTTCCAGATTAAGGTGGTCACAGTATACTGTTATTAATGATAATTGTCCATGAAAAAAAAGAAACAGCATCAAGCTAACTGTAACTGCCCTCTTTTAAAACAGATGATCAGAGATTTACTGTGACTCCAAAGACAATATAAGACCATGAGCCTCTTTAATTGTAGTAATGAACTAAAAAGTTAATACTTTATAACTGTTTTGTCATCTTTTTTAATTCAGCCCCATCACTTTTATCTACCGAGAGGTGCTTCTACTTCATTTCAAAATAAAAGCATATTTTTTATTGAGGATAAGTAGAAATGGATGATAACATGTAAGTTATTCAGTTAAGTGTATTAGTAGAGTTTATGAAGTTGGCCCTCCACCCCTGTCTTGCCTTTCCTAATTTGATCAGTAGTGAGGGTTCTTTTTTAGTTTTCCATGAATAATGTAGTAATGTTTCCCCTGTTTTCATTATATAACTGTAAAAATGTGATATCAGCTCAAATCCAGATGGACATTCTGAATCAAGCTGCCTGCTTCTGTAATAACGTAGTGTCGTTTTTATTCTGTGGTTTATTGCTGTTACTTTTCCTATTATTTTGGAGCTTATTTTGAATCTGTGCCATGTGAGTTTACAAAATGTGAATGATGTTTTCTAAAGGAACATGACAAAGCAGAATGTACACCCATGTATTCTTACTAAAAAACTAGAACAATGTCTAGATTGAATACTCCACTGTTTTCAAAGCAAGTACTGCAGTATTGTAACTCCAGTTATAATTTGACTAAAATACTTAAAATAATCCTTACTTTCAATAAGTTTATTATGAAGATGTGGATTTTGACCAGCTACACTCAGATACAGAAAGTTTGACAAAGCTCTTCTGTCAACATCTCCTTAAAAAATTCTGGTTACTTAGAAATGTTTCATTGATAGATTATCTTATCTTTCCTCTATTAAAAAACAAACAAACAAGGGATTTAAAAACTCTGTGCAGCCATTTAGTCGTTGAAATTACCCTGTACATGCCATGAAATTAAAGGAAACTTCATTCATTTACTTTTCTGATACATCCATGACACTGTTATGTACATCTGTCATCTTAAAAAGAGTCTTTCTACAGGAAAAGTTAGAGTTGCACAAACTCACCTGAGTATGTCTCATTCTCAGAACACCTGCAGGTCCAGGTCCTGGTCTAGGTCCCGTGTTTTGATAGGTCCCAGTCAGAGTCCAGATTGTGGAGCAGCCAGTCAGTGGAGCAGAGATCTGTGCATGGAGTGACTGATGAAGGAGGGATGAAGACTAATATACGTCAGCTCAGAATGACAGGATGGCCTATGGCAGCAGAGCAGCAGGAAGCAGGCAGCCAATGACAGCACATCTCTTTGTGCAGCAGCCTCAGTGCAGCAGACACAGGTCTTTAGCAAAGTATTTGCGCAGGTAAGACTCATTTCTTTTCACCTTCAGGTATTCAGACTGCCAATGTGTGGAGTGACAATAGTGCGGCTGACGTCACCGGAAAGTTCAAGGCAACAGACGGATTTATTTTGGTGAAGATTGCACAACACTGAGCTCTAGTCTCTTCATGGATGTTTTACCATATACAGAAGTCAATGATGGAGAATGGATGAGACCTGACTGGATAAGGATTTAGAGTTTCTAACTTAGGTAGATGTTATCCTCTGATGTGTGACAATAAAAAAGATAGCCTGTGTTGTAACAGTCAGAGTAACAATGTGCTCTGATTCAGTGTGTGGTGCATCATGTTCCCCCTCACACAGTGTCCTCTGTTCCACTCTAGTATTCATTATCATCATCATCAGAGGTTTTTGATCTAAAGAGGTGGTTTTACGCTTTTTCATATTTTTCTTACAATGAAGTTAAAAGTTGATCGTCAATATTGAAGGTGGGCAAGGTTTCAGATTGTGAGGTAAAGTTGTGTTGGCGTACAGGATGAGAATGTAGGCGTCTGACAGCCTCTTCAGGCACATAAGAACTATGAGATCCACACCAGACAATCTCCCACAAAGAGCCTCATGGAACACTAATGTCCTGCTCTGTTCTTTGTTGCTTGGAATTTTAATTTAATTTATTTTTTGTCCCTTTCCAGACTTTTCAGGTCAAGCGGTTATATTTTAGCCAGTTTGAATAGAGAAACACTTGTTAACTCTACGGCAATGACCTTGTAGGATGGCAGCAGTGGAGGAAGGTTCTGGTGTGCTGGAATCTAGAATGTGGGGTTCTGGCTTAATCAATCAATTCATCTTTATCCATTTAGCGTCAATTCAAAACTTATGTAAACACAGGACAAAAAAGAGCCTTGACCATACTCATTTGACAAGTTACTGTGGCAAGATAAATATTCTTACAACAGGCAGAAACCATGAGCAGAACCAGAGTCTTTTAAGATGGTTGAAGGGATATTCCAGCGTAAAATTAATTTAGGGTCAAACACACCTTAACTCCGAGTTAGACACCCAATCGAGAGTTGAATGTTGCCGACCGCTTGCTTCTCTAGTTATACCAACTTTAGTAACGACCACACGATAGCAATACACAGCGGTCTGAGGAGCCATAAACAAACCTCAACCAATACGCCACTCTATAGCCACAAATAATGCTCAGAACAGCACCTAACTTCATCAACAGTACATATAGGGTCCTAGCCACAACACTAGCTACCAAACGTCTTTTTAACTTTGCCTGATTTCTTTAGCAAAGAGACTAAACACAACTCACCTACTCTCTTCCAGCAGCCGCTTGTTTGTGGCGAGACCTCTGGACAGTCCATTACGGACTGCAGCGGGGTGACGCAGCTCAAGGAAGAACATTTATGATCATTTCTTCATGGAAATGCAATCAGACTAAGACGCTAAGGGAGAAGAACTACTGCGTCTGCAGTGCAAAATGATTAACATGGTGATTATTACTTCAAGAAAATGACAAAGTATCCGGCGGTCCATACTAAAGTTGGCATAACTAGAGAAGCAAGCGGTCCACAACATTCATCTCTCGACGGGGGTGTCTAACTCAGTGTTACGGTGTGTTTGACCCTAAATATCCCTTTAAAGGCTGGGACTGTGTTAGGATTACAGAGGTTATAGAGGGAGATGAAGAAATAGAGAGATGAACTAAGATTAACAACAACTTGAATAGTCCATACAGATGTATGGTTACAATCACAGAGATAATGGAACAAGTATGTGCACCATTTACAGGAACAACACAATAATGATAATTGGAATGCCACGCTCTGGAATGTCAGCCCTACCAGCTGACTGGTAGTAAATAGATCCTTAGATCACATCAGACAATAGTCATCTTTTTGTTTGTTACTACCCTCAGGAATCTAGCATGTACAAACTAACAGTGGTTGGCAGCTTATTTTAGGGTCACTTGATTACTAATATGCCATAATTGAACCTTTGGCATGTTGTCTTAGCACTTTTATCAATGAAATATAGGATTTAATTGACTTCCACACCACACCATCAAGTTCCATTAAACATTTTCAGCATCTCTACTTTTTCTGGACAGTTGGTTGTAGTTGAGGATAAGAGGCGCAAAAAGAGAAAGTGACAGTTTCAAAGTCAAGTAAATACCTTTAATTTATCCAATCAGATCACTGCAATCTCAGTGGGAATGTACAGATGGATAAGAGACACAACATAATGATGAAATCATCAGTATTCACTTTTACTCCACAACAAGCCACATTTCTGTCCCTCAGATCTGAGTTTCCTCTATGTTCCTCCTAGAAAGCAGGTACAACCCTGCTGTTGACATCTGATCACAGAATAGTGAGCATGTTTTTTTTTTATTTACACTATTCTACATACAGGCTCCCTGCCTGTAAACAACTACACAGCAGGACTTTCCGGCTTAAACCAGAGTACATTATAACTGGAAATTTAACAAAAAAAAGCAATTTCTTTGGTCCTTGTAATCCCTCTTCACTTGTCTATACTCTCATAGACTTCAAATCTGTACTGGATGCCATTCTCCTCCTGCAGCTCTTTTGGCACACCTGGAAACCTGCAGAAGAAACAAGAATAGATTGAAAACACCACAAAGACAAGACATTTTCAAATTGATCAACTTTGTTGTTTTGGCAAATATTCTCTCATTGTAAATTTGATGCTGCAACATCTCCCAGAAAACTCAAGACAGAGGCAGCAGAAGACTGAGAAAACTGAGGAATGCTCCAAAAATATTTGTTTGTCATTCCACAAGTGTACAGATTCATTAATAACAGGTAGGTGTCACGATTAGGTATAAACAGGAGCATCCCAGATTGGCTCAACGATGAGAGGCTGGAGAAATCTCTTCACGTTAAGCAGCAAGACCAAAAAACTAACATTGAATGCCTGTGACCTTCCATTCCTCAGGCAGCACTGCATTAAAAACCAACATTATTCTATCAAGGTTATAACTACGTGGGCTCAGGAACACTTGGGAAAAACCATTGCAAGTTAACACAGTTTGTATGACAGTGTAAGAAATGTGGATGTGACAGTGGCTTAAATATACTGTAAGCATTCAGGATGTGTGTGTTGATCTTACTCTGGCAGCAGACGATATTTATCTGGACTGATTTCAGGAAGAAATGTGTCGCAGTCAAACTGTTTCAGGATTCGAGTGACAAACAGTCTCCTGCTCCCCTGGCTCTCCATCATCTCCTAGGCAACCAAAAAAAATAAATAAATAAAAAAAACAGTTTTAAGAACAAGGAGGATAAACACGTATATCTATTACTATTTCTGAATTTTGTAGTAATCAACACAGAAAGGTTTGAAGTGGTTAGCAGTTATTGAGCTTCATGTAAGCATCTCTCAGACATTAGTTCAGTTACTAGACCAAAGTGTGCAGTCTGAATGCACCATTCAGTACCTTGTAAAGAGAGGTACCTCCTATGACCCAGACTTGGTCAGCTTTGTCTGCCAGCTCTGTGTCCAACAGTTTGAGAGCAGAGCTAAAGTCAGCAGCAAGGTGGTGAGCACCTGCAGGAGGCTCTCTGACAGAGAAAAGGGAGAAAAGGGAACATAGATATGAATTATGACTCTTTTTTTTAATGTGTGTTTGTTCATATCAGGGGATGTTTTCAGGTGTCAGAGTCGGTTTTATCAGAAAACAATCCTGTTAACACACAATTATAAATATTCTCTGCAACCTCATGTCACTTGATTAACATAGCTTACCTGTGGCCAACATGATTCATGACAACTTTTTTATTCACCACAGGCCATGGAAGTCACTTTTTCTGTCAAATAACTGTCCTGAACACAACTTCATGATAGAAAACCCCTAAAACCTGTCCTAACTGTGTGCGACTCATACTTGCACTGTCTGCTGAGGACGATGTTGATCCTGTTGTTTAAAGGCCTGTTCTTCTCTGGGATGGAGAACCACGTCTTCCTGCCCATAATCACCACATTCTGCTTCCCTGAGGAATGAAAGGGTTACAAATAATTGATTATCAGTTCGTTAGTTGGAAGTTAGTTATGTCACTGACTCCAGATTATGCTTTTAAAATATCGTAAATATGTATTTGCAAAGTCAGTAACTCTTGTGCTCCCATAACATGTGGTTGCCTTTGTTGTAGAAATCACCCAACAAATAACCAACACCTAGGCAATCAAATACAACCCAAAACAACAGCTCTGGCACAAATTCTACTTTTATAGAGCTTTTAAATTTTCAGTTTGTGTTAACATGGTCTGACAGCCAGGTGATAATTCAAGTTCAATGAATAACTGGGGCTCTGGGGGGTATATAGCAGCTCCTCTGTGTTTCATGCAGGGTTGTATAAACATATAAAAGAGGACAGATTCACAAGGACCTTTGCTCACCACATGATCAGACTAGTAAACCTTCAACTTTCACCCTCTGATCCTGAGGAGGACTTTTAACTTCATGAATTTGAATTAATTGAATCAAACTCACCTTCTACTGCCGGGGTGGATGTCATCTTTCGGAAATGTTTGAATTCATTACTGTGAAATACACACATGCTGTTGAAGTCACATGAACTTTATCACAGCAGAGTCCTATGGAAGGTTTCACTCTCATTAAACTGCACAGAACAGGGACTTACTTCAGTCTCGTGGGATGCCACGGCAGGTTCCCGTTCATCCCGATCCCCAGGTCAGGACACACCGCCACGATTCCGTTCAACACCCGGGGCATCTTTACTAAAATACGGGGAAACAGGACTAAACCGAGTCGGTACTGTTGTTGTGAGTAAAGGTTCCCGCCAGCTGCTGTTACAGAATCAGGGGAAGTGACGATTCACGACTTGTTCTACGGTTTTTTTAAAGTACCTCAAACTTTCCGGTGCATTGCCGCCATCTTGTGGCGCTTTATTCCTCCCTCCACCTCTCACTGGGATCACTCATTCAACTTTTTACTACCTGCTACTGCACATATCAATCTATCTATCTATCTATCTATCTATCTATCTATCTATCATACCTACCTACCTGTCTATCTTACCTACCTTTCTATTCTACCTACCTACCTACCCATCTTACCTATCCGTCTATCCTTCCTACCCACCTAATCTATCCTACCTACCTACCTATCTAAAAATGAGAAAACATTCACCGCTCTGTGAGAGACTGCATGAGAAAATGGTTTGAATATTTCAGAATTTGTCGTCAGCCTAAAAAGTCAAAGATTTTGTGGATTTAATCATCTAAAGTGCATAATGAATTCAAAGATTCAGAGAATCTGGAGAAATCTCTGTATACAAGGTCCAAGTCTAATATTGGATGGACATGGTCTTCTGGCCATCAGGCACTGTGACAAAGTGGGTGAGATCATCTCTGTATTTATCATTTGTCACTTAAACGACTTATTTTGTGATCAGGGGAAGAGTTTTGTTGTTTTTAATGGAACCTGGAGATGGCACGGTTAATAAAGATCATCACTTGGGAAAACAGCAGTCTGAAAGTTGCCTTCCTGCCACCTTCCTAGGCCCTCGAGTCAAAAACTATATTACAGGCACAATTGCATTAGGTGAAAAAAAAGGATGAAAAAAATCTTACTTTGTGGACTGCAACCCAAAATTCCCCCTAAAAATCTCTTTTGCTATGTCATTCTGAAACTCAAGCGTAACCTTTCCTACAAAAATTCAGTTTTATTGCAACTGTTGTTTGTTTTTACAAACAGAACTGTAGTACAAAATTATTCAAACAATTTACACAGACTGTGTCTGATGCATGTCAAGATGTGTGCTATTTAACAGAACATAAACACTATAGGGGCCAGCTGCGTTCCTCCAGTATGCCTTGTACTTCCCTCTACAGGCTTTGAATACAAGCACCTGGATGTTCCACTGACAGTCTGTGTTAACCAGTTCATGGATTAGCTCCATGTACAGAACATGATGTCCATAGAGTTTGTTTCAGTCTTTGTCTGACTGTTCCACTCCCATCCTCAGGGGGCGCTCTGATTGTGAATACAGCAGGGACAGCAATGCAGCGAGTCATGGATGAAGAGATCACACTCAACACAGAAGGCACTGTGGCATGAGGGACAGGTGAATACCTACAAACACAAACACACATATGAAGAGATAAATTAAATTGATATCATAATCCCTCCTCAATTAACCAGGCTGAGATTTATTATGCGAGAAACACCAAAGACTCTTGTAACGTCATTTTAATGGACTTGTTTTGTGCTTGGTTTTGTATTTACTTTGAAGTTAACGCTCTGATCTCTCCTATTTGCAGACTGCTGATAGAAAACAGATCATATAATTTTAATTTTAGCATCTAATGTCAACATTTTTCTTTTATCTGACAGCTCTTTCATTCTGCAGACGCTGATGTTAGTCTGGGTTATAAAATAAGATAAAATAAGTTAAGAAGAACTTTGTTTATCTCCTGAGAGGTAATTCAATATGTATGTAGTGTATCATGTGTTGAACATCTTACTGATTCTGTAATACCCTGGTTTACCCTGAGTTTGTGAAATGAGATGACCAGCTGGCATCAGACTGATTGTTTCTGCTCACAGTAACCCCAAGTTAATTCATCAGGTTGATGACCAGCCTCGTTTAGTGAAATCTCCTTTGTCTGCCTGGCATAACCCACTGAATAATCAGATCTGAAGGAAAAGTTTCCTCTTTGCAGCAGGTATGCCTGGTTAGGGTAAGTTGATGAACTCAGTTGATAACATTGGTGGAGTGTAACTGCTGTACTCACACTTTTATCTTTCAGCTGCCCCTGACAAGCCTGACAGAACCTGAAACAGAAAGAGAACATGACTCCCAAAGAAAATGATTTAAAAACTTGACAAGTGCAGAGCATATGTTTGAGGAGCCATCGTCACCTGTCCCCTTGAAGCTCCTCAACAGGACTCTCTGTGAACGCCTGGAGGGGGAAGAGGTGATGGAACGATCTGGCGAGATGTGGTGCTGACACCAGAGTCAGACCTTGAAGACAACAAAGTCACCACCAAATCAGTCAGAGATGTTGTTTCTGTTTTATTGTCAGCTCACTTTTAAAGCGGCAAAAAGACAGAGAAATCATTCAGACATACCGCAGACTTTGCACTCAACTGGAAGCTCTGTGTACTTTGCGTGACACTGTGGACAAAAATATCCTCCCAATGACAGACCGGGATTACTGCTGCTGCTGTCCAGATGACTGAGGGAGACACAGCAGAAACAGCTCTTTATGAAGACAACTCTCCCTCGCTTACACAGTGACTGCTCACACTGACTCAGTTTTTACTTACGACATACTGAAGGAAGGCTTGGCGTCCTGGTCAGAGAGGGAGGCGATGGTGTGCTGAGGGAAACCTGAGATAAAACAGATCATATTGTTATAATTCTAGACTTATTTCAGTAAAGAGAAAATAGGTATGGACATAAAGATGATCATTTTGTTGGTAGCTCCTCTGTTGAATTTTGACTGGTTTTGCAGTGTTTGGAATAAATGGGGAAAGATGTTTAAAGTGTGAAAATATCTTCATAATATTTGCATTCTTGATGACCATTATAGGCCTTTAATGACACTTATATATAAATATAATTTGTGGGACTGTTTGGATTGTTGCACATGCAGCTGATATGCAATTTCGAACAGTAATAAATCCAAGAGTGATTAATCGCAGTGACAAATTTCTTTAAACAAATTAAAGTCGATCATTTTTCTCATGTTGATGAGAGACTCTGACTGTGTTTTAAAGGCGATAAATCGACCGGTGAGTACTGACCCATTCGGATCAGAGAGCATTCAGACGAGGAGCTGGCAGGAGGAGGTTTGACATGCAGCATCAGCAGCTCTCTGAAGTGACTCTCATCCAGGATGACATGATACGAGCCGCCCGTCTCTTTGGTCAGGACCGTGCACACTCTGACCTCTGCTGACAGGCCGATCACCGACACCCGCACCTTCAGAGACTTCAGGGTCTGATGGAGGAGGAACATTTATCACATCTGTCAGATATACAGTAACAGCCTCCTGATCATGACGCTCTGTGTGATAGTTGAGGGTTTTATTCACCTTGATGAGCTCGTAGATGTTGGTGGGATCACAAGTGGTGAGGCTGCTGAGGATGATCAGGACCTCTCTGCTTGTGTGTCCAGGCATGTGTCTTCAAACAGAGACAAGTACCAGCTGAGTAACATCATTCATGTGAGGAGACCGTGTTAAAACATGACCATGCAGAACATACTTGAGTGACTGAGCTGCCAGGTTCAGAGAGTTGTACAGTGACGGCTCTCCTCCACACACAGTGTCCACGGCCTTCTTCAGAGCAACTATGTGCTTCTTTGGGTTTCCTTGTGATGAAACCAAAAATACCATTATGCTGCATGTTGTCTTAATGTTCAAAGATGCATGTGCAAATTTACAGACTCACAGGCCCGTACAATTTCACAATGTTTTACTTCTACGACAGAATACAAAAATTAACTGAAACTGAAATTTCAAATTTCAGTAAAAAATGAAGAAAAAAAAGCAAAAAAAAAAAACATGTCAAAAGATTCATTTTTTTTAAATATCAAGTCTGAAGTCAGAGCCCATAGATATTCTGAAACTTCTGTTGCCTGACTGAGACTTTAGAGGTCCAACTGGGTGATAAAGTTTGATCAGTCTAACATAAGCTGATAATGAGTTCCTCACCTGCCAGGTCAGTCAGCTTATCAGCTCTTTTATTCTTTGTGGTGATGATGCCAACCTGAGGACAGAGACAGGAGATGGACTGTCAGCACAATGATGCAGCTGTGTGAAAACAGAAACCCTTCGTATTACCCCCCTTCCCCTGAATCCTAAAAGGAAAACCCATTTTATGACACAGACTGCTTGTCTTTATGTTTTTCTTATCTACTGACTGTATATAAAAACAGAGAGTTTGCTTCTATGTCCTCCCACTGTAAAAAAGTGAAGATAAAACACTATGCTAACATTTTGCTTCACTGTGGAGGAGGTGTGGAGCACCATCCCTGATTTGAAGGTCTTATCTTGGTGTTGAATACAGTTGTTAAGTGTGTCAATGAAAATGCATCCTTTGTTTACATTTCTTTGATTGCTTTGGCTGCTCCTCTGTTATCTTAGCCTACATACAGATCAATCAAAGCCTGTAATTCCAACACTCAAAAACGTACAACTCTGTTCTCCTCATGATTACAATCTCCTTCTGGATTGTAAAGTCAGGTTTAAACACAGTTCAGTGTAAAACATGCAGGTTGACTGTAAAAAATGGTACCTGACTGATGGGGTTTTGATCAAAGTATTCATCAACAAATGCTTCCAACAGCTGCAGAGAAAATAAGACAGAACACAGAGTTTTACAGCTGATCAAACTGAGCATGTATCTTATGATGTTCAGTGTGATGTCTCTGCTGAAAGACCTGCCTTTAGCGTGGAGGTGAGGCGATTTGGTTTCAGGTCCTGGTCCTCCATAGTTCTGGAACAGTCGACCACAACAAAGAGGTGACGCATCTGGAGGACAGGACGTACTTAAATGTCAACAAGATTGTGGAAATAATTCACCTTTAAACAAGATGTCAGCACTTTTATACCAACTTACCATCCCGAGTCTAACTTGTCCATGACTCTCGATCACCCTGTGTGGGAAAACAGGGCATCGGGTGAGTGTTTAAATAAGAATATCTCTCATTATAATGCAGAGCAGTTCAACACCACTACAAACTTGATCTCAGAACAAAGGATGAAATCAAAATCATTCTTGTAAGACAGGTGTCGGGCAAAACTAAACAGTCTCGAGTTTGTAGAGGCAGGACTGATGGCAGAACTGCTGAGTTAGAGCTCATTACAATATTCAACAGTCCTCACTGAAGCAGCAGGTTGGTATATGAATCACAAAAAGGAGGGCATGGTATTAAACGAATTATGACAGATCAAGTTATCTCTAAAGAATTAAATATAGCAGCTCACCGTTTCCTTTTGGACTGGAACAGGATCTCCTCGACTGTGGCTTTGAGTGAGCCGGACTCATCTTCCTTCAAAACCTCCCTGTAGGAATAAAAACGTGTTTTTTCTGACATGTTACTCTAAATCACATAAAAACCCACATCTCCACTTTTAATATAAAAAATTGTCCAGGACCACTTTTTGTCAAAGAGAAATAATTATTCGCATGGGGTAAATCACATTCAGTTCTCTGAGCTCCTTTGCTCTTTCAGAATCAGAATTAGAAATACTTCAATAACATTGCTTTTTGTTACAGTAACTCTGCTGCAAATAAAGTAGAAAGAGGAGATAAATAAAAGATAAAATAAGTAAAAATAAAGAGATAATCAAAATATGCAATATATAAACAGTTTTACAATACACAAGTATGTACATTATATACAACACAAAATAGTAAAATAGTATGCATACAGAGTAGTATGCATATTTCACTGGAGTATACCCAAGCCTGATGCCAAAAGGTGGGCTTGACTTTATGAACTTCATGAGTGCCTGAACTAACGATATGCTCAGTTATTACCATGTCCGCTCATAGCCTCCTTCCCAGCGCTTGGCTCTCTCTGGTTCTTCATCCATTTTGTTCACTGTTCAAAAAAAAAGCCACAAATAGAAATGGGAAAACTGACATTAATACACCAGTCTATGAAACAACAAGGTGTATATCAGACAAATATATTCATTTGGACTATGCTTTCGAAATGCACATTATGCTGAGTCCTAAAGCATGTGTACAGAGACGGGAACAAAACTAAGTGTCCAGTTTCTGCTTAAAAGACACAAATATAAACTAGGAAATGCTGAAATAAAACACAGAATAAAAAACAAATACTTTAAATTATAAAGCTATTTACAAAAGTGAACACATTAGAAGTACAACAAACTGAGGAAACGAGGCTACAAGATAAATAAGCTATAATTTGTTACATTGAATGGCACCAAAGCATTATAAAGCCTTAAGGAACTTTGTATAATTTTAATGTGAGCATAATTGAATGATTATAGACACTCTTAGATAATGCAGTCCAGATCTGGAAAGCATAATTTTAATGGTTTTGGATCAAAATCTGGTCTGGTCTAGATAATCGGTAATATACAGAACATTTAGTTTAAACCTGACTAATGGTTGGATTTCAAATCGATCAGGAGCTTCATTTGCATGTCGTCTTTTCCCCTTAAAATCCACATAAAACTGAGCCCTAAATGGAAAGATGATGGTTTTTGAATGGAGCTTGTCTTCGAGAGTCTGTTTATATTCCTAAAGTTACCACTAATGGCTCCGTTTACGAGATTTACTAAAGGTAATTAACTCAGAGATGGGTCTAACCTTAATGATACTTGATATCATTAAATACACAGTGTATATACGCCGTTACGATTCGCTAAAGAACTTTATAAATGCATACAAATGTACCTGATGCTGTTCAACGGCCACTTCCGCTCAAACTCACCCTTCTGTGCTGTGATTCGCTACTACTGCGGCGACTGGTGCACCGGAGTTTGATTCCGTACAGAAACATGGTCGCTCAGGGACAAGCGAGTCTTCACCTGACACTGCAGTGATCTACAAAGTGAATGAGTGTGAGTCAACGTAATTTTTTTAAATATCCAAACATATTGCAGTTTCAAGATCAAGAAAAAGCTCAATCACTACTTCAGTTATTCCTCATAATCCCTCATGGACCATCATGACAGGTCCTAAAAACTCCTAAAAACGCAATTACAAGAACATTTCCCACTGGCAACCAAAAACAGGATTTGTAAGTCAGAGATTGTTTATAAGCCAATGTTTCAGTTGTACACTTAAAAACTTGGTTCTGGCTCCTTTACTAGAAATTATTGCATCAATGTTGTGTGATATTATAAGTGTAATCCGGTGTCTGAGGTGTTATCTGGATGTTATCGGGTTGCTTTGATAGGGGTCTTCACCTTGTTTGTACCTTTGGGTTAAGTGTTTCTCATTTTCAACTTGGCAAATATTCCATTGATTCTTTATGGGGTGAGCTGGCCAGCTAATCAATAACAGTAATATCATGGCAAACCATTTGGTGGCATTTTTAGCATCGTGGACAGACATATCCCACTGGAAAAGGAAATCAGCATATTGAATTTTGACTTCTAAATGACTGATAGAGAGTATTGGACTTTATTTTTCTTTTACACTATTCTAAATGTTTGAGATGCACATGTCTATTCTTTAAAACACAAACACCAAGAGCTCAAGAATGGATTTTTTTTTTTTATTCAAAGCTTGTACCTGCTTTTTCCAAAACACATCTTATACAATATAACTTTGTGATTGCACACCAAAATATACAACATCAGTTTAGATAAACAGGCATGATTTCCGTGAAAGGGAAATCTCGACATTTGGAGTAGTTGTTCATTTGCTTTTTAAAGGAGTGAAAATAAGAATGTTGACAATGTTTTAACCATTGTAGGAAAAATTGCTGTCAAGACTAATCAGACAGAGAGGTTTTTACACAGGAAACAGTGCCGAAAGTGTTAAAAAAAAGACTCAGATAAAAAGTATTTACAAGCTGGTCATTGAATTTAAAAGCAGAATCATGTCCTATTTCAATTGTGCCTTCATGTACATGAAACTCATAAACAGGTTTTCAAAATAAAAGCAATAAAAGAAGCACAAAAAGTGCTTCGTCAAAGTACTGGAATAAAAACATCACATGTCACTTCTCTCACTTCATTACTTTATGAGAGGGTCAAATAAAATACATTTTTACACCTTAATAGTTCTTCATAAAACTCACAGAGGATGAAGACAACACAGAAAAAAAAATCTTCACCCCATCTTCTCCGGAAAACACCTGATCGTCTTGATACAGACAAAAAAAAATGATAAAAGTAACGGCCCCTCCGTCATATTCACATATCGGCTTGTGATTAACTCAAAAACGGCGTGAGGAAACCGAAATGTGCGTCTTCACTGCCTGAGAGGTCAGAGGTCGAGGTTCAGAGTCAAGGTTCAGGGTCTGCGGTCATACTCGCTGATCTTCCTCTTGATGTGCGACAGTTTAGACCTGAGATATTTACACCTCTTCTTCTTTATCTGGTAGTTTGGAGACTGCAGAAGACAGATAATCATTCAGACAAGTAAAGTCATCAGAGGTACAATTCTGTCCAATAGGGGGCACTAAACAACACCAACCTAAAGTTCCTTCCATAAGCTTTATAAACACATAAACACTAAAAAAACAAGCCTATAATAAGAAAGACCGTGATTTACCATCATTATAGAGTTAAAAAATAACATGAAACAAAACAGGTCACACAACAGATCTGTGCTGTGGAGATAATGATGACTTATCGAAGAAAAGTTGAAAAAATAGTTGAAAAAGTTGAAATAGGACACTCACCTTCTTGAGATTCTTCAGTCTGGTGTATTCGTCCATGGCATCCTGAGATAACAAAAACAGAAGTCAGTTATTAGGGCCAAGGGGCAAACACACCGAGGGACTATTGTTTTATTCCTCCTCCAAACAAAGTTCGATTCGCTACTATTCCTACAGCTTGAAGAGTTGTAGGACAAATGATATATCAAAACATGCGGATTGATCAGAATCGGTGTCCTATTACTTTTCTTTATTGTATACAAATTTTTCACAATGTAAGTAGTGATAAACTGTGGAAAAATTCTGCATCTAAGTCAATGGTACAAGTAAAAAAAAGGGGTAGTTATTGATTTTGGTTGCATTTATTAAAAGATGGTCAGGCTCACCAGGAACTGAGGACTGCCTTCAGCATGTCGGTTCAGCTCTTGGTCTAGATCTGCCAGGTCCTGGTTTATGCCATCCAGCTCAGCCTGTAGACTCTTGTACTCCTGATGGTCCAGGTCAAACTCCCGCTTGTAGGTCAGGCGCTCTTGTTCATCCAGGATGGAGGGAAACAAACTGCAGACAGAGTCAAATTGTCATGAGAGTTTTGTCTTGTGGTCGCTTGACGTTAAAGTAATTCTCCTTTTTGACAAGAGCCCGGAAAAAGAGCTGAATGGTTCTGGTTTCATCACCGACTACTCCTTCAATATCACTTACACACTAAAGTCCTCCTCTTCTAGGTCATCTCCAGACTCCATACCAGGGTCATAGTCCTTTGTTCTGTACACACTGCTGCTGATGTCTGAGTCTCTGAAAGATCAAACACAGATTTGTTCCTTTAAATGTACCTTTTATTTCAAAGCCCCGAGACATCACATTGCCTGTGTTGTTATCTTCAAGGCGGACAGTGCAAAGCATGGTCACATATCAGCTTCTGTTTTAAAAGTGTTGAATACTCTCAGGAAGCTGCAGCATTAGCCTACCCTTAAATATATTTGACTTTTATATAAGCATCGTTGAATTTAGTTCAGTCAGCCCATATTTTTGAATGTTTTGCCCGGTCAGAATCAAGCCTAAATGTCAACATACAGTTACACAACATCAAACTTCTTGACGCCAGCAGGTTAGTCATCATTAGAGGACAGACAGGATTTACCAGCTATGTTTCAGTACCAGTTCAAGTACAGAAACCTATTAATACTTTGGTACCAGCCAAATAGGAACCACAACTCACAGATGTTAAACTGCCAAAAAAGCTGAATGACATCTCATTGATTTTTATAGTCTTCATTTCAGGTACAGCAATGGTAGGCGATAACCAAAACTTTCCATATGGACTCCCACACCTAACAGGCTCATGTTGAGCTAGCTGTATGGATAATTTACATCTGAGGGCCCTGGGCAGGAAGATCTAAAACTACGATACCAGATCTGATATAAATCTCTCTTTCTAAATAAATGCAAAAAAAAAGAAATAAAAGGAACTGAGGTTTATTTTAAAATGATGCTCAGCTCACCCTGGCAGGTAGAGAGGTTTGTTGTTGTCCAGCTGGTCCAGGTAGTCTCTGGAGCCTCCAACGTGAGGATTGGGATCATTCAGGGGTATCTCTGGATCACCGGATACATTCTTTACCTGAGGGAACAGACAGGTGTGTTTGAGTTGGACAGGATGGTGATACTGCAAAGCGGCCGCTGTTAAGTTTCAGGACAGGTTATTCAAGCAACACAGCAACTATTTAGTTTGGAAAAGTAGGCTTATATAGCATATTTTGAACTTTGTCCATACTACAGTTTTTTATCATTTCTAAAACACTAAATGCATCCTCTGAACCAAGTGGTCATGAACACATCATCTGAACTTATCATTCTTTTAGTAAAACCTTTAAAACTTAACAGATCTCATCCACTCTTTTTGCAAAGCTCCAAAATAAATAAATAAATCTGTCTGCTTCATCGAGCATTTCTTGGGTGTTTATGATGGTAGGAGTGTTGTGAGCACATTCACACTGTCATGTGACACATAGATATATGCTGCGTCCGAACTGCCCGCTCGGATACTACATGCTACTGCTACGTGCTACTGCTAGATCCTACTCCTACATACTAAAAACGTTGGCCCAATTCGGACACACTAGACGAGCGGTGGGGAAAGACGACCCCCGCAGGCAGAGAGTAGGTACTGCGCCCGTGCAGACAGTGGTAACTGAAGCCCCTCGTCTGCGGGCCTGGCTGTAGTACTGCAGCTGTGCAGTTTAATGATGGAATAAGTGAGCTTTACCTCCATGATGTCGCCACTTGCTCATAAAATGATTACTTGGGCAAATATGACACCATGACATGACAAAGAGATACAACCGCACATTTTTTAGGACAGTATGTGAAGTTACATGAAACTTACATCTGTACTACTGCGGTCCCGTCTGCTGCTGCTCCGACATGGTGCGCGCTGCTGTGGCCAGCCGGCGTTCGCGACACATTTAAATAGGCAGAGCAGCTGGTGGCGCTAGCATCACATGCGCTTCTACAACTTTTAAGAGGACGAAGAAGAAGCCCGCGGTGCATTTTGGGTCAGTAGCATGCCCGTAGGATGCACCGAGACCAACCTACAATGTGGGCGTGTCTAGCATCTGAAGTAGTATCTGAAGTAGCATGCTACTCGCTCCGGTGGCCAATTCGGACATGCTAGATACTACTTCGACTACTACTTCGACTACTACTTGGCAATTCGGACGCAGCTACAGTCTCTGCACAGCACTCACTCTTCTGTGTTTCAGTGAGGAGTTGACATCTTTGGTAGATTAACTCAGATTGATGAGAAAGAGGTGAAAACTTCATGTGTTTCAGGTCACATGACCAACATCCTTTACTGTAACTATTAGACACATGCAAATCACAGTTGTTATGTTCAAACACTTTCTCACTCAGCCTTACTCTGGTTGAGCGGTTATGGGCTGAATTAACCATACACAGCCAACAACCCAGATCAAAATATTGACAAACCTCGCCACGCTACCAGCTGATGTCTGTCATCTGTGTTTGTTTACATCCGGGTTGTAGAATATCATAGTATTGTGGCAGCAGACAGTAACCTGAACCACAGCCCTGACTAGTGGAAGGACAGTTTAGACACAATACACGACCGACATTTCAGCCCTTTTAATAACAGAAATATTCAAATTCAGTATTTGAACCATGATGTTATTTCACCACCTTTACAACAGAAGGCCTTTATTTTCAAAGAGGTGAGGATTGATGTTGCATGAAGAGTTAAATAAGGAGATTCTTGGAGGACAAAGTTGATTCAGCACAATTCACACTGAGGATTTCAAGTATGATAACTGTTTAGGTAAAAAGCCCACATTTATGACTTCAAGTTGCTTATTTAAAACTCTTTTTTTTGTCCCTAATTTCCATAAAATGTCCAGTAAAATCAAAACCTCAGTCTTATGGTTTAGAGACTCTTAACTGTGCTGTTCGACGACCAAAATGTCTAGCCTGCGGTTTCAGTGAGGTTTACCTGAGGCTGCTCTCTCATGTCCTACTTAACGCCTCATAAACCTGCTCTCTTCATTTGATAAACATTCAACTGTGCATGGTTTTCCTCAAGACCAACCGGTTCCTCTGCTTCTGCCTGCATGCCTGAATAGCAGTGATACCATCACTACATGAAGAGGAAGCCTGAAACAATGACTTTCAGTCCCGAACACTGAACTATGGAGAGCTGGGAAACGTCACTCAGCTGGAATGAAAACTATGAAGAGACGTTCAAGCTTTCATTTGTGAGTCACTGTCCTCAGATACAAAACATGACCGTACTGAGACGGAAAAAAACGTATATTGGCTTTAACGATCTGTAGTAAAATCAGGATTTCAAAGAGTTAAGATTTTCTAACAAGTGGAGGATCAGAACTTTACAACAGATCCTCCTGACAATACAGTGAGAGTGCAGCTCCTCAGACCACACCCAGAAACTACAAATGAAACCATCCTTACCTGCACCTCACACACAGACACACACGTACACGCACACGCACACGCACACGAGCACGAGCACACCCTCCTCTTTCCCATCTGTCTATACTTGTAGGTTGTGTTGTTTCTGCTTTTTCTTGAATGACCCACATTAGAGCAGGTATGTCTGCTTTTTTCAAACTCAAATGTTTTCTCAATGAGTTGTTTTCTGAAGACAGGAAAGAGTATTTGTGCGGCTCACTGTGGCTTATGGGATTTATCCATTGTCGCATTTTTTAAGGTTTATGGAGATCTTTTAGCCTGTTTACTTACCACACAAATGACCCTGTAAAATGTACAACTCAAACTCCAGAGAGAGTTATGGTATTTAAAATGAAGAGTAAAATAGAATTTGATGGTTTTTAACCATTTAAAGCCTAAATATAGTAGTGAAAAGACAACATGTCAAATGTTGACATTAAAACGCGTTATTTTTCCATTAAAATATATACATATTCACATATTAAATTTAATGCCAGAAACAGGTTCACAAAGGTTCAGACAACAGTTATAACTCAGGGAAAACAAAACTCTGCGAAAGTTGTGTAATGTTAAAAATCACCCAGGGGGGGGACAACTAATGAGTTTATTTTACCAACAGGTTAGTGTCATGGCTGAGTATAATGAAGGCACTCCAGAGAGGCCGATGCTATCAGAAGGAAATATAGGAAGGAGTTTACCACTCTGAGAGAGACTGTGTGAGTAAATAGTTCTATAATATCATAAAAAGGTCTGGTATTATAAAACGGACAAGGTCAAAGACGAGCACTGGATGGCTGTGATCTTCAGGCCTTCAATCAGCACTGCATTAAAAACAGACATGACCGCAGTGGAAGTCACTGCACGGACTCAAAAGCCATTGTTCATGAACACAGTCTGCCACTGCATCCATGAATGCAGGTTAAAACTTGACTATGCAAAAGCATTATCCAGGGGTGCCTACAACATCTCTGGGCCTGAGCACAATTAAGATAAACTTAGGGAAGTAGAGAACTGTCCTGTAGTCTGACAAATCAAAATTTGACTTTTTTTTTTGGAAATCATGGATGCTGTGTCATCTGCTCTGAAGATACCAGCTCGATACCAGCGCTTAGTTCAAAAGCTAGCGTTCCCGATGGGATAGTGAGCTCATACATCTATGAAGGCACCATTCATGCTGTACAAACTATACCTTTTTTGAAGCATCATGTGCTCCATCCAGGCAATGATTTTACAGAAAAAATCTGCATATTCCAGAAAGATGATACCAAACTGCATATTGCACATACTGTGATAACATGCAGAATGTGTAACTGGCATATAATTTAAAATAAGCAGATATTTGTCATAAAACAATGTTTTTTTGAGTTCAACGTTTATGTTGTCTTTGCAGTATCTTACATTAAAGGGGCTTTTAATGATTTGCAAACCAAAATGGTTTTAGAATCAAGGTTGTATTTGAAACACTATTTTGTTTTTTTCTCCAACCAATCAAACAAGAATCTTTATGAGAGTATAATCTCAAATTTCACCTAATTCAGCATCTCTGGAAAGAACTGGAATAGAAACTTGTACAAAGTTTGTAGAGGCTTAGAAAAATGTTACGTGAAATGTTTGTAAAGACTGACCCAGTTCAATTCAATTGTGTATTTATTTTTGTCTAACATTTGTTGAAGTGACGGCATATATCTGCTATGGATTTGACTTGATGGATGAAGGTGCATCTACTTAATCCAGACTATAACTCTAAAGCAAACACATCACCAGAGTCCATCCCGCAGAAAAACACAGTGACACACATCCTAACTTACCCACTCGCCAACGCTGTTGTGCAGACCGTCATTGACAACTTTAACCTCCTCCCACAGGACGCGTTCTGGGCCCCAGCGTCTGATCTGATTGCGGGTCTTCACAGCAAAGACCAGGAGGATGATGAGGGCCACGAACACCAGGAAACCCAGGACAATGGCTATGGCCTGAGGGGAGAGCAAACTGTCAGAAGGCTGAAATTACATCCACTAACAAAGAGAGGAGAGGAGAGCAGACTTTTTAATAGATGACAGACTGGAGAGGCCAAACACTAGACTGTGTTAAAGGGACATTTCACCATAATTCCCTGAAGAAGAAACTCCTGTCACCAGAAACCAAGCAGCACAAGAAAGCCCAAACATCAGCTGAGAGCACCGGGAGCTGATCTGCTCACTGCATCAACTGTGGTTGGTCTTTAGACTGATGTGGGATCACAAACATCTGAATACATTAATCTTGTTGTGTGTTGTGTTTTTAACTTGTGGGGAAAATGGTCTACAAGATACTTATATAGATTCGGACCCTTTAGTGTGTCAAAAACATCTCGAGGTTTTTGCTGTTTCATGTGTTAAAGATAAATATTCTTCTTCAGCTCTTTACAGACACCAGACGACTCTGAGAAAAACAGAAATTGTACTTTGCTGGAGCTGCTGGTCTTTCTTGAAGAGTTGGTTTTTGTTATTGTGTGACTTTCGTGTTTTAAATAAATAAGTTTTGTCCAAACAAAGTCAGAGTTAAAGAAACTAACACAAAGCCACACTCAAACAAAGCAGCTGTAAACCAGCAGCTCCTTGTGATTCTGCAATGATCTGTATTACGTTCACTTAAACGGTTTCCTTCTTAAAACTTTGACGTTAATAGATGACAAATGGCAAACTACTGACTTTAAAATCCAGCTTGATTACAGAGATTAAAAAGTTAAAACTGTTACACACTGTGCACATTTTCTGTGCATAGCTTTATGTTTCAAAACAGGTTGTGTTTGTCTAATTGTTTATTTCATGTTTACTTTTTTATCGTTCATTTCTTTTTAAATTTTGTTAAAATCAATTCGTTTTAATTAATTTTGTTCTACTTTATCTTTAACTCTATATTGTGAATAAAAGGAAGAGTGGCAAACATTATTCTCTCTGGGACAAATAGAATAAATAAAGTATAAATAGATTATTGAGTAGTTTTGATTCTCTCTCTGAAAAGCACAGAAGTGTTGTTGTTCTCTATCTCAGCAGCAGCAAGGCAAAGGAAGACACTGCAGCAGCTGAACTACAGTGTGCTGCAAGGGACAAAAAAGTATTTTATTCATATAAAACCTTAACTCCATCAGGATTAATGCATTAACACTGACAGTCCTAATTTTGAAGCATCATTTTCATGCCCCCTGATGATTACAAAGGATAGTCTCTCTCTTTACTGGTCTTGTCTGTAACATGAGTATGAAGTGTTTAATCAAATATCTCATCCCTCTTGGTTTTAAATGTCATAAGGACTCTTTGGCATTAAACATTTTTAAGTTTGTTTAGCAGGGTGCTGTTTATCTCCTCATCTGGTTGGAGTTGATGATACTTCTTGTAGCTTCTACAGAAATATCCGTGTTAACTTCAGTCTGTTTCAGAGCCAGCTGAAAACTCTTCTCAGGAAAAGTAAGTTGGAAATATCTGCGGACTTAGAAGCTAAACCAGAACCACCTCTCTGCTGGGTTGTACCGCACCTTCAAAGTCTTTAACCACAAAGCCCCCCCCCCCCACAACTTCTTCCCATTATCACAGCTGGTCCTACCTCCTGAGGCTCCACCACGCAGTAGTGGTACAGGTACTGGTTGAGGAAGATGCCTTGCGCCTGGTTCTGGTTCTGGTACTGGGCACACAGCTGGCGGATCTGACTGTAGTATATGGACCCTGTGGACTGGGCAGTTGGGTTCACAGCCACCAAGTACACAATGGTGGCGATGATCATGAGGAACGCCAGGATGGCGCTGATGATGATGGTGGCCAGATAGAAGCTTGGCTTCTGTGCCGCACTCTGTCTGGAAACCACCAGGATGAAGATGATGAGTATTGCGATGAAGGTGATGCCAGCGATGGCGATGATGAAGCCTTTACCGGCTCTGGGATCCATCTGTGCTCCTCCATAGCCATAAGAACCACCTCCAACCCCACCATACGAGGAGCCATAGGTACCCCCATAAGAGCCTGAGTAGGAGCCCCCGAATGATCCAGCACCATACGAGTTGCCATACCCTCCATAACCCGGGACAAGGCCGCCGCCGCCCCCAAGACCCATCAGACTCATGTCATAGTCCCAGGCCAGCGTGGAGGCCACACACGCAAATATAGCCACACACATGATGATGATGATGATGCTGAGGATCTTCATCACACCGGGCGGAGACGACCAGCGGTAGTAATGGAGGACCTTATCTCCGGGGTAGTAGGAGAAGGCGGGGTTAGACGTGAACTCGCTGTGTCTGTGTCTGTGGCTGAAGAAGAGAAAGAGGAGCGAAGGTTACTGTCAGGAGAGATTTCATACCTCATAACTCAACAGCAAACTCTTAATACTGACAGTTACCACCAAAAGAGTTACCCACAATTCAACTTCTACTGTGTTTGGTTTAGTGTGTTTATTAACCTGCAGAAGACATGCTCTCCTTATTGACTTTATAAATACAGTTTTTCCTTGTGTGTCAACATCTTCGTTGGGTTAACAGTGAGTGATAACACCTATTGTTTTTTTCGATAAATCAGGGTCTGCATGATCCACTTTAAGTGACCTAAGAAAGAAGTTTCCGTCTGCAGCTAGGGTACTGTATATAAAATAAATAATGGACTCACTGTTTGTTGCCATTGTAGAGGTACGGCGGAGTGCTGCGTTTGTTGCTTGGCATGATGAAAAGAAACTTGAACAAAACCTACAAAATAGAAACAGACAATTGTTAATTTTACAATGACAGAAAAGGTGACTTTTGTTAAATGATTGCTGTAAATACTAAAAAAATATGAGATAGTACTGATGAGTTATGTATGCTATGAGGAATAATAAAACTGATTTTTTTGACCGACAGACTCTGTAAATAAATGTAAATACTCTTAACTGTGTGTGATTGTCATTGTTTGGTTGTATTTTCTTGTCTGTCAAGAACTAGATAAACAAATTGTCAAAGCCAAAAGTATTGTGTATTATTGTCATTGGGTGTTTTGAATGCATATACTGTACCTGTAAAATTCAGTATCTGTTCAAGTTTTTTTATTTTTTTTTATTTTTTGTCTTTAATTTATAGTAATGGTCTTTTAACTAGACTATTTAACTGCTCCCCGACCTTCTAAAGAGCCACAGCACACACCTAAGATGCTCAGAGAGGGTGAAATGGCCTTCTGGGTCCCTTATTTAAACAATAATTTCTTAGAAAAATGGCAAAACTAACCAACAAAAAGTCACAATTGCATTAACCTCCATTTCATGAGAGGTGAGGAAAGCAAAGGAGCCTCACTTTTTTGCATTCTCACTAACAGAAAAAAGGTACCTGTGTTTTAAAGAAACTGCAACCTCGCTAGGATAATCCAGATCTGACAAGTCTATGTATTGTGGTTCTGGATCAAGGCCTGTCTTATGTGCTCTAGACTCGGGGGTGAAAAGAGCACCAAAATGATCACTTTCAGTTATTTCAATGACATGTTATCACAGTCACAATTGAAACTGCCAGCCTTTCATCTACTCAAGCGAAGGTAATAAGTACTCGACTATTTCATTTGATTATTTGTTGATTATATCTAAAAATAATGGCTGCAAAGTCAGCAAATTCCAAGAACACATAAAGACAATTTTAGCTATAAGTATCTCAAAATGAATATCCATATTTGGATATTTCTGTCCAATGTAGCTCATAGTAAGTATTATATTTTACTAAAAAGGAGAAAAACTCACTCTGTAAGATTTGATTTTTTCATCCAGTCAGCTTGCTGTCATGTAACTGATCAAGCTGAAATCTTTTATTGGCCTTTATACTCAGTAACTGAACATAAAATACAGCAAAATACAATGTTTCAGGGAAAATTCTGTAGTTAAAGTAAAATTTGAGTTTAAAAAATGACTTAGTAGTGACTCCTCCACCCCTGAATTCACAAATAGAATAAAGGTTTCGTTTTGAAGAGCCTGTTGTCCTTCAAGAATGATCTAATCCAGACCTGAGGAGTTCATGTATACTGGTTCTGGATCAAGACCTCTTCTCCTTAACTTTCAGAAGCTGTGAATATGTTTCTAACTTCAGCCCGGTGTCTGTCTGGAAGGTCAAAAAGGACAGAAAGTATTCCAAACTCTATGTTCTAGTTAATCCAGTGGTCATTTGAGTGATTTTGATGCATGAATACATGGTGTTTGATCTGGGTTAATCAAAGACAAACAGCCTCCTGCATCCCTCAGGTGTACCTGCGGAGGTGAGGCTGCTGCTGCTGCTGTTTGGTCCTCAGGTGTGTTTGTGGTGAAACAAAGCAGCAGTGGGTGGAGACATACTGAGATAGTTTCAAACATGATTAGCTGATAGTCAGAGACAGGGAGCTGGGTTAGCTGGTTTCACTGAGAGTGAAACTGTAGACTCAACAGTGAAGGATGGGGTTTTGAATAGTTTTAAAATATCCACCTATAAGGCCTTGAATCACCTCACCTGAGCCTGACATCTGTTCAGAACAGCTTTGAACAGAAAAACACCCGAAAACCAAACAAATATTTATGATGTATAATTGAATATCATCTACTAAAATGAGCATTTCAGTGTATATTTGGGTAAAGACTTCAAAATAAACATTAGCAGCTACATAAAATCATTTTCCTCGGTCTATTTAGGTTCAACATGTCACTCGTTTAGTCTCCTGTTGAAACCTGATGCTAACCCCCATTTTCTACGGTCAATTTTCACTTAAACCGTGTAAATAAGCACGCGCACAGGTGGGTTTAAATGTCACCTGTCCCCCTTCGTCTCCAGACTGTGATAACTTCGGGTTAAATCGGTCTGAATCGGTTTTAAATGCACTCACCTTGATGATGAACGGAGTGGTCCGGATTAAAACAGACGCTGAATCTTCAGTGATAAACGCAAACAACCTCGAGAGCGCGCGACTGCTCAGGTAGTACAAAGAGACACTCCTACAGGTGTGTGCTGGTCACGTGGTCTCCTCCTCCTCCTTCTCCTCCTCAGGTCATACAGGACGAACCTGTCTCTTCTTCTCAAGCAGCTTTAAGATCCAGCAGAGGAAAGGTTTATGGTTTATTCTTCCTCAAAGATTAAAGCGTCCATGATTCAGCAGGTAAAACAGGTGATCACTGAACTGGGATGGACAACATTTCATTAACAGCTCTTCTATTAATAGTAAGGTGTAACACCAGGCAGGTATTTTTTGTTCATCTTAATGGATGAGAGCAGAGCAGAGGTGGCCTTAACATGCTGTAGAGTGGGCTGCAGCATCAGCTTCATATTGGTGCCCAAGGCCAGATTATGATTTGGCCCCCCAAACTTTTGGGGTGGTAATGACAAACCAGTTTCAAGGACCTTTGCATTTATTTTTATGTATTTATTTAATTATTTATTTTCAAAACAAGGCAGCAAAACTCAGTACCAGTCAAGATATAGCATGAGATGTCTTCTACTTTGAAAAGGTTCATTTAAAAATGTTACAAATTCATGGCTCCTCTTACACTGTCAGGGTTTTTCCTGCACTTAAAAGTCTGATACATCAACAACACTAACTTATTTACTGGCTAATTAAGAAAAACAACACATAATGTTTCCCTTAGGGAGAAAAAAAAAGTTGTTCACCTGAGTGCATCTGAAGTTGTTTTTTTTGTTTTTTTTCATGTTGTTGCAGGTAGGACCCTGCCTATAAATGTGTCCAAAAATTGAAATACAGTACACACAACTGCACTTTCCTTATTCACTTTCTCTCTCTGTTTCTCTCTCTAGCACCATTAGCATTTAATACATATGGCCTACATGTAACTTTTCATTTAATGAACATATAGAACCCTCACACCTTGGTTACAGCATGTTTGAGTGTTATTAAAATATACAGACGGGCCCATGTTTTGCACATACCAATAAAAGGATAAATAAGAGACGGACTGAGAGACACATTAGTAAAATTTCATGTTACTATAGGCTAGCATGCAACAGTCAGGTTATGTGCAGAGATCAACATATATCAGTAACTGTAATTAGACTGTAGTTTGGGAAGATGGACTTGAAAAGGATAACATTTATGATTGATCCATGAACCCAAACTATGATTAAAATATAAAGAGTGAACCCTTCTAGTCACTTTTCAAATTCTCTGTTGTGTGCCTCAAATTTATATTACAAAATCTTTCATTCAACAGTTTTTGATTAAACATGGGTATGACTATTTTGCCATTAGCTGTCATTATTTTACTGAGATATAGTGTCATGTTATTTAAGTTGTAAAATATGTCTGAGCTTTATAGGTTACTTCTTCACTTAAAGACACTCAAAATACACATTTTACGATAACTTATAAGAATCCGTTAAAATTCAGTGTTTTTAAAAGAAGAAAAAGCCTTTGTGTTATCTGATGTAACCTGAGGCATGAAAAGCTGTAAAGCTGCTCTGAGTCCTCCTGCTGAGTAAGATCAACAGGAAAACGCCTCCAGTGCTGCAAAACCTGACACCAGAAAAAAAGAAGCAAACACACCTGAGATTGGGCAAACCTGTCCTCCAGGCCCAGAACCTGCAGGGACAACAGAGGAAGTACAGCAGCCATTTTAGGAGCTGACACAGGTGAGCAGTGACATGGAGCTGCAGCATGAAGTCAGCTTTACATTCCCCTGAATTCAACCTTCATCAAAATTAACAGGGATTTTAACACCTTTGAGGAAACTACTATTGACTTTTATCTGCTAATAAAGACTAGGTATTCAGCACCTGTATGTTTAAAGAAGCTTTAATCTGCTTAAATCAAACTGACTCAAAGATTTTAATGGATCTATTTTTGACTATTTTCTCAGAATTCAGTGACAAAAAAGTTTTCTCAAGCAGTTGAAACTTCTGATAAAGTCACGTGAGGAAAATTTTGAAATCTCTTACATCAAGTGAGGATGCTCAAAAAAGTCAATTCTACGAAAAAACTCCAAACTTTGAAGACAGTCAGAAATTTTTGATCAAATTCTATTTCTAAAATGTTGTAATTTTAAGAGAAACTAAGATTTCTGAGAAAGTCTGGATCCTGAAAAACAAAAATTCACAGTTCCAAGGATAAAAGTCAGAATTTGATAAAGAAAGTAGAATTTTATGGAAAAAGCCATATTTACGGAAAAAAAGTTATTTTAGTAAAATTGTCAGAGTTCTGAGAAAACTCAGCTTAGTTTTCGCTGACTAAGAAGTCAGCGAAAAGTAAGTTGTATTTAGTATGAATATTTGTAAGTTGTATTATTGGTGCTATTTTCCTTTCATTGGAGAGTACAGGATACAGCAGAGATTTGGGAGAGGGAGCTGGGAATGTCTTGTGAGAAAGATGACTTAAGCTGGAATCAAACCCAGGCGACCCGTACGATGTATAATCTCATTATGTGGGGAAAACGGTTCATACTTAAACAGAGCATTAACTTTATCTCAAAAGACAAAATGATGACAAACAAAAGTAGCCTGTATAAAAATGTGCTTCACTGGCATGAATCATTGGACATACAGATGTGACACTGAGCAAGTATCAAACATTACAAAATACAAAAAAGTTTGAAAAAGGCAGGATAAAAAACGTTTACGAAACGCCCATTTTGTCACAATCAACAGAGTGATTTTAGCAACAACATGATTGAGTTTATACATACAGTTAAAATTCATTATGTGCCTCACAGTTTAAAAGAAGTCAATTCATTTTAAGAAAAGCTGTCAATAGTAAACATTATTGTAACCCGCTGAACATCCACAGTGCAACTTATTACAAATTTATCATATCTAACCTGAAATACAGTCAAACTAATACCTACAAACACCTCTGTTAGCTTTTTAACCATATTTGTACCTAAAGCATATCTACAATCAGTGAGTTTGTTGGCTTTTATGGCACCTGTTGTTTGGTAGGGATAGTCTTAGTCTCATTTGTTCTCTACCACACACAGTAATGAGTCTTTTCTTTTGGAGCTGCATATGAAATGAAGGTGTGTTTTTGTTAATCTGGGGTTGGGTTTAGTTTTCGTCATTCCAGTCTGCCACTTTGTTGTACTCCTGGATCTTCTGCTTGATGTGAGAGAGTTTGTTTTTCAGGTACTCACACCTCTCCCTTTTTTCCAGGTATGCTGGGTCCTGAAAAAAAAAACACAGGAGTTGAATGTTTATGTTGGTTTTTGTTGTTTCTTGGGTAAATAAAGAATATCATATCACATTTGTTTTTTTTATTTTCAGTTTTAAAAAGTCAGGAAAAGTTAAAAAAACAAGGATGGTAATTGAAGGTAAAACAGCATTCAAGTATAATCATAGAGAGCTAAACCACTCCTCAAATCTCCACCTCAATACCAAAAAGTTTGTAAATCTTAATAAAAACAGAATTCAACAGGTTATGAAGGAGACTAACATTAAAAATGACAAACAAAGACTGATAAGTTAATAGACTAAGGCAAAGCAGAAAACTTTCCTGTGGTCCAACCAATCAAAATTGGACTCTCTTTATAGAAATTATGGATGCCACATCTTTTGCTCTAAAAAAGAAAGGAACCACACAGCTAGTTATCACTGTGCAGCTTAAAAGCCAGCATCCCTGATGGTTTAGGGATGCATGACAGCCCATGGCAAAGGTCACTTACACATGTGGGAAGGCTGCATTAATGATTTATAATATGTACAGGTTTTTTGGAGCTGCTATCCATTTAATAAACAAACATTTGTTTATGGTCCGTCTCAAGGCACCCTTAATAGTATAAAAGTGTTGTAACATCTGACATCTGATCTTTTTTTCTTTCTTTTTTTTCCCATGAGGTTTCATCACTGTTAGTTTCAGCAGGTGGAGGTGACGTGTTCACATTCTTATAGAGTGGCTCATTGATTTTAATAACAGCGTGAGTAATTCCCATTGTTCAAGGCTGGTATGACAAAGGTTTTTTTTTTAACCTGTTTCTTGTCATGTGGAAGATTACTGAGAGAGCATTGTTTACAGTCAAATAAACAACTTCAGAAATGAAACCACTCCTCCAAACATATCTAAGAATAAATAATGTCCATTATTGGTTCATCACATCCCCCTTGAAGAGCATCTGTTCGTTTGTTTGAGGTGAGTCAAACTTTTAGCGTAGAAAAGAGGCTCAACTCTGACATACTGTTGATCTGTATTTGACGAGTCTCAGTTTCACTATAAACAGGAAATACTTGAACGCTTCACAAACACATCATTAGAAATACATAGATGATGGTTTTATGACAAATTTTCATATTCAGCTATTTCTGTGCTTTGATCACAAATTATAAAAAGATGATAAAAGAAGATAGTATGATCACAAATGCTTCTGATTCAACCCATGCATGTTCAGGACAAAAAGGCTCAATAACTGTCCCTTTTCTTTATCTATATATTTATGTTTTAATTACTATTGAAAGCAAGACTCTTGATAAATAACAAAGTAATCGGAAAAAGCTTGAATCCAAAAACTTTGAGTATGAACAGAGAAAAACTCAGGACAGGTGAAATACAGAGGGATACGTTTTTTTTTACACAGAGGCTCTGAAGACGTCAACAAAAAATGAACAAGACTGTAACCTGTGCTTGGACTCCATCAAAGAAACAGCTTCTGAAAAGTCGAAAATTAGGATTCATACTTACATTTTTCTTTCTCCGGTACTCCATTAAAATGCCGTTGATCCGCTCTTTCTCCTAAAACAAAATCAGCATGTTAGCAAACAGAGATTCAGAGTGTGTCAGTGTGTGTTAATGTTGGTTTTGTCTATGTATTCCTGTGTGAGTATTTCCATGGCATGCAGTGACAGTCGTACCATCTGGCTTGTAGGCTGCGAGGCAGCAAGGTTCTGTATCATCTCGTCCATCTCCTCGAACCTCTTGCTCATGGCCTGGACCTCAGCGTGCAGCTCCTTGTACTCGGCATACTGATCATTGAACACAGCTCTGTACTGATCCCTCTGCTCGTCTGAACGGATGGCGCGGTATTTACTGTAAAAAAACAGACAGGAAGAGTCACATCTGCTTCACTGCAGGTCAATGTGTCTCTGAGCTTCAGTTTACCATCATAGCCTGCCAAGGATGTTTGAGTTTCTCTAAAGACAGATGATAGGATACTTTCAGAGCTTTAAGTCTTATCTTAACATGTACACCATCTGACTGTGGAGGTCTGGTGGATTTTGAGGACTACTTCAGTTGAAACTAAGAGTCTCCGTCAATCAGACAAAGGCTCCAACATGAGATGCACTAAACTGTTTCGGATGCAGAATTCTGCTGCAAGGAAGATCATCAGCTCAGGAAGCTCAAAGCATTCACTCTTGTGAGGCTTAAGGTGACACTTACTCCACATAGTCTGCTATGACCACAGGTTTGGGGATGTGTCCGGCCGGGATGTGACCTCGGAGGATCTCTGGCGCCATCAAAGGAACGTTTATGGAGCTGTTAGTGCCATCCATGATGTCTGGCTGCATGGTGGGCAGAGGAGTCTGCTCTGAAGCTCTGGAGGAGTCTGGACCAAGCTGTGAAAACACAGTCCTGTTTTTAGCCTATTTACACTGTGTGCAGTTTCATATCTGCAGAGATGTTCAAAAGCCGATACTTACAATGGGCAGAGGGACTGATGATCCGATTGTTTTCATCTGTTCAGTCAAGAGATGGAGAGATGAGAAGTGATTTATCAGAATCACACAAAAGTTATCAGATCACATTAACTAAGAAACTAAATTGAAAGAAATTTATCCTGGTTAACATCTACATTTATGTCTTACGTATGTTAAACCATGTTATGATGTTTGGATGCCATCAGTTTTTAACGAAATCAGTGGGACAAGAGGATATAAGATAGCTTCACATTCACAAACATTTGCTATAACATTATTACTCAACAATTACAGACCCTTTTGCAAACTCCCTTTTTTATCCTTAGTGTTTGAGAAGGAGAATTTAAGACAATTTAGTGATTCTTAGTCTGGTTTTTGATCTTGTTACAATACAGAGAGAGCCCCAGTACTTAACAATCTTGTTTTACTATTGCTTTTGTCACCGTTGTCAAGTCTATCCTTGTAAATGTACCCACTGTGGGATAACTTAAGGGTTTTCTTAACCCTCTAAGCTGTCTTGAAACCTCAGCCAGCCTTGATGGAACAGCCTCAAAACTTCTACATTCATAACTGTATAACCAAACTTTTTCAATAGTCTCATTAAACTCCATTTAATCTGTTTCGGATTTCTATTGTGGTGTACCTCAGGGATCTTCTCTAAGCTCTCTTTTGTTCTCTGTTAACACGCAAGAGTATTCTGATTCATGGTGTCTCCTTTCATTTATATGCAGATGGCACACAGCTATATGGCCCCACAAAATCCAAATTATCTGGACACTTTTAATCATTTATTTAATTGCCTCAGTGACATACAATGCTGGATGTCACAGGAATGAGTGTGGTTTTTCTGTGGTCACCCAGAAAAAGCTTGGTATTCCCAGTACGGAGGCTACAGAATCAATGCAGAGACTTTCTCTCTCTCTCTCATTCCCAAGATTGCTAGACTGGGGGATAGCTATAAAATCATTTCAAGATAAGGAAAAACCTGTTCATTATTGAATGGGACTTGAAAGATAGAAGACAGAGATGTGTGTCAGACCTCCTGTGAGAGTGCCTCCCTCCTCATCCTCGCTGCCTCGTGCCTCCACAGTTTCAGACACACTATTGCGCTGATGAAGTACAGCACCATGTTGATGAAGAGGAAGACTATGGCTGCTGTCTGTCCGGCCTCTGTGCGGCAGAAGGCTCCATTCACGCCGTTGTTGAAGACGGGCATGTTGCAGAGGCCCCCTCGAGTGGTATCCCTGACGTACACAATCCCTGCTGCCAGGTAGAGCACCGCTAGCACCAGGTTGATGGCGCACTCTGTGAAGGGCCACCAGGATGAGTCCAGGAGGATGGCTCTGTAGTACATGCTCATCCCCAGCACCACCAGAATTACTGTCACAATCCATGCCAGACCAGCCACCACAAGCACAAACGGAGTCTTAGGGCCTGTGTAATACCCTCCTCCATACCCATACCCCCCAGCTCCTCCACCCAGTCCTCCAAACAGCTGTGGCTGAGAGTATCCGTACATATTGAACCACTCGTTGTCTTTGTGAATGTAAGCACAGACGCAGGCAAACACTGCAGCCCCTAGCAGCAGCTGCACGCAGCCCAGGATCCTCAGCAGCCCCGCCCATGACTTCATGTAGGCATAGCGCTGGTGGTACTCCTCCACTCGCTCCTGGTAGGTGAGGGCTGACAAGTTGGTGGGCACGGCAGAGGCAGAGTCAATAGCTTCCGCTCCCAGCAGCAACCCATCACGCTCTTTCTGGGAGGTGTAGCTGCCCCCTGAGCCTCCATAGGGGTCCCTGTAGGAGCCAGGGAGAGATGGAGAGGGAGGGGCGGAGTGTGGAGGTGAGCAGGGGACTCCTGTTGTGGTGTGACAGGTGGTGCCTTTCAAGGAAGAGGGGGCAGGGGAGTCAGATGGAGGAGGGGGGATAGTCCAACCCTTGGTGGCGCTGTTCCCGCTGTTTCCACGGAAGAAGTTCTTGACAGAGTCAGGGATGAAGCGGTGAACGGGCTTGATGTCCATGGCGTCGATGTCAGCCTCTGCTGGCTCATCATCGCTGGGGGGGTAGAAGGAGTCTGGACCAACAGCTGGATCTGAGGGTAGAGGGGGAGGAGGGAGGGGGTCCAAACTGACAGCTGGTACTGGTCCATGCAGGGGTAGTGGGGGTGGAGGGAGATCCTGGTCCCTCATTAAAGAGCCAACAGGGACCTGGTCATAATGTGGGATCGCTCTCACCCTGTCAAACCTGGAAGCTCCGCCTCCTGACATCTGGACCTGGTTCTGGAGTCTGTGGACTACGGACAAAAACAAACTGAGTTTCTGGATTTGAACATAAGAAGATACAGAGAACTAAAACACATGGAGCTAAAGAAGCTTCAAGAGGTAGTTATGAATTCAAAGTTTGAGCGCATTGGTGCATTTCAACATCACAACTTTAAATAGAGAAGTGTCAGCACTCCCAAACTGAAGAGACTGACATGCTGTTAGCAGCTACAACAGTGAAAGCTACCCTCAGTGTGCATGCATTACCACCTCAGTGATGTGCATGGAATAATGAAATTTTGCAAGACGTTTTAACATCCTAAATATTTATTACCTTTTGTCAGATATATTTCAATCGTTACAAATAGCTGGACAGTATAGAAGTTCACAAGTCCTTTGTAATAATATTTCACTAAGCCAACACAAAGTACAACAAAGGCTGTCTAAACAAATCAAGTCGATATCTGTAAAGTCACAGCTGTGAAAGGAAACTTCCACCGGATCCGTGACTCCACTCCAGGACTTCAGTATGGTCCTGATGGGATAACTTCATTTTGAAACTCTATTGCAAACAAAATCCCCTTTCATTAAACTTGTTTACATGTTAATGTTGGCTAACTGTGATTATCAGATTGATTATTTGAGTAGGTTCGCATCCATCCTGTAGCTTAGCTGTTAGCCTGTTAGCAGAGAGAGAAAAACAGGTGTTTCTGCAGGTAGCCACTCCCATGTGAACCGGTAAAAAGGGGGTGAAATAAATTCAAAATGAACCTTTAAGGAAAAGGGACCGAGTTAGTCTATCTTATTCATCTCCCCCTGTATAAAAAAGTCTTTCTACCTGACATTAAAAGGCTCGGTTAAGTTGGATATTTGAACTCTCTTACCTGTTGATGTTCGTCGGTGTGTTTCTCAGGGTAAAGCAGCAGCTCCTGTCTGCCTCACCTGTCTGTCTGTTTACCTGACGGATTGTTTCGCCATAGTCTCTCACTGATCTGAGGTCAGACTGAAGTATTATCTTCAGGATGACGAAGGTGAACTAACAGGAAACAGCACTGATCTCAGACAGATGTACCTGAGAGCGGTGAAACTCACCTGTCCAGTCTGACCAGCCTCGCGGTGCGTTCACGAACTCTATCCCACCTCCTGACCCAGTTCCTCCCCTGTCTCTCTCTCTCCGTACTCTTTATATTCTTTCAGTTTTAATCCTCTACTGTCACTGACACAACTTTGGTGTTTCTGTTTGTTATTGCCTGACATTAACCTGTTAGATTAAGCTCTGTGTTACATACATTTTTCCTGAAAGGGGGTCAGAAGTTAAGACATTGATTAGATGCAACTTTATTTATCCTTTTGAGAAGGTCTATGATGTTAAAGTAATTTTTAAAAAAGCCTACCAGAGAAGTAATTCAAAAGATTTCTCTGTGCGTTTAACATTATGATATGTTTTCAACCTGTAGCGCCACCAAGTGGCTAGTTGTATTACCCTTGTTTAAGTCTCTTTAGCTGTGTGAAAGTCCAGCCAGGGCCTCCAGTTTGGAATAATCTACCTGAGGAGATCAAATCTGTCAGCACATCATCCTCTGTTGAATGTTTTTTTTAAACGCATTTTTATTTATGATTTTATAAGCCATGTGTTCTTATCAGAGTTTTAAATGAGTTCAACCAAAATAAACTGAGTTTGATCATATTTTATTTAAAAATAACAGTATTTTTGAGCAGGGTGAGCGTTGTAACCTTATCTTTCCATTTTTAAACTTGATTATATGGCTCTTTTTAAAAGAGCCATATTATGGGTGAGAGAGCCAGAATAGGTGTAAACATAACTGTTTTGATAATATAGCATGCCAAAAAAGGTGGTCTCCTATGATCAACTTACCCAGTGTATGGGGTAAGTTGACCATAGAAGTGGGGTAAGTTGAAACGTATCCCAGAACTACTATTATGATTTTATCAGTCCTCTAAGCTAAAATGGTGGACTTTTATGCTAGGTTTTTGACCTCATGTTGTAGCTCATACATACCACAATTGATGTATAGCACACATTTAAAATTATCTTTTTTGGTCTTAACATAGTTCAGATAAAACTTATGACAGACTAAATTCACTTTCAAGAGTGAAATTATTATGATTATTATTGTTTTTGGAAACAAATGTCTAACCCCTTTACCCATGTGCTTCTAACTTTCACAGACTCCATGAATTGATGCCCATCTCCTAAATATTTGCTCACATGATCAATTTCTTTTACCATTTCCAAGCAACAGGGGGTGGCTCAATTTACCCTTTGGCTCAACTTACCCCTCTCTCTCCTACTAGAAAGCTGTCTACATTCTGCTGGTATTTATTACAATATTATTTGATTCGTTTCATTTATTTATTTATTTATTACGTTGTATTATCCTTTCGTTTGAATTGCAGTTTTTCCCATCTTCTACCAGAGAAAAGATGATTTGGATAAAATAATTATCAGATCATTGATTCCGGTTTGGCCCATCTGTACTTAAACCAATCAGATGTTGACATTTATTTCCGTGTTTCAGAGTTGTCAGGCTGTGATTGGTTAAGAGCCTCATCGTGTTTGAAAGTGAGTGAATCCTCCTGTCAGTATCTGAGAGGACAGACTCAAAGATGGAGATGATTCTCGCCCTTAAAGCTTTGGTAAAATCCCTGCTGTTTGTCCTCCTGTGGTCTTTCTGTGAAGGGAAGGACTCGGATCTTAACTATGTGACCTGCGGCTCTCTGGTGAAACTGCTCAACACCAGACACAACGTACGGCTGCACTCCCACGATGTCAAATACGGCTCAGGTGAGTTCAGGTACACTTGGAGGACCTTCAGTCTCGTTCACATTCGCTTAGACATTAATCCAGTGACGCTGGATAAGTAATGGGTTTTTTTGTTGTCTTCAGCTGCCGAATTTAGTCTGCGAAAGCGCTGTAAGGTGACAGATGAACAGTTGAAGAAACGCTCAAACTTTAAATTTAATTGAATAAAATGTTGTTTTTCTCAGCCGAATTTCAGTAAAGCTCATTTTCATTAGAGTGATATGATAATTAATCGCATAAGTCATGTCACTTAACAGAATGAAGCACAAAACCCCATAATTACAGTTTCTCTTAAGGTAGTTTGGTTGCTGTAGTCCTCACGCTCGTTAGCAGCAATTAACTTTAAATTTAATTGAATAAAATGTTGTTTTCCTCAGCCGAATTTCAGTAAAGCTGATTTTCATTGGTGTGATATGATAATTAATCGCGTAAGTCTTGTCACTTACCAGAATGAAGCTCAAAAATCCATAATTACAGTTTCTGTTAAGGTAGTTTGGTTGCTGTTGTCCTCACGCTCGTTAGCAGCAAGTGCAGGATGCTAGCTTAGCAGCCCCATAATGTTTGAGTACTGAGAATCCGATATCTTCACTGTGAAACAGTATGAATTTATTATTGCATACACTGAACTTGAATATTTTTTGGGGTAGTAAAATTTCAAGTATCTATATACATTTTTGGTATTATTTTCTGCCGGTGTCATGGCGTCCAAAATCTGAACCACCCAGCTTCCGTTGTTATGGTATTTCGATATAAATGAAAACTGTTTCTAAATCCGTTTTAAATTGTCCTTAACAAGCATTATTGTCTGCTATAAATACAGATAAATACAAAAGGGTTGCACTGTGATACAAAACAAATTATGACAAAATCTCAAAAGAGATACCATGGTGAATAACTGTCAACAAAGGACATTAAACACCCAATTTTACATTTAATGAAACTCTCCATAGAAACAACTTATAGAATAGCACAAAATCACTAAACTAGGAAAAACTTTTGTAAATCTTCACCTGACTATATGAGAATTTACCTAAATGTTTTTAACCACAAAATTAGGGGCGATGTCTGTACTCTACAACCAACTTTAAAAATGTTTGAAAATTAAAATTGCCTTTATAGAAGATGGATAAAGCTGTAAAAAAATTCCATGTGAATTAGTCGACTGGTCTCTCAGCACTGTCAGGAGGGCCTGTGGCAAAGCACCCCAAGTAATGCTGAGGTCATGACTGACATGATGATGCAAAAAAAGATAAGGTGGGAGGATGACACTGGGAAATGCTTGCAGCTGTTACTTTGCTGGTTGCTGAAGTGTGTCTCCTATTTCTCTTCAAGATTTTTCTGTTTCACTCTGACATGGTTTTTCCTCAGGCCGTATCATGAAGACGGGGATGGTGCTGCCAGAGTTTCACAAATATTTTCTCTGTCTCCTTGTTCCAACTCACAGCACCAACTTCATCATTCTCATTTCACTGTTTTGTTTGTATACGGGTGTCGTAAGGTGTCCCAGATGTGGCTTTGTTGTCATTCATTATGAAACGTACACATGAGACTAAACAAATAAATAATACCCCTCTTTATGAAATGGAGAATCACTCTTATCACGCAACACAGGAGCTTCTTGTCCTTGGCCACCATCACTTCACCAATGAGGGGGTGGGTGAGTAGAGGAGGATTTCAATCTAGAACCAGATTAGCAGAGATCCCTAAAAATGTTTATTTCTACACACTGTTCTAGAAAGGTCTGTTGTCCCTGTCCCTGGTTGTGCGTTGATATCACTTCCACCCTCTGCTCTTGTGAACATTTACTGCTGAGGATTTTCAGAATCAATCTTTTCATGGCTGTGAGGCATTATTTTGAAAGGATTGTGGTGTGACTTCCTGCCGTAACAGGTTGAGGCAGCGGCTTGATATTTCTCTTAGAGGTGTAGTGTTACCATATCAGTGTGCAGCTGCAGTAGTTCTCACACACACACACACACACACACACAGGTTTTGTCAGGTGGGGTGTCATGTTTACAGCCTCTAAACAGGTAAGAAGAGGGGTGTTCACTCTTTTAAACAATGGGACTGAAAGTATCACAAACGCATTGTGAAGGAAAACAAAAGATGTGTAACTCTGCCATTCATTAGTCTAAAGGGCCTGTAATTAATACATGCAAACATAAATGCACTAAAACAGGCCTTAGCCACACAACACAATTTGTCGATAAATTTTCTTATCTTCCTCTTGACTAATAACTCTCAAACTCTCCGGGGTTCCGGTCAGGTCAGTTGGATAATAAATCAAGCATAATAAGCATGTGTATTTTGTGATTCCAATTTTGTTGATTTTTGTGGCTCTACTATCTTGTTGACTCTTGCACTATGCCTGGAACTTGTACCATCCTCTCTCTGTGCAAAGAACTGTGTCAGATTTATGCAAATTTGCAGAAAGAATGTAAAAAAGAAACTTCATCCCAGTGATAAACAGCTACACCAATTTTAGGACTCTTGTACAGCTACTACCTCAATGTGACCAGAGTTGATGCTGAGAAACAGAAAAAATATCCTAAAGTTGGGATCTTGTGTGTGTTTGTGTGTTTGTGTGTTTGTGTGTGTGCAGGCAGCGGGCAACAGTCTGTCACTGGAGTGGATGCTGCAGATGACTCTAACAGTTACTGGCAGATTCGAGGGAAGCCAAACCGTCCATGTCAGCGAGGAGTCGCCATCAAGTGCGGTCAGGGCATCCGCATCACCCACATGAAGACAGGCCGAAACCTGCACTCACACCACTTCAGCTCGCCACTGTCCAATAACCAGGTCAGACAGGAAAACACACTGTCTCTTCTACTGTTGCAAACGCTTAACAGAGTTCTGTGAATCAGCCTTGTTAACCCTTTTCTCTTTTCGGTCTCTAGGAGGTCAGCGCCTTCGGGGAGAACGGCGAGGGTGATGATTTGGACGTGTGGGCCGTTCAGTGTGATGGCGACCACTGGGAGCGGGACGAGGCTGTGCGATTCAAACACACAGGCACTGATGTCTACCTGAGTGTGACAGGTGAGCAGTACGGACACCCCATCCGAGGCCAGCGCGAGGTTCATGGCATGAGCGCCCCCAACCAGCACAACTGGTGGCGCTCCATGGAGGGCGTGTTCATCCAGCCCAGCCAGGAGCCGCTACGCCACGATGAGCTCTGACATCATTAATAGGGGACACATAGCGTGTGACTTCTTCTTCCTGTGGTGGTTCAAAGCTGGTCTGGACTAAATGAAGTTAATATCTGACTGATGAACATGTGAGGGGCTCTGGGTCATGGCTGACTTGGTACCGTCTGACTGCTCTCACTCCAACACGTCAAACACGTCTGCTCCGTTATAATCTCCATAAACCATGACGCTTCAGGTCCTTCTCCATTCTGATGTTTGATGAGCAGGTAAAGACAAGATGCAGAGTGAGGGGACTGGAACTCCTCCCACTGACGTCTCTGAAGCTTCCCCACGCCATGACCTCTCTAACCCTGACCAAACTGATACCCTCTGTTAATATTGACCTGTTTTAGTTGAATTTTATATCAGAAAATGCGAGGTGCTTCCCTTCGTCATGGTGAGACTTTGGCGCATCAGCTCTCCTTATTTAAATCATCAAACCTTTCAAGATGAAATTTCAGTAACAGCTGAATCAGGAGTTATTTCTTTAAAACAAAACCAAAAAAACAGAGCTGTAACTGAGTCTCACACATCAGTAGTGACCACAGTCTGTTAAAAACATGGATACTGTCTCAGAGGATTCACTCATTGGGTTCTGGAGAGACTTTATGAGGTTCTAAGATGGCGCTGGTAAGACCCAGCTGGTAGGGGAAAAGGGAAGCAATATAAAAACCAGATGCCAATGATAAATTAAAGGTATTTAAAGTTGACAATAAAGGACTAAAACAAAAAGGAGGACTGATACAAAGTTACTGTGTGGAACTTTAAAAGTTTGGGTTGATTTTGGCATCCCCTGTAGACAAGAAAGTATCTCCTCTGATTCTTAAGAACAGGATGAGATTTAAGCGTGTGCACACGAGAGGTGGCCAAGACACAAGAGATGCCAGCCCTCTTTCCCTGCGTAACTTGTCTTGATTTCCTAATTATTATTATTATTTTTTTTTTTTCAATAAAACCAACTTTCCAACAACGGATGTTTACTTTATGGTATACCATTTGTTTTGGATGCATGACACAATGAGGGACAAAATAGACGAAAAAGCAGCTCTGCCAGCCACATCTAGAGCGCAAGGAGTACCTGAAGGCCCAAAGTAATGAGACATCTATTCGCAATGCACAATGAATGGGGGCAAATTGTCAGAGGTGTGAAGCTGCGTCTGGTGGATCTGCACTGTAATTTGTCCCTCATGGACAATCTTTGTGTTGAAAATGTAAAGAAAAGGCGGTCTGTCTGAAGTTTATACATTTTGGTGTGATCAGTTGGTCAAACAAAATAAAAATTTACTAAGGTCTTGATAACTTTGATATTTTTTATATTTTGCTTTTGAATTTTTAAATCACTCCTTTGACACAGATAGAAACAAAACAAAAACCAAACATTAGGTTGGGGAAAAATATACATTTTTTCCAAGCAGCTTCAATATTAGACAAATATATTCAGGCTCAGTGAGGGTTTTTTTTTTCTTATAAATACTTCCACTTTGAATGAATATAAATACACATTTTTTTTGTTTTTTAATAAATTGTTCAATTCTCTGTAATTCACTAAATACTTCTATTTTTGGTGAATACATAGATACTTAAAGTTGATGTTATACAGAAATAGAAGGTCCCGCTCCCTGAGCTTCCTTATAGTAAACCATTTTATGTTTTTGAGTCACAGAATTTAACTGTCATGGTCAGAAAAAATCAGATTATAGGATCTAAGAAAACATGAGATGAAACAGACAATAAATGTCCGTCTCTGCTGTACTGCTTCTTCTGTCCAGCAGGTGGCGACAACAGAAAAGAAAAACAAGATCTGGATAAAGTGGTGCAGTCTGAAGAGTTAAATCAGAAATTTATTTTATCTTATGAAGACCCACAGAGATCAGGTAAAGGCAGTCGATGATGATGGGAAATGTTTTCATACTGTAATCACTGTTATAGCTGCTAATCTTCACTCTGGATATGGACATCAACAAGATACTAAATCACAGGAATTGTATCATCATTACACAATCATCCCTGTGCATCCAGCAGCTCCTAAGGAAGTCCTGGAGGTCATCATCCCACCTCGACTGTTCTCAGGTAGGACGTGCAGGACCCACAGAGGACTCACCTGTAGAGTGACGAGCAGCTTCTTCTACCACCAGGCTCATAGATTAATATACGTCAAGCCCACAACATTAAGTTTAATCTTTAGTATAGCATAATGTTGATCCTGACGCTGATCCTGTGTCACATGTGTCACATTTCACAAACCACCAAAAAATTCTAAAATTATTCCACAGAAACACCTTTTAAAAAAAACAAAAAAGATTCATAAATGGTAAAAACACTTAATTAACAAAATAAATCTTTAAAAATTTCATTAAAACAAATTCACAGACTTCAAATTTTTTTTTTCAAAACTTTAAAAATTCATGTTTCACAAACATCTTTATAAAACAGAAAAACATTTCAGAAAAGGCTATAATCTCCTGAATCAGACCTCATCAGATGTTCTGACCTGTGGACTCAAATCCACTTAAATGTTGTTAATCCAGCCTCTGAGTTAAACCACCCTGTCTGTGGAATTAAACATCTTCAGTGCTGCTCAGGACTGGTCTGCTGCTGTTCTCTCTGTCATCCAGCAGGTGGAGTCACATGACCACCACAGACCACACCACAGTGGCGTATGAAGGATGTTTATCACCTTCATCATCTCCTCCTTCTCCTCCTCCTCCTCATCAGCAGCAGCAGCTTCAGCAGCGGCAGCATCAGCATCAGTGGCGTTTTCATCTTCCCTCCTCCTGCATCTGAAGCCTCCAGCCTCCAGCAGCTGACTCTCCCGCTCTGTGTCTGTCTCAGGTGCGTGAATGAATGCAGAAGATTTCAGAGCTCAGACTCAGAGTCACGGTTAGTATCTGATTCTGCAGGTTGGTGTTCTCAGATTGTTTTTCAAGAAGCAAAGAGATGGTGGGAAAGCAGCTGCAGCGCTGCAGATCATCGGGTTCATCCTGCACCATCAGAGCTGCTGTTTCAGTCTGCGTCAGCTCACACTGACAAACAACCGCAGCACAATATCTCTATTTACCACATGATCCCTCTATTTACCAGCATTTGGTCCCTTACTCATCAGAACAGGAAAGTCTCAATGATGCTTTGTCTTCATTTGGATTTAGCTGTTAAGTATCTGTAAATACTGAACTGATTAATCTCCAGTTTTGCTTTAAAAGTATTTATTGTTCATTAACAGACTCATTTCAGCCTGTGTGAGCTTTCTTACCTAAAATCCTGATAAAATTTATATCAAATAAAAACCCATAATTAAGTAAAAAGCTCAGATTAGACTGTCAGACCGAGCTGTTCTTTCCCTGCATGTTTGCAGCAAAATTTCACCTCCTTTAAAATGGCTTCTTCAACATTTATTTTGGGATTCAAAGCCTCATTCACAGCTTAAAAGATGACCCTTATTTGTGTTATTATTACTGGTTATTTTTGGCTATTTTATCTGAAATAATTAAATGAAAAATTAGAGATAATTATCCTCTAGAGTCAGTCAGAATATGTCCCTGGAAATGTCTTTGTTTAAAGCTCTGTTATTCCTCTCACAGGATGTGATTCATATTCAAACACATCTAAATCTGTGATAAACTGTCTTTCCTACTTGATTCTCTTTTTAAAAATGTGCATTAAACCTTTTCATGAGTAACCTGGAGGAGAATTCAACCAGACTCTCTGAGGAGATGTTGGTCTGAAGCATGGCGGCGGCAGTCCCTCCTCTTTAATGCAGTCTGCCCTCCTGTAGGTGAAAGGTGCTCCATGCTGACCTCTGAGGGGCTCGAGTGAAAGGGGGAGAGCTGAGGGTGGAGCCGAGGAGGGTGGGGGTGCAGAGGGAGGATCCCGGCAAGCAGGCGGAGCAGAAGAAATGTAAATGAAAAGAGTTTCCCCAGAGGAGGAGCAGGTTTTAGATGTTCCCCTGCAGACTGAGGAGGTTTCAGAGACTCTGACCTCCTGCAGAAACTCTCACTAAAACTCTCAGTTTTTATCTAAAGTCACATTTTCATAGAGGAGTTACAGTGCGCAGAAACAACAATTAAATTCTCAATCCACATTCGAGTTTTATCAGAATCAGAAACACTTTTAATAGTCCTAGAAAAAGATTCAGCCAGTTTAGCAGCTGTGTTATACAAATAATACCTGTCAGAATAAACGAATAGGAGGAAAATGGGAAAAAAATAAGCAGAAGAAAACAGAAGTATATAAAGAGATACAGCTAAAATTAGGCTAAAAGTAGGCAGTTTTAGAAATGTTATCTTCTTTCTCTGATTTACAGGAGAGAGATCCTCAATTTTATTTCAGTAAAGAGCCGTATGCTGCTTTCCCCTTCGGTTATTTACCAATTCCTCATTTATTTTTAAGAATATTTCTGCACACACAGAAAACCCTAAAGAGGAAGTAAACAAGGAAAAAACACTGTGACTATATTTGAGTTCATATTTCTAAATATTTTTGGTACAAAACAATCTTTATAGAACTCTTTTCATATTTAACTTCCCTTTTTATTTGTTTAAACCAGCACCTGAAATTATTTTCACTCTTCATAAAAAAAGTTTCTGTCTGTGTTTGAATTCCTGAAGGCCTGCACCTCTCTCATTGCATTTTAAAAATAGATATACAATACATATTTTATAGGGTATTTTTCTATTTTTTAGCCGTCTGTCTGGGTCTATTTTTGTGCAACAAAATATCAGGACTGTTTGCTTTTAAAGTCTGAGCTGACTGAAATAAACCTGATTCTTTGTCTGATTCTGTGGCTGAAAACTGAAACTGGAAGAAATGGAATTTTAAATTAGAATTATAACGTGAAAAGAGTGAAGTGATAAAGGTCGTGTTAATTGTATTTCTCTGTGGTTGTAGACGTTTGTTTCTTACAAACACACCAAGCTAAGGTTGAATTCTTATTACTTCTTGTTGGATAATTTTGCAGAAAATTTAACAAACAGAAATTTTGTTTCTTTTTTCACTAAAGTTTGTTCTCACAGGTATTTTCAACCAAGATAACTTTTGGAATGTTTGCTTTACACTCTACTCATCACTAATCTTTAGCTTTTTTCCTTTTCTTTAAAAAATTATAAATTTCTAAAACAGTGACAGTTTAATTTCTTATTTTTTTCACTTTTACACTTTAGGTGTTTCTTGTTTCCGTCACACAAAAGTCTGTTTACTGACTTTCTTAAAGCTCTGGACCTGGAGATGTTTTCATTTGATTCATTCTGCCACAGTGATTTTATGATTTTATGAAGTGCAAATGAAATGATCAGATCTGTGCATAAAAATCTGAGCTGGAAACAAGAGCTCTAATGTTTTAACAACGACCTGTCAATGAACTGTCCAACCTACAGATGTTGATGTGACCTTCAAATCTGAACCTTTGATCGTGACAGAGCTCCACCTTAGCGGCTCACATAAAACCTCACACACGTCTTCACCTGACGCTCGCTTTGTTTCAGGACCGCGCTTTGCTCTTCCTCTATCTCTTCTCTTAAATCTGAAATTTCTTTTACGCCAGAACAAAGCGATGATGGGAGCTCAGTCTAAGATAACTTGCCGTCTTACAGCTCTGACTCTTAATCTTTTTAGGTTTGTTTGCTTTTGTGTTTTTAATGGGATTAAAAATGGTTCACTATAAATCCTGATGTTTAGTAATCCTCCGCAGCTCCTCCACAAAATACAAACTATGACTCAGAGAAGAAAATGAAGAGCTCAAAGCTCTTAAATCCAAACCTGCAGGACTCCAACACACAGCTGTAAAATATTTACATATTTCATTTGTTAATTTTCCTCCTTTTGTTTTTCCTTTTATTTTTTTATTTATTCATTTGTTTTCTTGTGGTCCATAAAGTTCATTTTCCCTTCACTGATCTGTTCCAGCTCTTTAGTTCCAGTACACTTCATAAATCAGACTGATGCCTATTTTCTCCTGTTTCTTCACTTTAATCCAAACCGTCTTGAGTGATACCCATTGTGTGGAAGCTGCTGTAATATCACATTTAATATCTTTTAATACAAAACGTATTGCATCAAATGGATGCAGTTTTGGATTTCAAGAAGTTGAGCTTAACACAGCCGCCATATTTTCTTTGAAGTGTACACTAAACCACACCTGTATGAAGGTTTAAACGTCATCATCATCATCGTCTTTATCAATACATCTGGATCATAAAAAAAAAACACAAAAACAATCATGTCTTTATTTAACCTTTCCTTTATTAGAAAACAAACATCCTGATGACAGGGTGAGGCAGGTCAGAGCAGGAAAGACACTGTTGGATGGAGGTGTCCTGATCAGAGGAGGTGGAGGAGGAGGAGGAGGAACAGGAAGAGAAGGAGGCTGTGCCCGGCTGACCGATGCCCTTTCATTATTGCACTGCTTGCTGCAGCTCCCACAGTAGTGCAACAGGGAAAGAGTGTCGAGCAGAGGGCTACAGTGGGGGAAAAAACAAAAAACAAAACTTCCTTTAATGTTCAAGTTTTTCACTTTTCCTGCTGATTCAGCATCAAAGGAAGGAGAGGAAACCATCGGGCTTCAAGTCAGGTTGAGTTTGGGTTCAAGAGGGAGACAAAACTGAACAAAAAAACATCCAAACTAAAACAAGACCAAGGAAAAGCAAAGTGTCATGACTTCAGGACACACAGAGGTTAAACTGAAAACGTGTGTTTATCGTGGTTTTGTCAAGTCATTCCTGCTCAGTGTGATAAGTATGTTGTGTTTTAACCGAACTCCATAAGAGACATGAACACAAGTTTTCTCTGGGGCATGTTGGGAGTTTGGCGCAAAGATAATAAATAAATGAATACAATGAATAGAAACATCATATTGAAAAAAAAAATGTTTTCCAAAAGGAATCTCAACGAGACATTTTTGAGATTGGAGAGAGGTATCTTGGGATCTCAGAGAAGTTTTCAGGATCTTACAAAAGTTTTTTCAATGACCTCACTTAGGTTTTCCAGGATCTTTTAAAAACTTTCTCAAGATTCAACAATTCAGTTAAGGAAGGCCTCTAGCAATAGTTTTGAGGTTTTGTGAGTCCATCTTGTGCCATCAAAAGTATTTCAGGGCACGTCATTATTCCCTCCAGATCTCACTTAAGTATCTGAGGATCTTGCTTTTTTTTTCTTACCGTTTGTGGAATTTTATTCAAAGGATTTGCAAATAAGTCTCTTTGGAACATCCCAAAACAAAACTGACTCTAAGTTGAACGGACAAAAGATCCTGTATATCCAGTGTTCAGAGATTCAGTTCTTGTACATCACATAATTTCTTTACATCCAAATCCAACAGAAAGAACAGACACAGGTATCAGTGTTGGTTAGAGGCTTGTTTTCATTGATCTGGCATCCAAAAGGTCACATATAATGTTGTTTACATAAGTTAAAGCTCCTTTAAGAAGTTTGTATACTGCTAGACTTATACTAGACTTATTGTTACTGTGCAGTGGCAAAGTAAAACAATGTGGTGTAAAAACAACCAGGGTGAGATTTAGTCATCACCTTGGCCACAGGGGGCGCCAAAATCAACACAGACTGGAAGATCCCTCACAGGCGCTTTGAGACTTATACTCATTGTACTCGAGAGCTTTTGTGATACAGTTTGATTTGTTCACATTTTCCCAGATGTTTCAGACCAGTCTGACTTTAATACTGTGACCTCTCTTTCACCAACAGGAGAAACTGGGTCCATAATCAGAAGATTTATGATTTCTAATTCATGACAGTGCTGCTGCAGCTGTTAGGTCAATGTAAGATGAAGTAACAAACTACATGCTGCCAAAACACACTGATCACATATCCCCTGATTAACTTCTTAACAAGAGGAGGAAAAAATAAGACTACATCTCTTTCTATTATTACACCTATTTTGGTTTTACACTCATGGTGTTTGTGCAGAAACCAACTGAATAAACAGACAGACAAAGACGTACAAAAGTTTCCTTCAAAATGGGGACTAACCTTCGGGTTGTTGTGCACCTGTAAGTACAGACATGTTCATGTTTACATTATCCACGCTGTTGAGCTTTATACAAGTTAAAATCTTTTGAAATGACTTTATGAAGAAATACTTACAGCTGCAAAAAAATACAAACTGTGTCAGTAACTTCAGAGAGCTGGAATCTGATTACAGATAAAACAGATATCAGTCTGATTAAAGATAGACAATGTAGGAGGATGATACACAACATAAGATGAGAGAAAGCTGCGGATGAAAAAAGTTTCATATTACAATATAAAACATCAAACTCAATGACGTCTGTAAAGGAGGATCATTTCTCAGAGTCCAGACCCTATAAGCAATATTGCACTACTGTGTTAACTATGGTGAAAGCAGAGGCAATATTGATAGGGGCTAGACCGTGAGGACACACCTGTGTGAGGACATAGGAGGTGAAAAACTTCAAACACCAGGAGAAGACTCAGTGCAGACAGAGGTGATGTCTGAACTCTAAAACAGCAGCATGTCCCTCTCTACAGATTAGACTTTTTAAGTTACTTTTTGAAAATTTGCTTTTATTGACAGGACTGAAGTCTGACAGAAAGGGTTGGGCAGGAATCAAACAGCAACCTCTGTGATGAGTTTACATGAGCGCACTTTGACTGCATGGGGCTAAATCCTTTACATATGAACTAGTTTTTAATCAGAGACAGCAGGTTTATAGAAATGTTAGAGACCTCAGTGGAGCCATGAAGCTAAAGTTTGGGAATATTTAGAAATAATTCAAATCTCTTACTACTTCCTCTTATTTTACAGCTGAGCCCTTCTTTTTTCTTTCAGTACCAGCCAAAATACTTCACAAAATCTTCTAGAAATTTCCAGGCTGAGCTGCAATGTGTGAACACACAGTCTTAACTTTCACCCTGACTTTGCTTGGACTTTTTCCTGGGAGTAAAGATGTTACAAATTTGTGCTGCCAGCTCCACTTGTGCCACCAGGTATCCCAAATGCTTTACACAGGGAAGTGGACAGTTTCAAGACTGGGGGCAAATTTGCAGATGCACCATGCTACAAGAAGTGAGTTTGCACCGTTACTCTTCATCTAAAACAGACGAGAGGGTATATCATGTAACACCTCAGAAAAGATGCCGGAGTCACATAGTGCACCATGGGTAATGTATTCTAGGCGCTATTATGGATCTCTGTAAAATGGAGATGACAGGAAAGGGTGCTGACAGCTGGTAAGAAGTCCCAGTACACCATGGGGTTAAATTTAGAGGTGGTGGTACTCTGAGCAGGAGCCTACCAGCCCACTTGAAGAATTGCTTTTCTGGATTCGCACCAGTCCGATGATACAAACGTCTTGCTTTCTCTGGGAGAATGTCTCTATGTTTCTCACTGCGTTCTCACATCTGCAGATCCCAACTCAATTTGGAAATTTTACTCAGTGGTTGTGTTCACATCTGTGCCTTTCTGAAAATTTCCGGGAAGTTCTTATAGGATTTGTGGGTGTGAAAAAAAGCCTACTGCCTGCCATGTCTAAATGCAACTCTTCAAAGACTTAACAAACAGAAAAAGAGTTTGGACTTTAAAAATTCAAACTGTGTCACAAGCATCAAGTTTTTCTGCAGTCTTTATGAAAAAGTTATTATCGAAGCCAAACCAACCAACTAACCAAACAACTTACCAATAAACAAACTAATCACAACACACTAATGCTAACAAACATAGACAAATCAACCACACAACTAGCCAGCAAACACCAACAAACTACTCAACCAACCAGCAAATCACATCCAACAACAAACCAACCAATACATAATACAACTACAACAGACCTTCTAACTAGCCAACCAATACCAACAAACCAACCCACCCACAACCAACAACAACCAACCAAGACCAACCAACCAATAAACTAACCCACCATAACCACAATGAAAAAAATTCCTTGACTCTACCAGAACATGATGTTTAAAAATTGGTTTATTGCATTACTCTGATTAAAACTGGACAATTAAAATAAATGTAAACATGTAGTCCAGTTAAATCATGTAATCCAGTCACTAACGCATGCAACAGTACTGTGTGGATTACTCTGACGAAGTAAAGCTCTGCCTTTACTGTAACCTCAGCACTACTTGCAGTAACTAGCCGTGTATTTCCAATTCGAGATGTAAAGTACACATTACTTCATATAAAATGGCCAAGATCTACATCAGATCAATCATTTGACTCTATAGCGAGGTTACGCCAGCACAGCAGCTTCCTGGGAGATATGGTGTCTCAAACAGCAAACATACTCAACGTCTTAAAATCATTCACGTAAGCTGAAGTCAAACAACAGCCCTCTACTAAGCTGGCTGTCACCGAGAATGGCGCTCCATCCGAACAGCCACAGTTTGTTTTAAAACCACTTCCGGCTCCACAATTTGTAACCCAGGAAGGACGAACGGGCTGATTGTGAGGTATGTTATTGAAGACTTGTTTCACATATCGGCTGTTGAGTCTACTACTGTCAGAGAACTAATGAGGATAATACTGCTGAGACCAGAAAATTGGATCATTACTGAGAGGACTGAGACAGAAAGAAGGCATGCTACAGTTACTTGATCAACCAGCTCATTATTTTCAAATGCTACAGGTTTGTATCTCATAACTTTGTCAATTTATCACCATTTAATAATGCACCTACTCAGTAAAAAATGCACTAAGTCAGTACATAACTTGGTTACTTTACCAACTGAATTATTTCCATTGTGTGCACTAAGTTCATAACTCATTAACTCTAACAACTTTCCCATTGATTCAGAGTACACCAGTTAAGTGAGTAAATCACATTGCACTAGATTTTCCTATTTACCTTACAAAGTTACTGTACCAACCAACTTAATACTCTTTAATGATTTACTCAGTTACTTTAGAAACTAACTGATTACTTCATAATGCATTTGCTGAGTTATCCATTGCTGATTTTCAACTAACACATTATTTCATGATACACATACCCAGTTACTTTACAAACACATCACCTTGTGGTATAATTATTTAGTTAACAAAATTGTACATTTTCCCAAACTGCTCAGAGCAATTATTCAAGATTTCAACACTTAAACATGACTAAATTCATAGATTTTCTGCTAATATAGTTATTGTTCTGTAAACCACGTCAATTTTTCACTTGGGCAAAGAGGTAGAAAAACATCCAAGCACATTTTTGTCAAATGCAGTATTCCATCAATCCCAGAATAACCACCTATATCCACTGATGCTTTGACCTACGTGATCCATGAATTCTTGCAGGGCAAGTTACATCCAGTAAAATTTAGAGCATAATGAGTGTTTTCTATCTCCAACAGATTCTACATCTCTGACTGATAACATTTCGCAAGTACTGTAGTTAAAGAAATTAAAACAAATACATGACACAGGATTCCTCTTCACTTCTGTTACTGGCCTGGTTATGGTGAGTGAGTAACATCTGAATGATCTGAAACTTGATTCAGGTAGAAGAAAAGAACAAGAGCAGAGATAGATCAATTCCTCTGTCAGCTATTACATAATCAATACTGGCCATTGTCCCTAAACGAAAGGCTGACAGTAAAAATAAATAAGTAAAAAATAATAATAATCATGTCCACAGACACTGCAGGCAGGTTTGTCAATGTGACTGCAGTCGCTTGATAGATGGTACATGTGAAGCTCTGAATGACTGCACACAAAAATTTGAATAGTGTCAACAACAAGTCTGGAACATGGCTGCCAACAAACAAACCAATTATAAAGTGAGCCCTTCTCATGAATATCTGTTTTGGACCAAAATGACGGCCGTAACAACGCTCTCACCTATCCAAGTGAGAACTCGCTCAGATTGGAAGGTTGTCATTTAGTTGAAAGAAAGTGAAAGACTTTTCAACACCTACAATGATTTCAAAGACCTACAATGGTTTTAGTGATTACAATGTCTTCCTGCTCTCTTTGGCTGTCATAAAGAAATAAAGACATCTGCCAAATTAATCTGCACTTTGAGTTTGACAGAATTTAGGAATTATCAGAGAAGTTCGTTGAGTTGAGCTACTGCCTACAGTAAGCATGTAGATATATCATATCAGAGTGATGTCAGCTGGTAATCACGTCATAATCGCACCAGCAGAGTAATATTTAGGAGTGTGAGGATGAAAGTAAATAACAGAAAAAGAGTAAAACATCAAGACAGGAACCCCTGAAAATTGCAAATGCTTTTATATTAAGCAGGGATCCCTGGACCACAGGCAGGTTTAAAATGATCCCAAAATACCAGCACATCACATTGACACTGCTGAGACACTTAACTCTTTCATACTTCTTCATGTGTAACATTGTTTCCCTTTAAAATAGTACAAATAAACCCTGTATTTGACCCAATAAGCCCTGTGAAGCATTTTCCTTCCTCTAAGTCATGGTTTCAGATCACACTGATGCTGCAGTGCAGCATTCAGTTGAATAAAAAATTATAAAAGTTAAGATCATTAAGTATATTTCACTGCAGTTATTTGACTCACAAATCAAGACACTGCCAAGACTTGTTTTACATTGTTAGAACTGACCTTAAAGCTATTTCAAATTGTAAAATACTGACATTACAAATAATACATTTAAAATAAAGTTGATAGGGATTGACTGTTGAAATTCTGTGTCAAATCAGAATAAATAAGTTGATCTTTTGACAGCACTGGTTACAATATAAATACAGAAATTGTAGATAAATAGTAGTTATATATAATGGCCTTGTAATGTGATAAGTATTTCCTCAGACCTTAAAGTGTTTGATTGTTCTGTCTTAAACAGAAAAACCCCCGAACTAATCTTGTACCACATGATGTTAGTTGTCTGTACTATTTATTACTACATTAAAAATGCATGTAATCAAACTCCATGAAAGTGGTTTTGTTTTTATTTTTTGAAAAAGTAAAAATTAACAATCCTTTCTCACTTGGTCAGACTTAGTTTCTGTTACATCTCTTATCTTTACCACTCCTACTTCAGCTGTAATCTGACTGTAGGCTGTAAAATACTGTATGACAAATACACAATGTGGGATAACATTGTTCAGCAAAGTGTTATTTAACTATTGATCAACAATTAAACAGTAAAGAAAACAATTAGTTTCCACTGTCTATCAGGTTTTCACGTTACCTGCATTTGTAGTCCATTTTTCCTGAACTTTTGCATCCAAAAAGCATTTTTATCATTGCAAAATTATTACCTGTTAATCTGAGGTTACCTGACAGCTGGACTAAGTTTCATCTAAGTGTACCAACATGTTGTAAAAGCATGGTGTATCATATTTGAAATATGATCATTTCTTTCAGCTGTAAAATCTCTGTGAACCTGCTTTGTAAACCTCAGAGTGAAGATGAAAGATGTCAGACTAAAGAGAATTTTTAAAACTTCATGTGGATTGATTCATTTCTTCAATCTTTCAGCATTAAAAAAGGAAAAAAAATCTTTGTTGGAACCTTGTATTTGAGGAAATGTGTCTTAACATTAACAATAATGTGAAGAAGTGAAGAAAACTTTTAACGCTTACAGTATTTCCAGTATTATCTCTCTTTGTCCTTTTTGAGAGGAGAGGTTATTGTCGAAGGTTCAAGTGTTTACTGAACAGAGGAAGAATCCTGAGAACATCACTCTGTGGTCAGTGAATTTTTGATGAGAATTTTTGCAATATTTTGACACTTTCTTGATCAAACAATAAAATTATTATCCTGTAAAATCATTTACTCATTTAACTATAATGAAATAAATCTGCAGCCTGTAACATTTTCTGCCCTCGTGATGGTTTTATTTTCCCACCATGCTCTGAAAGATGTCCTCACAGATAAAATCAAATTATACCAAGTTTCCTGACTAATAAAATCAACTGTTCCCCATGAATAATGCCATCTTTAACTGACAAAACAATCAAGTTTTTATTACAAAACCAAATAAAAATCAAGTTTTTCCCCAACAAAATCTCTTTGTCACATTTTCACCATTATTGTTACCTTAACGGCTAATGACAAATGTTCCTGACTGTCAGTGTTTGACGGATATTGCTGATGGGAACCAGCTTTGAAGCTACATGATGATAACCAGTTTGAAGCCTGATTATAAAACAACCAAACTATGAAACTGCACAATGATGATCAGAACACACATCACAAGCACACTGACTCCACGAATCAAAACTCCTATATATATCAATGGATTACCTCAATGGATTATATTGATTGATATTTGGAGGTAAAAACAGCGACAGGATGTGTGTCAGACAGGAGGTTTAGTGAACTCTGCTGCAGCCCTCTGATCTGGACTGAAGAGCTGTAATAAAAAGGTGTTCACACCTGGACTTGCTCTTTGCAGAGCATGCTGGATCTCCGTGTGGACGACCCTGTCAGATCCTCTCCACATAGACCCGCTCAGCTCAGGTATTTGCCTGCCAGCACAACGACAAAGACAAGATCCTACACGCTGCTCAGACATCCACCACTAACTGTCTTTTCTACAGGCTCTCCTCTTTTTGAGAAAAATATCATCATCACCTGACAGACGGGGAAGTTTTTTCACATAGAACTACAGCACAGAGGAAAATATAAAGCTCTGTGAGAATAGTAAAAATGACCTCTAATGTATAAAAAACAAAGGTTCACATGCATTCACTGACTGTCAGCTTTCCCTCCACTCATACACCTCCACCATCAAGGATGAAAAACAGCTGAATGAGACTCTGCGACGCTGTTACAAGGTGTGTATGTGTGTGTGCGTAAAACACACACAGCAGAGGCACACTGAGCATGATAACCCCCCTTCCCCCCACCATCTGAGAGGCCCCGCCCCTTACATTCCTTAAGGAGCCCCCCTCCTCTACAGCCTGCCCCAAAGAGGAAACTCACCCCATTTTCCCACCCACACTGTGACTTCTCCGAGCTGCACACTACGCTTTCAAACACCGACAGAGAGGGGGGAGGATACACACACACACACACACGCACACACACACACACACACACACACACACACACACACACACACACACACACACACACACACACACACACACACTGAAGACACAACAACATGAGTGCAGCTTTAACCTGCAGCTTCACAGCTTCCCTCACAGGCGAGCTGCTCTTTTTCTCTGCAGAACATTCACAGGTTTCATGTTTTAATCCAATAAATAAACATGAAAATCTTTTCTGTTCTACTGTTAATCTTTTTTTTTTGTAAACATTTAATCACATGCTGTCCAATTATTTTTCAAGGTTAATCCTGAGTATTTCAGATGCAGTGAAATTGTTGGGCGTAAATTCTTTCAGTAGTTAAAATAAAACAGGAAAATCTTATTTCAGTTCATTAAAGACAAAGTTTAACAGAAACAGCTCTTAATCCTCCTTTTTTACCTGAACACTCATTAAGTGTGGATCCAGTATGTTTTAGGAGTCTGGTTAAATAAAAAAAAAATAGAAACTGGTGGTTTGACTTCTGTTTAAATCCCTGTGCGTACTGAATTCTCAGCCAGGTCAAATACAAGTCCTGCAGCAGAGTTTCAGTCCATGCAGCGTGACGTTAAACTACATGTGAGTCAAACTAAGGGGGGGGAAGTCTCTCTTTTTTACGGATCTAACCTGGAGTTTGTCTGTGACGCTGACACGTGGTCTGAAATCACAGTGAGTGTCTCTCTGAACCTCTGTGAACAAAATGTTCTTTTTTTTCTCAGGAGGCGTGGTGCAGGAGGCCGGGATCTCTCTGGCTAAAACACAGCAGCAGCAAAAGCAGCAGCAGCAGCAGCACAGCTCAACAGAAAGACACACACTCTTCCTGTCAGGACCATCTGTAGGCTATGGTTGCCCAATCTGTGGACTGAGGACCTCCAGCGGTCCGTCAGGGAGCCTACTTCTGCTATCTCCCTTTTAATCATTTTTTTTTTTGAGTCAGTCTGAGTGACTGAATGAGGAATGTGACACTGGTTAAACTTTGCTCTGCGAGTACAAACACAGAACATCGCCATCACACCAATCTGTAGACCAGTCTTAGAAAGTCAGCACTTATACTGTGTATTCACACACCCACCCTTACCTGACACAGAATCACTGAGCATCACAGCTCAGCTCAAATTCATGAACTTTAAAAACTGTATTATTTATTTTAATGTTTTTTTTCTACTTTGTTTTTACAAACTTTTTATTCCATTGAAGTCCATTGACAGTTTGAGATATGCTGTTGAAACGCTTCTTACTTCTATATAAACCTTTATTTTATTTCTGTTTTTTATAATTTTTGCACCAACACAGTTAAACATATTCTTTTTATGCATCAACTTACTTAAATCGGACTGATTTTTTTCCTTTTGATTTTCTCTTCTTTTGTCATTTTTCATATAATGAAGAATTTTCTGATCCTTAAAAGTGAAGATTCGTTATTTTTTTGTCATGACTGTTAAAGTTGAGACTGACAGAAGAAATCAGCGGACATCACTTTTTAAAAATTATTTGGACATTCGTGACAGAAATTGGTCATTAATACATTTATTATTCTTATCTGTATTATTATTATGTTTTCTTGCAGATATTCTGTATATAAACCCATCCTCTAATCTTGTAGTTACTTTGCAATCTTTCAGTTAAAATAGTATTTGTTTGACCTTTGGTGTTATTCTGTTCCATCTTTGTCGTTTTTATTACTTAATCCATCTTGCTGTAGTAATACAAGAATTTCCCCCACTGGAGATTGATAAAGTAAATTGTGTTTTATTGAATTATCATAGAATATAACAGTCCAAATTTAAAAACAGTTTCTTTATTTGTACAGAGAGGAAAATAAATCTAGCTAAACAAAAACAGACAGAAGGATATATCTAGAAAATGACCTGAAAAACTTCTTAAATCCCTCTATCTGCTCTGGTACACATTTTACAGATTTTTCCCTTCAAAAAATGACCGTTCATTTTTTCCACGTATTATTAACAATTAAAAACAGAAAGCCCTAAAGTGTTTGCGGCGAAATACTGATGATTCAGTATGTTTGGAAACCTTCTGATGATGCTATTCAGTTGACTGATATGTAATTTTCAACAGTCAATACCAATACCGATAATTAGAGATCAGGTTGGATCTATAATGCTGATATGATTTTTAATAGTCATTATTAGTGAGACACAAAGTAGCTGAATTTATATGGATATTTTATCATGTTTGGCCTCCTTACTGGGAGTTTGAGTAAAATATTGTCACTTCTGGATTTCTGTTTAGCCGTGTGTAATTATCAAGACAAAAAAAAATACAAGCGAAATAATTGGGCTTAGAGAACAAAATCATATATAACTGAAATTTTTTTAACACATTATATACATATAAATATAATCTTCACCAGCTGCATGTTTTATATCGAATTCATGCAAGATAAAAATATATTGGGTGATACAATAAATGTCAGAAAAAGGCCAATTGTGGAAGCAATATTAATCATACATCATAATCAGAATGTATATTATCATTTAGCAGGTAACTTCTTTGCATTTGATTTGCTTCTATTTAGGGTGGGAAAATAAAAAAATTATCATTTAGAGAAAAAGCAATAGAGACACTGGCTTTGTGAGGGCAGCTTGGGCTGAAACTTGTTTTCAGATGCGGTTAGTTTGCGCGATTTATTGTCTATTTCTGATTCTGATGCCTCTTTTTTGCTTTTTTTTATTTCAAAGTTTTTTAGCAAATTATAGTTTACTTTAACTTTGTGAAAAAATTATGCTGATGTTTGTCAGATATTGAAGACAAAAGTACTGCACAATTACAGTAAAACAACAGGATGAAGAGTCATTGATTTTACAATTGTTTAAAGCTTAAAGAAGCGGACAATTTTAAGTACTATGTGTTTATTAAGTTTTACATCGCTCTTTGTATGACGTATTAACTTATGTTTGTTGTATACATTCATCGGTGTTGATATAAATATTGTGTCAAAGGACCTGCTGCACTTCTCAGAAACACCCCTAGGGGTACCAGGGCCACCATTTAAACTACACCAGCTGACACTGACTTTCAATGCTACACGCTTTTATCATGATAATTACTTATATTAAAAATCATTATTATCAGTATCAGTTAGTATCATGTAGTCAGGCTGCAAACTCCGGCTGAAATAATGAAATGACTTAAAGTTCCTGTATGTACGTCTTCATAAATATATGTGTGTGTGTGTGTGTGTGTGTGTGTGTGTGTGTGTGTGTGTGTGTGTGTGTGTGTGTGTGTGTGTGTGTGTGTGTGTGTGTGTCTTGTATTCTGTCTTCCTCTCAGCCTCTGCTCTGTCTCTCCTGTAGTGTTTGACGGAGGCCGGATGCTATGACAATACTATTGCACTGCTTTAGAGGATGGTACAGTAGTGCAACATCGTCAGAGCAGCTGACCTCTGCACGTGGAACACACTCTCTCACACACACACTTTCCCACACTAAAACACACACACACACACAAGCAGCTAAGGAGTGGAGACACAGTGACGCGTCCACAGCAGCTCCACTCTGAACACTTTCTGTGTTTAACGTTCAAAGAGGAGAGGAAGCGGGGGAGGGGTGGTGAGTGTGTGAGTGTGTTGGGGGGGTAGTTGTCAGCCAATGCCCTTTTAATATTGCACTGCTCATCTGATTTCACAGTAGTCCAACAGAAAAAGGGCCCCGGACGACAAAGCTGCTCCTCAGTCTCTCTCTCTTTATTCAGCAACATTTAAGCCGTCAGCTGTGACCGTACTAAACTCTGCAGACAGTAACCACGGGGCCTAGATACATATCTATGCGTGAGTCTGTGTGTGTGTGTGTGTGTGTGTGTGACTGTTATTAACATGTTGGAAGCTGTGTATGCAAAGCAGCAGCCGTGAAACAGCCGAGGAGGATTGTTCTGTTTACAACACAATACTGCAATCTGAGAGCAGAAAATCGGCATGAATCAGAGAGGAAACATTAAACTGTGTGCAAATTAAAGCATGAGGCTCTAGGAAATGTGTGGAGTAGGGCGGCACTATACTTTGCAGTTTTACTGTTACCATAATATGTGCATTCACAGATCACAACATCACACTGAATTGAAAAATATACATATTTAAATAGATTTTCTCACTAAGAATGCTGACATGTTAACAGCTGGATGGAGACCTGAGTATACTGGTTATGCTTTCATACTGTTCAGGTGCAGCTGGATGAAACTAGATCTTAAACCTTAAAGTTGTACAAATTAAGAGTAAAACACAAAACACAGCTTTACCATTACATTAGGCTCTGAAACCTATGAAATGGAATCACTGCAACATTCAAAAAAGTACAAATTAACCTTTAACAATTTTATTAATGTCCTTATTTCAGGTGTGTGGATGGCTTTGCCTCAGTCCTGATCAGTCAAATGGTTCAAAAATACTCCAGTAAAGGAGACACTACAGGAAGTGCAGTTCATGGAAACTGTAAACCAGCAAAGACAGCGTTTGACCCGCCCTCTTTCTCAGTTAAAGGCCCACAAATTAGGACTACCCTATCATAAGAAATAAAAACACTAACTGACTCCAAAGCTTATCATGTTGAAACAAAACCATGGCTTAAACAGGACAAATCTGTCAACACAAACTTGTGGGTTTTAGATATTAAATGATTAGTTATTTTTGGTTTTAATGCATCTTTTGGGCTGCTTGTCTATGTCTGACTTAATTGGTGGTTTTTCTGTCTGCCTCTTTATCAAAAGCCTAACCAAGGACAAGGATTAATAATTAGCCATGCCTTAAGGTCCTGTATACACTGCATTGTTTGCACCTTATTTAGATGTAACAATACCAACATATATTGTCCCTGTCAAATAAGCTGATAAATAAATTAGCTGTTTTTTTCTCATACTATGAAGGTCTGTTGTGTAATCTAAAACACAAGTGTTAGCATTTATCTGCAACAAATTCTCCTTTTTTCATGTTTCAATTTATATTGTGTAGCTAAACTTATGAAGCTACTGCAATACCATTTTTTTCCAGTATGGTGCAGCCTAAGAGTGGACACATATTTAGTGAATCCAGAGCTGCTCCTATAGGCTGCGGCCTGCACACTCACACACATTCACACACACTCAGAGAGGGCGGAGGAAACATATATAGGGCAAAGAGCACATTCCGCCATACAATCCCAGAAACCTTCATTTAATACCTACTATTCCTGTCCCTTTAGCCAAAGAGGCAATCTGAAACCCTCCTGGTTTAGGAAGCAGAGGGGGTGGAGGGCTATAAGAGAGAAGGGGGCTTTTTTTCCTCCAAATGTTCACAGAAGTTTACAATCAGCTCAAAGTGCTCATTCTGCTGCCTGATAAAACACACATGCAGCGCCATGTCGCTGCAAACTGGAGACCAGTACTCAACTACAGGGCAGCTTTACACCTTTAGTTTAAATACAAAGAGGATCAGATTATAAAGAAACTGAAAGAAACAGTTTTCTTCACCAACAGAACAACGAGGTCTGAGCACACTTTAGTCACCCGACGACTTTTTTTTCTCTCTCCATATGTTCCTGTTACAAAACAGTGTTAAATATTCAAACACACTGCAGCCACGCCGAGCATACAGTGCCACACACTCAACTCTTTCACACACAGATATGAGTGTAAAAATAGAAAATTCAAAGGAGAAGAATAAGGAAAATTAACTCTGATTACATAAGAATTTAACTCTGATAGAGGTGGAGAAAATCCTCATTTGTGGAGAAATTCCCCTGATTTCTGGGTAAGGCTTACTTTGATTAGGGAGGGAAATTCCCTTTGCTGAGTTAAGAAAATGTACAATGATGAGTGGAGAGAGTTCACACTAAACAATGAAGAGAATTCCCCCTGATTAAATGGATTTTTTCACTTTGATAAATGGAGAAAATTTACTCTGATTATGGGTGAAAATTCTAGATATTATTGGGGGAATGGGCAACCTGGATTAGTAGAGAAAATTCATTCCGATTTACAGTGAAAAACTGCAAGTCAGAACTGCAAAAAGAAAGGAAAAAATCCTGGTAAGTGGAGAGAATTAACTCTGATTAGTGGGATAAACTCCCTCTAGTTTTAAAGGAAAATTAATTGTAAATATTGGAGAAAATTGTCCTTTCTGTGAGGAGACATTTGGACATAACTCAACCTTGTGTTTTTACTCTGTAGTTTTGTTCTGATATTTCCAGGAAAATAACAACACGTGCTACCTGATGATATAAGAACTCAATCTGTAGGGTTTTGGAGAAAATTATTGATCCTAAATCTGCTGCTCATGTTCAGTTATTTCCACTTTAATTAACGAGACACTGCTGGCTCTGCTGGGGCCCTCCTGCAGCCCCCAGTGGACCCCTGTCTGCCCCTGGACCCCTGTTTGAACCTGGATTAGCTCAAATGATAGCAGGGTAAGTTTTGATATGCGAGTTTAATCACTGACCTGTCAATCAATTCGCTTTATCGCGCGTGCCCTCACATGTACACGCGCACCCCCACTTCTCTCTTTTAAACACACGCGCACATCCACACACACACACACATACACACACACACATAAACGCGCAGACATACACACGCACACACAATAGCAGCTTCAGTTATGAAGCTACAGGAGCTCGCGATGCCTCTAATCAGACCCACCGACACCCAGCCGCGGGCTCTACGCGCCGTGCTCTCGTCCTGTCGCGCGCAGCGGCAGCGGCGGGTCCTCAGACGGACGGTACCTGGCAGAGGCAGGGCCGGTCCGTGCAGCTCCAGCACAGAAGAAGAAGAAGCAGCAGAGCGGGAGTCCAGCTGCTCTCTTCAGCGGGAAAAACCTTCATTCCGTTTCCGTTTATCTCCCACAGGCGCGTCCGTTACCGCGTCCATGACGCTCCGCAGCGCGTGACGGCTCATCCGAAAGAAAAACCGTGTTTCTTCTGTTGGCAACCTCACGGCCTCCCAGCTCCGGACTCCATCTTTGACTAGTTGACATTCAGCTCTTGCCGAGACAAATTCCTTATTTGCATTCCGACCTGCCATTGGTCCGTTCTCGCGCCTTTCTGTGCGCTGATTGGAGGAAAATTTATCTCATCAGCTTTCTGATTGGTCCATTCAGTTGGGACGTCAGAGTAAAGTTTAATTTTAACAATGAACACAAATTCTCTCTCCATTCACAAAGTCCTCATTACACACTGAGAGGGGTTGTTTGTGTTTTTGTTCTTAAAAGAGAGGAAAGAAAGAAAAGAGCAGCGAAGAGGAGAGGTTGGAGCAGAGGGACACCAGGCTGTGGACTCTCAACTCTGCACAGTAGACACACACTGGAGCTCCTCTCTCCATCTTTTTAAGTCCTATAAATTCAAAAACAAATACAAAATCTAGCAGTTTCAACATGTCAGAAGGAGCAGAAGGAGTCCTCTGAGGAGAAGGAGGAGGTGCTCAGGGGTCGGTGTCAGTGCCGGGTGGGAAAAGGTTAAAGGGGACAGGACTGAGTGGAGGTGCAGTGGAGGCTCGGAGGAGGGCAGCGGCCTGTGAAATCTGGCATTCCTGACTGATGGAGCTGAAATAATGGCATTGTCCAGCAGAGAGGACCCGCCTCTCCACCCGGCAGCCACCCCGCTCTCCTCCACTGCCCTCTGGTGAGGGGCCGCTGGTGTGATGCTGTAGGGAGGGTCCACAGAGGATCCCCTAGGCTTTAAAAGTAGACCAATGGCACCACACTGACTCTGTTACTTCATTCTCTCTTATTTTAGCTACAGCCTCTCCTATTTTGAGTAAAGGGGGTGTTACGTTCATATTTGGCCTTTGCCCTGAGTAGTACATTCACATGGTGTACACTTCAAAAAATACATTACTTATCGTTGATGTCTTGTCTTATTTCAGCCTCTGTCATGAAGCTTTATTTTGGCGCCTGTCTCTTTAAGTCACTTCAAAACACTCCAGAGTTTAGTATTCAAGAACCTAGCTCTCCAGAAACCTAGCAATCCAGAACTTTGCGCACCAGAGCCAAGAACCCAGCATTCTGGAATGCCACAACCGGTGACCCGACATTCTAGAATTTATGGTGCGTTCAAGTTACCTCAGAAGTCAGAGTTCCAAGCTGAAAATGACGTCACACCTAAGTTACCAACGTTTTAGTCACCAAGTCGGAAAAAAGCAAAATCGGAGGCCTGAAATAAGATGGCTACATCTATTGTTATTTTAGTGCTTGATTTGTCCGAATATAAGGCAAGCGCTAAAATAATTTTCGTAGTTGCAGCCATCTTGTTTCCGCCTCCGATTTTGCTTTTTTCCAACTTGGTAACGAAAAAGCTGGGAACTCGGGTGTGATGTCATTTTCAACTCCAACATCTGACTTCCTGGGTAACTTGAATGCACCATTAGTTTAGGGATGCAGAGTTTTAGAGGACCGGGTTCCAGAATGTTTGGTTTTAAATCTTGGC